GACCGGATCCTTCTAGCTCGCAAGTCCTGCAACAGGCAACTGCGTTAACTAGGGATATATAGTCGGTTTTATCAGTGGAAGTGACTCGGTGGACTTGGGTTTTTCGGATTAGGGTCGGATGTGGTCGGAAAACATGATAGGAGGTCCGGACGTAAGTGTTTGGCAATGCCAGGGTCTATGGTGAAATATACAATGGGAGTCGGAACGGAGATTGAGTCGGAAAAGCAGAGGAAGAGAATGGATCATCGGAGGAGATGTATATAATAGGACAGAGGTGTTTGCGAGTGGTTCGGATTTTCGGAGCTTCGGAGGATAGAGGCTATGGCGCGGAAACCCATAGGAGGTGGATCGGAACATAGGGAAGTGAGGTGGAAGTGTCGGATGACTCTTGACAGGCTTGATAAATGAAGGATGGATGAATCCAGACATGTTCCAATGATGTGCAATGCAATGTGCGTGTTTTCCATGGTCATCCGAAGCAGATCCGACTGGAGAATGCATCTGGATGGTCCGGATAGGTTACGGGTCGGATAGGAAAGCTGCACATGTATGTATGACTGCACGAGATGGTGAAAATTGTTCCAGTTATGGGACGGAGCAAGCAAATTCCGGATGGAACACAAGCTGAAGAGGGTGAAGTGAATACTCAAGCGGAGTCCCTATCCCCCCTTTTGGGAGAATTTTCCAAACATTGATGGAGGAAAAATGGGCACAGGGTTCCAGCAGGAGCTTTGGATTTTCGGAAGAAACTGGATGTGAGTCACAAGAACGGAATGGAACGGAAGATATAACGCAACGCAGGACTGTAGTGCTAAAAATTTCGGAGGTATCACCAGTGCTTTTCCGGATCCGAAACAGATTCCAGAGAAGACAATATTGAACGGTGAGGGACTTTAAGACAGGAGCGGAAGCGGGTCCGAAGCAACTACAAGCTATTGCAAAGTATATCCATTCCGAATGGAGGCGGTCCAGAGACAAAGGGTGCATCGGAGGTAGGAGCTAGGAGCTTCCATGAAGAAAGCCATCGGAAATCCGGACGATTGAGTTCCGGAAATAGGGGTAAAGGTCGGATATTGGTATACTGAGGAAAAAGGACAGGAGGACGGATGGAAGGATTGCAGAGTGGAAAAGTGAGGACGGAGGATGGACAATTGTATAAAACATGTCCGGGCTATGGCATAGAATACCCATAGGAGTGTTTCGGATCCGGAGCGGGTGTAACTTGTCCTGGAGCGGAGGAGTGAAGAGATCTTTCGGAAACATGGAGATTTGACAACGAAATGGACAGATGAGCTATAACGCGAAGGAATGCTTTGATACTGAAAAGTCCGGACGTCCGAAGATATCCGAAGCTATCCGAAGCTTATCTCCAGCAATTTCCTGGAGCACGGGAGTGAACAGATGTTTCGGAAACATGAAGATTTGACGCCAAAATGGACGGATGAGCTATAACGTGAAGGAATGCTTTGGTACTGAAAAGTCCGGACATGTCCGAAGATATCCAAAGATATCCGGAGCTTATCCGAAGCTATCCGAAGCTATCCGGAGCCATAACACGAAGGAATACTTTGGTACTGAAAAAGTCTGGACGTCCAAAGCTATCCGAAGCTATCCGAAGCTATCCAGAGCTATAATGCAAAAGAATACTTTGGTACTGGAAAGTCCGGACGTCCGAAGCTATCCGAAGCTATCCGAAGCTATCCGGAGCTATTAATTTCCTGGACCCGGAGGAAATATGGGCAGGAACTGGAGTGGACGTGGTACCAGTAACAGTAAAGAACAATCGCAAAGCATGTTTATTCTGATCCGGAAAAGTTCAGAGATGACAAGGAGCAAACCAGAGTTATAGATCGGAGGGGCGGAGACCTTCATCAAGAAAGCCAATAGAGATCCGGAGTTACAAACTTCCGGAAAATAGGGGTAAAACGCGGAGGGGTTCGGAAAGTTGTTGATTTCGGACGGGAAGTCGGATGTAAGAACTGACAGGCTTCTGGAGAGGAACAGATGGTTTTCCAGGACCTACTTCCGGAGAATGAATCGGATGAGTTCCGGAATTTCGGATCAGAGGCCTGGAGGTGGATAATGAAGCCAGGAAATGGTCAGGAATTTGCATAGGACGTATTGGAAGCAAAATTCTAATCTGCCCTTTCGGAAGACATTCCTAATGTCGGAGGAGAATCAACAAGGCGTTTCCGGATGGTGGAAGGAAAAAATAGGGGCTAGAGCGGAGGAAAGAGTGCCATCCGAATTTCGGAGGCAGGAACCCGAGCGGGCCATTGTCAGAGGAAGCAAAACCCGAACACTTGGCAGAAAACCATCATGAAAGACGGAGTTCCTCTACAAGGAGGGTAATGGATACCAATACAAGGTGAATGCTACATGGGTGGCGGATATGAATGGTAGATAGGGGTCCGGACTTTGACCGGAGGAGGTGCCATCCAACATGGAGGCGGACTGGAAATCAACCAGTGGAAAGAACACGGCTAGTCCGAAGATAAGGGTTCCGCAAAAATGCGGATCCGACGTCAGAAGTCTAAGGCATTTCCTGTAGTACCAATCAGAAAGAAGGTTTGCACAATACCCTATTGATCAACGGATCATGGTGGGTGAGCAAGTATATTCTAGTTGGTACAAGGAGAATCCGAAGGAGTTGAATGTTTGAGGCATTCCGGAGTTGACTTTGCCAGTTCAGGAAACGGTTCGGAAACGGAAAACATCGGAGGTGTAAGGATGTATCGGATATCGTAAATGATAGGATCGGATCAGGGAATACAGGACATCAAGTCCGAAAACCTATTTGTTCTGCCACGGAGGTGACAATCCTGTTTGGTTTCAGGAGCGGAGTTTCATGATACTGAAGTGGAAGTGACAGCAGAGCATGAAGGGTGGAACTTGAGTGTTCCGGTGGGTGTTTACATATGCAGGGATCGGAAATATGAGTTCCGGAAAATCCGGAGTTTTCATCGGAAATAGGAAACAGGAAAATGGAGGGTTCGGATGAGGAATACACAGTTTCCAATGGACGGAGTCGGATCCGATTTCGGGTATGATCTAAGGATTCAGTATACTCGGTAAGGTGTGAGTCTGAATATACTGTTAAGACCGTGCACAAAGGGTAGGACTGATTCCGAGGGGCTTGGCTTCAGCTCGTGCGCTGCGCCCCTTACCCGAGTATGTGCCCTTAATTTCAGAATGATGTCCGAAGAAAGTCCAAGGACGTCCGAAGGACGTCCGAAGCGCGGGAAAGTTCGGAAGGACTTTCCGGACGAGTGCAAGTAACTTCCGGACGAGTGCGGGAAAGTTCCGGAGGAACTTCCGGAAATTACGATGAGGTTTCGTCCTGATACGGATACGTGTAATGGCTACTTATGACAAGTCCTAAGTAGAAGCAAACAGAGGAAAGGCTGCAAGGACAAAGTCCGAAGCAGAATAGGTCCGGAGGACCGCGGGAAAGTTTCGGACGAACGTCCGGAAACTTCGGAGGATCGGATGAGCGGATAAGCGGATGAGCGGAGCTCTGGCCTAGGGAATTTCTCCCTAGGCCTGAGATGGATATTGACTAAGTCGATAGACTAGAACTGATGTGAGGACTTAGAGTGAGATCTAGTGCGAGGACTAATATGATATTCAGACTGAGGAACTACAGGACATATACAAGAGTTTATATACTAAGGAAATAACGGAAAGATCAGTAAGCAAGCGTCCGAGGCTATGTATGAAGCATAAGCAAAGTTATCAAGCGCAAGTCGGAAATGAAGCATAGGTTAACGGATCAGTAAGCATACCGGTAGTAAGTATAACCGAGATACCGAGGACAAGGAATACCGAATAGAGGAATAGGCTGTGTTAATGTTATATGCACAGGAATTGAACTAGGAAGCTTATCGTATATCGGATCGGACCGGATCGGACCGGACCGGACATCCGGATGAGACGCGTGGATTGAGGTATGGAGGTAAATGTATGTGGATGTGGATGTGGATGTGCAGGGGTGCAGGGATCCGGATGGATAGAGGACTGGAGACATGAATAGGGTGTCCGAAGGTCCGGATGAGGCGTGGGAATATTGTCAGATGTAGGTCCGGAATACGGGATATGACACCTGAAGGGTTCCGCAGATCTTAATCCAACTCCACAGCTCGATTGGTCTTTTGAGCTTTCGGGCATCCTCCCAAACTCATGGTCGGAAAATCAACGGCAGCCTGGCTTGGATGCCTCTACATCGCTCTTAGGATGATTCTAGAATGACTGCGCCAGCTGCATGGCTGCGCATCGTTCGATAGACAGATGTATTGAATAACATACAATGCTGGCACTTAGTACTTATTCCCGACTCCCGCACCCAGACTTCCTCTGAAGAGGTCTAATGAAATTCCCGACTCCCACGGTAGTGGAGGAGGGTTTTGTCTGCAACAAACGTGCCGTTCTCTACCACAGATACAAAAAACAATCGACGTTGAAAATGGTTCCGGCATAGCGAACTCAACCATGCAGGCAAGCAAGGTCAAATTCGGCATTCATGTCGAACCCTAGTTTACAACCAACTGATGGGAAAACAGGAAATGGAAAGAGCCAGTGGAGTCGGGAACTCGCGCGTCAGGGGCGCTATGATCAAGTAAAAGAGGCGATAGCGAGTTTGTTGGCTGTCAAACTGGTTATCGGCTAACACTGTAAAGCACCCTTCCATTGCAGCTTGGCAACATTCCTTCTAAAGCTAGGAACTGAAGGCAAAATTTTCCCCGTACGTCCGTAAATTGCCTCTTGCCGGTGTACGCCAGCCTGCTAATCTAAAGTAGCTGATCCAAGCCCTTCTTCTGAAGTTCTTTAGGACAGGTCTGACTCGTCTATTCATGTTCTTATTCGCTTCCACTCAGGAAGGAAGTGCCCATGGCGTCCCAATGGAATAAGTCACCTGCGACCCTGACATACAATACAAAATGGCTGAGTTAAAACTAATCTCGCTCCATCCAATTTTCTGCGCGCAACCTGAGTTACCCAACATGGCTAATACATCTCATCGCTTGAATGACAGGTAAGCCGCTATGTGCGATGTGCTCAATTCACTGATTTGGAGCGCTTGTATTCAGCAGCAGTGAAGATGATTTTGATATCGACGAGGGTTTCTTGTCAAGCCCTGACGATGAAGCTAGTCCATTCAACCTAGACGAAGTCCCTTCAGGAGTTAAATAGGAAGACCCTCTGCAACAACGAGAGGTGTTCGATGGTATCTTTCTTGCTCGCGAAGGCCAAGACAATACCAGCCCTACATGGGAGCAGACTCCCATCTGTAACATGCTTCTCTCTGCCTTTGAGAGATTGTTTTGCAGGAAGGACAAATCTAGCGCTGCAACCTCCTTACTGCGCCGCACCAACCTCTGTATTGATCCTCAGTTCACCTATGCCTCTGACGACAGCAGGTTGCTGTGGGATGCATCTAGACATTTCCTTGACTTCGTTCTTGTGGTCTCAGGCACCCTGGGCCTGGATGCTTTCCTCCCCAATACAATTTCTGATCACACATTCACCGTCACTCTAGACTTCCGCTTGCAAACCAAGTAGTTCAGACCCAAGTTTGGGAAGCTCGGTTTTAACCCTACAGGCTCTATGATGGCAATTGGCAATGGCAGTGCCTGCAAGCTGTGGCTAGGATTTTGCCCCCTTGCCAATGTAGAGGACCTCTCCGTGGCTGATGAGGCTCCCCTGCTCAATGAAAAGAAGCATGGCGACACACGACTGTCATCCCGCCACTTTCGCATGGCTGTGATGTTCATGGCCTATGCATTAGCAAAAATACCTACCATGCCTATTCACTTAATGCATACATATGGTACTGATGAGGACTTCTCTTCATGGAAAATCAAAGACATTACGAATCTTTAGTAAGTTTGAGTTCTATTTCCTTCATGGATTCCCATGCGTTTAATTCAATAACTGACGGACTTGCCTATGTTTAGCGCAACGCCCACTCTCACCCTTCGTCTCGATGATCTTAAGTCGCTTCACCAAATCATGGTCTCGGTGTGGGATGCGTGGGTTGAAGAGGCGCCGCCTTCGTGGAAGGTCGATGGTTGGCTGGAATCTCATGTCCCTCTCTCGGTAGCTTGTCGCTATGGGCAGAACCAGCCCATCACCAGTTTAGACCCCAATGCGCGTAGTGTTGAAGAAAGGAATTGGCAAGTTGAGCGGGAATACTCCAATATTCGCTATCTATCTATGGCCATTGCAACAGATCTTACGTGCATATCCTCTTGTCTGTACAAAGCGCCTGACAGCTTATTCACATTACAAACAGCTGCAAACCAGTCCGTAGTTGGCAGGAGGTTCCAAATGAGGAGATTCTGGAAGCGCATAATATTATATATGATTCTCCAGATCCAATATTCCGACAACCTGCCAACCTGGATGATTTTCCAGCTCAAGATCCCCGGACTCAGAAGGAGAACAACATATATGATGAAGAGGGTCATCACATTCCCTGTTTTCATGGTATATGTAGCAACAACACCAAGCCTTGCGGCGTGCTAATTAATCTGGAGACTATTACGGAGTTGTTCTCTACATTCATTCCCGACGATGATAACATGGTGCTTGACCCAGATATCATTTTTGATGACGACATTCGTACTCCTATGGTCAACGTCTATCCTCAAGCATTCCTATGAAAATACGGTCACATACAATGTAACTCTATCTTGCCTCATTTTGCTCCATTCATGTCCAAGATTCGCAATGCTGTTTCGCGCTCGAGTCCCAATCAAAATCAGGATCCATTTGATGGCCAGCCTGCGGATGGTGATGCAGACGAGTTCGATCGCTTGCCCTCTGGATCATTACCCACTGTACTCTTCACTAGTGGTTCCCAGTTTTACAATGAAATCTCCCACCGCATCAGACCATCCGCTGACCTTCACGATGTCCAGCAAGGGCGCATCACATTGGCCCTCTCAGGCGCTTACTCTCACGGTCACGGCCAAACCACGCACCGCATTGTGATGAGGGAATGTAGGCTCAATCTCCCTCACCAATGCTATGACAATAAGATCAAAGTCAACGATATTCCCCAGGCTTTGCGTCTAGAGAACATCTACATTTTTCAGCTGGATTCCCTGAAGCACCATAAGCGCAATGGAGCGTGAGTCATAGCATTAATATCTCACTGTGCATTGCGGCGGCACTAACAATATGCCTCTGCTGTAGCTCCATATATAGAGATATGGTGGTGCCCTTAGCCAGCTCTTGGTCCCATCCCGCCATATTTCAGGCCCTCCGCCCCCATCTTCTTGTATTGACTTCAGAGGTGCGTTGCTTTTATTTGTGAATATATATATATGCTCACCTCACGCCTTCCCTATACCATACCTTCAGGCATTTCCCCAGGTATACCAGTGGACTACCTACCCCATCACGTCCCTGTTAGAGCGTATTTGGGATCATTTTTCCCCTCTTGTGGAGAGAGGTGTGAAACCTGCCCCTCAAGCCATTGAACTCTGCTCCGTACTTGAGCGCGCTTTGGCTTACGCTCACACTGGAGATACCAAGGTAATCGCTACCAGCCTCATGAGGCCTTTGTGGTTGGTCCAGAGTCTGCTAGAACACGGCCTGCCTACCTTTTCTCCCTCTGTGCGCTTTGCTGCACCTCCTTCTATTCCTGTTGCGATCAGCCCTGCAGATTGGCCAATGCTCACCAGCATGAAAGTCCTGGCCATTGCCTCCAAGCGCTCTCAAATTTTGACATACGGCAATGACCACTTTGAGGTTTGTGGTTTCTTGTCTACTACATCAGAGCCGCTGTTCATCCAACTTGTCCCCAGGCTTACAAAGCCGAGTTTCATATAACGCTTTCTGTGAATCAACTCTCCTCCAACGCCTTCCTTGGGTACCCTAGCAATCTCCGCCATGCTATTATCATTGCATTGGTCGCTCTCCAGGTGTATATCGCCGATGTCAAGACCCTTGTCACTAAAGCTGTCACCGTCGCCTGCAGTGACATGGAGGCAGAGGATGGTGGCAATGGGGAACTCCATGCAGCAGGGCGACACAAAGGTCTCCACAAGTGGCTAGCCACTACTCATCCTCTTGGCTATGCTGATAAAGGATACAAATATTTGGTTTCATGCATGCATGCTAAATCTACAGATCATCATGAAGGACTGCCCAACCCAACCAATGTGAAGCTCTCTGTTCATGATTTTGCCCAGCTTATCTGCAATATGTCTCGAAAGACCGACCCAGCCCCCGTGGCCGCTCCTCTCATCTCCGGTGGTTGTTCTACCCCTGTCTTCCGCGTCGCCCTGGTTCATATGCGCAAGTATGCCCCAAAGGACTCGCCAACGCATGCCGACAAGTTCCTGCACGATGCATTCATTGTCGCCGCCAACCACCTTCATATCAACAACGTTCCGTGGCATCGTCCCGCAGGACCTCGAGGCAGACGGTCCAGAAAGCCTGTTTTTGACTCTTGGGTCAATCTAGGGAAAGCCGTAGATCTGCAGGCAATCAAGTGCAACCACACCCAGTCAGGCAATGCAGCAGCCGAAGCATCCCAGCGAGCCCAGGCTGCTGACTCTAGGGCTGTGTGGTCCGCCGACTCTATCACCCTGCAGTCACTACCGGATTATATTCTTAGATCCCGACTTCCTGATGAGTTTTCCCTTGAGAGCATCAACCTCGCGGACAACTCATCCTCAGACGGTCAAGAGCCCAGCTCACAAGAGATTTATGAATGGGTATTTGCCAATTTCAACATCAATAAACCACTGCATCAAATTGCCCTCATAGCTGGCATCTACGTCAGCCGGATCATCCCCGATATCTTCTGGGCCAACTCTGACAAGCCAAAAGCCCATACCATCGCTGATCACATCGCTCTCACAAATGCCATTCGTGCCCTCCCATGGAAGCCCAACGCTAGCGGCCGTAAAGGCTGCAAACTACCCCAGCAATTCATCGCCATGGTGCCTGCCTACATCCTAGCGGTGTATGATGAAAAAGCCCTTTGCGCATTCATTGTGACAAGCGCAAAAATTTCCCCAAGCCCTGGAATGCAAAGAATAGTGCTAAATGGATTGGTCCACTCCTTCTAGTGCGCTTAGGGCTTCTAAGAGCAGTGGCTGGCAGAGTCTGGAAGGGCGGCCCGCCTTTTGAAGATTGGAAGCTGCTCTCTGCTGAGGCTGTAGCTGCAAAACATTGGGAGATCACGGCATGTCTGGCAGATCGCCAGTATGGACCTTTCCGATTGGGAGTCATGTTCTTGGGCATTGACAAAGCTGTAAGTCTGGGGCGCACATCTCAGACGTACACCATCAATCCTGCAATCTCATCCATTAAGGCCAACAAACGTGCATCAAAGGACAACTCTGATAGCGATGACGTAGAGATCATTGAAGTTCGTACGGCCAAACACCCCCGCTCGACATGACTACCGCAGCCATTCTCGAGCGCTGCGGGCAGTTATGTATGTCTGTACCGCTGTTTGTATAGTGTATCTTTCACGTCGCTTTACTGCTTGTAAAATTGTCTTACCCCAACCTAATAAGTCGTACTTACGCCCCTCGCACTTTCCGCCCATAATCATCGCGGCAGCCGACTTGGATGATAAGAATCAGGCTGTCCCAAGTGACTAGTGCGCAGCTAATCCCACTTCTACGTGTCTTCTGACTGCAAGGTTGCAGGCTTCGAGAATTCCAAGGCGGTCATCTACTTATCATCGGATGCTTAATTCAATTGGCGTGGCTACCCCCTGCCAGTGAAGCATAAGGCAAGGCCCGTTGTCAGAGACCCTGCCATTTCAACAGCATCTGCCAAGCAGATATTTATATACTATACTCGCCGTATCTTGGTCCATTCGACTGGAACGAAATTAAGAAGCGTATATATAGTCGCAGATTGGAATTGATCGACGACTCTTGCAATTCGCAGTGATGTTGAACTCGCCTGCTTACTCACCCCAGACAATCAAAGCTCATACCATTTCAAACGAATCCCTAGCAGATTATCCTAGCATTCACTCCATGCGCATTGCCTGGGTTGATCTAGTCAATATTGTTAGCCTTCACACCGTCCCTCTCAAATCCTTCCATCGCCTCCTCCAGACTGGGTATAACCGTCGCCCAATGTGTTTTTGGCTATGGCGAATGATACCTGAGCACTAGCTGAATCGAGTCCAGCTCCTGAAAGAACTGAGAAAGGTCGCCGTCCATGCAAGCCCGTCCGCCGTCGTGTTGGCCGTAGATTATAGTTTTCTCGCAATGCCAAATGTGAATATTTTCACCTCAGTGGATCGGGATCGTTACTATATCGCTCCTGGGTCGTCTCAATTGCCTGCCCCTTGGTCTCGCAGTCCTACCGGTCCTTCAAAGCCAAAGATGTGGTTGTGAGTCGCCGGACCCAGCGGTGAGTTGTTGCCTTGGCCTTACCAGTCTGCAATCTTCACGAAGAGACTTCCCGTGTGATATGGCTGACACATTGTTCCTTATGCGATGCCCCCGCAGGAGTGGGTGGGATCCATACTCTCTGGCCAGGGCTAATGACGATCGCCTTTCCTCTTATAACACTTTGGGCTTGAAGGGCTACAGGCAAAAAGGTCTGCGATGCCTACGAATTGAATCATGAGAAAGCTGAAAAGTTGCCAGCAGCTCAGATGGCACGAAAGAAAAAGAGTGATTAGAAAGGCTTTTCCCAAAGATATAAGGGACTGTATGAATTTAGCGCCCCTGCTCTCAAGGGAAATTAAATGCGGACGGGGGCTAAGAAGAGAAGGGGAGGGGTGCGTCGCCTGCAGGTGTGCTTCAAAAAGCTATCGCAATGGCCGCAGCGCTTGAAGAGCATGCCAATTAACATGGGCTGGCTACCCCGCCTACGCATTTGACGCCCCGCCGGATAGAAGGTAAAAGCAAATGAAATTTTGAGAAAAAAAGATGTGGAACACTGAAAGAACTGGACGTGCAGTCGACGATAGTCGGGCATGCAATGTCCGAGTCAAGTTCATTCAATGATATGATCATGGTACACGTGCAGTCGACGATAGTCGACATGCAACGTCAACTTCATGCTCGACGGTCTCGACGTCAAATGCTAAGCGTTCGACGACGGTGAAAAGATCCATTCAGTTAAAAACGCTAGGCGTTCAACCGCGGGCCGGAGGCGAAACTCAAACGCTAAGTGTTTGTTGGTGATGTTGATGCCGAACGCTAAGCATTCAACGATGATGGAAGTTGAGAAGAAAAGATGAAGATTATGTAATCTGGATGTGGTGTTACAATTGCCACATATAATTTCAGACTTTGAAATCTGATTTGTCAGCGCAGATTGAACAAAGCCGGCGCCGTCTCCCTATAATGATGGTGGGTTTAAACTTTATAATCAATGTTCATATATACTATAGTAATCCATTCTGCATAATCATGGCTCGCTTTAGGTGAGGATGTCATCTGCAAACTCTCTTCGTGCAAACTCAAACATGAAGATCCTTTTAGGTGTTGGCATCGGTGAGGGTTCAGCGTACTGGTCATGGTGTTGCTGGCATGCTGCGTTGACTCATCATCTTCACTTTGACCCAGTCCTTGTTTGGGTATTGTGAGTGAACCATCTGCTCAATTTCTCGCGAGGTGCTAACCATGATTAGATATCAGTGTCATCAGTTCTCGGACTTGATTAGAGTAGAGTGGGCGGCATATGCGGCTTTGAGCACGGCTACTGTTGTCGATATCCTTGTTGCATCATCAATGTGGTATCTCCTCGCTACCCCCCGCGCTGGGTTCTTCAGGTAACGAACGATCCGTCGACTGTCAGGATATCATATTCAAGTTGATGTTGAGCGTTAAGGTTGGATTCCTTCATCAACAAGCTTATAACTTACACCGTTAATACTGGCTGTATCACAAGGCATTTCGTCCATCCAGACTATACTACACCTTGATTGATGTTTTGTGCAGTATAGGTTCAGTGGCAACTACAGTCACAGTAAGGTCTACATAATCTATTCGATATATCTTGCCCGTCTACAGGCCTACAAACACCCAGACAGAAAGATAGGACTCGAAGATCGCCGGGTGAGGTATGGAATCGAACTCCTAGCTGACACATTTGACTTGGCACGGGGAGGCGGTTTCTTCACAGGTGTTTCTGTTACGAGGGCGATCGCTGGCGCTGTGCGAGATTTGGAGGATTGAGACTGGGAATCAGTACGCCCGATGATGCGCTTAGCGGTTGCAGCATGCGTCTTTGTATCTGTCTGTGACATCGCAGCTGTTGACAAAAGCAGCCTTTAATGGAAGGTTGGACACCAGGCGCGGGAGGGAAGGACAGAACTACGACAAGTTGGTAGTAGATGTACATTAAGGAAACATGATGATTCAGGCTTACCGACAATTTCTCCATTCGACAGAGCTGAAATGATACACCGATTTCAAAGGATAACTTGAGTGATACATTGAAGCAATCTATGGATCAAAAATCAGGTTTCGGTTTGTGTCCCCAAGTCTCTGTAGATTGCCTTACATGATCACGATACAACCCACACTACAGATTCACTGGATGATACCACGTGTATAGCTGGTGTTTAGAGAGTGGTCTCGTCGAGGTTGACGGGCAGGTAAATCCCTGTGGATATGCGCTCGGAAGAGATTTCAAGATTCTTTCCGCTGATAAATGTAAATCGAATGTGAAGGTCACGAAACGGACACATCGTATGATCCACCCTTCAAGCTTCAAGCTTCAAGTTTGATAGATTGAACTTCTCAACTGTTCTGCATGATTGGGGCGATGAAGGATGTGCTGAGTGAGGATTGGACAGGTATGGGGACTGCGAATAAAGTTGCCGTCGTTAGCTGACATTGGTGCGTGCCGAGACTTATGTAAGAATAGGAGCGAGACGTGTGTTTCGCTAGGATCGAAGCACGCGTCCGAGTCATGGACTCGAACCTCACATGGAACACTTACATTGTACGAGAAGTCCTTCAGTGCACTGGGTGAGCGCATCAACCGTGCTACTACGTAAAATAGCAAGTATCACTGTGACAGACTTGGAATCCCGCTAAATTTTCTATTCTCTCCCAGCCTTGACTCCAAGTCAGGCCCCAGGCCACTTGGGCCGCACTCAAGCCTCAGGCTGAAACCCAACCGTTTCTCACTGGTAAGTCGCAGAAATACTAATAGTAGCGTCGTTGCTCACTCTTAGAGTGTCAAATTTTCTCCGACTTTCAAAAGCGGAGTCCGAGTCAGGCTAGTACTTGGAAAGGCCTCTCACTTGCCACCCCTGCATGACACAAGAGCCTTGGATGGCTCATCAGTAACTTAATAGATGTACAAACTTGTCAGAGTGACCAAACGGTGTGTGTGCCATCACTACTCAAATAGTTTAGAGATGACATTGTGATACCGTTTCTAGGTCAGTGTAATGATCTCACAGATTCTGCGCCATGACTCCTTATGGCATGCGCCGAGTCGCTGTCTGACAATCAAGTGAGCGTCAGACGTCAGCGCTTCGCCGTCTTGTTTCTTCCTGCAAAAGTTAGGAGAGTTGATTGATTAGGGGCACCATTAGCTAAGCATGTTCAGGCACTAATTGTCTGCCATGTTCAATGATATTTACAGTGTGTTGCATATGACATTGCAGTGCGTGTTTTCAAAACTTGGCCTCACTACCTTTGCCGGCACTTTTACATCCTAATGAGGTCAAGGGATGTGACATGTCACTCTAGCCAGGGCCTGCCGCAGCGCTGTTATATAAGCGGTTTGCCCTCTACCCTTTGTCTTTAAGAATTGTTGCACCATGTTAACCCTACCCCCCAAATCCTCGTCTACTTCTTCCTCCTTCCACTCAAGTTGCACCTCGTACACAAAACGGCCAACGACTCGGAGATCAGCTAGATTGGAATTTGGACACGAAGTTAAACCAGTCACAGCGAAGGACAGTTTTGCTTCACTGAGAGCACTGCATACAGCTACGCTTGCTGCTCCTACGAGTGTATCAGCTCAGTTGAGTTGTCTGCTGGATAGTTTCAGTGATTTGCCTGGGACAAATCCGAGATTTCAACAACAGGTACGTATTTACTAATCTGAACACATGAAATAGGCTGATACTACTTCATCTTGAAGGTGGACGCATATGCGAAACGGTGCTCACTTTCATTGGGAAGTCAGGCCATAAGGCAGAGTGTGCGGTAAGCACAACTGTGTTACTACTCATAGTGGCGTCGATTTCATCATGATTTATCTCAGGAGTTTTCTGGTATCAGGCCCACAGAATACGAACTGTTGGCACGCTTTCTCGAGGAGAGCGGACTGAAACCAAAGTGAGTCCAAGCCTGACCGTCACTAATTAGTTCTTACGTTGTGTGCTACTGTGACAGGTTGAGTTACATCGCCGAGGAAAATACTTTGATAGTAGAAATGCCATCCGCCATTCACGAAGCCCCATTGGTACCATTCCACACCGCATTTATATGTTTTTTCCGGTCCATCGACTTCGACCGCTCGTTACTTAATGTATGCGTACTGTGCAACACAGAGGCGTCCTCGATCAACCCTATCATCCCGGACTTGAGAGTTTCCATCCAAGATATGTCTAGCACCACAAAGAAAGTCTATGTCTCTGTCCTCGGAGAGACTGCTTTTTCACAAAATCGACGCACTTTATTGAAGAAGTTCAAAGACGCTGTAGGACACGAGCTGGCGCTGGGCTCGTATCGAGCTATTTCACAGTACACGTCAAATACCCGTCACATGCTAATCACTTCCCGATGTTATCCGACGCTAACCTGACAACCCGACGTTTAGGCCGCATTGGACCCGATGATTTCCCGCGCACTTGTCCTATCCGTGTCCCGTCCTGTCTTGCTAGCCCCACTAGGTGTGTAGTTCATTATTTCGCACATTACTCACGTCGTAGCCAGCACTATTACATGTTTTCCCATAGTCCGCAGCGCCTCATGTTTATTTACATGTACTTCGGATCCGAAATACTCCGCCGCTACTTTCGCCTACGGGTTCCGCATTTCTACGTACTTACATATATATTGGACTGACCTCGAGCTTTATTCATTATCCAAGTAGAGGGGAGCAGTTCCCCAACGCTTAGTGGTCAAACCCGATATTTCGTAGTTCTTAGTTGATATTGCGAATATCATCGCTCTTTCATTATCCGTATCAGTCATTGTTATTATCGCGCACACCGCTCGCTCTTCCGACGCTCGCAATAGCGTTACTATTAGTTTCCGACACCCCGAACCCGAATCCGATAACCCAAAACCCCGAAAACATCGGACCCGACGCTTTTGCATCGGACATCGTAATTATACCTTTGGACATTGTTTCCCGCGCTCGGACTATTGATCACACATCACTCACTTACCCCCAAGACTATTCCCAGATCGCAGACCCCTGGGTCGAACGCACTTGTCAGGCAAGTATAGCAGACTAGGCAGTGCAAAGACCACAACACAAATATATCAGTTTGGAGCAATATTTGTTTGTTCCTCTCAGTATTGTTGTTTCTACAACGCGATAAATCTGAACCCCAATCTATCGATGGTGATCATGGCCGAGATCGAGGGAAATACTGTATATCGTTCACCAAACAACAGGTCGCACGCGATGGCTATGTCGCGGGAGACGTCGCCACGCTCTTCGGACAATTTCAATCACGCTACAGGCATGCTACTGGCCCTCAAAAACCCGGTTAAGGTTGAGGGCCATACGTGGTGCTCGATAAAATTGATTCGATTTAAAGTATGGGTACGCGGGGTAAAGCCTATCAATCTTAATACAACAGACAGTAACTTGGTCGCGTCCGGGGTAAGTATTTATATCTTGTGTTCTGACAGGTAGTATATGACTAACTTGTGTTTGTTATAGACTTTATATCCCGTAGAAGACATGGATGCGGTACATGTCATGATTCAGAAGGGTGTTCGGGTGGTTAGGGAGCAGCTCATCGATCTGTCTCAGATAATCAACCCTAATATCGATGACAATGCTATGCGAGCACCCCCCTTTATCCTCCACAACAGTGAAATTGTCACTACGGTTGCGGGGGCTATGTCCGAAACAGCCCACCGTCGCTACATGGCGTGGTATACGCAGCAGCGTGTAATCGAACTCGCCAAGCATGATCCCCATGCTGCGCAGGACTACTCACAGGAGCTTCCAGCCTTTCATATGACCCTTCAACCGCGCCTCAAGCGCAGTGCACAGGTCAAGTTTATTGCCAATTCAGATCAGCTTGAGACCCCTGGACTAGATGTGGTTCGATCTCTCCACATACCCCCTTGAATTAATCGCCCATCCTAAGCGTGGAGGTGTCACTAAGGGGCGTACTACTGCGAGTCGTGGTGGTGCGACGCGCCGTCGCAGGGGATGATATATCATTTCATATCACATTACCACTATTTAGTGACTCAGACTTTCACCTCATATCTTACTCTGTTTCTCATTTTGCTATAGCTAGTATTATCCTAGTTTTCATTGTCGTTGTAGCTTTAACCATGGCCAGAACTGTTCTGCAGGTTCTCGTATCTTTGTTCAAGAGAGCATATAGGAAAAGTTCTTGGACCAGCGCTCACACAGCAGGCACGCGCAATCAAGGTTGGTGATCCTTTTTCACCCGACACGTACCAAGGGCCACAGGTGTCTAAGACTCAATTTGAGGTTCGTGCATCTACTCTCATCATAAAACATACTTTGATGTCCATAAAGTGCATCATGGGAATCGGGATACATAACCTCGGGCAAGAACGATGATGCTACCTTACACCTTGGTGGCAAGCAGATTCGCCGAGAGGGATACTTTATCAAGCCAACAATTTTCATGGAGTGCCAGCCCGACATGACAATCGTCAGAGAAGAAATATTTGGCTCTGTCATGTGCATCATGAAGTTCAACACCGAAGATGGTGAGATTGTACTAATGCACGATCATCGTATCACTCCCTAACAACTTTCCAGAGGTTGTTGAACAGGCTACATATGATACGTCATACAGACTTGCTGTATCAGTGTTTACCAAAGATATCGACAGAGCAATTCGCGTTGCACATGCTCTCGAAGCCGGCGCTGCATGGGTTTGTTGCTTCGTTATCTCATCTTGCGTGTTCGTGGTGTAATGACACCTGGCAGATAAATTGCGCCAACCAGACTGAAATATCGATGCCATTTGGAGGCTTCAAGCAGTCAGAGATAAGTCGTGAACTGAGCGAGTACGCTTTGGAAAAGTAAGCTTATGTCCTTCAAAATGACATCCCACTGCTAATAATACTCGATTTTTTGCTTAAATACTTCTTTTGCGATGATGGGAGGTCATCATCTTTCCCTTCATTCACACCCTGAAATTCCAGGTTGCATCAGATAACTCCAAGACTTGTATCCTCTTTTCATTTTATAGACATGGAATTGGATCCCACATGTTCCAACCCCCTGGATGCGCAGTGTTTCGACCCGCTCCGGCGTACCCACATATTCAGTATTTCCTTTGGTTTCATTCCTTAATATTATCGCTCACCTCTGTTCCATTCTTCAGAGACTCGTCTCGCTTTTTAACACCAGCGCTTCAAAACTGATGACGGGGCAGGGCCCTTGCGTCAGGACCGACCGACCGAGCGCGCGTGATGTATGGCCGGACCATAAGGTTGCAGTCGATCCTCTTGAGGGGAGAGGCTCTGATATGGAGGGATCGTGCTCATCGGCGTCCCTGTCTTTCTTCGACCTCCGCGCGACCTTGAAGGATGTAGGATTGTCATATTTTTCAGTGTTCAAGAGCAACACTCAGCTGTTGCTACTTGCTGTTTTCCACATCCTTCTGCTCAAGAGTATCTCCGTCCAGGATCGAGCATGACGCCTGGAACTAATAAAACTTGACCTTTCACGTTGTTGATGAAGTCTTTCCTACCTCACATCCTTCAAGCGACGGAAGCAGTCATTGCAGCAAACAATGCATCCCTCAACATTGATATTCGTTATTCCTTTCTGTCTTGCGTTATCTTTCCGAGCATCCAGCTCAATCATTGACTGAGATTCTGGGACCGCTGTGGTTTTTAGTGATGCGTTGGGTAAGTGTAATACGACTTGCTTTGCTAGAAAGACACGACTGCTAGTCGAGAATCAATTCACTCTGCAGTCATGTGAGAAGCAGTACTGGAAACGGTATGTACATATGAATGTAAGTACTTATGCTACTGCAGGAGCCATGTTTGTAATTGTCTTTGGAAAATATAGGAATTTCAGAATGGGACTTTCACCCTTCAACTCGCCGAATTTGGCTTTTACACTGCCGGAAGCTTCTCGTGAATTGCTTGACAGCCAGTAGTTTGTGATGATACCTGCGATTCTTATCATACGGTTCGGTGTATATGTATTTCATCTCTAATTGCCCTACTGACTCGAATGATCCAAGGTAGTTCCGCACTGCCATGTTTAGGCCGGTGGCCTGGGATCTATTTTTGGTGGTGCAGCGAGTGCCTCGATCTCTGGCTGATGTAGCACACAATTAACTCACCATCTCTCAGCTTATGGGAGCCGTTCTCGATGCAGCCCACTCTGTGAAGGATCACACAGCTGATCAATCAGGACTCAAAGCCTAACTTTGGTACCTGTAAGTAAGGCGCCTTTCCATCCTGTGGATGCTCGGTACTTGTTGCAACTGTGTACTCCTATCTTGTCAGCCAAGGTAATGTGTACGTGCTGAATTGCAGCTCTGCTGACACTGACCGCTCACAGCTTTATGGATTACTCTAATCAGGTTACGTTCTAGGGACATTAACAGATAGGCACAATGTCAGCAAAACAGCCAGTGGGTGTTATTTATTTCCCTTATCAGGCTGCACCATGAATGCATGAAGGCTCAATCTGATGTTATTGCTCAATCCAACATATCCAGTAGCAGGGACAGCACCCTATCTACGTTTACGCTGAGCTGCGGGGGCCCTGCGAGCATCATTCTGAAAATTGATTTCCAGCCCTACTCCTGATCATGTATGGTTCCGACCCCAAGACCGCACCGCATTTCACTACTTGTCAGAAATACGGCATGCTAGTGCTGCGCCGAGTTGTTAGTGAGTTAATGAAATGGTTCAGACTCCTCCAGACTTATATAATGGACGGAGCAGCTATCGTGAGTCATGACAAAGTAACTCCCAACCACTTACACCACCTTAACGCAAGTTTCGTTGTTAACAGCAAAATGTCGAAAACACTATTGATCTTCTGTGATGGGACCGGCATGGATGTTGACCTGTTGGAGCACAGTAAGGAGATAATCTTTTGTCTTTCATGTCATCTAACGGGTTGAACTCTCTAGATTTTGTTCCTCAGTCCACCGAAGGTGGTGTGAATTGCGAGAATACCAGTCAGCAAACCGATCTCCATCCCTCCCGTTGGAAGGTGACTGTATTGAACGTATTGCTGCAAATATTCCAGCGATGATCCCATCGTAGGCCTGTAGGAAAGTCTTGGATCCCCACAGTCTCCACTCACGTAGTATATTCTAGCTGGCGACGCAAACGAGAACAACCAGTATCCAACGAATATCATCCGCCTTGGTAAGTCGTCGCTGGTATTTCCTGAAGATACAACATGAATACAAGCACGATCCGTCGAATCGGGAACAGGGTAGTATAAGCCAGTTGTTATAAATTCAAAGGAAAAAAATACAGAGTTAACTCCTACTCATGCTCCTCCCCATCCCAGCCACTGGCAGCAAAGTTTAGGGTATAACTAACTGACAAAACATCTGGCGACCAAAAGTGTTAAAGTGGAGGCAAGGTGAATGTCTGTAGAGTACAATGGTTGAACAGTTAGGTCAGAGAGTGAAAGCAAAAAAAGATACAGAGTGAACATCACCTCCTCCCCCTCCCAGCCACCAGCAGCAAAGTTTTGGGTATAACTCAAGAACAAAACAACTGGCAACCACAATTCTTAGAGCGGAGGCAAGGTAAAGGTCTGTATAGTACAATGGTTGAACAGTTAGGTCAGAGAGTGAAAGCAAAAAAAGATACAGAGTGAACATCACCTCCTCCCCCTCCCAGCCACCGGCAGCAAAGTTTCGGGTATAACTCAAGAACAAAACAACCGGCAACCACAATTCTTACAGCGGAGGCAAGGTAAAGGTCTGTATAGTACAATGGTAGAACGGTTGGATCAGAGAGTGAAAGCAAAAAAAGATACGGAGTAAACATTACCTCCTCCCCCTCCCAGCCACTGGCAGCAAAGTTTAGGGTATAGCTCGAGAACCACACATCCGGCAGCCAAAATTCCTAGAGCGGTGGTTAGCTAAAGGTCTGTAGAGTACAATGGTAGAACAGTTAGGTCAGAGAGTAAAAGAAAAAAAGAGATATGACGTGACCTTGTCCTCCCCCCTCCCAGCGACCAGCAACGACGATTTGGTTCTAACTCGACAACAAAATGTCCGGTGACCAAAATTCTTGAAGTGGAGGATAGTTATATGTCTATAGAGTTGAATGGCGGGACGGTTGGGTTAGAGAATGAAAGAAAGAAAATATATGAAGTTACCTTGTCCTCCCTCCCCTCCCAGCCACCAGCAATGAAGATTGGGGCATAACTCGAGAACCAAACGTCCGGCAAGCAAAATTCTTATAGTGGAGGCATCATGGGCTGCGAATTACGCAGCTCAGGACGTGTTAGGACCATTGGGGATTGCGGTGAAGAGGAATGAGGGAGACGAGCGGTTGAACTGGTGTGGGAATAAGGACTTTTGATGGTACCTATAACTAAACAATTACTCACTTTTTTAACATCAAACTTTTTCACGGCTAATGCAGATTTTCAAGGGCTATAAGATGAGAGAAAGGTGTTCTAATAAAATGTGGAAGGAATGAGTTGAATGGAATTTATTTTGTGAGAGCGGGCGTTAGACTCGGTTAGAGTGAACGCTCGTCCGCATATGGATAGGTTCAAGCGTCCAAGTTGCGTGAAGCATGTTTCTCCCAATCGGAACAACTCTCCATGATCACTGATTATGTAAGCCACATGCATATCTCAACACAACTACCTGTGAATAACGTGGCCTCAGCACCAATCTTATCTTAACATGTTGTGCAAAATCTCTGTCTTCTGAGCCTCATGCACTCATCCAAACCCTACTCAACCCTGCGATGGTTTCAAAGTATGATTCTAGTTTTCACAAATTCTTTGCTACAATTTTCTCCCGTTCCATGGAACTTCCTACTGACCTCCCGGGGTTATTTACATTGGGCGAGACTCGACTTGAAGTTGCGACATGGCAAAGAATGCTCTCGTCTAACAATCTTTCCTCGCAGTGTGTCCTGAAAAAAGTCACGTTTTGCAAAGCTGCCAAACGCAAACAGCATGAATTTCTTGTACTGTATTTTCGTCACTGGGATGATTCAGTGTCGGTGCCCGCCCGGGTGGTCGTAGATCGCGCTCCAAAGTCATCCTCGAATGACAGCGGCTCCTCCACTCCTATCACGCATTCGTTGGGCATTGCTTCCCCTTCAACCTTGCAAAACTGCTGCCCTTGACTCCGTTTCCACTACTCCATACACAGGCACTAGTACACGCAAGTACCTACAATCAAGATATGGTCCATATGAATGTCTTTGCACCCTCAAATTCCCTCCCACATCCACATGTTCCTCTGCAACCCAGATATTGGTTCTGTTATCTGTCACAAGTACACATACTCCCAACTACAACCTGTATCACTTTCAATGCTACTGGTTCGCCAGTAGAACCTGCTTTGGGATCTTCCATGGGACGCTCACTCTTCAGGAGCGTTATAGGTGAGGAAGGGAGTGAGTTTGTCGGGAATGGGTATTCGAAATGGGAGACGAGTGGAGGAGTCTGGTAGGATACCACGAGAGATGGGGTTGGCGATGTTGATACTGGTGTTAATATATATGAGCGAAATGGAAAGATCCGCTGCTCGCAGGATGGCTTCTGTGCGTCTGATGCACATGTTGGATGCGAGGTTGGAGCAGCGACCTTTGCGAAAGGCACCGATCGCACCTTCATATATGACACACTTCCACATGTAGCGAGGGATATATTCAGCAGGGAACTCTGCAATCCAACGGTATAGACTGGATAAGTATGAGCGACCGTGTAGGAGGACGAAGGCGCAGTGTGTGAGGGTGCCGCTGATCTTTTCAGCCTCTTTCTTGGGAACTTGCTTATGAGTGTAAGTGTCCAGGAAAGAACGAAGGTGATGAAGGTATTTGAGTCGTTTCGATTCTGGAAGATAGACAGTACGATCAGGGAAGTTGAAAGTATAACCGACATAGTCTTGGATGTCAACGAAGTCGGAACCTTTGTCTTTGTGCCAAGGTATGTTGATGGGACCGATATAGTCTTTGGCGGACTGAATATCATAGCGATAGCGAAATATCTGACCATTGGAGATTGCGACAAAAGGACCGTCTGGATCTGGGATTCGAACGACGAGGAAGTCATCGACCCATTTCCATGTAGGACCAATGTTGGCATGTTCCCAGATGTCAACTGTGGCATTTGCGACTTCGCCTTGAAGACCAGCTGCAGAGGAGGCGCCGAAAGGGAGGTTATGATCGATATAAAAATGATCATGGAAACACACCACTAAGTAGCGCTTGTGATCAGGGAGGATTGGGATGGTGCGGTAGGCACTTTCGATATCCAGGGAAGCAGCTTGAGTCCCTGGAGGGGCGGTTGCAACCTGTGAGAGGACGGGAGTAAGCAAGAGTGCTAGGGAGTAAGAGATCGAGTGATCATAGAATGGGAGGCTCGTATCGGGAACGATAGAGCGTGAACGGGGATATGATCCTGGGTGTTCCAAACACTACACTCCTCAAGCAGTGTATTGCTACAGCTGCGAGGTCGTGCAGCGAGTGGAAGCAGGAAGGAAGAATCACGAGGGGAGGGGGAGGAAGAGGTACACACGAAAGATGCTACTTGTGCTGCGGTACCCCAGCAAGTGGGAAAGTCCTTAGGGTCGATTTCGTCATTGATTGAACGGTTAGAGGTACCCTTGTAGGAAAGATTACGGCAAACACGATATTTGGTTGGCTGGCCTGGAGCGCCTTCTTTGACTGCCACTTGAAGAGGTGACGAGCGAAAAGGGCCAATCTTTTGTTCCAGTTCCTCTTGAGTGAAGGGGCCAGTGAACCGACCTAGGGATAGTTCGGACTCGATATATTCTTTGATGACGTGCTCGTGTTCGACGGCACTGGGAAGATTGGGAGGGGCATAGGTGGAGAAGATGGGTTGAAGGTAGCCCAGGGGGAAGCCATGCTTGATCTTGAATACGAGTTCTGGGTAGACGTCAAGAAGGTTAGCATTGCATAGGAACACTTCGAGATGATCTGCCGAATATGGTGTGATAATTTTTGAAAAGTCTGGGTCTGCATCGTGTGGAGTGCATGAGACACTAAGGTGATCAAGATATACGTGATGAGGTGCTGCAATGTTTGGTATAGGGTCCATGGCCCATGGCAAGAAAGGAATCTGGGATGAATCAGGCCCCCAGACATTTGTGGCTGCAGGCACCATGTTCTGCAGAGCCACAAAGGGAGCAGGCGTGAATCTCGCCTCCTTTGTGGTGCGTTTAACACAGGTGCGCTTTCCGTTGCAGTAGATGTTGAAATCGACACAGTACTTGGTGTCGGCATTGCTGCGGGAGATGAGTTGCTTGTTAGTGACCTTCGAGTGTGATGTCGAACTCGACGACGACGTGTCGGGACAACTAGGGAAGGTTTGTCCGAGTTGGCCGCAAATGAGACAGAGGGGAGGAAGGCGTTCGTTGGATTCGTTGGGCTTGCTGGAGTTACAAAAGGACTTCTCCGATGATTGGGGCTTCCGAAAGGAAGAGTCTCGAGATGGGTAGGGTTCGTGCCGGTGACTTTTGAGTTCGGCCACTGCCTCACTGACAGCTTTAAGGGATTCATTTCTAGCGACACGGGTTTTTATACTTTCAAGTTGCCGGAAGTACTTAGCTTCATCTAACTTTTGGGGGTCGGCTGCATAGGATGCACGTTGTTCGATGTCGAAGGCGAGAATCACTGTCCAGTTGTCGGCAAAGTCGGGATGTTCCCGAAGCGTTTGATAGTGATTGGTCCATCAGTGGTGGATCTCGGGGGAGGCGTGGTCCGTGAGGAAACAGAGATAACGCGCCCAGGCTTCGTGCCATTCAGCGATACTGATGGAGGATTCTGTGGGAAATTGTGAGATATCTATGAGGTGGCATTTCATAGGAGCGGTGCCACGATGCGATGAGTAAAAGGTGACGAATTTGAGAGTAGAGGATTCGAGGAAAAGATGTTTGGATACTTTGGTAGTTAGAAGCAAGAATGGAATGTGTTGATGGTTCCTAGCGAGATCTAAGATGTACGTGTGAATACCATAAGAGTCGTTAATGGAGTGGTACTGGACCGTGCACTCATTGGTAATATCGAAGATAAGGGAGGATGAAGTATTGGTAGAAAGAGAAGGAGGGTTGGACGATGAAGAGTTAGCTATAGAAGCACTGATGGAGGATTGGAGAGAGGCTTGTTTGTTAGGGGAGAGTCTCTGGAATGCTGCAATCATGTTAGCATAAGAGATATTCGAAGCGGGAGGGGTGGGAGTATTGGGTTTAGGTGTAGAAGGATTCGGGTTGGAAATCGAAGCATTTGGTAATGTGGGGTTGGTAGTAGTATTTTTAGTAGTGGTAGAAGAAGAACCCGCCGGATTGTTATTAGTAGTGGGGGTACGATTGGAAGAAACATTGGTGAATGTGGGGGGGATGATGAGGAGGGACTCGTCGTTCTCGACATTAGCGTCACCTTGGTTACGGCGCGTTTGACGCGTTTGATTACGCGCTGTGATAGCAGCATTCTCGGCGATAATTTGATCGCGCGAGAGGGTAGGTCTGCCCGCAGGGGGAGTGGAATTGGTCATTTGAAGTAAGTGGGCGTGAAAGACAAGTAAAATATGAACAAAATCGTGTCGAGTGCCGAAGGTGACGGTACGAGATGAAAAAGATTCAAGGAGACTTACGAGGAAGAAAAGGCTTATCTATCATATGTCGGCGCACGGGCCAAGCACTTTGGAAGTGCAGAAAGTGTCAGAACCGCATGGTGGCTTACAAAGCCCCTGATCAACGCCATATGCTCGCAAGCTCACGTGTTGCGTTGATCATCCACCTTTGCAAGGCAGGTCGCGGCTAACCCGGGCTGAGTTTTAATTGTATCTGGTCACGTGTTTGCAACGTTGTGTCTGTCCGGTCTGTTCCATCGTCGCATATTTCTGATCATCCATGTGCCTAGGCGTCCCGGGCGCAACAACGACCAATGACATTTACAAGGGTTACTTCATCCCTCAAGGCCTCAAGGTTTGTAAATGTACCATGTTGAATGACCGATGGTTGCTGACGACCTAGTTTGTCAGGGGTAGCTTCATTTCTGAACATATGGAAAGCTCTCACTTCCTTGATACTGAATGTCTCGAGATGGGTCGCTCACTAGCGACACGATGCATTTTTGGTTTGTGTTGGGTCGCCGGATCTGGTGAGCATACATCGATGCAGCTTCTTTGCTCCCTTGGTACGCTCGCGATGGGCAGTGGGCAGTAGTACCCATAGTGATGCAACAAGAACGCATAAATGTAATCAAATTCTCCTGTTCCCTGCAGAGGCCCGTAGTACGCTCGTAGTGTAATTCATATTACACATCTCCTGTGTCACATACTATTGCTAGTTGATACATGCACAGATTCTTGGAAAGCAATTGAACTCAGGTTAGGTCCTGCATCGAAGTCGATCATGAGCCTAGCGTAATATTCTCGAACACCGAGGATCAGCTGTGGTCCCAGTACAGCTGACTGCACAATGGTGAATATTTCGAGAAAACCAAAATAAGTCATAATTGCTGGGGAATATGGGTCCTATAGGAAATGATACATCGATGAAGCGTGGTTGCATGCGGAGGTCAGTGACACATTGGCGTACCTTTGGCATCGTTGGCGAACAATAACCGAGGCAAAGGCATAAAACTACAACGGAGCTGGTATATAAAGAACTTCAACGGAAAATATAACCACGTTCACAATATCGGCTCACCTCACAAAGTAACTCACGTGAGTTTTCATTAACACTACGAAACAGTCCCTAATAATACCTCCCGCCGAGTGTTGTCGCAATTCACGGAAGTGCTTTAGAGCAATCCGGACTGCAAGACACAGTGTGAACACCTCCCACACACCGGTGAGTATCCAAGGGATGGTGCCCAAACATTGGAGATTGTCAGCAATGCACTGATAGGTGCCAGAGAGGATGGCTTGCTCTGAAATTTATTAATGAGCCTGAGGCACTTGAAGTTTTCGATCCATAATTGACGCTCACCCGATGAAATATACTTCATGTTGATTGTGAGCATCACTATATTGGCGATAACGATGGCTGTGAAGACAACAACGAGGAGTACCAGAACCTTTCTGGATCGTTGATACATGGCATGTAATCGAGCAATCATGATGACTTTGCACGATATTTCAGTGAAGTCGAGGTATCGCAACTGTGTAGGCTCACCACCAAGTATTGCAATCAGGACCCAAATCGTCCAATATAGCGCGAAGTACATGTAATAGCCTGGGACATCTGGTCAGCGATAAGCTTCAGAGGATCACATGCTCCAGAGAAACTCACAACTGTAGCCATCATTATTATGGATCAGAAAGCTGTCCAAGAATGTCACTCACCCCTACATGATAGTTGATTAGACGGGTATGGAAGGGAAAACGTTAGTACGGAATGCTCACTGCATCTTTCAGAAGTATTATTTGAACAGCCACTGTATGCCGCTGGTCAGAAGCAACAAACAATGCATGTGAAGAGACGCACTCTGTATGTTCACGCTGATGGTGAGAGATGGGCGATCAGCACAACACCAGATCTTGACTTTCCAAACATACCCAGCATATACTACCCCAACGTAGCGCACCTAGGTTATCATCACATCAGCTCGACTTGATAAGCACACTTGTGGCATGGGCTACATACAGTGAGATACATGACAGTCATCAGGGACCAGTGTTGCTTCTGTCGCAGATTTATGTTATTGTTACGTCGTTCCTTCGGACATGAGGGCTCTCTGCTCACCCAAATCAATTCAACCTGTAACATTATTCTTAGGGATGAGACTGTTCCGGTGATGGCATCAACCTACCTCTTGTCCAAATGCAAGTACTGGAGAAACATCAGGTTATCAATAACTGTTTCATACAATCTTGCTCACCCCAATCGTATATTACGCCAGTCGAGATAGCAACTGTGAAAATGCAGCGAAGGTTAGATTAGTATATCACCATTGTCACCAGACCGGTTCTCTACTAGTACGGACCCATAAAATAGCTGAAAAGAAGATATGAATTGATGAGCAGCCACCAGCTAGGATCATTTGAGATTATGGTCATACTATCAGATGGTGCGAGTGAGTGAGCGGCGAACTTGGTGGACGAATGACAGTGAAATTTGTACCGTTTATATCACCTTTTATTGTCAACGTGGGTACCATGTGTATAATACCCGTTCATCACTTGGTTGTACTGAAGTAGGGGTTTTTGTCACGACTCACAGCCACGCACTGGAAAAAACTAGAACATACACCGGAAGTTGGAACGTTCAAACAGAAAATAGTGAACATCCTGATTTCGGCGGCTGACTTGTTTCTATTGCCATCCATCCTGACTCATTTGCGCGCTACTGGATCTTCCATCTAGTTCCCGTGTCTACTGCGGGTGGGGTAAATCATATCGCATCGCTAAAGAGAGTCAGAAAGTCCTGGCCTGGGGGTGCTACGCGCAAAACATATAGTATTTGGTCCACAGGGGCCGAGTCGTTCTGTTATACCAGCATGTTAAACAATATAATCAGTAGAACTTGAAGCCGGGTAGGAACGTAGCAGTAGACGGTTCAACACTCCACCGACGTGATATGCCAGCTGCAGTGCACCATCACTAAACTGTATCAAACCCCGATGTAAGTTATGTGAGCCGGTGCAGTAGATCGCCCAATAAAATACTGTACATTCATATCCTCGGGCCCGACACCCCAGGGTCACCGGGCTTTGTCAGATGAATTCGTTCCACCTAGGCCTACTTATAGCCAAATCTATGGAAAGCCTAACAGCCGCGCTCCTTTAGTCAGCGTCACGCATCTACAAATGGTATGAGGACCTCGTGCACCTCTGAGTCATCCGTTGAATATCAAGAACATCAATCGTATATACAAGTATAGCCCCAAGATATGATACAGCAAACTAAATACCACTCAAATATCAGCATCGTCCGTGCTGACACTGGCATCTGGCAGCTTTGTGAAAGGATCCAAGCCGAAACCCGGCCACTCGCAATAATAATTACAGCTATGCTGCTTTTCAAACTTGCTAACAGCCCCTTCAATGTTCCCATCTCCGAAGATATCTTTCCCTTGGCTTACAGTGCTAATAGTGCAGAACACTAGTGAGTTGATGAATAAGATTTCACACAGTAATGGACGTACGGATGAGTCAAGATTTGTGGATCAGTTAATAGCTCTGAGCCTCCTGGAATTTCAAGACGGTCAGTATAAGTATTGCTGGGATAGAATTTATGGACGACGTACCTTGATAGTCTGATATGAAAGCTAGACCCCATGTTTTGATGTGTTGGACGTGTTGGGTAAATGTGAAGAATAGAGCCAGATCATAGCCATCATCAGATTTTTCAAGCAAAGGATTGGAGTCCATGTTGTGAACGTATTTCACAAATTCTCCCTTCCTACCAGGAATGAGTTCCTCTACAAGGTAAACTGCGCGTGCTGAGTTTGTCATCGACGAGCCTGCTTTGGGTGCAGGCAGTGGGCCAAAAGCAAAGGCAAGACCAGCATCCACGAAACGAACTTGAGGAATTTCGAATGGTGGAAGTTCAGATGCGCTGGTGATGGAGCGATTAATGAAATCATAAGTAAGCTGCAGAAGTGATTGAGCCCAGTAAAGAACGTTCCCCTCTTTGAGGAGTCTGGGGACCTCATCTGCAAGAGCATAGCGGCCAATTTTGAACTTGAGGGATGCTGTGCTGGTGCCTGGTAGGACGGCCTTATAGTAGGCCCGCTTGACTGCAACCTCGTGACGTGTTTGATATCCGAGACCAGACAATGGAGGAGAAAATAATGTCAGCCAGCCTGGGTGGGCCGTCTTGAAAGTACCAGCACCCAACATACTGGGCATGGATGGGTTGATGGTCAATTGACCCATCAAGCACTCAACGGTTTCGATGTCGTAGGATAGGAATTTGGCATTCTTCAGCATGACTGAAAGAGGGCGTGTGGGTATCGGATAGTATTGTATATTCTTGTTCTGTAAATCCAACACTACGCACGTCATCAAAAATCAATATACTAGGAAGTTAAGTAAGTTGGACTTACGTTGTTTAACATCCAAGTTAACAGTTCCACCGATCCTCAGCGCCTGTTTTAGGTCCTCACGGTCTGGACTGGGAGTGCAGAAGGCACTGCTTGCTGCTAACTTTTTGTGGGGCGGTGACAACCCACCAGAAAGTGCGCTAATTGGGATGCTGTCACTGCGCTGATGAACCCTTTTACAGGTCATAACAGGCTCTTCGATGGGTGTCACCACGTCACGATGTGCAACCACGTCACGATGTGCAAGATGGTGACTTTCCTCCTTTCAACTTAAATCAATTATATGATCATGGTAATGGTGCAGCGCACTGACCTCAGTTTTCTCAAGCCATTCTTGATACTCAAGCCACTGGGACTCAGGGACGACTACTGTCAAGGCAAACTGCTTTGACTTAAAAACCTTGGACTCTTTTCCACCCCTTTTCGAAGCATGCCAGCACTCTGAGTAGAAATATGGCCTATTGGCTGGATGTGTCGAAAGATCGACCCAACCTGCATCTCGGACAATGAATTGTGAGGTACGCCATGTGAATGCTGGAGATAGTGCAAGAATCTTGGGTAAGATAGTATTAAGTGCGATCTCGATAAGGCCAGGGGCATCTATCTGAGCATGAATATCCTTTTTCCCTTCGCAAATATTCTGAATAGATGTTCAAGATAATGATCTCAGACATCAAAGTGTGGAATACTTACTGAAATTGGTGTACCACAACTGCCCTTGCGCTTTGGGCCAGCATCGTGCACAGCAGAAATGTTGAGACTGATGGTCTCTGCATGTGAGCCCATAGTATAGGAAAGCTTCGACCAGTATTCACGCTGGGAAGCGTGGGCAGCATGATTGGCGGTGTAACCCACTCCGAGTCCATGAGAGGTCTGATTCCAGCTTGAACTGGTAGGTATAGCAACAATTGGCCCTGACGGGCCTGACTGACTGCCCTGGAGGCCATGTGATGTCGCAACGACTCGGGGAGGATTGATTGTGGCTGTAAGAATATATCAAGTCCTGCAATTGATGGACGGAAACCATAAATGGACTCACCAGTTCTTTGGGCAGCATTGACAGATCTCCGTATGCCGTGTAAATCTGGGAGAGGGCGGGGTGGTGGGCGTTGGTCAGTATCTGGCATATGGAACCCAGTGTTCCGACCTGAGGGCATGATAGATGATGAGCTTGAGTCGCTTGTATAGAAAACATGACTTACTGGAAGGTCTCACACTAGTCGCTGCTTTCTTCTGATAGCGTGAGTGGCATGAGCCACAGACGAAGCGGCCTGGTTTATTGGGGTCAATAGTAGCAATGTAGAAGCAAGGGTCGCCCTTCAGGATCTTAGTGGCACAGGTTGGCCGCTCACATATGCGGTCTTCCTTAGCATATGCATCCTCAGTGAATTGTGATACAAGTTCCATAGAGGACGCAGAAAGAATGGTAGAGGGGACGACTCAGATGGCCTAGTAATGACTTGCAGTTTAAATACCTCTGAAACTCACTTGTGCATGGCACATCACAATGTTTGCCTTGGATAAAATGCAGGAAAGTGATGATGTTCAAGAATCAGCCTAACACATGTTTGAAACGGAAGAAGACTACACCATCTCCCAACTAAGCCCCTATCCCAGTACCAGACTTGCAAGACTACACCATCTCCCAACTAAGCACCCTATCCCGGTCAAAACACACCAAGGTGCGAAGTTGTCGGCAAAACTGGGACCGGACGTGCAGCAAGTCTTGCCTGTGTCTTCACCGGAGCTGTTGAAAGATTAGTTGGACACTCAATGTAGTATTAGACATGTCTTTCTGTCACGTCAAGAAAGGTATGAACAACCTGCGGTCCGAACTTGTCACGTCAAGGTGACTCAATTACCACTCAGATGCCGGCATCCTCATGGCATCCGGCTTCTAGTTTACCTTGTCATGTCAAGAAACAATCAAGAAAGGTATGTGACTCAATGACTTCGTGCCAAGCCTTGACTTGGTGCTTCCAGTTTCCATCTGTGTTCTTGATTCTGAAAATCCACAACATCATCCACAGCACTACACCTTGGATATTCTTGCTACTCTGCCTTCGTAACACCCACCAGCGACTCCACAGCCTGTTCTGGTCAGCCAGTTACCACAAAACGAGGTGCAAGATTAGCCTTGTAAAATTTCTCCTCGGAGTCAGCACCCTCATAAAGGTACGATATACTTGCCTTCTCAGACTCTCTACACTTCAAGTTGCTATAGTACTCTACTTCGCTGTGCTTCGCATCAATGCCAAACCAGAACAAGCCACTGCGTAAGTGTTTAAGGTCTTCATGTTCTTGCCAAGCATTGAACTGTGATACAGCACCATTGGATGAGATTGCCCCTCACATACTGCGATTCTGGAAGGCCCGCCTCACTGACAAGGCGATTGTAAAGGAACTACAGAAGGTCATTGATACTGACCGCTATGGAATTGGGTACATGAGAACTGTGTATCTTTCGTTACCATGCTTATGCTTGCTTCCAGAATTACCAAGTTAAAGGAGATTCGATCTGATATGGGGCTTAAACGTGCATGGCAGCAAGGTCATTCAGTTGAAACCATTCACGATGTCATGGTTGATCTTCGACGAATATACCCAAATGCGGGATCACGAGAAATGATCAGCTTGTTGTTTCACGAGAGGGATATGGCTGTTCCGAGGTGAGTTGCCATGGTTGATTCATCGCAGATAATTGACACTATTACAGAAGGATCATGAAGTCGTACTTTGCCACCTATGAACCTGACCTGGTTCGCCAGCGCAAAGCAAGACGCCTTCGCCGAAAGCGATTCTGGGCTGCCGGTGTCAACGATCTATTTGCTGTTGATCAGCATGACAAGTGGCTCCGGTTCGGTCTCGCTCTGCATACTGGAATCGAGCCCTTTTCTGGGCGTATTATGTGGATGTGTGTATGGCACTCTAACAGGAACCCTCAGCTTATCTTGTCTTATTACCTTGACACCCTCACAGAGCTCGGACGTGAGTGTTTTTATAAAGATTGGCATGCTGTATGTTATTGATGTGTCATTATTAGATATGCCTTTGGTTACTCAGAGTGATCTTGGCACTGAGAACTTTGGGATTGCCAATGCACACACCTTGCTGCGTCAGTGGCATGATCCCGCATTGCAGGGGACACTCCAACACCGTTGGATGCGGACAAAGAAGAATGTAATGCCGGAGATAACGTGGTCTCAGCTTCGGCGCCGCTTCACACCTGGTTTCGAGAATCTTTTGGATACTGGAGTGAGTGAAGGCTGGTATGATGCCACTAATACTCTGCAAATGTGAGTGGTATCGTTTCGTTTCGTTTTGCCAGCATCTACTGAATACAAAATGCACAGTATGGTTTTCGCTGGGTTTTTATACCCTGGTTGCAGACGGAGTTGGATGCATATAAGGATTGTGTCAACAACACTGCAAAAAGGCGTGATCGTAATAAGGTATGTGGATCAACGATGATCAGCCAGTGCCTTGATGTTTGACAATGCACCTCACATAAGGTGTTACCACATGGGATTCCGGACATAATATATAATTCGCCTGAAGACTTCGGAGCACTTGATTTCAAGGTATGTTTTGGTCTTGCTTGGTACTGTAGAGATAGCACTCACAATCTGCTGTGTGTAGATTGGCATCGCACCAGGTGCCATTGAACATATTCGTCGTGTCATGATCAATTCTTCTCATACAGTATTTGACCTCGTACCACCCACTCTTGGTCATCACCTTGCTTCTTGCTACACCCACTTGGGGTGTCCCGTCATCACTCGTGACTCCGTGTGGGCAGTATATTTGAATATGCTCAATGCTATCCAGCTCAGTGACGATTTACCAACTGAAATCATGTCTGCCACAGAATCTGTCACAGATGATGACGAACTGCCTTTGCTCGATAATCATGAAGACTTGCCATTCCAGGACGACGACAGTGGTTTCTATTACATGGGAGGGGTCCGTGGGGGGCGTGGTTTAGGTTGGATTCACTGTTTTCTTGGCTAGTCATGCTAACTTTCTGGTGTACTAGATGTTTCTCATCACGCGCAGCTGGACACTTTACTAGCGGATGACAAACCTGATGTCCGACATGCTGCCAGTGACGCAGTTTCTGATGACGATTTTAACGGTGTAATTGTTTGGGAGTTCACAGATGACGAAGTGGATAATGATGGAGACGAGTGGTGATCTAGCTCTTGTATTTAACTCAGTGTGCCGTGTACCTGTCAAGTGTGGATTTGACATCTGCACGTTCTCTCCAGAGCATTTATGTGATGTTATCACAAGCACCTAAATTGCGCAACATAGCAATTCTCAGATGGTTCTCATCTAAGACACTCAATTCCGGCTTACAAGGTGACACACAAGAGGAGCTGAAGCGATTGGGATGCTTGTTCCCGTGCTGACACGAGGCAGGGTCCTGGGATGCCCAGCGGGCCATTGTATATAAGTTGCCGATCCTCGTTAGAAGTGTACGGAGTCCTCAACTTGTGACTACTACTCGGTGTGCTATAGACCCCTTCTTCGTACCAGTGCCAGTGCAAGATGGAGTAGAGAGAGACACCACACTGGATGATCTATATGTCAATTACTGGGTCAGGCAACACAACACAGACGACTGTACAGCAACACGACAACACCTTCAATGAACATTTACAACAATACCAGACTCTGCCATGACACTGGATAACCAGTATACGCTATTTCTTGAAAGGCCGATGACTGGTATGCTGACGAATCACGTTCTAGCACGAATGGGAAGCCTGAGTGGAGACCACGAAACGGTGAAAGGTAGTAAAGACAAAATAGTATTAATCAACTATCTAGTTAATAGGTTAGTCACATTTGTATCACATACATAATCAAAATTGACTCACAGAGCAGTATCATACACAACCACATGTTGTAAATGAGACGAGAAAAGGCAAAGCACGCGAGTCTGATTTGAGGTTCCTGACTCGTGCCTGATATAGCTACTGCTGGACTTGCCAGGCTGAGGTCAGCCTTTGGTGACAAGCCGTCCGAGGTCAGGACACCCGAAGGTCTGAGTAGTTTGAACAAGGCGAGACAGAGGAACGTCCATCAGTCACAGAGGCCGAGCAGCTGCAATAGAATACAAAGCTAGGGTACGCAGAAAATGATCGGACGTTGAAAATGGTGCCAGCATGGCGGCTAATCACTGGACCGGTCGGAAAAAATCTGTGACCACGCAGGCAAGCAAGGTCAGATTCAGCATCGCCGAACTTGGTGTGTCCGCACCGCTACGATTTAGAAGCAATATCAGAGGTGTTCGGAGTCCACAAGTTGTGACTACCGTTTATGGTCCATGTCACAGGGGATAACAGAGCGCGGCTGTTAGGCTTTCCTGTCTTGGGACACGGGGGTATGGTGGGGAGGATTTGTCAGCGCGTGTCCCGGGACACGACGGTAGGGCACGTGATGCGAAGACCCCGCGCTCGTGGATACGACGAACGTAGATGTTCGGAGGGGTCGTTCTCGGCGCGTCCGTCGTAGTTTGTCGTCCTTCGTTGTCGTTGTCGTTGTCTCATCGTTTCGTCGTCTTCACCATCTTGCAATAGTACGCTTGTTTGTTTGTTTCCGAGTTTGAGTCAGTCTGAGTCCCTCTTTTCCGAGTTTGAGTGTCAGTCCTGAGTTCTCCGCACTCGCACCCACAGTGCCAACACAAACGTCAACGGACACGTTCGACGTATCCGTTTCGACACATTGGATTGTTTTTCAGGTGCGTCATCACACTACTTTTTTTAGCCGTTTTCGATTCTACTGATGCCGTTTGTGCACCAGCCGTTTTTGCGCTCGCATACTGATGCCGAGCGCTGCAGTCCCACCATCTGACGTCACCGTACAAGCGCTGAATGCTGCCAAGGGCGTTCAGCTGAAGTTCTGGATCAAGGAGGCCAATCAAGCTGTGGGGAAGAAGGCCTTGACGAAGACTGGCACTGTGAACGCCCTCAGAACGAAGCTCGCCGAGTTCTATGGCCTCGACCTTGCAGCTGCCCCTGAGAAACCTGCAGGACCCATCACCCGTGGACACGACGTTCAGAAGCGGCAGTTTGCCTATCTGCGCGAGCTCTGGAACGAGTGGATCTCAAGGCCACACCATTCCTGCTCTGCTCGACGTCTGCTGGTGAGTTTTTTGTGTTCCTTGCTCTGACAACTGACATATCTACATATCTAAATACACCAGAGTCACTCGATGTGCGGCTCCTCGAACTTGCAATCACCTCTGTCCCCACCCAGCTCAGCTTCGCACTGCCAAATCCCCTTCCTGAATCTCCTCTGCTGCCTGCTGTCACGAACGACAGTGTGTATGCACTGTCGCACCTTGCGCGATCAGGGGACCATGATGCCTTCATCATGCTGCTTCGATTTCGTGCTGTTGTGCAAGCACGTGCAGGTTCCATCATCCACCTTGTAAGTCGTTTGTGTTTCATTCGTCATCTCTGACTTTTTGATGGTTCGGTGTTGCAGGGAATCTCCCCATCTCTCTCGAGCCTGCCACCCCATCAAGCAGCCTCGTGCATGTTGACAGAGGCTTCTCCTGCTGCATTGCCCATGTCACCTGTCACCACAAGCACTCCACCAACTATAGCTGCACCTGCTCAGTCCGACGAAGCAGTGCTGTTGGCAGCCTGCAAAGCTGACATTGCAGTGCTCAATCGTGCAACTTCGCTGTGTGATGTCATTGCACAGGTTGAAGCTGGAGATGTTGCTCGCATTCGGCAGCTCTATGGGCCATGCACAGGACGTGCAGCAATCTCACTCTGGCAGTCCATCAAGTGTACTGTCTGTCGTCGAGAGCGGCTGTACTTGCAGCTTCAGGATGAGTTCTGTGGTGACAAGGATCACTTCTTTGGGTTTTTTAGCATCCAAACAACACCAGAGGTAAATGGCAAGTCCCTGAAGCGCAAGGCTAAGCGCAATGCGCCTGTTGAACACCTGCAGCCCTTGCGGAAAGTTGATGAAGCCATCAGTCGGAGGGATAAGAACCTTGCTGAGCTTATGGTGAGTGATGAGTACAATGATGAGGGTAGGTTCTGTAGTGAAAAGTGGGAAGCAAAGTGGTTGGGCAGGAATCGGTGGGAGATATGGAGGGCAATTGGAAAGGAGAGATACTGAGGTCATTGAATTATTTACACATAGTACACTACAATTGCATTTATTGCCTACCCCACTAGCAGACCCATTGATCCTTGGTGTACCCGCTTTCCATCATTGCGGTCAAAATCAATCATGTGTTCATGATTGTCATTGGGGGAGTAGAAATATCTGAACATGGTGACTGCTTCAACCTGTGACCAGCCACCCCATGCAGCAACCATGCCAGGGGACCAGCCTTGATCTCGAAGGCGGTGTTGACACCCCCCTCGGCGGAATGAGTGTGTCCCATACAATGCCCAGGACTTATATCCAAGGCCCTGTAGGTCTCTTGCAAGTGCTCGGCTAATGGTAGTGGAAGACTAGCAAGAGAGTTCAGCAGCCTATCATTTGGCAAGGGGAAGGGGAAGGAGCTCACCAGTGGTTGAGTGGTCACTGCACCATTCTTGTTGATCACCAGAAACAAGGGTCCAGTGCAGTCATGGTTTTCTCCATACAGAGCTGCAAGTCTGATTAAGGCCCGCTTGGGGCATATCTTTGGGTCTTGGTCATTTGCACAGAGACGCATCCGCTGAGAGACACCAGTCTGTGCATTCTTACGTGTGCCAAGGTCAACATCAAAGTATGCTCCTGAGGGAGGTTGTTAGTGTCCCTCACTCATTTTATGAAAAAAAATCATACTTTCATCAGGGAGAGCATCAATGCTCTCAAATGTCAGGCTCAATGCTTCCTCAACTCGAAGCACAAGGAGCCATGCAAAGAGAAAGACCGTCTAGCTAGTGTGTTAGTGGAAGAAACCCAACAAGAACACCAGACATACATATCGGACAATCCCACGTCATCGATCAGCATCATTCAGACCATGGCACATCATGCAATAGTCATGGAGGCGGTACACATCATCCAGCAAAAGGGCCCGTGCTGACTGGGAGACCTCACCCTGCCTTGCCTTGGTCTTTTCAAGACCAATCATGAACTCAGACACAGCACGAGATCTTGTTGGAAGGCCAGAACTGACCAGGAAGTCAGACAGTGGACAGCAAGAACAGGGAGATCCTCACCACTGCCCTGTCTCATGGACTCGCCACTCCACCACACTCTCTGATGGTCGGACAGAGCGATACCACAGTGTAAGGGCTGCTTGAGTTGAAATTGCAGTGGAGAACTGCAACAAATATGTAGATGAGCTCACCACCAGCCAAGGAGACAGAGACAAGGGCCACTGACCTTGCGTCCTTCATAGCCATCAGCCTTTGGTCCACACTTTTGAGTGATGAACATTCGCACATCATATGGTGTGTTCCTTGTCACCACTTTGGGATCCCAGTTTGGTGTCCGTTTCATATGAAATGTAATATATGCCTTGATGATCCTAGCCTAACAGTCAGCATCACTCGAAGCAAAGCACATATTAGTATGTCACACAATACCTAACATGCTTTGTGCGGGTTTGATCAGTGATGCTGTTCCGTGCAATGTTAGAAGCATATTGGGCTATCTCGGACTGATCATCATCTGGAAAATCATCGAGGCACTCGTTCAAAAGAATGTCGAGCTTGGCTTCAACTTCGGAAGCTTCCTCCAGCTCGAGGTTGAGCATCTCATCTGAAACCTATGTTTGAATCAGCTCAGAACTGTACCAGCATGCTCGCAATGTGAGGAAAGACCTGTTGTTCATTGACATTTTGCAGTGGTGGTACAGGCTGCATGGTGGTCTCAGACATGGTGGTAGGAAGCAGCAGATCGATCACACGAAAGACAGAAACAAATACATTACATAAGCGACCTCTGAAATAAAATAGATACAGCAAGTAACAACTGCAAAGAATATAGCCTATGGAAAGAATGGGCTCTCGAGAGGGAGACGGACGACCAGATGGGAAGAATGGAGACGGACGAACGACCAGATGGGAAGAATGGGCTCTCGAGAGGGAGATGGATGACCAGATGGGAAGAATGGGCTCTCGAGAGGGAGACGGACGACCAGATGGGAAGAATGGGCTCTCGAGAGGGTAGAGAGGGAGACGGACATCCAGATGGGAAGAATGGGCTCTCGAGAGGGAGATGGATGACCAGATGGGAAGAATGGGCTCTCGAGAGGGTAGAGAGGGAGACGGACATCCAGATGGGAAGAATGGGCTCTCGAGAGGGAGACGGACGACCAGATGGGAAGAATGGGCTCTCGAGAGGGTAGAGAGGGAGACGGACATCCAGATGGGAAGAATGGGCTCTCGAGAGGGAGATGGACGACCAGATGGGAAGAATGGGCTCTCGAGAGGGTAGAGAGGGAGACGGACATCCAGATGGGAAGAATGGGCTCTCGAGAGGGAGACGGACGACCAGATGGGAAGAATGGGCTCTTGAGAGGGAGACGGACGAGACCGGATGGGAAGAATGGGCTCTCGAGAGGGTAGAGAGGGAGACGGACGTCCAGATGGGAAGAATGGACTCTCGAGAGGGCAAATGGAAGAATGGAGGGTGATATGCTATAGAGAAGGATTGATCAGCAAGACCACAGATAGAATTGGAAGGATATCGAACCTCTTGAGGAACGAAACACAGTGTGTGACTCGTTGACAACCTTCACAGCTCCCAGGCTTGCTTGGGACAGGGCGGACGAAGCAGGAAGTTGGCAGAGGGCAGGAAACAACAGGCGGAGCGTCGTTTTCCAGTAAGGAGCTGTTGTAAGCTTACGAAACACTTATTTTAAAACAATGAGGAAAGACGTACCATCATAAGCGAGAGCTGCGTGTCCCATGAATGCAAAAAAATCGACTTTTGCCTGGGACACGCAGCAAAGGGAGGCTCCAGCCAAAAAATGCGTGTCCCATGAAGCAACAAATTGCTCAACTTAGCATGGGACACGCGGAATGCGCCGAGACGGACCTGCAAGCCCATGACAACGTAAGTTTTGACGAAAATAGTGTGGACAGACTTACGAAGCTTCAATAAACAGTGGCAGGATGTCCTTCTTGCAGCAACTAGAAGGGAGAGCCCAGCAAACGGCATCGGAAAGTAACTGCTGTTGATATACGTCAGCGCACACATTCGAATGACACCGAACACGCACCTCTCCGCCCTTCATTCCCAGTGAAAACCGGTCAGTGCGGGAACGTGCAAGAGCGTGCCACATCGTGCACCGCCAGCTGAAACCGCCCTTGCACGATCTCGACAAGAAATCCGGACGAATACACGATGCAGAAGGAGTCCATATCGTGCGTCGTCGTGCGAGAGTCGTTCAAGTTGTTTCTACACGATGTGGCACTCCCTTGCATTCCTTATGAGCGGTTTATATCATGCGAGAACGGTTCATATCATATTGCTTCAAGTTGCTATCATTACTATTAATAGTACGAAATACAAATACGATTGGACAGCGAAAACTTGGTCGAGCTCCTCCAGGGTCTTGCCTTTCGTCTCGCGCACGAATAACAAGATGAGCACCCAGAGAATACAGCACCATGCTGCGTACCAGCCGAAGGCATCTTGTTGTTTGAAGGCCAAGACGAGCTAAGGCCAAGTGATTGACAGAATGAATTTCCAGAACCAAGTGGTCGCAGTAGCAAAGGACATGCTGATATCACGGATACAGAGAGGGAATGCCTCTGTGGAGTACGTCAACAGCACTGGACCTTCGCCTGGGGAATAGAAGATCGCAAAGAGGTCTGAAAGAGCATATATCAATGGCAGTATCAAGTACCAAAAGGATGACGTCAATAACTCACCTGTATTGTTGCCTGACCCGTAGGAGTACTAGAAAGATAGCAGCAATTGCGCATATATGCACCCAGTCCTATAGTATTCAATGATATATTGGCTTGAATATTGTTGACAGAACTTACTAAGGCAAACGCTCCGAGTCAGGGTGCTGCTATTGAGGAAACTTGAGTTTTAGGACCAGGGCTCGAGTGGATTACTAGCTGCCTGCGGTATTAACGTTAACGGTTGTACGGGGAAACATGACGGTAAGGGAACAAGAGAGGTGTTGATGACATCATGAAGACGGACTTTAGATTTGAAAAGCTTTACATGTTGCAGTGACATGCATATACAAGCAGCAGATAGCAAATGCAAACATTGCGGAACTCATGCAGATGCAAAATAAGTGCGAGGAAAGCAGAATTCACGCAAAGTTTGTGCAAAGTTCATGCGTTTGCATGCGCTGCGCTCACAAGAAAATACTCATCATTTGCTATCAACCAGATCTACATGATCTGGCACTTTGTGTAATGTTCTCGCACGCTCTCACACGCTCCCGCACTGTCCGGTTTTCACTGGGCTTCATTCGTCGTTAGCGGTTGCTTGGAGGCCCGGCATTTTTCGGGGTACTTGTTTGGTTGTGGCTGCGCAGAACTCACGTGACTTACCTCTGCGTGTCCCAGAGCGATGTAAAGGTTGCTTTCCATACAAATCAGTCCGCGGTCACCGGTCATGTCCCAAATAAGTACTATGTAGTAGCTGTCGGAGACTCGGACTCGGACTCCGACTGGCTGCTGGCACGACCGAGCGCCGTTATGATTATTGTACCTTTCAGAAAATCTAAAGCGTCAACTTCATTGAAAATAAATCTTAAACGCCTGTACCTTTCACGAGTTATCCACGTTATCAACCTATGCCTGTCAATTTTGGCCTGACCTAAATATTAACCGGCGAGTGACTAGGCGGGTTTTCACAGAACACTACTAGTGACATGCGTCACTATCAATCCAGCATTCCAGAACGTTAAAGACTTGAGCTGTGTGTTGCATCGTAGTTCAGTTGTTTGAACAGGGATGGAAGGCAACGGTGTGAGATACTCGCTGCATCTGTCATCGAAATTGGTGAAAGACTGACTGTATGCCTCCCGTTACAAGAAAGAAACAAGTCGATGCAACGAAACATGATCAAGATCTTGATGCTGATTGTGTGAGATGTGTAATGAGTAAAACACCAACGGCTTAGACGTCGAAACGTACACAGCAAATCCTATTGCAACATATCGTGCCTTGGACATGTTCGTGTCAGTACAACCTGCTAACCATGCTCGAAATACAAGTTACATACAGTGAGATACAGAACCGTCATCATAGACCACCGTTGCCTCTGCCGCGAGTTAATTGTCGCGTTTCTACATGGTTCTTTGAATGTGGGGGTCTGCTCACCCAGACAGGTTCCACCTGTAAAACCGTTGTCAGCGACATGGTTGGTCCTGTCATGGTGTCGCCCTACCTCTTGTCCGAACTTAAGTCCTAAAAATCCCATAATGTCAGTGGTCTTTTCATACTTTTTTTTTTTTTGATTCCAATTTATGTCCTTTGCAGAGTATTACTCTATGTAGGACAGTACAGTCTAGTCTAAGGCTTTTCATACTTAATCTTGCTCACCCCAATCATACAGCACCGCAGCACAGGCGGCAACTGCGAAACCACAGCCAGGGTCATTCGAATTATCACGGACATCATGCGGCTGGCTTCGAACAAACCTTAAAAATAGGTGGAAATAATATTCGCATTGATGATTGGCCACAAACTGGGATCGTTCGAGACTAGAGTCATAGTATTGGAGGATTGAAGTGAGCTAGCGGGGGAACTTGGTATAATCGCATTCGTGCTTGTTATACCACCATCTAGCGCTTGCACCGCTGAAGTGAGGTTAGATCAAAGTAGCAGTTGTTGATGAAATCATGTAACGCAGTGACTTGCGTGAAATATTTGAACGCCGCAAAGGATCTAACTGCTCGTGATTTTGGCAACATGCCAGTGCGATGCAATCTTCGGGCTGTTCTTGACGGGCGTATGATATTCAGCCTCAGCTCATCGACGACACCATGTACTATGTAGCTCATTGATCTAACACAGGTTTTGACAACGCTCGCGTTGACCTTGAGTGGTCCGGTCAGCAATGCTTCTTCCTTGAAATTCACTCTACTTACTTGATGCTGATGCTCAATCACGACACAAGCAAAAATCAACGACCTTTCTAATTCATGTAGACACTTATAGAATGCAACCACAAGTATACACATGTGTTGTATCCAGTTTCCTGTAGAATATAATCAACGTGAGGCGGTTGTGCAAAGAAAGTTGGAGGAAAATGAATAGTAGGTAGAGAAGGGAAGACGTACCGAGCAATGCTCTCCTTATAATCAGCCTTTGCAAACTGCTGTGAGATTAATGCTAGATTGTTTCACTCCTCTGTTGCTCTTACATGATCTACCGTGGTGATGGAATGGGGCCAATCATTTGGAAATTGGAATACCCCGGGCCCGACTGCTCTTCCTTTCGAACTCCGACTGTGGGTCGGGCAGAACTATTAGTTTCAAGTTGGAGTCGTCTTGAGAGACACTTGAAGTCAAAGCGGATAGTTGAGGGACCTCATGGCTACACCGTGTCTTTTTAAGCTAGGTGGCCAGCCTATCTATCATTCCGAAATCCGCATGTTGTAAGTTTGTGCTTACATAAGCGACGTGCTAAGTGGCAGTTCGTGGTCGACGTCCAACATTGGTAACTTGCGTTCAATTGCAACAAATGGCTTCAGATAGCGGCGAAGAGAAGACAGCAGAAGAAGGCACGATGACGATGGACGAAAGAAAAGCAAAAATGGAGCAGTTGAGAGCGAAGATGGTACGTGGTCCTCTGCATCATACTTCTCATCCCTCACCCACTCTTCCACAGCGTTCAACGACGAAAGCGAATCGCGCCTCTCTCATTGAAGAGTCTGCCAAAGCCAAGATGACAGCGAGGGAGACTGCACGGCTAGAGCGACAGCGGAAACTTGCGGAGGTGTTGCGCATGCAGACTGAAGCTGAGGATCGGGGAGAGGATGTGGAACGGCAGAAGAACTGGGAATGGACGATAGAAGAGAATGATAATTGGGAAAAGAAGAAGGCGAGGAAGGCACGGAGAGCGGATTATGAGTTTCACGGTAGGGTTTCATGTTATTCATCGTATGGCGACACTCATCATTCCTGTGTAGATGATGTTCACGCTGCTCGACGGCGCTACAAGAAAGACCTCGACCTCATTAAGCCTGACCTCACTACATACAACCGACAGAAAGAAGCTGTATTGGGATTGGCACCAGGGTCTCTTTCAAAGTCTGGGAGCAGCACGCCATCGTCGTCTGCTCTCACAACCTTTGATCCCTCAGGCGGGCAGGTGAGTGCTGTCGAACCTTCCATTGTATTGTATTTCTTATAATGTACATTTCTCAGGTGGTTCCATCATCTGAACAACGGATGGCTGCAGAGAGTTTCTACCGAGATGCCAATACTCTTCTGTACGCTGACAACAAGCCTACTGAAGACGCCATCGATAGAGTGGTCAGCAAGATCAACAAAGAGTACGTTGTCATCCATTTGGCTCTCCCGTAGCACTGACATTACGCCATAGTATTGACAAGAAGGGCAAATTTTCGCGAAAGAGACTTAATGAGGATGAAGGCGACATTACCTACATTAATGAGCGGAATCGCGTGTTCAACAAAAAGGTATGTCATTGCACATCGTGTTCTTGGAATGAGCTCACGAAGAGTAACAGATTGCGCGGTACTACGACAAGTATACTTCCGAGATTCGGGCTAGTTTCGAACGAGGAACAGCGCTATGATGGCATGACCATGGACCACCGGGATGTTATACTTATTCGACCCCCTCGCTGCGCATGTATTCAGACCATATGCATTTACTCGCATCTTGTAACATTAAGATTTATACTATTGATGCGCTGCACGATACGACTCGGTGCGTGAAGTAAACGGAATCCAAGCAATAGATTCAGAGTGACAAGCCACGACAACATATTGATACATGTAAGACTACGAGCATAAGCAGACCGGAGGACGAAATGTACGGTTGACGCCTGAAACAACGAACATTAGTACTTGATCAAATGACGGTCTTGGAATGCCTGATAGGTGTCAGAATTGCAGAAGTAAGGTAGTCAGCAGCTAGACACAGAGGTCCATAAGACTGTTGAGCTTGAATGTGATATATGTTCATCAAAAGGAGCAAGCAGAATCGAACGAGGAATACGATGGATGGGATGACTTACTTGAAAGCTGGGGGCTAGCGGCGGGACTCGATTGAACACTTGACGAAGCAGTAAGGCGATTGCTTGAGCTCTGCTGAAAAATTTAAACCATCATTTTGAAACTCCGCGGTCCGCTTATCGCTTATCAATCATATCATCCACTGTGTAGCACGTCCGCGTCAATCTGGAAACTGTATCAAACATACTCAATGAGCTCGATATATACTCGCATTGACCAAGTCTACAAATTTCCATTCGACAAGATTGCGCTCCTTGTGGCATGGGAATTTGATCACTATGTGGAAACGAAGTCGTGTCCTTTGAAACTCTCTTCATAAATGTTTCCATCCAACCTGCCTATATCCTGTCCATGTGCATGATCTCTTCTGATTTGCCAGATGTCGAGACCGATTCTGTGGTGGGGTTTTCAGGGACGCCGTCACCGGGAGAATAGCTTCAATTCTCCCGCCGACAACGTCAGTACAACTTCTCACCGCATCAATGCGTGGTCCCACTGAGGCGTCGCCTGTGATACACTTGATGCACAATGTACGTAGTGCGTCGTCACACTTCTCGTTGGGATATCCAGTTTACTTTTTTTTGCAGGCTTGTGAGTTGACAGCGACACACGCTGTCACACAGAATCTCCCAGGATGGCAAAAGGTTCGGGAGTTTACTACTTGCGACAGCCTCCCTCAGTTTACGTCTATCGCACATTTTTGGATGTTGTAGATAAACGAGATCATAGTCACAACAAGTATCCCTATGCACAAACCAGCTGCGACATATGGGCAGACGCAATGACCTATTACCGTTTGGCAGCCACTGGTATGTGCATACGGTGGTGTCCACCGGTATCCAGCTTCGTCTCGCTCGAGAGTTGCTGACATGATCTATTGAGTTAGACCGAGGATTAAGTTGGGGTGGGACACGGGCAGGGTGGTGGTATAACAAAACTGTCTGTGGAGTGCGGGGCGCGACGAAGTCGACATGGGGGTAGAATGAAAAACGGATGAAGGAAGCGAGTAGTGGCATCGCTCAGCTGGACACATGGTGCCATTATCCCGGTACATGGCAGAACACCCTCAGTATCATTGTGGTCTGAGTATGGAAGGAGCTGTAACGCAAATAGCTCCTAAAGGCCTAACCGTTATAACCAACCAAAGTTATTACTCTTTTAACGGTTAGTAGTGGCATGCACCGCCCCTACTAGTACTCTACCTATTTTAACTTGCAGATATCGTACCAATGGGAGTGCGATGCCTGCCACCATTCGGCTGTTAAGCCGTGACGAAATCTGTGTATACTACCAGCAGTGTGGCCTGCATGATGCATTGTCATCGCCTCGTCCTCTCGTAAATTACTTACGGGGACTCGGACCCTGAACTTTTCCTACCGCGTCAGTCAACCTTGGCGTAGCTGCTCGCGACGATCGGCCCTCTCTCGGTAATGAAATCTTACACGGTAACGCTCAGATCAAGGTTACAACCAACCAACTTAGTTAAGTTCTAACTCTTTTAACGGTCACCTGCAGCTGGCATGCTACACTACATACCTGACATTTGATTTTGCGCCACTGGGAAAGTAAACGAGAGTGTATGATGCCTTATTCCGCCACCATTCGGTTATCCGTCATGACTCACGACAATTAGCTATGGCTTGGCAAAAAAAATCATTGTGGACGGCCGTCCTCTCGTAAATCGCTTCCTTTCCTGATTTGGCCACCAACTCAACTTGAAGTCGACTCCGGCGTCTGGACCTTGGCTCATCCGATCGGCGATTTTCACGCAAAATCTATTTCTTGCAACCACATTAATGTCAATAAATTTGTCTCAAGTCGCACAGAGTGCTCGGAGGCCAATTATGTAAAGCACTTACGTACCAGGGAGGTTCTGAGAAATAGAACTTTCGAATAACGAGGGCCCTAGTCAGCTGGCTTTCCATATGTCATGATACTATAACCAATCGGTGACTCTGACACCCAAAATGGCCATTGACAATCAGGGTCACCGCCTCTTATTCAGGTATTAAAAAGACTCAATGACTTAGTAGACGCGTACTGACTACCTTGGTCCTTTCTTAGCAGAGCCCTTCACACATCACAAGTTGAGCATTCAAATCATGGTTGCTTCACGTTCAAATCCTGTCAATCCTCCTCTTGATGGATCTCTGTTCCTCCCTGAATTGCTGGAATTCAATGCGCAACATAACTCGGACCTCACATTCTTTGTCTACAACAAACCTGACAACAACGATCTGGTCTATATCTCACATCGAGACTTTTATCGAGCTTGTCATCGTGCTGCACATCAAGTTAGACCCGATCGTGCGGGCATAGACAAAGAGGTCGTTGGCATCATTGCCAATTCAGACACCCTCCTTTATCAGACTGTGTTCATGGGTATCATCTTCGCTGGGCTGATCGTATGTGAACATTTTTTTTGCTCGGACATCATATCTCTGAACACTACTTTTTAAGCCGTTCCCCATATCACCTCGTAATTCAGCGGCGGCAATCTTAAACTTGATGCAGAAAACAAAGTGTCGTCGTTTAGTCACCACTCACCACTCTCTTGGTTTCCTGATCGATGGAATTAAGGCGGGTAGCGTATCTCAAGGCACTGATGCGAGCCAACTGCAGCTTGACATGATGCCGACGTTGAAATATTTATATCCCATGCTTGGCACAGGTTCTTCAGACGAGATTTTTCTCCCATACCCTCCCCAAGCTTCTCGGTCATCTCCGGACGATATATTATACTACCTACATTCCTCTGGCAGCACTGGTTTCCCGAAAGCCATTCCAGCAACCCACCAAACCATCATCGGGTGGTGCCGAAGCTGTGAGCTACTGACACAATCTACAAAGCAAAGTGCTAACTGGTGTGCTATTAGCATGCGTTATCAACCATATCAACATTCTCACTCCTCTCCGCATTGCTGCTGCATCCGTTCCACCGTTCCATACCACAGGTTTACTGATCCAACTACTGGTACCCATTGTATCTTTGAACAGCATATCTATTTACCCGCCCACATCCTTGCACGACCCATTGGCGGCCCCAATAACACCCAATTCCCAAAATATCCTGGAATGTGTGCTTAATACGAAATCGAACGCTTTGTGGGCCATGCCTTTCTTCCTGGAACAATGGGTGTTTTCTCCCGATGCTGTTGATATTCTGAAGAATCTCGAATATGTCGTATGTCACAAGTTTATTTTTGCAAGGAACGACTTATACCAGTCTTGTTGTAGCTTTATACTGGCGGTCCACTCGCTTCTAACATGGGGAATGCCCTGGTGGATGCAGGAATCAATATATTCCCTCACTACGGCTCTACAGAAATTGGGCCTGTCACTCCTTTATTCCGGTATGGGGTCGAGAACAAGCTTTGGGACTGGCTGCAATTTACTCCAAACGTCAAGACCAGATGGGTTGATCAGGGCGATAGAACATATGAATGCCAAATTTTGGTGCGTCTCACTTTTTATACACCCTCTCAATGTGAACTTTTCTTCGCAGACAACTCCGCTGTACGGAGTGTCAGTAGAGAATCTCCCGGACGTCAAGGGTTATACTACTTCGGATTTATTTATCAAGCATCCGACCATTGAGGGTCTGTGGAAGATGTGCGACCGACAATTGTGTCATTCATATTCTGAAACTGTCTGACATTATTCTTGCAGAACAGGAAGAAAGGATGATGTATTGATGCTCTCGTCTGGGGAGAAAGTAATACCAGCTCCTATGGAATGCATCATCGGGACCAATCCTCATGTCAATGGCGTCGTGATCTTCGGCCGTGGACGTAGCCAAGTTGGTGCCCTCATAGAGCCGCGGCCGGGACATGAAATCGACGTCAAAGACGAGGCACAGGTTTCGTCTTTCGGGAATCAAGTCTGGTAAGATCCTTGCAAGCGTGCATGCGGCTTTCATGACTCAAATGCTCTTGAAGGCCTGAGATAGAAGAAACGAATAAGGCAGGCCCTGCCTTCAGCAGAATCTTCAAGGAAATGGTTCTTGTGACGTGCAGGGAGAAGCCTTTGCCTCGAACTGGAAAAGGGACCATCACCAAGAAAGCCGCCAGCCAACTATACGAAGAGGAGATCAATGCCCTGTGAGAATGTGCTTTCATCAGTGTCCGAAAATGATATTAATGAGCGTCAGATACGACAAGGTGGAGAGTGGCAGAACATGCATCGATATACCTTTGCCTACGAACTGGACTGTGGGGGACGTTGAGAGTTGGCTCATGCTGCATGCCGTCTCTGTGAGCGCTGGCAAGGAGGTCGATCCTGATACAGACTTCTTTGCCCAGGGCTTTGACAGGTGAGCCGATGGTCGATCGAGACCTATGCTTTGCCGACCTCCTACCTCCAGTCTCTCTGCTACATTCCTCAGAAGCCGAATCGTCAGTTCCCTCAGGTCGTCAATAGATCGCGACGTCCAGGCTTCAGCACCGAAATTTGACCAGAACATCGTCTTTTTAAGTCCTTCGATTCGCCAGCTCGCGAGAAGTGTTGTTCACGTAGTATTGCATGGGATCAATCCAACCTCGGTCGATGTCAAGGTTGAGATCGAGAGCATGATTGAGAAGTATTCAGTGGGATTCAGTGGGGGCTCCGTCGGAGATGCCTCCGCCGCCCCTCTTACTAATGGACGCAGTCGAAATAATCATGTGGTCATCCTGACTGGATCAACGGGCGGTCTTGGTTCATACATGCTTGCATCTTTGCTTCAGCGCGAGGATGTATCAGTGGTATATGCCTTCAATCGTCCGTCGAGGTGCGATGCATCCATTCAAGAACGACAGAAGAATGGATTCGTCGACCGCGGTTTGGATGTCACCCTCTTGCAATCAGAGAAACTGTTGTACATAGAAACGGATACTTCTAGTGATGACCTGGGTTTGGAGAAGGAGTTGTATCAGAAGGTTTGTTTCATTTCCGGTCTCCTCTGCAGACTAGTGCACTAATAAAACACAATGTAGATCCGCACGTCCGTCACTGTCATCATTCACAACGCCTGGCAACTCAACTTTAACCTGGCGCTCTCGTCCTTCGAGCCTCATGTTCGGGGAACACGCAATCTTATAAACCTGGCTTTGTCCTCCCCGTGCCATCCGAAGCCGCGTGTATTATTCACCTCTTCTATCTCAACTGCGCAAAGCTGGGATAAATCGAAAGGACCTTTCCCAGAAGAAGTACAGTACGACGCGGGCATTGCAGAAGGCCTTGGCTACGGTGCGAGCAAATACGTTTGTGAAAGGGTAAGTCATACGCTACTTTAGGGGAGTATGCCAATCTGATGAACACTGCCCTAAACAAGGTCCTCGTGAACAGCAAGTTGCCGGCATGCTCATTCAGAATCGGACAAATAGCGGGAGGACCTCCACGAGGAGCTTGGTCGACCACGGACTGGCTGCCGATCATCGTCAAGTCGAGTGTGAGCTTGGGTGTATTCCCGGAAGCCCAAGGGGTAGGTGTGATTCAACGTGCGGTATTCATCAATGACACGGACGGTTTAGCTCCTATCGTGGATCCCTACTCATGCCGTATCAAACGCTATTCTTGATGTAGCTTTCGCAAAAGAAGAGCCTCCCGTGGCGGTTAATCTGGTGCATCCGAGACCGGTAGCGTGGGGGACGCTGATGCGACCTGTTGCGGACGCCATATTTGAGCGCAAGATAACAAGCGCCCCGCTACCTCTTATCCCATTCTCGGAGTGGTTCGAAAAGGTCGAATCGAGTGCCAAGAATGCAAGCGAGGCAAACATCAAACGCGTCGTAAGTGTGTTTCATTTCCTGGCTGAATATTATCTCACTTGGTCTTCTATCCTAGCCTGCTATCAAGCTTCTCAACTTTATGCGTTCGATGTCTCGATCAGATATCGCGACCAGAGCGTCTGGGGAGATGCACTTAGAAGTAGGTGGACTTGCCTCGTTTGCAACTGCTGTGGCCCAGCGCGTTAGTCCAACGGTGAAAGAGTTGGAGCCTCTGTCGTCGGCGACTGCAACGCAATGGGTGGACTATTGGGAGGCAGTGGGAATGTTTCGATGAATAATTACTTAACGTTGGGATTTTGGTGGATTTATCATGTACTAATACCTGTGGAGACTCGACAGCGTCGTTTGAATGTTGCTCTTCCGCTCAGTTAATCATCCTACCCTAAAGACCGACATAGGCTAGTATCAATACACATGTAGTCAATTACCCCGATGGCATATCAACAAGCAAAAAGGATATTTTGAAGCCAAAAAACAAGCTACCTGATCCACGCCTCTAAGACAACATCACGCTCCTTCAACTCTTCTGATCATCCTCCTATCCCGCTCTCCAACCACAGTCAGCACTCCCTCATTCTCCATCGCTTTGATAACTTCAGAAAACTCAGCAGCATCAACACGGATACTACTCTGGTCTGCAAGGCGTTTCATCGCCTCGCCCCATTTCAAGCCATTGCCCTTTCCAGCGCCACCATCAAGCATCGTTAGCAACTCTCTGCGCATGTCATCCCGCATCTTGCGTTGTCCAACACCAGTACCGGTGTTCAGCAAACCCATATCGATCTTGCCAGTCCGGGGATCCATAGCACTCGTGCGGATGGCTTCTCGCATGAGACGACATGCCTCTTGTACATCCTGCAACTCGACGTGCGCAGCAAAGCGCATACGGGCGTGAGCCTCGGAAAGGCGGATCATACTTTCGAGCTGGCGGGTTGTAGCCGTGATGCGCTTTTCAGACGAGCGGGGGTCTGAGGCGCCGATGGAGCGCAAGGAGACGTAAGAAGCGACGAGCTCGTCGCCTGCTTCAGAACTCAGGACGGGGTGAATGTTCGTGCGTGCATAGTCGATGTACGCGGAGAGCTCGTCAAGGGGCTAAAACGAGGTGAGCTCAGTACGTGAAAGGAGTGATGCAAGACACACTAAAACATCGTAGCCACCAGTGTCGGGTGCGTCTTCGAGGTACAGCCCAACTAGATGTTGGGCAAGCTTTCGGTCGAGGGTTTCGTCTACTTGATCGAGTACCAAATATAGCAGATCGAAACGGGAGATGAGCGTAGGAGGGAGGTCGATGTTGCGCGTGATAGGGAGGTCGACGTTGTACTTTGATTCGACAGGGTTCGCAGCCGCGAGAATAGACGTACGGGCGTTGAGGGTGGTAATGATGCCCGCTTTGGCTATTGACACAGTTTGTTGTTCCTGATGAGCATATTTCAATGATATTGAAAGGAATCTCTCTGGGTGTGCCTGACCATAACTTCATGAAGGACGCTACGGGTCGCATCGGACATCTTGTCAAACTCATCAATACAGCAGACGCCGCCGTCACTCAACACTAAGGCACCACTGCAGATCCGTGAGCAACAATATCCAAGATGACGGTAATATATTCCTTACCTCTCAAGGACAAGCTGCTTGGAATCAGGGTCCCGGGTCACATACGCGGTCAAACCCACTGCCGAAGAGCCTTTTCCAGATGCATAGACTCCACGAGGAGCGATTTTGTGGACGTACTAACAACGAGCTTAGCTAGCTTCACAAATGCAGAGAGACTGTCATACCTGTAGAATTTGTGATTTACTGGTACCGGGGTCACCGACCAAAAGCACGTTGATGTCCCCACGGTAGCGAGGTCCGCCTCCGCCACCACCTCTTGCAATGCTTTTGTTGGTACCACCAAAGAGCTGAAGGAGTATACCTTTCTTCACGTCGTCCATTTCCCATATCGACGGTGCGAGGGAACGAGCAAGGATATCATAGAGATCATGCCGCCTGCTGATGTCGATTAGTTTCGCCTCAAGTTCGGCTTTGCGTGTTAGCCCCCCTTGGGCAATTTGCTCTTCCAGTTCTTGATCATCGGCACTATCACCAACACCACCTATACCAGGGACCTTGTCGCCACCCGCAGGACGTGTACTGCGATCGAGGCCTAGAGTACCACCCGTACCAAGCCGGACATGAACGACATCGAGGTAGGTCTTGAATAAACTTTTCATTGTCCTTTGACGAGGGTTCACTCTGACAGGGACGCTGCGGTAGATGCCAGTGACGACAACCCTGTCGCCCGGTTTGCACACATCAACGAGCTCATCGTATACGCTTAGTGACACTGTGTGTGGCGTCTGGCCATCGGGTACTGCATCGGGAGTCTCCTGCAGCCTGATGACCTGCCTATCTGCAAATTCACAGCGATTGTGCACGAGAGACATCGTCCCAACGCTTCCACAGACATCCCTTGGACACCGAGCTGGCTCCTCGATCTTGCCACGGTCGATTTCGACTTGAACAGTATGAGCACATGTGAGGCAGCGGAAGAACGCGACCTTCATATCTGGAATCACAGGCGTAGCGCGAATGACCAAGCCTTTTATAGAAATGAGTTTATCGGTATCTAGAGCACGTTAGGATGATGAAAGAAAGTTTGAACGTTTGAACGTCATACCAGATGGGTTGAGTTCACGCATATTCACGGCTGTCAACCCGAACGGACGGACTTTGTAGACTTTACCCATGATGTCGGCGATCTCTTCGTCGCCTTGGTCGCCCTGCATCCCGTCCATGCCAGCTTGTTGATCTTCATCTGCAAGTTCGAGCATGAGGTCCTTGAGGATTTGATCCATTGCAGGTACTACTTCCTGCGGGTATTTCTGGAGTTGGGCAAAAAGTTTTTTACATGGCGGATAGGAAAGCAAGTTGATCATGTCGAGGTTGAGATTTGTTTCGCCAGTCTGGCGGATACGACGCATGTACGTCTCATATAGTACGACTTCGCCTTCGTCTGGGGTGGCAAATGCCCGAGTGCGAAGGTTCTCTTGGCGATCGTGAATGGCACGGTATTTGGGCTTGAAGCCGCGCAAAAAGTCGCGGAAGAGCTTCATCGTCTCTGCCAAGTTCACGGTAGTTCCCCAGATAGCGCGGATTTCGTCGGGTTCATCTGAGGGCGCAGCAGGTGCTGATAGATGCGGTACAGATGATGCTGGTATGGAAAGGTGCGTTCCATCTGAGTTGAGGTTATCACTGAGATCGTTGTTATATTCGCCACGCCTCGATCGCCGTGTGGTCGGTGTTAGAGAAAGGGAAGAGTGAATGTCTCCGCGACGGTTCTTGACAGGCGTAGCAAAAGCAGCGGCTGGACTCCTGACATATTATCAATAAATTGAAAAAGATCTCAACAAAAGCACCTCACGAAGGAAAGGCAAGAGGCTCAGAGTCTGGAAAGGCTGGATCAGAGTCGATCGCGACCCTCCTCCGAGGAGTCTTAGTGGGCGAAGAACTCGGGAATGCAAGAGGGGAGCTTCCGGCTAGCATAAAATATAAATGGCAGTTAGTTGTACATTTAGCAAGCACTCACGAGCAAAAAGTGGTGTTCGTGGTGCTCGCCGAGGAGTGCTCATCCCAAGCGCCCGTCTGGCGGCGATACCACTCAAAGGCGTGGTTGTTACGCTGTTGGCATATCTTTGTCGCGCAGGAGTGCCTGCAGCAGAAGGTGTTCCCGGTAGAAAAAGACGCTGGGGCGGAGGAGCTATGGATAGTGATTGATCGATGGTGCCATCCTGAGGCCCGTCCATTTCGATGTCGTCGATGTCCGACGTTGGAAAATCAACTCTTGGAGGAGATGACATTGTGAAAAGTGAGATCTAGTCGAGTCGTTTACTACGTTGAAGTAATTGGATGAATGTTTGCAAAGCTTGGACGCGTCGCGACGCGTCAATTGTGTTTTCTTCAGGGCAGGTCAAAGCCCGTCCACAACCAGACTTTACACAAGGTTGTTACAAGGCTTATGGCACTCCTTGAACTTCGATCATTTCAGTCCATATGGCAGTCGACACAGATTTAGAGGATGTCAATCAGGTGAGTCCCGCACAAATGTCTATCATGTCTGTTGATTTTGCTTTTCAGACCACAGTCTACATCCCATTCGATGATTCTGGTAGCATAAATATACTTTTTATCCGTAATATCCAGCTGAAATACATGGCTCAGACGATGCGAATACCAATGGAGTACCACCATCCCTGTTCCCCGAGCGAGATTTTCACCAAGGATGTCAACTTCGCTTTCAAACGTGTAAGGCAGCCTGGGGCAAATGTTTGAAGAGGATGCAGGTGTGTGTTTCACTTGTTCTTCATTTTGAGAGTCTCACATGAATAGGAACTCATTCACTCACTGCACGCGCCGGTCGTGGAGAGTGTTGTCGAGCAAGTTAAGAAGTCTTATACGGATGAGCTTCCGGGGCTACCGTACCCCGAGTTGCCTGTCATATCTGTCACATGTACGTTTTGCTTGTTTGAGTTGAGATACTGCCTCCCAATTTTTATTCTGACAGCATCCAGCACGTCATCTTCTCTCTTTGACGAGATTTCCTTCCGACTAGAGGAAAGCACAGACGAGCTTTTCGATGACTTAAATGATCATTTCGTGACACACGTCTTTCCAAGTGATTGCGCAACTATCACAGGAACTATGAAGACAATTGTGACAGGTTTTGTATCCCGATCTCCTACCGGAGGACAAGGTACTTGCGCACGACTCTTTGACCATCTAATTTATTAATACCCCAATACCTTCAGACATAAAGCGCAAACCATCTACCTCCCTGGCAGCATATGATATCGCTCTCCTTGAGGCATGGTATCGAGCCGTATGCGATGCGCGAGGTAAGGGGCTTGAATAATCCCTTTCCTGCTGTTTGCTGAGTGAAATCAAAAGACGATCGTCACCACAGGTCACGTCTGGTGGTTGTAATGCATGACTTCGAACAACTAGAGCCTCAGGTGGTTCAAGACATGTTTGAAATTTGCAGGTCAGACAGTTCTTGCTGATACTTGTCTTCTTAACCAAATATTACCTAGCTCACACATCCCATGCTTACCGCTGGTGTTTATCCTCGCGCTAGCTTCGCCCCCTTCCCCGTCTTATATTCGTGCTACATACCCTCACTCTATGCTGGCATTGCTGCGAGTGAGAGACTGCCCTTTCCCGCTAGCTGAAAAATCACTGCACGACATTTTATTGGAGGTTGATCAAAACTTGATGTCACCATGAAGACACTAACAGAATCTTTTTAAGACATTTTTTGATCCTGTGTTTGAGCCAGATATCATGATTGGCCCGACAACCATCGACTTTGTAGTCGAGTTTTTTACTCGTCACACTTCGTCACTTGACGGTCTATTATCCGTACTTCAAGTAAGTTATTCCTTCTTGTAATAGTCCATAACTAACGCAAGTAATAGTTGGCTCACATGAAACATTTTGAAGAGCCCCTCAGCGTTCTCGTTCCTGCTCAAGCGTTAGGACGGTCCAAGGATGCTTCAAGGCTGCTCCTTACGCCTGACGCTTTCCCCTTCCTCGATGCCCTTTTTGCTCGGGTGCACAGATCGGCGCTTATTGCGCCTGTAGAACATGCTACGAGTTGGCGAGATGCCACTGTCGATTTACTCCTATCTTCTGTGGAGACTGCACGCGATACTTTCCGAATGCGCGCCAAGCTGCTCCGTGTAGCATTTCGGCTTGTGCTCCTTGTCCGCCGATTTATGCTGGTGCATGGGCATAAGATCGTTCAGAGCGACCAAGCGATGCCTGATTTGATGTGTCTGGCGTTGCGAGGCCGTCTGGGCAGTGTATACGGTCATCTGTGTTCTATAGTCAGGTGTGTGAATTTCGATTGCACTCCCGACGGGGGCAGCTAGCTGTTGCTGATCTCTGTAGGAATCTTCCCGCAGCGCAACTTGAGGACTTTGTGCAAGAAGTACATAATTTCTTCGAGAATGTTCCTGAGGACGTAAAAGCGGAGGAAGGCGAAGTCATTTCGCGCGTAGAAACAGCATATAAGATGTTCTGTCGGGAAGAAAACGCCCGGGACATATCCAATCCGCTCGGAAACTGGTTGTCAGAGTATTTCAAGTATGCAACCGCAGTTATCATTGCAGTTGATTGATCTGAAGTTCATAATCCTCAGGTTACGCATAGTTGCACTGGAAGATGCTCCGTTATGGGACATCTGGTACACCGGCTCGACGCCATTTCCGTCCGAGGTACCCCTTGCTTGTTATTAAATGGATGCAAGCTAATTCGCCCTCTTTTTTGTTTCAGTTAATCAATCCATCGCCTTGCGCATCCATCCTCGCGGGATTGATCCATCCCCAAGACTACGTGCCTGCCGAACAACGGAATGGAGATGACGAAGATGACGACCTGCCCGACATAAGTATTCTTTTCAAGGGCTACCTGGAAAGCGCAAAGATGATCAATGTCTATGACTGGTTTCAGTCATTCATGGTCTTCTTGGAAGGCCGGAAGCGGCGTGTTGAAAAGACCCATATTCCTGATGGTGCGAATGGAACCTCTAGGACGCCATCGAGGAAGAAGGGAAAACAAAAGCAGGTAGAGGATGAGGTCGTTGGTGAGGACGCGGGAGAAGATGAAGAGGAATGGCTCGTGGAGGTACAAGCACGGTTCATCCGCGCCCTTCAGGAGCTAGATTACCTCGGATTCATCAAGCATACTGGGAGAAAAGTAGACCATGTCATGCGGACTGTTTTCGACTCTCCGGAGTAATCGAACGGGTACTATTGTTTGCGTGTGAAAAATAGATGTCATGTCATTTCATGGGTGGGCCTTGTTTGTCACCGTCCGTCGTTTCAATCATCATACCAGTCAATCCCGCCTCGATGAAGGCCTTTCTACCGAACTTCGGAATAAAGAAAAAACCCCAATCAAACGTGGATTTGTACGTGGACGGTCTTCAACCTACGTCAAGTTTACTTACATAATCATTTCGTCCACACGAATGTCAGACAAGATTGACGAGACATATGTACATAATTCAGGCACAACGTTTTTGTTTGGCGCGCCCGCCGGCCTATTATCAGCCAGTATGGACTTTACCGTTTACGACCATCATCACCTCATTGCACGGCGCTAAACACGTCAACAAGACACGTCGAACCGACGTCGAACGTGACACTCATAGGGCTGCTCAGAGCTGACCCAAGGACTGTCAGCATCACCGAGAGCACGGATTCACAAACAAGATCTTAATCCGCTATGGATGAGACTTCGTGAGACTTGCATCGCATGTCGGCGTCACGACCGTCGCGTTAGATTGTGTGTCGGCGGTTTGCCATCACACAGGCTTAAATTTAAACACTAAGCACAATTCGTAAGTCATAGCTCAGCTAAAATTCTCCCGATGGCAAGTACATATAAGTTTATAACGCTCCGTGCGCTCACACTATGTGAGAGCGTGAGTGCCATTTTATCATTGAACCACTATGATTGGCTGATGCAGAGAGTGGCATGTGCAGAGTATTCGGGTTGCTCTAGCCAGGCACATGGGATAATCGGGACAGCAGACGGTTGCCTACGGTTGCTTGGATGTCTGTGAATTCTTTTTGCGCAAGTCATAAAAAGTTCGAACTCCGTTGGCTGTATTCCCGTCGTCGCCCTGCTGACTTCTCTCTTTAGTCTTCGTATCATTCTGCATAGACTTTTGCTTTTTACAAGCACTCCACACTCTCTTGAACAACACTCATTTTTTATAGTAAACAAACAATGTTTAGCAAGGCTGTCATTTCTTTCGCTCTTGCGGGCTCCGCGCTCGCCAACGTCTTCGTGCGTATTCGTTCTTAGATTTCTTATTGTCGAATTGAAATGATTCACCTGGCTGCGAAGATCACCTCCCCTGTTGCAAGTTCCACTTTTACTGCTGGTCAACAGGCGACTATCAACTGGCAAGACGATGGCCTATCTCCGAACCTCACTTCTTTCGGTGCTTCTCTCGTTGGTATCTACGCTGGTAACGCCAACCAACAGGTCAGTTATCAGTCTGAAGTAAACAAGACAACAGTCTTATTTTTGCCAGACATTACTCCAAACCATCAGCTCCAGCGTTGACGTGTCGACCACTTCGTCGATTGTTTTCACCCCCGATGGGACCATTGGACCAGACAGCAATGAATAGTAAGAGCCCTGCTCTGTCTTGTCCACGGCCAGGTCGATTCAACTTCTTTCTAGTTTTGTTCGCTTCACATCAATCAACCTGAAAGATGCTACGAACTCTCAATTCCCTGCGGAGGCCTTCTCTGCTAAATTCACGTGAGTAATTTTCATGTTTCGTCCAAGATAACTCACCACGGGCGCTACAGGATGACTGGCATGACCGGAACGTTCAACGCCACTGTACAAGCTGAGATCAACGGGCAATCAACAGCACCTATTGGCGCACCTGCAACTTCAACTGCAACTGGAACTTCTAGTGCTTCTGGATCTATGAAAACCATTTCCACGTCCTCCATTGCCTCCAATTCCGGCTCACAATCATCCACTTCAACTTCAGCCACTGCTACCAAGACTGGCGCCGCTGGCAAGGTTGGCATCACTGGTATTACATGCTTCGTTGGTGCTGCTGCATCTCTCCTTGGGGCAATGCTTTTGTGATTATCTCATTTTGATTTGACTTCCTTCGATCGATATTTTATAGCGGAATTTGGATATACCTGAACTCATTTACTCTGATGGGATGCTGCTCTTATAACAAGGTTCTGTGTCAATATAGCGTGGCAGTAGAAATATTGTTATAATGGGAACGGAACAACTGATTTCGATTGCTGATTACTCTGCGTGTAAGAGAACGACTAGTAAACACTGCATGGAGGTGCTGGGTCTGACTACCAACATTAAATCTACTCAAAGGGATTCGTAAAAAGTATCAGTCATGCTGCAAGAGGTTGGTGCTGGGCTAGCGCGAAGTGAACATACATGGCTGTCACTGCTTGTGGTGGCCCGACTGGATTCCAAGTGCCAACTGTGTTGCAATGAACCGTGCAGCGCAACTGAAAGGCCACCAGCCTCGCGGTGGCGTTTATGGCGGACAAAAAGTAGGCTTGTATACTTAATGACGTTGCACTTAGCCACCACGAGGAGCTCCCCTACCTCTGCCACGCCCTCTCCTCTGTGTCCCCCCTCTGCCAACATGCGAATCAGCAGTAGGAGGGCTTTGAGGAACATGATTAGGCTGAGGACGTTGCATAATCATAGGGTTCCCAGGAGCGTGTCCATCCCCGCGCTGCAGAATACTGGGAACAGCAGGGCTGAGAGAAGAGGATGCAAAGGTATCCTTAGGTTTATCCGGAACATCTTTTTGCACAGCCTCTCTCGCGGGAGCTGGTTGGGCATCTTTCTCGCGTTTCTTTCCTCCGCTGGGGCCGACTGCACCACTTAACGCGGCCTCGAAATGCCGTCCAAGACCAACGACTGGACGTCCCCTGCGACTGCTTGCAGGTGGTGCGGCCTCTGCACTGGCAGGAGTAGGCTGTGCCGCTGGTTTAGGAGGGAGAGACGCAGCGAGTACTTTAGGCGGTTGCTGACGACTCTGCGAGGAGCGGCGTTGTCGAGGAACAGCGGATGCTTGTGAAGGAGGTTTGGCTGGCAGATTAGCATGCCCTGAAGAGGCGCCTTTCGATGCAGCAGGAGTCGTTTGCGCGGTCTGGGCAGGAGGACCAGTCTGCTGTGCGGCCGCGGCCGCAGCAGCGGCTTTCTTCGCTTTGCGGCTGAGGGGTGGAGCAGGTTTGACTTCGGGCTGCTTCTGCGATGCTGCAGCAGGGACGGCAGCTTTCTTCTTGACCTCTTCTTTCCTGGCAGTAGATGCGATAGAAGTGTCCTTGTAGTGTGCATGGTTACGGAGGATAGCTTCTTTGTCCTTCTGAGCTGACTTCTCTGCCTTCAGTGCTTCAAGGAGAGGCGTAGTTTTTGGAGCGGCGGGTGGTTGAGATGCTGCAACTGATCATAAAACTAACATCAGAAATAATGTTACTATACATCACGCGATCCTCACTCATTGCTTCAAGGGACGCATGCTCGGATTTCTCAGCGTTGTTGAGCGCTTCGAGGAAAGAGATGTAATCTTCGTCTATCAATCATTTGAGCATGATGGGAATTTCACCGCTGATCCAACTGCACCTTTATCGATCGTTGCGTTTCTCGCATCGGTCTTTTTCTTCTCAGAGGGTATCTTCTGGAACGGAGCGAACTCCACTACTGCCTGAGACTCATTGCCTGCAGCAAAGATCACTTGACTGCAACTGCGCTATGCTCGATTATCACAAACCTGCCTTGTCCCTGAAGAGATGACCATCGTATTCACGACTGAATGTCGCGAGCACCTCCTCATTCTTGAATGCAATATACGCACGCGAAGAGACATTCTCCTGGTTTGCCCTGCCAACACATCGCCGCACTGAATCAGTCACTCACGCCGCAAGGATACAGTAATAGAACAGACCTCTTGCTCAACTTCCCGGCATGATACACTTTCCAAGTAACAGAGTCATCCGTGACCCATGTTTGAACGCTCTGCCAAAATATTCCTTCGGGGAGATTGGGGGGTAGACGGCGCACGACGGTTTTCAGGCGTTCAGTTGCATTTGCTGGAACCTGGGGCTTGGGATCTTTCTGCTTCTGCTTGGCTTGATTGCGCTTGGGTTCTGCAACGGACATCGAATTGCAACGGCGCTTGCATGCGAGGGGGTAATCTGTAGCTTGACAGCGGGTACAGGCTTATTGTGGTAATTTACTCTCACTCTACTTAAGTGCCGACTTTTCAACTCGAACGTCGACATGAAAGAATCCAAACTGCTGATCAGAGTCAGCCAGACTCCCTAGACAATGTACAGTTGCACATTCCTCGCCTTGCAATCCAACAACAGGGATAACGTAAATTTCGAGGAGACTGATCGACGTCAAGCCTCGACTCTCAAGAGCGGTCGAAGTACCATCCCACCGTGACCGGCGTATATGGCTGGTTACTACCCAGGTCGCCAATTTATCACCTTGCGCAATGCAGAGCGGCGTGCTTTGTATTTTACTCGAGATCCGGGCTTTTTGTGAACTATCATGCATAGTGACCATGCGGCACATTTGCACTTTCTTCTCACTTCTCTTTTCTTTTTCCTCTCTGATAACGGTTTGTACGGCCGTCTTGCAATTGGGTGTCAACGTTCATGCATTGGACGCAGATTGGCCAAATATTTTCGCATAGCAAACGCGCATCCAATAATCAAAGCCCACTCCCACCACGCAGATCCAGTGTGATGAAACGAGCGAACCGCCAATAGGTAGCGGACCTGATGGTCACTCGTCCGTTTATAGTTTTGTCCCCTGATTTCGTTCTCATCCGTTCTACCACCGCAGTACAATCTATTTTGTTCTTCCTTCTGGAGCTTCGCCAGGACTCTCGGATCTAGAAGCTTGAGACAGTCAAAGGCAAGAAGGCATGGCATGTCCAAGAGTTTCCCAGTGTGCTGATTCTAACATAGAATGGTCTAAACACCAAGCACGCCTCTTCTGATACCGAGGGGTCGCAGGATGATAACGCAAGTCAACTGCTAGGCATCACTGTGACATCAACCCCTTGACCTGGCGAAAGGCTTGCTCGAAACTATCGTGAACATTCTTTAGCTAATACTGTTTTTTATTATTATTTTTTATTCCAATTTTTGTCCGGTTGGGGTGTAATACCCTATGCAGGACAATACTATCTAGGAAAGGGGGACACCTGTGTCCCCCACCGTGTCTCCGACTCTGCAAATGCCCCAGTGGAGGTTTGACTCCACTGGTCCGCCGTTCCTGCCGGCCGTTTTAGGTGCACGAGTCTACTACTCCACGGGGCCGTTTCTGATACTGCTCGTTTGTATGTAGGCCTGTCGCGTGGATATACAAATACTCGGACCGCCGAGGCGGTCGTTGTACGAGGGGAGTAAATGGAGCGCGGATAGAAAGGTAAAGGTAAGTTTGGACTGGCACGGCGTGCTGCTGTCTGATCCGTTCTGTACCGTGTAACTCTTCGACGAAGCTAATACTGTTATCCTTAGGTTTGTACATTCAGTTGACAAGATCGATTCCGAGTTTGATTTCCTAGCAATCATTGACAAGTTCACCCCGTTTGTTCTTCGTATTTGATTGTATAATGAGAAAACGCGAACACGTTGATGCGAACATCTCCAGTTCTGCCAGTGGAGTCGCGATAGAAGTGTCATAACGCCAGTAATTCTTTTTGTCAATTTGATATCTGCTTCGACCAACGACACCAGCAGAGGTCGCCATACAACACAACACAGCATGACGCAATAGCCACGACACAGCATGACGTGATGGACAACATGCCGGCGGTTATGCATTATGTGTCAGATGTGTTGCCCCACTGCGCGATCGGTGGAACAGAAGGCTTATCCTGAGCAACAACCAAGACAAGCATTTACGAAACACCCACCAAATATGGCTGGTACAGAACAGGTGTCGACCAGACTTTTTTGGACTTGAAAGTTTACCTCATCATGGACTACTACATGATTGTGGCCATCGTTAACCCATAATGACTAGATGAGCGCGGCGTCCTTCACGTACGTTCTTATAAAGGTATTGGTATTACAGTGGCAGTGACTATCCAGTATATAACAGACGAGAGTCGGAGAAAGGAAAGTAACATACTTTGTTCCCCCACTCCGAGACATTCCATTACTATGACATCTACGTCACAGCTTTGTCAGTCAGATCTATTCAAGAAACGCTCCGAGCTCCTCAGCCGCGATGCTCGAGTGGTTCTCTCATACGATAGAGCCAAGGCCATTGGCTTAGCATTCGGTGCGTATCAAGCTGTTTTGTTCACGGGGCATGTCTTGATCTCGTATTGCAGGCATCACTTTCAACGACATATTGAATTTGACGCAAAACTTTTGGGACATACACACCCACCCGAACATGGTCCTAGATGGGGCCGCGTGTACGCTGCTGACCATCCAGTACAATTTGGTCGCTGGAACGCTTGCAAAATATGCTGCGACTACTAGACCTGATTTGGTCTCCCTCGTCGAGGACATTCTTCGGTGGGATGTCATGTGAGCAAACTTTCATGTCCATTTTGCAGAGGCACTACATAATCTCTTTGCAGTGGTCAATTCTGCCTTACCGAGCTTGGGAGAGGCATAGACATCTTCCGAATGAAGACATCAACGACACTTCTTCCAACAGGCGAATTCGATCTCCATACACCGTCGCCCTCGGATGCCAAGTACGAGATCAGTATATATTCGATAGCTACTAATCATGGTGACGCAGGTTCATGCCACCAACCATTCCAATGAAAGGTCTTCCATGCGTCGCCGTTGTTTTCGCACAACTGTACGTGGACGGCGAATGCCGCGGACCTCGACCGTTTCTTGTGAATCTGAACGACGGATATCATATGTGCAACGGGGTGACTTCGATGCGAGTGGCTCTTTAAATTTATCTCACCGCTTTCAAACTTATTGCTCTATGACTAGGTTGCTACCACCTAGAGGAGGCTCGTCCCCCGTCAACCATGCGCTCACAAGCTTCCATCACGTCCGCTTACCGCCTTCGGCCCTTCTCGGGGACCTCGCCAAATCCAACACAATCCATCGTGACTTCATGTCGTCTATATGGCGTGTTATGGTCGGGTCGCTAGCGCTCAGCTCACTTGCGATACCTTATCTCCAGGTGGGATCGTTCGTCGCCGCGCGTTACTTTCAGCGTCGTCATGTCACCAGTTTGCAAGGAAATCCTTTGCCCATAATTTCATACCGAACGCAACAGCTCCCTCTATTACACGCCATTGCTCAGGCGTTCGTTCTGAGAGCGCTTCACAAATGGGCTATCGAACATTTTATGGACAAGAATCTTGATGTTCGTGTGCGACATGGCATTGCGGCTTGCTGTAAAGCAGTCATGATTCAGCATGCACAAGTTGCAAATTATGTCCTATCTGAAAGACTGGGAGCTCAAGGCCTCTTCGAATATAATCAGCTGTCCAACTTTTATGTACGAGCGCCTTCTCTTTGACGCTCATGTTACAGCAAGAATTAACCTGTTTCACAGAGCGAGATGAGGGGAGTCAGCATCGCTGAAGGTGACATTTTAGGTAGGTGACATTTTAGCCTTCTCCGGTGACGTGATGCTGATCAAAGTTTCCAGCGCTTTCCATGCGTCAGTGCAGTACATCGATGTTTGCACAAACCAAAGATTTACAGATAAATTATAGGACTCGTCGCAGATACCTTGTCGCAAACGTACGAGTTACCTTTCTCGACACACCCAGATGGGCCACTTGCGATGCATGAAATCTCGTTATTCGATGAGGCAACCGAGACAGTTTTCTCCTCATCCGATTTCACGCAAGCGTTCATGCAATATGTGCAACCACGATGTCAGCTAATGGTCGAATCCATGGGACACCGCATGGCCTGTGACGCCGCTGTCGACCAAGGGGTCCCCCAATGTCTTGTTGATCTGTATCTCATCAATGCGATCAAGACAGATGCTGCGTGGTATGTAGAACATGGCGTGTTTACGCGGAAGGCCATCGTGCATGTGGAGGATGCTGCTTTGTCGGCAGCTTTGCCTCGCCTGGAGGAGTTGCTCACTGCGATGGAGGTTGAGCCATACGTGTCGTCACCCATCATATCGGATAAGTGCTGGGAGGAATTTAGCAAGACATTGCCTGTCTATAGCTCCCATCAGGCTCAGGTACCAGCGGCGCGACTTTAGTTTTGGAGCGAGCTCGGATTTAAAGCTCTGTCCATACAACCTTGTATAAAATATGATGGATCTTTGGCGATGGTTGCTCCGTCAAGTTACTCATTCTTCATATCAACATACCAAGCTCTTCTGGAGCCTCTTGAAGGATCTAGATCACAATTATGTTAGTTATATAAACAGTTCAAGAAGAGATACAGACGAGATGGCCAGACGTCTTGAAGGTGACGTTAGATGAATTGGCGGGCCGGCACCAAGCACGCTACTTCCTCGCTTCCATCTGTCGGATAACAGCGAACTTAGTCCTGCCGCCTTGGCTTACACATCCTGGCTTGAGTTTCCGGGAAGAATCCACAGTAGCTCAATCTTTTCGTCAAGCGTTTCCATCAATTCCTATGTTTCACGGCTAGCTCGTGGGTTCGCAAGGACAAGAGCCTCGTGAACGGGGGGCGTTTTCAATCTGACGCCTCCGTTATCATCCTCTTACAGTCCGAAACCAACATAGAGCTGAAGGACGTCGGGACTCTGCCAAGCGGAGAACATGGGTGAAGATTTAAAAGAATGCAGAGCGTCTCCTTTGCAATCACAGTCAGGAGTACTCCGACACAAGAGTAAAGTTTGACGGGTCCTTCATGAGGCTTGAATGGCACCCATGAACGCGGTTTCACGGTCGTCCGGAGCGTTGTAGGATCCGGAGTGTAGTGATATGAAGATCAGACAATCATTACAGGCGCGACTCAGGATGCCACTGCAGACACTCTGCGATAATCTCTGGGAGATCCTTGACCCCTCATTGGTGATACAATGCTTTCTATGTGATACTGCAGCACTGCAGCAGTACTGAGTATTGGCGTGACCGTCGATCATGCACGGCCAGGTGTTCACAATCATCCTCCCCAAACACTTGAGCCCGCATCTCTCCCAAGTGCATAAACTGCCAGTGGTCTCGGGCTGGGCGTGGCTCATGCACGAAGAGGACTGACAGCTGTAGCCTAATGTCAGGAAAAAGATCATTAAGAGATCCATCTAGATCATCAGTGTCATAAGCCGGATCCACAGGATAGTGGGATGACACTCATTGTAAAAAGGTGCGAATTTTCAAGCTAGGCGCGAGTTTGTTTGTCGTCAGTTCTATGCTTACACTCTTTATAGTTACTATATTTATTAATCCGCAGGTTCGCAAGTGAATTGCAACCACGCCTAGTCTTCCCTAAGCAGACCCAATGCAGAGTGTATTGATCATGCAAAACAAATACACGACTCGGAGGGTAGAGGCTAAAGAACGTGCCACAGGCTCGCAAGAACTGAACCCATTAAATTGATCCACGAGGCCGTAAGTGCAACACCGACCCCGTAGGTCCTCAATTCGCTCGAGAAACGCCGAGTTCCATCTGATGTCAGTAGAGACAATTTCCAAGGCCATGTCTACCCCTTGGCTGCAAAGGACGCGAAGGAGTGTGACTGCCCAGCCGGGTTGTCGAGTTGACTCTTTCTTTCGTACGTACCCATCCTTTTCTGTTACACTCGTTATACGTCTCATATACGTTCACCTTTGATTCTTCGTCTCTATCAGCATATCAACGGCTCTCCCTTAAAACAATCTCTCTGTCTTTTGATTTAAGACTGAGGTGAATCTCTTATTTACAGTTCTGTATACACTTTCCTAGACATTACCCTAGGCTACCTAATCCCTTTCCTGTTCCTAGGTGCATAGTATAGGTAGTATGATCCATAGCTAGGGTGACCTTTCAGACTAAGTCCTTTGGACATTCGCAGTTCTAGCCTCTTCATTCGTAAGATTGACGTCGATCAATTAATCGCTATGATATCAACAAACAAACACGTGAAAACTGTCAAGAATAATACAATAAAGTGTCATGCATCGCCATCGGCAAAACGTCTCTGAAAGGGTATTCAAAGAGAAAATGAAGGTATCACGATCACAGTCCTCTAACCCTCTAAACTACCAACACTTCAGAATACTAGAGCACCAGCTAAAGCGAGAATAAGACCACCGGCCAATGAGGTTGAAGCACCAGCGCGAGTGGCAGCGCCGGATTGGGTTGCCGACGGGGTCGCGCTAGTAGCAGCGCTGGTGGCAGTGGTACTGTGGGTGCTTGTACCAGAAGAAACAGTAGAGGGCACGGAAAGGGTGCTTGCAACGGAGGGCGAAGTTTGTGTGCTAGATGGGACAGCGAGCGTAGTTTTACTTGATATGAAGCTACTTGGAAGCGGAGTAGATGAAGCCACTGACCCAGAGCTAGAACCACCTGTAGAGGTAGAATTAGCCACTGAGGTCGTAGTTCCAGCTACGGAGGAGAGTCCAGTCGAACTACCTCCAAGTGTCGAAGATCCAGATGTTGTTGAAGTGGTGTCAGTGGTAGAACTTCCAGTCGAACCGCCGACGCTGCAAGGTGCATTGTCATCGATGATGTATTGAACAAAGGAAAAAATACTAACCTAAAAGTACCGGACCAGCTCTGGTAACCGTCGCTGGTTGAAGTGAACACCAGGTAACTGCGTCGCTTATTAGATGTAACTCAAGTTGAAATAATGGTTGAACACACTAGCTGCCATCGTCGCTAGTGGATGGGCTGGGCTGTGCAATTATGCGCGGTGATTAGCGAATTGATAAATATGAAATGAAAGACACGTACAGTGAATGTGAAGGAATGCGCGCTGGCAACGTTGACGGAGGGAAGCGACTGCGTCAGGACCTGCAAGACGACATGCGTGCGTGAGTAGTTGACTGGGGCTGCAACCTCTTTACCATCTCGCCGTTGTACAAGCCAACAGTGCATTCTCCAATGTCGCTCAGGAGAGGGCTCTGACCATCGTCAACCCACTCTACGCTGCAGGGCTGACCTGCTTGGCAAACAGTTGATTGTACCGGGCTCGTTACCTGTTTGAAACCAAAAAAAGTCAACCAAAAAATATTAAATGGGGCGACGACGACTGACATAGACACCGGCTTGAACAAACGCAAGGCGGGAAACAAGGAGAGCGAGAGAAACAAGGGTCTTGGAAGTGAACATCGTGAAAGGGGCTTGAATTAGTACTTAGTACAGGGAGATTTTTTTGGAGCTGGTGGGATACAAGAGCAAAAGCTGAGAGAGCGTAATGAAAGAATGTTGAATTTATGGGCTCAGGGAAGCGAGCAACGTTGCAACCATGAATGGGATGGGTGTTAACAATTTACACAAAGAATCTGAGACGGATTCGATTTCCTTATGTAATTACGTACAACTTAGTTGCACAAGTTGATCTTCTCACGTTGAATTCCCGTTCAAATTGATTTCCCAGTTTCAAACCAAATTCTCCCTCGAGATCATCATGCGGGATACTAACTCCATTCGAACAGGATAAGTAGTAGACCATCACTCTCGCTCTCGGCGTTCCTGCTCGAGTGGTTGACCGTCTCAAGCGCTAACTTGGCGAGCATTACAACAACAATCGGCGTGCAATTAATATCCGAATAGGGACGCTACACTAGTCACATCACTGACCTCCATTTGATCATCCTCTAGAACTTTACCTCGGGGTCTCCACGAGGATCCAGCGCTAGTGAGTATCCTTTTATCTTCATGTCAAAGCAACCAAGCCCTCTTTCACCGCTTCAGAGTGTACTGCCATCTAATTGCCATTCAACCCTACTGGCTACGCATTAAACCCGAGAGCAACAAGAAAGGGAGTCAAATTCCTACATATTCCTATGTGCTCCATGACACGTCATATGAGTCCGTGAGGACCTGTGTATGCGTTGGTGTGGTTAATGCTCCAACATATATCCCGGCACTGCGCACAACCCACCCTGCGTGACGAACTCATGTGGTACAGCACATCAATCGGTGCTAGTCGCGAAGTCGGCCCTTCCTGGTCCTTTTTCATTGACACGATCTACTCAGCCTCTGAAAGCATTGACCTCAGGCTAACACACTGCCTAGCATAACACGGAGATTGTATCCCACATGTGTCCAAGTGCCATCGAACGTTGTAACGCGAAAGCTGGCCCCATTTGACATGAATCATGACCTCAAACGGCAGAACCAATGTAACGTTGTCAGGTGTTAATGGCCGCACTTCTCCGGCGCCATCTCGTATACGGCCCTTCACCGATCATCATTCGGCATATACATATGTACATACAACCTGTGACATGCCGTGAAACATGCTTGCGAATCTGGTATCGGAAGAAAGATACAATTTTCCAGCACGTGCATGCCGCAGCTGTCATCAGGGAGAGTACTGGTCAGGTGGGTCAGATGCAGATGGTCATAACAATTACTAAACACAAGTACATGGCGATGCCTTGAAGCCCTTCTCCCATTCGCTCCCGGTAATATCAACGGAAACTGAACTCGCATCGGAATGTATCTTATCTACAAGTCGGAGTCTCCCGTCGATGCGAATGCGGTATCCCCATGAGCTCAATGTCGCCTTGTATAATCTGCGACCAACCTCTGACAATTACGTGATAACATTAGCACTCTGACATCTGTGAGTTATCAATCACTTTTCAAGCTTTAGCATTCTACGATCCGTCTTCAACCGCCCTTTCTCTCGAAACCGAATCGCAGAGTTTCTGAACCTTCGTCATCAGAACTGTACTACGTGGCTTATCAACATTTCTATCAATAGATGTTGACATTCTGGAGTATACAGCTTGGGCGGAACTGGTGCAGGTGACCGAAGAGCCTCACAAGGTTTCGATTCCTACCATGAGGGATCCGACGGGCTCTATCTATGATATCCCTGCCTCCGGAGCCAAGATCATGACCAGTCGTAACCATGGACAGTAGGTTGACGTCACAAGACAGCTGGTAATCATCGGCTGACGGACATGAATATAGAACAAACCGTCCATTCCTACAACCTCTCATTGAATTCCCTGCTCTCACCAATATAATTACAGTCTACATGTTGTGTTGTTACAAGTTAATAGCCGACACAATGGACAAGAATGACTGCGTTTCGGGGGCATTGCGGCCACAGGATAATCGTGGCCACAGTGGCATAGTTGTGGCACATTGTAGAATAAAAAGAATGTGACATCGAGGTTATCCTGGCAATCGACAGTCTTTTCCGACGACTCTCACACAACCCTCACACACCATGCCAACTACCCCTATGCCGACGAGAGGTGTTGGTGATCTGTCCCAGGTGTATGGCGACGATTGGTCAGACAAAGAAGTCTTTCTGCAGGCTACTGGGCTTCACAAGGACTCCAACCCCAGTAATCCCAGACACGTCCTCATCTACTGGGTGAACGCCGCTCTTAGCGGTGGCTTTGAAGTCTGGGATATCACCCAGCTCGAGACGCACGGGCACTGGCACCAGTACCATTATCCCAATGCGCTCAAAGTCAACACAAAGGAACGCTCACGCAACCAGACAATATCCTTGGGGATATTCACATCGGAACAGCGCGAGCAACTGCTTGAACTCGCAGCGGATGTAGAATATGATCAAGTTACCACCGAAAGCTGCATCTGGATGCGTAACCTCCTCGCGAAGATGGCTGAAGAAAAGCTCATATCTCACCATTTATTTAATACCATCCGAGAGGATGTGCCTCTCCCTTCTGCATGAGAAGGTCAGAGTTGCGGAATTTGATTCTTCCGAAAATGAACTCAAAAGTCCCTTGATTGTTGACAGGATACACTTAATATGAACATGGTTGGACTCTCCATGGCAATCTCATTATATCAGTCAGTACTTTGTGAACCCTACATGATATGATATGTATTATACTGCTTAGTTTGTCTTAATACGTATGTATTTCTGAACCACGCATTTTATATATTATTTATACGAACTTGAAAGCCCACAAATTCCGGGTCGTCTCCCCATCCTACGTTAATGCTAAGGCTGTTGTCAAAAGGAAAGTCCGTCTTGAAGCTCCATGAATGGATATATGTAAGGAAGAGTCTCAGTCGTTCCTACTTAATTCGAAGATCAGGGCGAGTGCTTATTGTATACCAGAAGGCTGAAGACAAAGTGTGACACTCAATTTCGGGTCGTCCAGGACAAGACCTTTCGTCATATTGATGATCGAAGGATTCCCAGAATGGAGCCCTGGTGAGAAGAGTGAGCGGAACTCGAACTCGTGCTTTAGCAAGATCGGGAATGAGTCTAGGTATTTCGAATGCTGAGTCCGGGCCATGGATTTCGTAAGAACGGTGTCCGAGTCTTTGATCAAAGCTGTGTGAGTAAAAGACGAGGATGATGGAACTGTATTAGTAGTAGAAGCCTTCAAGCAGAAATTAACTTTGAACAGAGCTTTGCCTACTTTGTGGCCCGGGGTCGTAGGAGTGAGTGGATTTAAGAAAACTGAAAGCGTGACCTATCTTATTGGAAGAAGGTCTAGGCATGTCACGGCAACAGGGGGGTATCTGGTTCATCTAAGTAAGACTCGTCGTCGGCAACTTCTTCGATAAAGTTCGGGTCCGCATGTCGGCTAGCCCATTTCTTGTTGCAGGCAGCCCGAGCGAGGTTCCTGGTTCTCTGCCACATCCGATCCTCAGAGACTCGAAGGTCTGTCCTAGGTTTCTTCCCATAGACATATGATCGAATCGAAGTAATTTCACTTTCCCCTCGGAAATAGCCTGGTGGTTGTCAAGGTTGTAAGATCGTACACTCTTACCTCCGGCTCCCTTTGGGGGCTCAAGATTCGAGGTGTTTATAATAGTGTTGATTGACGGGAATACGTAGAGTTTGATGGGTACATGTGCTTGAATCTTCTTCTGAAAAGAATATGCGGGCGAGTGCGGAGAAGAAGGAATACTAGGCCTGGCGCACACGTCGAAACTTTCTTAGAAGTTAGAACGTCCAGGAATGAATGGCCAACTCCGATGGGGGCTATCGGGCCAAAGTCTAGAGCTGGCTTCAAGCGGAGTTTAAACGCTGCTTGACGGTAGTACTTCCCGAACAGCGCGCTCTTGTGGTCGGCGGTGTCTTCTCATATCTAACAATTAACGATTTTTTATTGGCTGACTGCGCTACTGATGTTAGTGACAGGCACTCCATATAGCAACTTGTACGTACCTCGTCAGCTCGTCGATGTACTATCACAACTTCGAATGAAGATGTTATAAATGTGTAGGCAAATAAAACACACGCTGCACTTTCTCGAACGCTGGCTTTACGATACACCTGTAAGTCCCCAGATTTGCCCTGCCAGCCTATTCAATATGTTAGATCAACTATCTCTGTGTCAGAGAATTGTAAGTGATATGCTCCCCTCACCAATTATTATTACAGCACCCGATCAAAGCCCCCGGCAGGGCATGGGCAATATTCTGGATATTTCACCCGCACCATTATTTCGTATCGACCTTGCGAGATTAGAAATTTCCGACGCATTATGGACTAGAAGGCTAGTCATTGCTCTTAATTGTGGCCAATGATCCTCCTCAGCTCAGGATAATAATGTCAATAGGTGAAACACGATCACGGTGCGATGCATTGGTTAACACGACTTCACACTCAATGGTTGGTGGCAGGATACACAGATGCTCTGTTCCGGGTGATCACTTCTCTGTGCTTGTTCCGCAACCCAGAATACAAGTGGGAGTAGACGAGTAGGCCTTATATGGAAAAAAATAATGACTAGAACCGGAGGGACCGTCAAGCACGTTTGTAGATCAGCGCTCAGCACCGTGACCGATTGGGTGGCCAGACCTGGTCGAATTCTACTTCAGTGCACCCAGAGACCTTATGGCAGGACTGTTCAGCGCTTTCAGCACATTATCGCTTCTTCAGCTACCTTCTACTTGTCAGTGCTCGATGACGAAACAGTCATTATCTTGTCTCCTCTTGCCTCACGCGTTCCGCCTGCATGCGGACATCGGTGGATGCGGCTTTGTGCCCCGTGACCAATCTAATTGCAATGACGGGATTTATCGCCAGTGTTTCCTGGCAGAGAAATCAAGATCACGCTTGCTGCATCCTTTTGCCGGCGGGATCATGCAAATTTTCAAATTGGTGCCGTGAGGAGGTCACAGCCGAGCAGCTTCAAATCCAGCCGTTACTATCGCACACAGCTTTTTTCTGTGTGACGGCCTTCGAATTGTGAAAAAAAAAAGTTGGTTCCAAAACCATTGGTTTTTTATTACAAACCACCCGCAGGGAGCTCAGCTGGAGCAATATTGTCGTAGATGAAGTTTGAGTTAGCCTCCCTAGCCAGTCCATATCTTCTATATTGTTATGGATCGAGTAATTTGTTTATCCTAACGAAATTCTACTTTGCTGTCTCCGGCCCCTCACCTCGTTATTCTCAGAGAGGCCCTACGTTTTCCGACATGTCTGGTGATGTTAAGACCGTGCACAAAGGGTAGGACTGATTCCAAGGGGCTTGGCTTCAGCTTGTGCGCTGCGCCCCTTACCCGAGTATGTGCCCTTAATTTCAGAATGATGTCCGAAGAAAGTCCAAGAACGTCCGAAGGACATCCGAAGCGCGGGAAAGTTCGGAAGGACTTTCCGGACGAGTGCAAATAACTTCCGGACGAGTGCGGGAAAGTTCCGGAGGAACTTCCGGAAATTACGATGAGGTTTTGTCCTGATACGGATACGTGTAATGGCTACTTAGGACAAGTCCTAAGTAGAAGCAAACAGAGGAAAGGCTGCAAGGACAAAGTCCGAAGCAGAATAGGTCCGGAGGACCGCGGGAAAGTTTCGGACGAACGTCCGGAAACTTCGGAGGATCGGATGAGTGGATGAGCGGGGATCGGATAAGCAGAGCTCTGGCCTAGGGAATTTCTCCCTAGGCCCGAGATGGATATTGACTAAGTCGATAGACTAGAACTGATGTGAGGACTTAGAGTGAGATCTAGTGCGAGGACTAATATGATATTCAGACTGAGGAACTACAGGACATATACAAGAGTTTATATACTAAGGAAATAACGGAAAGATCAGTAAGCAAGCGTCCGAGGCTATGTATGAAGCATAAGCAAAGTTATCAAGCGCGAGTCGGAAATGAAGCATAGGTTAACGGATCAGTAAGTGTACCGGTAGTAAGTATAACCGAGATACCGAGGACAAGGAATACCGAATAGAGGAATAGGCTGTGTTAACGTTATATGCACAGGAAATGAATTAGGAAGCTTATCGTATATCAGATCAGATCAGATCGGACCGGACCGGATGTCCGGACAAGAAGCGTGGATATACGGGATATGATATTAGGGCAATAGGACAAAGGATGAATGATGCAGGCTAGCTGCGGAGGTATGGAGGTCCGATGTACGGAGGTAAAGGGATCTGGACATGGATGCGCGGATGTGGATGTGCAGAGGTGCAGGGATCCGGATGGGTAGAGGACTGGAGACATGGATAGGGCGTCTGAAGGTCCGGATGAGGCGTGGGAACATTATCGGATGTAGGTCCGGAATACGGGATATGACAGGTGACCTCTCCACCACCAGGACTTTCCTGGACTGGCATGCCATGAAAACGCCAGGCCTCTTCAAGTTCGCCTTCTGCATGTATGCACATTCGAACACGATCACCATACGGACGGTATGTTGGAGTCTGAGGCTGAGACGTCCGAGTCAAGGGGAAGATCAGAGTCGAGAGAGGCCGAAGGATCCGAGCGATAAGGGCAGATAGGTCCGAGCGCACACCAAACAGGACGAAGACAAGCGACGTATGACGTCGGCTCGCATCCTAAAATCTTTTCAATGTCTATCAATCATATATTCCTGTAACCACGCCACTTACCTTATAAGCACGAAGTGCAGCGCCCAAACATCTCAGTCGTTTTGAATGAACTGAGATGTGAGTATCTTTGTCGTACCAGCCGTTAACGTTGAACTAACGGCTCGTAGTTACCTTTGTGTTCTAGGTACATAGATCAATATGAGTTGTTTCGAACGAACTGAGATTTACCTTTGTGTTCTAGTGATTGGCTCCTCGTCGTGCATACTCTCGCGCTCGTATAACACCTTTAGGTTATGAGCCCTGCCTCCATCATGGAATCTATGCTCCCCGGTACAAACTCCAGCCTGTTCAATATCCCGAAGCTCGCAGAAGACGGCTCAAATTGGATTACTTACAAAGAACGAACGCTAACAGCTATTGGAGCCCGAGGTCTGATGCGATATACTGATGGACGAGTCTGCGAGCCTATTCCCTTCGTCGTTGATCCAAAAACCAAGGCCGTTAAGAAGCCTGACGGCTCAACGCCATCGCAGACTGAAATAGACGAGCTCGATCAGAAGATCGACGAGTACCACCAGAAGAACTTACTGGTGAAGCAGCAGATATTCAGCATGATCACCGATCGGCTGCTACTGCGCGTCCAAAAGCTTGGGGAGGCATCCGACATCTGGGATGAGATATGTCAGATTCACGAGGGCAAAAGCGAACTCGTGCAGATTGACTTACGGCGTCGCCTGCAGGAAACAAGGTGTGATGAAGGAGGGGACGTGAAGACCCACTTCGCGGAGCTCTTGAGGCTACGCAAATCGTTGGCTGGTATGGGTGCGGCTATCGTCGACATCAACTTCCACGCAATCATCCTGGGTTCACTCCCAGAATCCTACCGACCTCTTTTATCGTCTATCAGCGCGGCAGCCAAAATCACCAAGAATCCACTCACCTCCTACGAGCTAATCAGCATCATCACCGAAGAGTACGAGCATCGCCTACTCACTGAGTGACGCCCCACCAAGAAAGGAACATCCGGAAGCGCCCTCTCAGCGAGGGAAGCTAAAGGAAAAGGTAGAGCGTCAGCCGGGACCACCAAACTGAATCCAGACGTTACCTGTTTCAACTGTGACCGGAAAGGCCACTACAAAACAGATTGCTGGCGTCCGGGTGGTGGCAAGGAAGGGCAAGGTCCGAACCAACAAAAGAAAAAGGGTGAGAGAGCGCCGAAGCAGGCAGCCAACTCAGCCACACAGCCAGAGCCCCACGACGACCAGTATGCCTTTGTCACGTCAGACTTGGCAAGCGTGGCAGGCGAGCTGAACGTACCTGTCGAAAAGCAAGGCGCCATCGTAGATTCGGGCGCGACCTCCCATTTTTGCCCTGATAGGGCCAAGTTCACGAACTTCGTGAGTATCCCTCCCCAAGATGTTCGGATGGCCGACGGTTCCAGTTTGAGTGCCATTGGGCATGGGGATGTGCACCTGGAGCTACCGCTCGGTGAGAAATGTACAAGGGTGACATTAAAAAATGCACTGTACGCACCAAAGATGGCCTTTACGCTAATTTCTACGAACCGTATTGCAGCAGCTGGACTAGCCGTGCTGTTCGAGGGCAGGATGTGCAAGCTCTTATCCAAAGGGCCGGACCGAAAGGTCATTGCGGAGATCCCGCAGGTTGAAGGCCTGTATAGCGTCGCAGGAGGACAACAATGTCAGCATCATGCCAACGTCGCAAAAGGCAAGCTCACCGTCAGCAGCGCCCACAAAGTACTGGGACACGTGTCCCAGACTGCAGCCGCCAATGCGATTAGGAATGGCCTAATCACCAGCCTAGAACTGGATGAGGTGTCGAAGGCCGAATTTTGTGAAGCCTGCATCCAAGCTAAGTCAACGAGGAAGCCATTCCCAGAGGAGAGCACAAGCCGCGCACTTACCTACGGCGAACTTGTGCACACTGATCTATGGGGCCCTGCCCAAACGGCGAGCATCGCCGGGTGCCTATACTACGTCACGTTCACGGATGACTACAGCCGACAGACCAAAGTTCAGTTTCTCAAACTGAAGAGCGAGGCACTTACCGCATTTAAGGGCTATGAAGCCTGGTTGATGCATCAGATGCTGGGAGTTCGGCTGCGAAAGGTCCGCTCGGACAGAGGGGGAGAGTATCTCAGCGCCGAGTTTGACCTATACCTCCATCAGAAGGGCATTGAACGTCAGTTAACGGTCCACAACTCACCTCAGCAGAATGGCGTAGCCGAACACCTGAACAGGACCCTCGTCAAGCATGCTAGGGCGATGCTGATAGGGAGAGATCTCCCGAAGTACCTGTGGGCGGAGGCAGTCAACTATGCGACTTGGTTGAAAAACCGCTTACCATCAAGGTCCACCCCTGGCATAACGCCACACGAGCTGGTGCGGAAGGCAAAGCCAGACTTGTCGCGGGCCCATGAGTTTGGGGCGAAAGTCTTCGTCCACGTGCTGGATGCAGGGAAGTTGGAGCCGAAGGCGGAGGAGGCGATATTCATGGGGGTAGACGCTGAAAGCAAGGGTTATAGGGTGTACTGGCCAGGGAAACACTGTGTATCGGTGGAGAGGAACCTCACCTTTGCACCGGTGTCTTCTTAGATAGATGATCTATAGATAAACACCTATAAAACCAAATATCTCCACGGTCAGCGATTCAGACAAATACCAATGACTGATAACGTGGTCGTTCGTGGGTGGCTTGCCTAGCTCCTAAGATACAGTCAGTAGAATATGGCTCGCACAAAAAGTCAGTAGTCAGTGATCAGCAGTCAACAGTCAATCCACCAATATGGATATGAAACACAACGATGAGAGAAAAACACAGAACTCAGTCAGTCAGCGATCAACAACAACAACAACAATCACAACAACACAGACAACAACAAACAAATCAGGAAACACAGTCACTCTAACAATATAGAGATGACACAAAACAAACAGACACTCTTCCTAACACTTCACACAGCAACAAGGATTCGTACACAAACTTAGTGCAGCAAGTTGTGCGGAGTTACAATGAGAGTCCCCCTCAATACAAAAACAGGTGAAACTACCGTCAGGCCTAGTCAAGCCTTTGTAGCACTCTTAGCCTAATATTGAACCTGCTGCCAAGGAACTCACAATGAGTATTAAACAGACTCAGGAACGGGCGACCTTGGACTTCAATACCAAGTCCCCTTTTCAATAGCTAAAGTCTAACTCGCAAATGACTACCCTCGATCGGTATAACACACAGATGTAAGAGGTCAGGTATCACTGTCAACACCTAAAGTCTCTCCACTAGACTATCAGAGTCTTCCGTGGACAAAAGAGACAACACCAAACTTCTGGGTAAGAATGAGACTGAAACTTTGGTACTTGAGAGAAAGTTGATAGGTTGAGTCAATCAACAAAACGAGACTACTACAACAAAAACACAAACACAATCACGACCACGATCACGGAGACTGTTAGCAACAACGATCACAAAGCAAACAGACAGCAATCAGAGAGATGGTCAGTATAGACAGTCACCAACACACCACACACTTGAGACAGAGAGAGAGAAACAGAAACAGAGAAACAGAGAAACAGAGAAACAGAGAAACAGAGAAACAGAGAAACAGAGAAACAGAGAAACAGAGAAACAGAGAGAGAAACAGAGAACACGAGCTTCAGTCACGAATCTCAGACACGATCTCAGAGAAAAAAGAGAGAAAAACAAACACACAGACACTCAGAAAAACAGAGACAGAGACAGAGACAAATCACAGAGAAAATCACAGACAGAGACACAGACAATGACACAAAAAGAAACAGAGAAATTCAGACAGACAATCAGGAGAAAAACAGAAAAAGAAAGACTAGTCTTGCTAGTCGTCAGACACAGTGAGCTCAAGGTATGTGCTAGCTGTTCAGCACAATGAGCTCGAAAGTGTGGTGCTGGTTGTTGAGCACAATGAGCTCCAACCTTGAACTGCACTTGCTGGTTGCTGATTCACACTTCACTCACAATTTTTATTCTGAGGGTTAAAAACAGTGGGGAACTGCTTGTTTTATTGGGCAAAAAGCTGGTCCTTATATAGACAAATTTGGTGGCTATACTACTAGTTTCTCGTACTTAAAGTTGTAACTTTAGTTCGATAGTACCAAGTCACACGGTATCTTTGAGTCAAAAGTAAATATTCACTAGGGGTCGGCGTTGCCGACTAATAACCTTGCTCCGGTTGTTCCCGCGTCGTCGTTTTCTTTTCTCATCCCCGATTTTATTCTGTACTACATGCTTGTCGCCTAGTGTTACATGTATCAAGGAACGATATCAACTCAACATCGAAATACAATAACAGTCATGGCAGATTGGTCACAACTATACCTCTTATTTGGTTTTCGAGTCACTCCCTGGAATCCTAGGCTTTCGAACTGCTTGCATCAGCATCTCGGTGAATTTTCTTCTTTTCTGGTTGGTCTTTGTCGTTGTTAACGTGCGGGCGTTTATAGTTAGTCTTGTGGTGGACCGCGCCAAGCCTCAGAATGGTGATCTTTTCCACTGAGGCTTGAAAAGTATCATGGTCTTCAATTTTCCAATGACGTACAGTGAACTCGATCTCCGATATAGATCCGTTCAGAGCTGTATTGGTGTGGATGGGATCAATGAGGTCTCCTTCGTAGAAGACAGGAAGGGGTGTGGGTTTGTAGATGTATTTGATGCTATCGAAGGGTAATGCGAATTCGTCCGGGATGGGCCAGTTTGCTGTTTCCTGGTCCATCTGAGGCGCTCCTTCGACTGCCTGTCCATGAGGGGAGTCAGGTATGGCGTTTTCCTATACGATTTCAAGCTCAAGTTCCTTGTTTAACGTGTGCACTTACCCTCAAGGTGAATACATTTTTGATAAACCGTATCATCTTCCCTGTCACGTCCTCCACGATCATACTTCCACGGTGTTTCGTGGTCGCGACTTGTGACTGCAACGCCTCCAGGGTGGAGATACCGGCTTGGTAGTCTTCTGCAAGGTCGTGATGCGCTGGTCTCGAAATATGGAACTGGTATTTGGCTTTTTCAAGAGGGCTCATCCCGTTTGCAATGTGGTTTCCCGCAGGTCCACATTTCAGGCGATAGGCGGAAACTCGCCCAACTGTGACAAGTTTGACAGGAAGCTCATTGTTTTCGTCGATGAGCTCCAGTCCAGATTCGCCATGCTGCCAAATGGTTCCGTCCAGAACGTTTAGCGAGGAAATGTGGTTTGAGAGTGTCCAATGAGTGTCATGATATGTTTTAGGATCGAAAGTCATGGTGGTCAGGAGGAAAGGAGACCAGAAAAACAGTTTTTTTTTTCAACCTTCTTGCAATGACGTATGCTAAGACCTTTTCATTGATTAGAGGAAGCATGGAATATTATATAGTACTATTATTAGGGACAAGTTGTTGCTGTTCACGTTTGGTGTTCGTTGAATGCACGCACAAGTTCTTCCGCCAAGTTTTCCTCATCCACGAAGAATAGCGTAAAACCGAGACAGATTAAGTGGTTCAGAAACCCTATTTTGTGTTTGAAAAAAGGTTAGATGAATATGCTACGTCCGACCCAAATGACTTACATAGAACTCGATTATTCTCGAGCCCTTCTCGCACGACTTCGGTTATGTTGATGGCAGTATGGGATTGCTCAGTAGCGGCAACACAGCTGCAGTTGTGATAGGGGATAACATGTTGTGGACCACGTGATTGTCTAAAGACTAAATCAACGACGGATCAGTGTCAAAGTTTATAAGGAGCAATGTACATCACCTATCAAATACATTCCTGGCAGAGTGCAAGTAAGCATGATGGTCGTCGCCAGAGAATGATCGTAAACTCATTACAATGTTTACATGTCCTGCGTCATAAATCACGTGACAATTACCACTTGCGCCCCACTACTACCTATTCGCAACATAACAACTTATGACTTGCGTTCATATTTGCAAATATACATACAGTTCTGCTATCAGTCTATTGAACTATCTCTGTTCCCTAATTCCCAATGATGCATTCATGCCCACCCCAAATCTGAAGTATAGCGGTGACTATGCCACTGTGTTTGAGCTGCCATCCAGTCTTCCTCTTCCCAATTCCGTGGACCACCCCAAGACGACTATCTTCTTCCGTCAGCTGGCTCCAAGGATAGTATTCTGGCTCCTAATTCAAGGAAATCATTTCAGGCCCGGGATAGGACTAAGACTACTAACCGAGTCCAAATTGACCTTCAGAAAAACGTCTCTCAGTATCTTCCACAAGTGTTTTAATTCTCTCGTCTTCCACTCGTAGATCTTCGGATGGATGTCAGATGAAAAGCGCGTCATCAAAGTCTCTCAGCAATCGAATGGAATCACGTCCATGACTTCTGGAAAGAGCCATGTACGCATTGAATGGAGACAAAGCAAAACATGTTGTTCTGCCAATGTCTACTAGCATGTGGTCTAGCGTTTGTCCTTGTGCTTTGAAGTCAGTGAATGCATAAGCAGGAGCAAGTGGTAGCTGTCTTCGAGATATTCTCGTCGAATCGTTGGTGAACTTGCGTTGGATAGGGAATAAGGGGACGTGGTTTCGCGCAAGTCCAGGTAATGGAGCTAATTCGCAAAAGTCAAGTTGAAGGATGACAATTGCGGGTGGGTAACGCAGGTATGCTCTTTTTTCTTCTACCGCCTGTACTCCAATCGCGGGTTCTCTCGGATCTAAAACAATCTCTGCGACACGACCACGGGATCCGTTAGATAGATTAGCTGATGTTGACACATTGCGGGTGACCATGACTCGCATTCCTTTGACGATGCGTATCATAGTAGGCAATTGTTCAGTTTGCTTCAAAGGTAATTGCGCAAGAGCCAGACATTGGGAAGGTGAAAGAGGACTGCCGTGAATGGAATCTTCTGAAGGACAGATGTACATCATCTGACCGGATTGCAAGCTATGTTTTTCTGTCGCTCGAGCGTTCCACCGAGTTTGTACACTGTTTCGAGGTGTAATCAAAACTGCATCGTTCCAGGGTGATGACTCAAAATCTGGCACAATACATTCGTTATTGGTGAGAACGAGCCGTCGCATTTCCGCTAGGTCGTAGGTGGTACAATCTCCTGTTCTTGCTCTCTGAAGAATATCGTGCCACACAGAGTCCGTAATGCGAATCTGCTGGCGTAGTTCAATGACGGTGTCAAATTGAAGGTAAATGTTCCTTCCAAGCTGACATTTGGACGTTTGGGGATGTTGAGAATATAATGCACGATTTCGACCTGCTACTGGAGGAAATTGGTGGAAGTCGCCGATCAGAATGAAGCTGAGTCCGGCGAACGGGGAATTTAACAGAATTGGAGGAATTCCTTTAAGTAAGGATTCAACCACCGAGTCGAAAATTTTGTAGACTTCCATTGACTTACCTTCGTTTGCCCGAAATGCTGTCACTACTTGTGATAGAAGCCATAGGACTTCAGTGGTCATGAGACTGATTTCGTCTGCAGCGACGAGAAGTTTTCCCTGCATATTGCCATTGCGGCGCTTGGCAGTCTCTGTTCCGGGACGAAATATCCATTTGTCCGTGTGGGGTAGGCCTTTTCCTGCTGGAATCGTTGCCCACGAATGAAGTGTCTGACCACCGATTTGACTAGCTGCAACACCTGATAGAGCCGTTTTAGCGAAACGGTCTTTACAGCCCATTTCATCGAAGAGGGAGGTGATAGCTTTCAACAGGCGCGTTTTTCCCGTTCCACCTTGACCATGTATTGCCATTAGTAGCTGAGGAGGGTTTTGTCCGTGTAGTTGTTGAAAGAGATGATGAGATATGATACTGAAAGCCATTGCTTGTTCTTTGTTAAGATATGTCGGTGGTTCAATAACGGCAGGAAGTAAGCACGATTGCTTCGTAGTTAGTCTTGACACGGATGATTCGATTTGATTGATGGAGGGTTCGCCTATCGTTACAGAACTTGAACAGCTTTCTTCTGTAGGGAATGGGGACGGTGAAGTTTGACAAGGTTCGTCCGATGTTGCTATACAATGCTCCCAAGTGATACTGTCCTCCAAGTTTTTTTCGGAAGCAATCTGGGCAGGTTTGTTGACGGCAGTAGAACAAGATTCTTCGCAGAAGAAGTTGAATTCTTCAGCTATGTTCATCGCAACATCTGCATACACCATCTCTCGTGTGTTCGAGGCTTCCTCCATCGCTTCTAAGATGTCGTCGTCCGAAATGCATTCTTCTTTCGAACGTCGTTCATCTTCTCCATGACTGGATTCGGTTTCTTCGACATCTTCGTCTACTTTCTCTCCTGTTTCTAGGTAAGCAAACGTGCTGCTGTTCAAAATACTGCTTTTTTCTCGTTCTGATTTGGCTTTATCTGAACATTCATGAAAATACTGGATGTTAGAAATGATACGCAATACATCTTCTGAAGCTGACTCGAGAAATAGTTCGTAGACGTTCGGAAATGTTTCGTCCTCTTTTTTGAGGTCAAGGATACTGCGCCATGGTTTCAAGAGTGCGAGCATAGACGCACAGTATAGTGGATAGTGATCAGGATCGTTAGCTCGAGGAAACCATTCTCCTGGGATATGTGGCATTGTCTCATGTCCATCCGCTCGCAAGATACGAACACGACCGCGGTGAGCGGAACCTTCTCTATATGGAATGCGCACACTGGAATTAATTTTCTTGTGCACAGTAGAAGGTTCATATTCCCCGCGAATCTCATAAGTGTTAAGAAAGAACTCGAGATAGCCGTAGTTTTCAAGCTCATCTCCTCGATTGATGTATTCACGTACTTGATCTCGTACTTGGAGAGAGCCTTCATGGAGTTCGAGAGCTACATAATCTGTCTAAACTACATGTGAGTGTCATAGAAAAGAATTAGGTATAGTAGGACCTCGCCAGTATCAAATGCATTATTGGATACTGCACTGTGTGAACTGTAAGAGATTAAGAATTGCGATCAGAATGCTACTAATGTGCACGGATTACTCGTGACTTACCAAACATTTTGAAGGAAAGGAAAAGAGACTTTGAGCAACTTCGTGACGGAATACCAATGAATGGTGTGGAAGTGATGTGAAACATATCGGTCCTCCCAACCAGTGAGATACGATACGACTTCGGGTGCACTAAACTCTTGTTCGCGACTAAGTGCGTTGGCACAACGCTGAATAAGTCTTTTATTGAGGACATGTAAGTCGGCGTTATGTGATTCACCATGTCGATGGTAAGCGAGAGATTTCGCGAGTAAAGCAGATGCATTGGAGGAGTGTTGTTGGCGTTTCGTAGCATAAGATGAAATATACCATGATATGTGCTTTGTTCCTTCTCCGTTCGTCAGAAGTTTGACATCGTGATTGGATCGGGTTGCTAACAAAATCCATGGATTCCAGTTGTTGAGAAAAGGATAGGTTCTGTGTGGTCCCCAAGATCCATCTGTATTGATCCATGCTTGGGGCGATAGTGGAAAAGGAGCACATCGTTTGCATAACAGACGGCCTTTATATGCTTTCAAGCAGCCAGTTCCGCACTTGTGCAGTTGAACCGCACGAACCAAGCGCTTTTCGACAATTGGATGATGCATTTTGAAACCTCGAGAACGAGGATCCAAAGGTCGGGAATAAGAAACAGCTCTTTCGCGCGGAGAGTTCATTAACGTCTCTTCTGTCAGTTCATCGTGATGAGCATGGATATTGCTCTCGATATAAGCAGCAACACGGGCGCGAAAATCAGATGATTCCAGTTTTGTTTTCATGTTTGCAGCGGAAGGAGCGCCATGCAGCCACACAAGCATATGTAGATGTAGAGTGCCTCGTCCTTGGGCTTCAACGGTTCCAATATAGCCTTCTACAGTCCCAAAAATGCCTTCGCGACGTACAATATGTCCTCGCTTGGGTTTCCGGACTGTGATTCCCATCAACTCTTCGAGAATAGCGCGGATGATGAAATGGAAGAAGTTTGCTGCAGCGTAAGGATCACTTGCCACGATAAGTGCACGATGCGAGGCATCAGGACCCGCAGTAGAGTCAAATTCGTCGAGGTTAATGTCCTCTCCAGCGAGCACTTGCGCGATAGGGTCATGAGTGTCCGTTGGATTGATTGTGATCCACAACGATGGTGGGTTCTTCATAATCGTCATACCCCAAATATACGAGCGAATGTTAATTCTTGATTCATCTGTGCCAATCACATTGGCTCTTACAGCCAAAATGTGCTTCTTCAATGAGCGGATAATGGGGTTGGATGGACTTTGTTTCTTCGCCTCCTCGCGACTTGCAGTAGCAAGATCGTCCACTGTCAAACGAGCGAAAGCTGCTTCATTTTGATGGAAAGATTTTCTCTGAACTTGTAGAACAGCTGCGCGACACACCTGCCTCTTCTGTATGACTCCGAAGACTTGAAACATAAAGTGAAAGTCTTTTCTGAATCGTTTATCTCCATATTTCATCGTCCATTTGGCTTGAGCTTCATACGAGATGGATCGAGGACGTTGAACCTCAAAGCCACCGAATCCAAAAGGAAATAGACAAGGAAATGCACCCAAAAGATGATTGGGATCGTCTGTGCTTCCTGCAAATCGTTCTCCACTTTCATTGACACGTGGGTATTCATTTACGAACCCTCCAGCGTGTTGGACAAGGTAAGATTCCTCCTTTGTATGGCACGTATTTGCAAACGCGTTCGCGAGAACGTCTTGATTGGATAGTTGACATCCTTCAGCATCAATCACTCCATGAGCTTGAATAGGAATAACTCGTGGATCTAAGTTGACGACGATGAATGACATTAATTACCACATTAATACTGCTTACCTGCTGATACCTCCTCAGATATGTCTACAGCATCGGTAGTAGAGTCCAAAGTTTCGAACATTGGATCGGAATCTTTAGTTTAACTTAGCGTCAATAATTCCGCGTGACGGTCTGTTGAGTTGTTACCTGCATCGTCATCACCAATCACGTATCCTTCTCGTTCACGTTCGAGAAGAATCTGTTGATTGGAGTACTTGATTACTGTTAAGAGTTCGGACGGTAATCCATCTTCTGGCAAGAGTCGTAATTTCTCCTCCGAAATGATAATGTCACTGTATAGATGATTCTCCTTTTTGAGGAACAACAACGCGTTCCTGACTCGACTTCGATTGACAGAAAGGAATGACGGTAACGATTTTACTGGAAGGTTGTTAGGTCCAATGATAGAGATTGTGATGGTTGCAGCGAGAAGAGCAGGAGGATGAGGGAGCAGTTTCCCTTCAATCATTGCTGCGATATCGGGTGTATTTAACTGGTAGGTTGAAACATTTCCACGTACTCCGCTATTTAGTGCAGCAGGGTCCCAGTGTTTTGTGCCTTTCTGCTGAGGATACAGCTTGATGACGTAGACCGCAGGAAAATATAGGCCCACTAATAAACGTTCCGGTAGATTGAGAATTTGGAGTTCATCTGGCACTTCTCCTACCCAAAGGCCGTTGACAAGAGATAACACAGGAATGTTGCCGGCTTGAAGATCGTCGAGACAGTTTGAACATATACCTCCCGACTGTCTGTCATCGGCAGTAAATATTCCTGGTGTGTACAGCAGCATGCCAGCTACAAGCTTTTGAGCTGGATGTCGGTAGACAGGTGTGAGCAAGTGTCGGTGAGGTATTTCGTCCAAATATACATGATTCATTTCATCGATGAAGTGCTCTTGTGCGCAAGAGATGCAACTCGCTTGATGAGTGCGGTAGTTACCCATACGATCAATAAACCTTGCCAGCGCCTGTTCCTTGACGGTTTCGTCTGGATTATTAAGAAAATCGGAATCGGTAGTGCTGTCACCGTCATGCGCAGCGAATTCTAATCGAGCGCGTTTGAATCGACCTTGTCTGTCATCCTGCTGCCTTTCTTTCTTCCGATTATATGCTCGTATTACCACTTTTTGCATTTCAGCTGAACCGCGAACGACTTCCAGAATATCGGCTCGTCGACGTTTTGTGGAATAGGAAAAGCTATTGGCACCTTCGGTGATTATGTCCTTGATGGTAAGGTGTTCCGCGAACTCCATGATTTCTTCAATGGTCAGAGCATGTGATATCGTATCCGCATGTGCGGCACTGGATGAGGTGTCGTTTTCCTCGACAAGAGAACTGTTTACTGGAAAAATGTCAGGCTATCTCCTACAGTAATCTCGCGCATGATTCTCACCACTTGCTTTTGCCGCTATCTTTGATACTTGCGACGAAGCTAAAGCCTCAAGCTTGGTCATCTTTACTATCTCTTTGATGATCAATTCACTCTTCATATTTGCCTTCACTTTGTGTTTCTGTACTTCGGTGAACAAATGAACCTGAATAAGTAATCTGAATCATACTTTTGCGACCTTTTGCAATTGTGCGCGGCTTAGCTGGCGAAGTGTAGCTTCATCGGTGTTGGTTGACGACGGACAAGACATTTCGTCGTTGGATGTATCTCACGTCGGCTGATTAATGGTCTTTCGTTTTGCGCAGTGTAGGATTTAATGGTCAAGCGGGGACCGATACATGCGGAGTCGATTGGTCAAGCCGAGATCTCGGATAGAGATCAATAGAGACAAATAACTAAGTAGGACATACTCGATATTTTGGTCGTTGACGGTCTGGATATCGATGCTCAAAACCAATCTTCGACATCCAATGCTAGTCATCATGATAAAGGTCGAAAAGATGTTGCCGCATCCCTTTCTTATTCCTATCGAATCTCACACCGTACATGGGCTCGCAAACGTGCAAACCTCAATAGTCACACGGCAATAGCTGGATGGATTTAGGAGTGTCAATAAATTTCTAAATGATTTAAAACGCGTAGGCATTAAGCTGTAATGAGAATTCATGTCACCGTCATCGCAAACTATCAACAGCGCACCACAATTTATTACAGTGCGCTGTTGATTATTGGGATGTCAGACGGTCGCGATGGTCACGTGAATGTGTTGTGTTGTTTACGACCACAGGTCACGCTACATTTATATGACCTTGCTTCGCAAGGTAATAACTCTAGTTGGTATAATGATGAGTCAGCAAGAGCTGCGTATGGCTCATGGGTCAGGTGACCCTTGATGACTCAGCTAGACAAGAGTGAGAAATGATTACATATTGTGTACGTATGTTTATAAAATCTGTGGCTGATGAATTGACTGGTAACATAATGACATAGGACGCGTGTTTAGTGATTTGTAAGCTTTCCCACAGGGTAACCTTATGCAAACATATTTTTCACAGTCACCTGATATGTGTGAGAATCTGTCTGAGTCACCCTCATGGCTGACTAAGCAAAACTCATCGCAGGAATAAATGTACAAAAATATTCAATCCGCTCGCGTACAAACTCGTAAAAGTGAAAAAAAAGCGAAAAATATTCCCTTAGCCTCAGTCTGACTTCAGGTTACAGGGAAAATGATTTCATAGTGATTCTAGGGCATAGGGGCTCATAGGAGAGTATCAGTCATCCATGCACTGAACCAGTTTGGTGCAGGTCATCTGGTGGAAACTGAGAAATCAATCGTCCCCGATTGCAAACTTTCAGGGGGAGGGGGTATTTCAAGAACTAGCTAAGCTTGGTTCATCTTCTGTATCAGGAAAGGGGTATCGTAGTGGGTCAGTCATGATATGGTTTTGAGGCATGGGTGGAAGTTCCCCTTGAAAATCTTCCTGCTGAACATCCCGTAATCTTTCTTCTATCTCATCGAGGGCGCGATTCAAATCTTGTGCTGTTATGAATATGTATTCGCATGTAGGGCATCGCCACCTGAGAAGGTATGCACCCCTCCTTCTTTCTCCACGATAGGGTCGCAAGTCTACCTGGTAATGTAGATCTCCATGTGGATGCATTTCTCTTGCATGCCACGTAAATGAACTTCCTAACCGATCAATCTGACTTTCAGCTATAGTCAGCTGGCTTCGAAAGTGTTCTTCGTTTGAATATATCTGACCAAGGCGAAGGTATTGGGTAGGTAAGAAGCCAGGTTCAGGCTGAGGGTTTGCCTCCAAGCCTTGCTCAACTCGTGTTGCACGATTCATCATTCTCCAAGACAAATTGTGGTACTTGCGCAAATATCGTCCTCAACAATCTCCAAATAACGTGTATGTTTGCTTGCTAGAATGTATAGAGCAAGAGCGTAAATAGTGTACAAAATGAGTTCCAAGACTCGCATAGCTAACTACAGTCGTTCTGGTACGTGTTTGGTTGGTGAAGAAAAATCTTTCTCGCGTAAGTATACAGAAACGCGGACAATGAAGGAACAATGTATTCTACCAGAAAAGATTAACTAGTGGCTGAGAAAATGGATGTACAAGTCAAACTGGATTCAGACAGTGGGTCTAGATTCCTAACATGTCTCAGTAGGTCATCATAGCGATGATCCTGAGAGCTCCATACCAAAAATTCACCTCCAAGTTCCTCAACACTATTACCAAAACTCTCACTTCCTTCCACCTGCTTCTGAAAGTCTTCAAGAGACGGCGCAATTGCGTCTGGTCCTGTGGCCTTGGATGACGTGAGGCGATTGGCATGTTTCTTGCACCAGTGTGCAAGGCGAAGATGCAAAGGGAGGGAAAGGATACGGGCAGGTAAAGTAAGGCGAACGGGTGGTGGAATGAATTCATCCTTGGGCTTGTAGTGCAGTGGAGTGACATGCACAACTAAGACGTCTTTGTACTGCACCACTATTTCCGAAATTCGGCCGGTGAAAACCTGGTAGCATGGGGACTGATCTTCTAAGCGCACGATCTGGCCGAAAAAAATAGACGAGTGACAGCTGCCGCACGCCTGCTGGTACGTCCAGTTGCGTTCTAACACACAAGTGTATGGGTCCGGCTTGGTGCGAATGGTAGGGTACCGGTGGGCGGAGTCAACAAATGTGCGGCGGCGGCGGAAAAGCATTGTGATAAAAGAGAGAAGTGATTTGTGAAAAAAAGAGAGTGATATTGAGTAGCGCTGTTGTGTACTAGCGGAAAACTGAGAAACGCCTCCAAATTTTGGCGTCCTTTATATGAAAGTTGAGCAGGGTCTTCAGGGACTAGAAATATTACTATACTTGGCGAATTTGACAGTCCCTGCGATCTAGCCCCTAATGAATTGTGAATGAAAAAGGTGCTGTCTGTTTTTATTAATGCCGCTAGGGTTTTAAGTTTTTTAAGGTTTGCATTCTTCCTGTTGCCGAAATTAAAGTTCAGTCATTAATTTAGGTTCCGGCTCAATTAATTGTCCTTCAGCGCGCAGTAACCAGTGAAGTAGTAGGTAGCATCTATGACAATGTCTCCTTACAAGCCGCTTGTATCCCGAATCCCATAATACAATTATAGTCAGTAAATATCCAGAAAATAGAGTTGAATGTGAACAGTGTATGTGATGTACAAGTAAAGCTAAGCAGGCCGCTTGGGTTTCATACAACAAATGTTCCTCTTCAGACATACCGTTCATTAAGAAAAACTCTGGGAAAACTAGGGAAAACTAATCTAATGGGAATGTTACCCACGATTGGACTTCTATCTTTTCAATTTCTTTCAGGTGAGCTTCTGCGTTCTGGGCCCGTTGCTCTAAGGTAGCGCAAATTGGGCAAATCCAGTTAGGAAAATTTGGTAATGTATCCTGTTCTTCTGGGGTTAATGGATCGGTAAGGTATGCGTTCCCAGGTTCCAACAAAATGTCCTTACTTCCTTCTGAGTGTGTATGCTTCTCCAATACGTGACCGATCCAGACAGCTGTGATACGAAGTAAGTTAGCACGAGCTTTCTGGCGCCACGTCTTCAACTGCTGTGGAGAGTAACTGGTCCCTCCTTCACTATTCAACTGGTCCATCAGAATCAGGAAGAAGATGTTCCTCTTCAAGTTCTTCAATTCCTTGAGAAAGTCTCCAAAATTGACGCGAGTTTCTTGATATGTATGGCAACAATCTAAAGGCAGCGACTCCACGACGGGATATTGTACCGTCCATTTCACTTAATACATACGATCCTCCCTGAGTTCGCTGTTCCACTTTATAAGGGCCGAGATAGCGGGGTTTGGTCTTTCGGTTTAGTTCCTTCTCTATCCGAGTATTACGTACCAGTACCAGATCTCCTGGTTGATAAGCTTCCCGTCTTAATCGCTTTGAATACCTTTTCTCAAACTGCTCTTTCGATCTGAACTGAGCTTTCTTCAGTGTTTCTGCTGCTTGCTCTAAGTCTTCTGGACGTCTTTCAAGCTGGCGTATCCTAAGTGCTAGCAATTCAACTGAAGTCATTCCACTCTTGAAACCATCTACCATAAATGTAGCTTCTGCTAAATCAAATGGCAAAACTGGGTGTACTCCGTGAACTAGGTAGAATGCAGAAAATCCTGTTACCCGACTTGTGGTAACTCGGTCCGCGAACAAAGTTTGGGGGATCTTCTGAGGCCATTGTGTAAGGTTTTCATTACACGCCTTTATTAATGCTTCTCGCAATATGAAATGCCCTCTTTCAACTACTCCGTTAGCCTGAGAGTTGTATGGTGAAATTGTAACATGTGGAATGTTCACTCTCCGCATAAGGGCTGAAAATGCTCCTTGCACCTCTGGTCCGTTATCAGTAGTTACTTGCCCAATGGCTCCATACCTGCAATAAAGATCTTCCCAAAAGAATTTACTAAGGGCCTGGCATTAGGTGCTCTCAAAGGTCGTCCTTCTACATATCGTGACAAGTCGTCCCTAGCCAGCACAATATATTTGAATCCCTGAGCTGGAGGCATATGCATGATGTCGATGTAAACTTTCACGAATATTGTAGATGGGGTAGAAACTGTAATAGGAATATGCATTTTGGTAGTGCTTCGAATTTGACAAGGGTGGCATGACTGTACATGATGCCGTACATCTGAAAATAAGTAGGGCCAGAAGAACCTAAGCCGTACTGTGTCCCACGTGGCAACTTCACCCCTGTGTCCAAGTTCTTCGTGTGCCTGATTCAGAATAGTCGCACGCTTTTCCGGATCAAAAACTACTAGTAAGGGTGGTCTAGCCTGCATTCGCTTATACATTCTCCCGTTCTGCACAAAGAATTTGACAGCCTTCTTCAGGAACCTCTTCTTTGCTGAAATACTTGCAAATGAAGGAGCTTCTAGAGTAGTTAGGAATTTGAAAATGTCCTTCAGGTTCTGTTCCTGCAAACTTGTTCCCATGAATACAATTGAGGGAAATGTTACCTCTTCCTGATGTAATACTGTAGCTCGGAAGCATGCCTGAGATACTCCCATATATAATGCTAATTCATCCAACCAAGAATCATCCTGAACCTCAATTCTTTCTCCTTCACCTAAACCTCTCCTAGACAAAGCATCTGGTCCTTTGAATCTGGTAGCTGGGACATGGATAAGTTTGAAATCAAACAAAAGGATTCCTTGGATCCAACGATTGATAGCTGCATTTGGCTGAAGGTCAGGTTCATTGAGCATTCCCTTGATATACTTGGCATCAACTTCTACATGAAGAACTTTCACACCAATAATGTACAGACGGAAATGACGAAGGGCTCGGTAAAGTCCGTATAGTTCCAGCTTTGGTTGCGAATAACGGGCTTCTACTTCATTAAATGGTAACGATCCGTATCTAGCCAGTTGCTTGCGTCCATTCTCATCATCCTGGGATAAGATTATCCCCGCTGCCATATAGCTAGAATCTACTGATAAGGTTACTGGTAATTCTGAAGTATAGTCAATTGATCTTAGGGCCGGTGCTGAAGCAACTAATTTCTTCAACATCTCAAAAGCTTCCTTACGTCTTTCATCCCAAATGAATTCTACGTCCTTTCTCCATAGCTCACTCAAGGGTCTTGCTAGGGTAGAATAGCCTGGGATCCATATACGTACAGTACCACACAATCCTAAAAATGCTCTAGCTTCCTTTGGAGTCGTTAGATCAGGCCAATTGAGAATCTTATCTACCTTCGTCTTATCTGGAAGACGTCCTTCAGGGGTACATGTCTGTCCAACAATCAAGACTTCTGGGAGACACAACTGGATCTTAAGTGCTGAGAATGTAGCACCAGCTTCCTTGACACGATGCATAATTCGATGAACATCTAAAGCATGTAACCAAATGAACTTTCGTATTCCTGGGTTTTCTGGCAAAATAGCAGGTTGGCCTTGCTCATCAGGAAATATAGTTGTGGGACCTTTGATAGGAAGATCATCTATGAATATGTTGGCCTTGTCAGGAATTTCATCCTTGAGAACAAACATCATGCATTTCTGGAATTCTGCAGGCGAGTTTGTAAATCCGGTTGGAAGCGATGTAATGCGAAGTAATCCTAAGGGGGTTAGGAATGCAGTAAGATCTCTACTTAGTGGGTGCAACTTTCTAGCATCAAATCCCCAAAATAAGTCAAATACTGTATAACATTGGGCTCCTGCAAAAGGTTCTACAAAATCGTCAAGAATTGGTGGTAATCCAGCATCGCAAATTGTAACCTTGTTCAAAGGCTGCAAATCATGAACTATTCTAAGCTTTCCATTCTTCTTAACTACGCAAAACCATCGTGATCTATATGCCGATTGACTAGCTTCATAGACTCCTGCATCGATTTTCAACTTTAGTACATCTATAACCTTGCTTCGTATTCCCGGTGGAATTGGGATATTCTTGTATTCCCAGGGAATATGGGGAACAGTAGGAATAATATAGGGAGAGAAGTATGATTCCTTCAGAGTACCTCTATCTGTATCTTCAAATGCTAGTGCATCCTGGTGTAGCCACATAATATAGCAAAAAAGCTTCTCCTCCTCAGGACGTAAGAATCCTTTAGCATTGATATTCAGAGCTTCAAGTCGTTCTACAGTAAGCTTCTTGGTAGGAAATATATCTGGGGGATTAGGAGATAGGGGTACGAGGGTATCTAAAGGGTTGTTTGGGAATTGTCTCACCACTTGGGCTTCCTGGGGAAATACTCCTGGAACTGGACGTACTTTCTTGTCCACTCGCTTGTACATTGTGAATGAATTTACATTTTCTGAACTAGCCAAACTGTATTTGAAGGGGTTGTCAGGGGTCCAAAACATCCCTTCATTCTCATGTCCATCAAGGGTCATTGCCCATATTGAATCTCCAGGCTCAAAATGAGCCTCAACATTATCGGTCCACATGGTTACCGTATCTTCCTCATTACTTGCAAACTCTTCCATGGTTGCAGAATCATATGAGTCTGCACTTCCTTCCTCAATCTCTTCATAATCTTCCAGGGTGTTACTGGCTCGCGCATAGAGTCCGTAGCTTGATTGCATAGTTTCCAAAGTTCGTACTTGGAATGACATCGGTTCACCAGACCGGTTCTGTAATGTATGTGTGACTCGTTGCTAAGTGTAAATTGCGTGAGACTAGGTTGTCAGGCAAGGTTACGTGTCGCAAATGTGTTCTAAGCTCGCGGGCTGGTAGTATCTGTTTCGCACTTGGTATATTCTTGGCAATGTATTTCTTACGTATATATATGTGAAAAGATTACAAAGACTTGGCTAATCAACAACTCGTTTTTCAGGCTACAAGACCTAGGGAACAACAAGTTGTTGTATACTAAGTCTAGACTAGACTTAGGTCGAAAATAGCTTTAATAGACACTTAGTCACAAATCCTTGCAATAAATTGACACCAATATTTCAATAGACTCCTGTCTCAGACAAGGCTTAGTAACAGGGGAGGGGACAAAACAAACAATGTATGAATTCTGTAAAACTGGTACAAGGCTTATGTACAATATACAACAAAAATCCAAGTGAAATTGCAATTGTAACAAGTAGTAACAAGTAGAAACTAACACGTTCACACGTCACAAACAAACAGGCACGAGAACGATCAAAAACTATTCATAGTTTGTACAAAAATAGCGCTACTTCGAAGACAGAATTCAAAGACCAAATCAAACATATTCAATCCAGGCACGCAAATACATGTACAAATAGGCGCAAAAAAAAGAAAAAAACTAAGCAAAAGACTTCGTAATCAGCGATTGAAAAACATACAAGTACATAGAGTTACGCAGATACAAGTACAAGTAGGTACAAATGCAGACAAATGAGATACGAAGATAACAGACAGCGAAGAAAAGAAGTTCCAAGACTCGAATCCCTACCATGAAAAAAAAGAATGCTGAGATCATTTGAAATGAATAAAAATAGACACATACCCCCTATTCCAAAATGTATGGACCAACGCGCTGAGTATTGAAGCAACGTTGGGCCTGGGACTCAGCAACACACAACAGATAGTTAGAACTAATGTTGGGCTTGACGCCAGTGCCACGAAGGTCATCAAGGGAGTAATTCTGTAAGAGCTGGTGGACAACGTCCTCGTCCGGAAGGGAAAGTGCAAGAAGGTCGTCAATCGTGTCAGCGAGTTGGAAGTAAGAGTAGAAACGGAAGATGCCCGACGTGGTGCGAAGCGTCGCGGCCTCGTCGATGGTGAACAGCGGATTGGATGAAGGACATGCCTGTAAAAAGAAAGCGGCGCGGTTGACGTTGGCAGGGATGCAACGCACTCCATCAACAACAATAATGAAAATAAGGGAGAGGAGAGACTCCTGCGACTGGATGGGGGTAAGTGTCGCATGCGTGAGTTGCAGGATGGTGCATGCAGAAGCGCGCATGTTCTGAAGCTCGTACATATGGGTATGAAGGCGAGTGCGTCCGCGTGGGACGGCTTTAGAGTAATCAGGGGTGTCATTATGAAAGATGGAGCTAGGGCGAGCGATGTGAAAACCGGCGAGCTCGAGCCCCAGCTCACGGGTAGCTTGATCGGCCATGGCCTTGGCCAAAAACTGGCACGCAGAAATGAGTCGGATGACGAGCCTGGCGTCATAAAGTCCTGCAAATGGAAGGGGATCATACTGTAATTTGTCCGTGGTAAGTCCGAAAGCAACGGGAGTGTTCCGAGGGAGGATGTCCTCGGACTCATCGACCTCGTCGAGCGCGTCAAGGGTTCTGTTGAATTTCAGGGATGGGATAAGTGCGGGCATCGTGCGACGGGATTGCGGGTTAGCGAGGTCTTGCGCGAGATGTGAAAGGCGTCGGTAGACTAACGTTTGGGATGGGAGTGTGAGTGTGTCGTCCTCCCCATCGGACATGGAGGAGGAGTTGGTGGATATGGATTCCTCGGAGGAGTCTTCATCGTCCGGAATGCCTTCCGCATCAGTGTCTCCGCCGGAGGTGTCCTTCATGATGTTAGTCCAGCCTTCCGCAATCGGAAGACTCACAGGTTTCAATGCAGGCGCCTGAGACACAGCAGCGGGACTGGGAGGAGGAGTAGGTGGTACCTTCCGGCGCACAGCCGCTTCATCATCAGTTTCTTCTTCTTTCTTCAATCTCACCTCACTTCTCTTGAACTCCATAGTAGCGCTAAACGTGTCCTTCGTGTCTTGAGCAGGTCGAAGAAGGAGGGAACGTTGGATCCGGGGGTCAAAAGTAGGATCGGGACGCTTCGGGTCCGGAATATCCGGCAGGTTATCAATATCCGACGCAGTCATATGCGCCAGATCCTCGAAACTGATAGTAGGTAAAGGGATAGTTTTATTGTAAAACTTACGAAACTCTATATCATAGTCGGGGAGAAATGGACCACTAGTTATACAACGGGCAAAGGCCATGGGAGTAGGTGAACGAATTGATCGAGCTTCCAAGGGAAGCTCGATCGCAGGGATATTAATATTACCATATTGGGAGATTAGTTCGGGTTTGGCAAACTTCGCACTGATTACTATACTAGGTAAGAATTCTCCCACGTGCCTTGCATCATCTCTCAGATCTTTGTACTGAGAGCTATTGAAAACTAAGTAATCGGCATGATGGTTTCCATCGATTGAATGAGCATTGAGCACGTTGGCAGTGTGCCTAAACGCGTGATGTCCGGGATGTGTGAAACGCACGCTATGCGTGGTACCGGCATAATCGGAAATTTCCGGATTAGGCTGGAAAAGTGTGATGGATCGGCTAGGAGGCATTATGTATGGGTGCTTTGACTTGCCGACTTTTTCAGAATTTTCCTGCTCCCCTTTTATAGATTCTGGTACTGTAGCACTTTCCAAATTATGTAGAGTACTGTTCATTAAGTCCAAACAGTTGTCTACTAATTTCGATACTTGTCCGACAATATGGCCTTGCATTTTTACTAGAGTCCGCCTACAGTTTGCATGGATTGCGTCATTCGGTATTACTAAACTTTCCGGACTTGCGGAACGAGTGATTGTACTATTTTTAGCTACTTCTAAACAGAACGTGTGATCTTCGGTACCTTGGGAACATGTAATGTTCCAGCTGTTTGCCCCGTGGTCTCGGCTCTTTCCATTTTTGGAAGGCGTGACCAATACTTCGGATATCTGATCGTTAGAGGGGCTATGTCCAAATTCTAACCAAGTCCCTGTACGTCGCTCATGTATAGATACTGCATTATGTATTTGCCAGGGTCTACCTAATAGAATATCAAATGGGACCGAAGCACCTACATAAATTTCCGCTATTGTAAGTACTGATCCTATTCTAATGGGAACTTGGGAAACAAGTCCCTTGAGATGTCCCGTGCTGCCGTTTGCGTCATGTAATGTTAGTGTTTTGCTTCTATTGATAGGAAGTTTGATGAACTTTTCATACGTGTCTTCGGAAACTATATTTAGCTGACTACCGGTATCTATTACCGCTTTGAGATTGCACCCGTCGATCATAATCGGCAATTCTATTAATGCTTCCTTTGCCTTCGCTTCGAAACTTTCCGACACTCGGAAGCTTCCGGCCTCAAGTTCATGTGCTCTATGCACGTCATACGCCAGGTGAACATCCTTTCTACTTACTGTTTTAGGCTTTATTGACTCGGCCAGCAACCCCGACAGTTCTTTGGATACTCCAAGTATTTCTCCCGCGGTAAGTTCCACCGGTACGTTGAGAATTCTATTTAGAACTAACTTGGCGCTGATGCCATCAGCAAGTTCTGATCTCCTTATTCCCGATTTAGGTTCTATTAACGGATCAACTACCTTTTGAACCTTCGTGTTCTCCTTAGGTGCGTCCCATATCTTTTCTCTTTCTTTTCCTCTTACTAACTCTCTAAACTTTCCTCTTTTAGGGCATCATCCTCCATGACGACGTCGTCATCTTGCGCATCGTATCGCGCCCTTTCTTCTTTGTTTGGAGGCGGTGAGCTCTTCTCATACGCCCCAACTTTCCAAGGTTCGTTTTTCCTTTCTCTTGTTTCCATTCTTCCTGGAAACTCTCCAGGTCTGGCCGGTAAGTTTTCCTTTTCATTCCTTGTGTTCCCATGAGGAACGTTCACTGATTCATATATCTTTCTAGGTTCTAGCACTTTAAACTCGCGCGCCTTGGGTACTGTTGGTTTGCCCGGAGGTTCTGAAGCTTTTTCCGGCTCAATTTTCGTCGGCGGAGCAGCGACAGGGGTTTTATTAGGTTGTTGCCGGGCAACAGGTGCATACTGCCTTTCTCTTCTCAATTCATAACGCTGATGTTGCTCTTTTTTTAGTTCCGCTCTTGCGTCTCGTCCCTTCGGAGGATATACACCATCGAAAACTTCATTCCGCCGACGGGTTCCTTCTTTCTCTGTCCGCACTGCCGGGTAAGTTCTTACTATCTCTTCCTCGCCGTCCTCCTGACTATCATTTCCCAAAGCCCAACAATTTTCTAGATTCTCTTCTGATTCACTTGCGCTCTCAGGAGCCTCCCTCCAAGTAACAAAGTGAGTTTTCGCTGATCTTTTCCAATTTTCATACGCATTTACTAATGTTCCTGTCCCCCACTTTCTTAGGGGCACTCCTTCCGGCATTACAAGGTATATGCCTTGCTCCGTCCGCCTCAAGGATCCATTAGTAAGTAATTTTTCTATCTCCGAGCACCTTGACACAACATGACCCTTTTCTCCACAGCCAAAACATGTTACTTCCATAGAATAGGGGTTACTGTAGTTAGGGGTAGTAGATCTATTGCCTGTAGTAGTACTATTGTTGATATTCATATTGTTTCCCTCCCTTGGTGTGAATCTGGCTGCAGGAAATCTTGAGTCCCTAAGTCCCATATAATGTTCTTTTCTCCTTCTTTCCATGGGACTTTCAACAATATCCCTAACTGATGGATCTAAAGTGACAGCTTTGTAGTATAGGGTGTTATAGTTAGCATCCCCTATCTTCATCCGTCCAAGTTGTTGAATCAAGTTCTCAACTTCCTGGGTGTCTTGCTTAGCCTTCCTTTGCTGCTGTACTGCTCTTCTCGTCTTGATAATAGGGGTTTCTTCCTCGTCAGAGCTGAGATCATCAAAGCGAGTCTTACGTATAAGAGGCTTACTGGTGGGTAAGTGCTTCTTATGCTTTGCTTTCTTTGAAGATTTCACTCTTTTAGGGTATTCTTCCTCCGAATAAGAGCTAGAATCTGAGTCCGATTCTGAATCTGAAGAACTGTTCGTGTCTTCACTGTCAGAGTCCTCAGTATCTGAATATACTAGATCCGTGTCAAAGCGATCCCACTGCAGAATCTTTTCTGCAGCTTGTGACACATCAGCCACCGAGAAAGGGGTTGTCATGTCTCTCAGGGGTGTTGACACCAATAGTCGCGTTTCAATCTGGGCACGTAACATTTTTGGAATTCCTTTCCAAAAGTAGGTAGCATGATCATTGCTAGATATCTTATTCTTGGCTAATAGCCATCCTCCTATGATCATAAATTTCCGAGTGTACTTCTTCCACTCCGTTAGGGTCCTCATAGATCCTGACCGATTCTTCTTAGCAAAAGCAAATAGCTTGCGAACATTGTATCGCTTGACATCTCGATCTGCATCATAGAAACTGCTGAGGTCTGCTTTCAGTTGGTCCCAGTCATTACTCCTATAGCTTGGCAAAGCCTCAATGAACCGAATAACATCTGTGGAACAATACAGGGTAATATTCTCACACTTCTCCTGATCAGTTGTAATCAAATTCAGGTAGCATAATCTCTCGTATTGGCGAATGAATGTCTTCACTTGGTGATACTTTCCTTTGAACTTGGCAGGGGCACGCTTGCCTCCTGGCAAGGGTAAAGCAAGGGGTATATATGCTTGTTGTGCTACTTGCACAGCAGCAGGTTGAGCAGCAACAACAACAGTAGGGTTTGGTGGTGGATTCATGATAACAGTAGATACGAATTGTAATGGATGCAAATATATGTATCAGTTGTGCAGGCGAATTAGTCCGAATATACCTAAGGAGCTAAAGTTTCAAAATACCACCCCTCGCGGTGGGCTCCAGTAATGTCTTCTTAGATAGATGATCTATAGATAAACACCTATAAAACCAAATATCTCCACGGTCAGCGATTCAGACAAATACCAATGACTGATAACGTGGTCGTTCGTGGGTGGCTTGCCTAGCTCCTAAGATACAGTCAGTAGAATATGGCTCGCACAAAAAGTCAGTAGTCAGTGATCAGCAGTCAACAGTCAATCCACCAATATGGATATGAAACACAACGATGAGAGAAAAACACAGAACTCAGTCAGTCAGCGATCAACAACAACAACAACAATCACAACAACACAGACAACAACAAACAAATCAGGAAACACAGTCACTCTAACAATATAGAGATGACACAAAACAAACAGACACTCTTCCTAACACTTCACACAGCAACAAGGATTCGTACACAAACTTAGTGCAGCAAGTTGTGCGGAGTTACAATGAGAGTCCCCCTCAATACAAAAACAGGTGAAACTACCGTCAGGCCTAGTCAAGCCTTTGTAGCACTCTTAGCCTAATATTGAACCTGCTGCCAAGGAACTCACAATGAGTATTAAACAGACTCAGGAACGGGCGACCTTGGACTTCAATACCAAGTCCCCTTTTCAATAGCTAAAGTCTAACTCGCAAATGACTACCCTCGATCGGTATAACACACAGATGTAAGAGGTCAGGTATCACTGTCAACACCTAAAGTCTCTCCACTAGACTATCAGAGTCTTCCGTGGACAAAAGAGACAACACCAAATGTCGGAACTTTTTTTACGGCATTTTAATCGATTAAAATGGTCTAACGACGCGGACCCATTACCATAGATTATGATCAAACAGTCAGCATTTTAATGAACCTCGCGCCATTTTAATGCACGTGAACATGATGATATAACGGGTATTTTAATGGTACCCACCGAGTATTAGTGGGCATTTTAATGGCGGCCCTGTGGTCTGAATGCACATTGTAAGGTTGTCAACTGAGGTCTTAATGTCGTGATAATCATTCCAGCAAGGTGGTGATGAATGTTCAACGCATATCAATTGTTATTGTGAGACAAATATTAATCTACATTATGATATGCATGGTGAAAACAGAAATGACTCCCCTCGCCTCCGTACTTGCCCGGACCATAAAGCCTGCTCATGACCAACAACCGACATAGAATAAGTGCGCTCTGGACACGCAAAAAAATGAGATCGAAAAGAGATAGGTAACACAAATAAAGTGCACCTTGAGTTGCTGGAGCAAAACGAGAGCAGCAAGAGTAACAGAGTGACGAGCACGCCTTGAGTTGCTAGAGCAAAACAAGAGCAGCAAGAGTAACAGAGTGACGAGCGCGCCTTGAGTCGCTGGAGCAAAACGAGAGCAGCAAGAGTAACAGGGTCTAAGTGATGATGCTTGGTGTGATGGGGGGGCGCAACCGACTCTGGACAGGCAAAGAGATGAGATGGGAGGGAAACGGACAACATATAACAAAGCACACCTTGAGTCACCGGAGCAAAACGAGAGCAGCAAAGGTAACAGAGTGATGAGCGCGCTTTGAGTCGCTGGAGCAAAACGAGAGCAGCAAAAGTAATAGAGTGATGAGCACACCTTGAGTCGCTGGAGCAAAACAAGAGCAGCAAAGTAACAGACGGATGAGCGCGCCTTGAGTCGCTGGAGCAAAATGAGAGCAGCAGAAGTAACAGAGTGATGAGCGCACCTTGAGTCGCTGGAGCAAAATGAGAGCAGCAAAAGTCACAGAGTGATGACGGGGAGGTTGAAGGCACCAGAATTCTGGACATGCAGTCTAAAAAAGATGAAATGGATTCAGAAGGGAAACGGGCAATTTAAAATCAAGCGTACCTTGAGTTGCTGGAGCAAAATGAGAGCAGCAAAGGTTATGTTGGAGTGATGAAGGGGAGGCTGAAGGCACCAGGACCAGATGGGAACATGGACGTCGACATTGAGGAACAAAAGTGAGTTTGAATCGTCAACCTAAGCACTATCAATGATAAACTCAATGACATAAAATAAATTACCATGTTAGGAAATAATCATAGCAAAAGGGCTAAATTGGCGACAAACATGTATTACTATAGGCATCTGAATGGCCACAAACTCATTGTAATGCAATATCCATGCAATCCTACTTTCTATGTTTGAATAATGGCTGAAATAAGGAGGAAGCTCACTATCGTCAGTGATTCAGATGGTGCTTGACGGAAAGCACATCGAGCTTGTCATGTGCTATTATGGGATACAGCAGGGCAAGAAGACTATGACCGCTTCAGATCTTATCAGTTAGTTCAAGACATATTGTTCTTATCTGCTTTGCTGTCGACTCACCGACTCTGGACAATGTGCAGATTTTTGAGGTGATGCATTTCTGTGCTGGCATTCCCATCATTCTTGCTGGCTGCAAGAACGAACTCAGACATGACCAACAAGTGATTGACGAGCTCAAGATGACGGACCAGAGACCTCTAGTGAGAGAACAAGATTGAGAGAGCCAACTACTAACACCGTGAAAATCTCGGCATAAACCCCATCTAGCGAGAGAACAAGATCGAGAGAGCCAACGACCACCAATGACTAGGGAATGACACAGGTGTACCCGTGGGTGTCGCAAGCATCACCCGCACCCGCACCCACACCCGCAGGTATACCCACACCCCCATGGCGGGTGCGGGTCTCATGGTGGGTTGGTGGGTAGTATAGTGGCAGGTGTGGCACAACAGTGCCCGCATCGACTGTGTGGACAGACGAGTCCATGCTGCTGCGCCGCGAAGACGAAGAAGTACCTGCGCTTGTCGCACCAGAACCCGTTCTGAAACTGTCTCCTCCATAACGGAAGGAGTGCCAGGCATGTTAGATGCGCTTGGGGGCTTGGTGAGGGAGGAGTGCTGCGCACGAGCGTCGTGTCGAGAGCGCTTCCAAATAATATCGGATTTCATACTAATGGGACGAGCAGAGCCGTGAAGCTTATAGTAGAGGCCGCATCTGTATGTATATAAGAGATAGGTACGAATATAGAAGGAACAACAAATGAGAACTTACGCGTTGCAAACAGTCTTGCCTTCATCGTCCTTCCTCCACAAAGGAGTTGCAACCAGGACTCACCACCTCCACAACTCGGACGAGTCCATACCCTTCACGACTAGTTGTTATTAGCAATCTTCACGATCTGTCCGAGGCTTGAACTCGACCTTTCGCGCTGGAAGACAGGCGCTCCTACGACATGATAGAATTGGTGATGGGTTTGAGGCGCCAGTCTAAGAAGAGAGAATTTTGCCTGTATCCGGTACACAAACAGGTCGTCGTTGGGGTTGGCATTGGGATGAAGGCACAGTGAGATTGCAAAAGCTGTACGAAGGAGCAACACATAGGTAACCCAAACACTCGGATTACAGTAGAGCTAGAATCTAGTGATTGTGTGATCAGATCTTAATAGCAATACTAGGGAGACAGAAGTATCATGCTACAGCGTGACATGAGGAGCGGCGAATAGTGGTAGAATCACTGGCCAACGTCTGACTCTTGGGCTTCCTCCTGCCCCTGGATGCCTTTGCCTGAGGTTTGGCAATAGTAACAAGCCCAATAGCTGGTGATACGTCCTCGCTCTGACCCTGGGCATCCACCAAAGTCTCTACACATGGTGCCATAGGAGTTGAAAAACACGGAGTTGAAATGGAAGGTTGTAGGCTAGTATCAACTTGAATGATAGGCCCCGGGGCTGCGGCTTCGGACTGCGGGACTGCGGCTTTGGGTTGCGGGACTGCGGCTTTGGGTTGCGGGACTGCGGCTTCGAGTTGGGGAGCGTCAACGGCTGTCTTAGGTTGCAAGGTTGAAATGGTTGCAGCTGCAGCTGCAGTTACAGTCGGATGGATGTTAGCTGCCTGTACCAGCAAGTTAACATATTCCAATGAGTCTGAATCATCGTTTGAGTCTGAATCACTGGCGTCCAGCGCGGCCATAACACGATCAAGTGATTCAGTGACTTGCTCCATGGTGCACTGAGTGTCATTGGATGGCTGCGTCTTGACAGTACCATCAAAGACGTATCCGTTGATTTGCTCGACGACCGATTTGATGCGCTGGTGGTTCCACTTAACAACGAAGAATTTCTTGACTGTCTGAAAGAGGGAGTGATACGCGATCGAGGAAATGGCACCAACTCCATCACCCGAGAATTCCTGGTCTGGGGACAGGATGAATATGATCTACAGGACATGATGAGTATCAGCTCAGTGTATATTCAAACTGGGACCCTACCGATGTGACGCTAAATGCGATCAGGCCAGGAGTGCAGCTTGTGAGCTTCCACATCTTAGCGTAGGAAGGTGGTCCGCCACGTGCTTTGGAATACAATGACATCTTTCCGCATACCGCAACCTTCATAGCCTTCAAAGCAACATATGAGTAGCCAGATCCGCTGTTACTAGTATAAACTGACCTTACCTTTGCGATGACTATCCAGTTCCTGAAGATTTTCTTCTCGTTCACGATATGATCGGGGTAAAGTATGGGCGCCTTGAAGATATCATAGGCCTTGCCTTTGCCTGCTTCCCATCCGATCAAGTCTGTGACCTGTGAGAGGGAAGTTCGGTTGTATTTCGAAACGAAAAATTCATTGGGCATGTTGAAGATGCCGCCTGCAACAGTACGCAGGCTGTTTAGAAATGATGAGCGAGCTTGCTGCATTCCGCTCCCGAACTGATTGAAGTATTTATTATAATATTAAAGCCTTGAAGTGAGAAAAACTGCGCACCTGGTTGAAGAATGCATTTGTTCGCATCTGAGCGTGCAACGTGTGGTCAATGGACGCATAGAGTTCAGCAACGAGTGCATCCTTTGCTGTAGACTTCTTCGCATAACGATTTGGATTCGAGAAGTCGACTGCAGGATCAGGACAGTCTGTTTGAAAAATAACCTTGTCAGGGAGAAACATCTCGGTAGTTAATGCATATTTTTTCGCCAGGCTTAAAATGAGCTTGTCAACATCATTCGTCGTCGATGAGGCAGGAGCTGAGACAGCAGATTCTGATGCGGACAGTATCGCAGATGCTGTTTGCGACATTGACGATACCCTAGACGACAATGTTTGAGGGTGTTTACGAGAACGTTTCAGCTGTTGTGCAGCCAGAATGCCATTGCTCTCATTCAGAGATGCATTCCGCTGCTGGAGCTGCCCTTGTTGAAGCTGGAGATATTTGATATACTAATGTATTAACAAGTATGTTAGAATTTAGAATATGTGATACGAACAAAAGCACAAGCGTACCTGTTGGTAGTGTTCAATAGAGGCGCCACTGCTCGGTGGAGCCACAGGCTGACATTGGGTGCCTTCATCTGCCGAGTCTGAACCTGAATCAGAACTGAAGGATATCGAATTCGAACCAGAGTCAGACATTGAAGGGTGTTGAGAGGTGGGTCGTCGCAGGGTGTCAAGTCCGTCTCGCAGTCGGTGCCATTTTATGCAATCGTGTTGAGGCCATGAGGCTGCGACCAACAAAGTTAAATTGAACAGTAATTTACACGCGATGAGGACGTACATAATAATCATCGCAACATGTTGCAGGTCGATGTGTGATAGTACACGTTTCAAATCTACACATCAACACGTGGACGGATAAAGTCTTACGATTCAGAAATAATGAGGTCACTTACATATGTAAAATGAAGAATGTTTGACGAAAGGCTGTTTGTAATTGCCGTGCATGGAAAGGCCCATCAGAGCAGGCTGGACCTGGAAACCGACATAGACGTTAGCACAGTTGATGGTCCACCAAAGTTGGGAAATAAGTTCCTTTGAAGAGCGTGTGCTCCAAGATACCCTTAACACCGCCTAGACATCAACATGGTAGTTGTTCGGTTGCCCGAGCTTTCCATCATGGCACTAAGACTCGCGCACCATAATGCGACAGCGGACTAGAGAAAACGCTTTCGACGAAGAGTATGATGATGGGGATTATGTCACGGAGTGGTGTATGGTATATCTATATGTTTTGTTAGTATATTTTCTTATACAAAGTTTACAGCTCACCAAATGTAGGTTTGAAGCGGCCGGTGCTATTTACGAAGTGGTTAAGATGAGGTGTGACTTTCTTGGATGTGAGTATGTGCGTGATGGATGTTGCATTTTGTCGGACGGTGCTTGCGAATATGTGACGTTTGCATCTGTACTGTGGGCAGTCAAATAGGTAATGGTCTCGTCAGTTCCTGGGCATATGGGACAGTGTGAAGTGTCGCTCTCAAAGGGATGTGGCAGGACCTGGCTTACTTACAGGAGCAAATTTGCGGCTCTCAAGCCAGTATTAAAGCGGTAGTGGATCAAGTGCTTGGTTGATCTTGTAGAGCCTTGACTCGAAGAAACATGTCAGTATCTACAGTGTGAATTACAAAGTAATCTCCGTCTGTTTCCGGATCATTTGCGAGAGCAGCACCCCGAATGATCGATTGGACAGAGATGATTTCAGAGGATATGCGAGGTTTGGCTCGCACACGCCACAGTCCCATGTCATTATCTCGCCTTCGACGACTACTGGCGATACCAACATCATAAGGATGAATCAGCGCGAGAGGGAAATCAGTGTTGCCAATCAAGCAGCTGAACATGTACACGAGGCGAGCGAAAAATGGTTTGTCGGCAGTCTTCACGATGACGCAGTCATACCTTGGCAATCCATAGAACTTCGGGTTGCACCGAAGTAAATCTCAGTGCAGGCGCCAGTTGACTATTGATTCGTAGTTGACACGCAAGAAATGAAACACTGTTATCTAATAGTAGTGTATTAGTATAATGAATTGAATGAGAAGTAAATTAGCATACCATATCTTCTGTGCGCAGGTGAATACACTTTCCATCCGGCAATGGAATATTGTGCTGTGGTAGAAAGCCATTTAAGAAGCCATTTAGCTTCATCCGAAAGTTGGTGAAGGCCCTGTCAGTTCCGTGCGAGAGCATGATATCGGAAAACGAGTGGTTGCCTTGCCTCGAACCTAAATGAGCATGGATAGTAGTAGATTCGGGTTCCCCAGTGTCATCCAAGTCCAGCGCTTCATGAGTCTCTGGGTCGCAAGTGTTTCGTTTGTAGTACTCGTCAAGTTCATCGAGTTCAGTGCGCATAGATGTTGAGGTCAGAAGCCATTCATCATAGTGCAGAATCTGTAACAATAAAACAAGTCTGAATCTGCATGACAAATAGTTACAAGTAACAAACCTGAGAAGCGACGTTCTTGAAATTTGTACGTTGAAGATATATTTTTCGCAACGAGCCGTGCATTTTTTCATTTGGTTTGGTACTGTAGTTACGTGTCGCACCTTTCGATATGATATCGTCGAATATGTGAGAGACCAAATGTTTCTTTGGAAAGTTCCAATTTTTGAGGGTTTCAGGCTGTGATTGGGCAATATATTCCTAGTGATGTGTCAGCTGATCATCATCGAAAACCAGAACAATACAGTGACTTACGGCCATTATCTCTGAGAACTTTTGCACTGCCAACCTCCCAGCTGCGATTGTATGCTCTGTATGCACTTCTAACGAGGCATAGATATCAAACTCGATGTAGTGGTGAATGCAGCGAAGGAGTAAGTGTCCCAGTTTACAGCGGGACGAAGTAAATATATCCTGTGCGGCAAAGACAATCATCTAAATAGTAAGTTTGTGTTAGTGCCGAAAACCGCTTATAATGTGCACATGAACCTTTGACAGATCCCCGAGAACAGTACCATCAGTGAAATCCACTGCGACGACAGACGAAAAATGTGTTAAATCAGGCCATCGCGGAAGTCCATCAAAACTAGTAGGACGCTGAGTCAGAAGTAGCAACAATGTATCATGGTAATCACAATACATACTTTTTGTCGAGTTTGACAGCTGCATCGCGCCCGAGGTCTGAAATCCAAAACTTAACTTCCTTCCACAAATGATCGCCCCATAACCCTTCCTCATTTGTGTGAAGGCGGTCGAAAGAAAGTGCACGATGAACGTCGACGTGACGAACTCTCGAAAAGACATTCTAACAATTGAATTACATCAGTATTTGATAGATATCACAGCAGGAACTGCATACCTCAACATTTCGGAGCGAGAAAGCCTTGAGATGAGCCTCTTTTTCCTTCTCAGAAGGCTTCAATCTTGCAGTGCGAAGTACATCTTCAGATTGGTGGCGTGTGCGAAACTCGTGGGTAGCAAGAACGGACTGCTCGTCTTGCGGAACCAAGCAAACTGGACACGGGAATTTTCCCTTAAGTCCACGGATCAACGCCATGATACATCTACAATTTATACATAAGCCTCACAATAGTAAATGCATGTGGTACTTACTGTTCTTCATAATCAGCGCTTAAGATCAAAATAACAGGCCAGAGACGACGTTGGATTCCATCTCCACACTCAAACCAATAACCCGTATTCGAGTGCTGCGCAACTGAGGCAAGAAGCTGGTAAAATGACGTGTGCCAGACAGCATTTTTGAAGTCGACGTAGTTCTTCTTTTTCGCATGTTCCTGATTCTTGACAATCTAAATCAATACGGCAGTTAGCAATACTAATACTAACCCAACAAGCTTGTCAATGCAACTGACAATGGGCAGCCAACCGACGACGCGACCACCTCCCAAGGCAGTATTGTTGTTGCGAATGTGAACAGGTAGGTTGGCAATACGCGCAATAATTGGGTAGCCCTTTTGGGTCCCAAATGACGATAGTTTACTCTTGTCGGCATAAAGAATGTATGCCAGTGGTTTCGCATCTGAGGGAAGCTGGGACTAGTACAGTTACAACGGTTTGACATTGTACTATTAATTTAAAACAACAATAAAACAAGATTTGAAACATACTTGTGCATTCCAAAATGCATCAGCAGTCCATGGTTCGTCAATGAAACGTACAAACCTCTCTCCGTCGAATTTCGAGAGACGTTGAGCATCGAATACGAAATGAGGCGCGAGATATTTGTCTCGCAATAAATCGAGTCCCCAATCCCAGAGAGGGCGGTAATGCATCTCGAATTCGTGCACCTCACTGTCAAATGGAACAGACACTGTATCATTCTGAAACTGCGCACTGATAATCAGTTTATTATCATGTTAGTATTAGTACATGAGACAATACTCACTCTGGTATAACGTTGCGAAGCAAGGTTCCATAGGGAGCGAACCTCATCGTGATTTTGCAGCGTGAACTTATCATTGCCGCTAGCAGATCGGTGCACGAGATCCAGAAGGCGATTGGTTTGATCCTTCGTCATCGCAGCTTCAAGTGCAATCTCTGCTATTTCGAAGTCTAGCCGCGTGCGGAAGGGTTCCCAAGGTGTATTGTTACGAGGCACAGTATGTTCTGTCATGCAGCTGCGGGTGAACTCAGAGAAGTGATGTACAGTGGAAGAAATTTGGCTGTGAGGATGATACTCGACTTTAATATCATCGAGCTCAGGATTGGGCTTGTTGGGACCAGGATCAGGCTCATTGGAACCAGGATCGGGCTCGTTGGGAGCAAAATCGGCCTCGTGAAAGTCAGGTAAGGCTGCGTCATGGTCCACTGGTGGGTATTGTCGAGGCGATGACCCTTGCATCTCTGATATTGACAGTCTCAGTACATAATCAATCTAATTAAATTGAACATACCAACATCTGGATCTGGATCTGCCCAGATCGCAGTAGCGCTCACTGTATTGCGATGAGAACAATTAGAAACATAGTACTATCATTGAAACATAAGGGCCCACCTGCAATAGATGATTGCGCATCCTCCAAACGTTGTAGATTATTGCGAATCTCGCGTCGCTGCCTTCGAAGTTCTGTATGGCAGATATCAACTATCTATTGAGTGCATGATTGAAAGACGACTGATTTGAGCACTCACCTTTCTTCTTGGCCTTCCGAACTATATCAGCAAACTCCTCGTCCTCCAGCCGTTCCTTTTCTTTCTTTGCACAAGACTTTGAATGCGATCCTAACCCGCGCGCACGAACATTCGCCCCACATCGATCACATGTCGCGAGTTCTGATGCCCGTTGCTTTGACTTAGGCATTGATATCAAGTAGCAAACAAGCGACGAACAAGCTGATGGTTCAGTAGATTATTAAAGTGAAAGGCTGTTAGTAATGGAGTACATACCAAAAATCAACTGTTAAAGACAAAACAGACGATGATCAAGGATATGTTTCGTTCGAGTGTAATATAAGATACTTGGCAAAACTGTTGAGCGCAAATGCGATAAGTTTTGGATGGGAAAGAGTCTCGTTCAGACTGACTATAGACTCACAGATAGATAGCAGGAGAGAATTGATTCAGACGAACGGAAGTTGTGGGTATGCGATTTGGTGTACAGGCGATTCAGATTCAAGCCGAATGAAACAAGACAATTGAATCAAGGATGTCGTTTAAAATAAAGAGTATAGATGAAAACAGCACAAAGAATCGGAAACGAAGCGATGTACAGAGCCAGAATTGTTGGGTGGGTTGATGCACGTCCAGGCTATTAGGCCTTAGGCCTTAGGCATAAGTCATCGTACGAGTCATAATCTGAATCAGGATGATATTGAGACTCCGCCTAAAGCATCGTAATTCAGATCACAATGACTTTGCGGGGCATCGTAACACGTGACCATTACAATGCCGGCAAAGAATCTCCGACAAGGAATGATTGGGGAAATTACATGAAACTAAGAGCTTGTCCAGTTCGACGGCTCCTGCACCAGATTTGACGAAGATGATCACCTTAAAATTGTTAATACACATGACGGAAGATGGATCGTACTTGGTTGAACTCTAGGACATCTACTATAGTACTTAGTAGGCACTCATTTACATAACTTCCTGTTCTTCGCGTTCTCACAAGTGCAGAGTCTTATGTAACATCTCTTTTCTTAACCACAGAACTCGAATCCCGGTTTCTCATCCCGATCTCTCATTCATCGCTTCATAATTTGAACCCGCAGTGACCCTGCCAGCCGCGGCGCAGCGACAAAGTCGAGAAGTTGATGCTCATTCTCGTCAATACTTCCGACATGCATTACTCGGTCGATATTTCATATCATTTTTCTCTCACTCACTCCTTGTTCCGGGTCCTTGTACACGACATTGACAGTATCTTTTTTTTTATTCATCGACATAAATAAACAACATGTATCTCGCCGGTTTTTCATACCCGACCATGCAGTATACAGTTGGTCGTAATCAATTCAACGTGCTCCTGTAGGTTCTGCCTAAATTTCTGCCATCTGATAGCAATAACAATTCTGCCAAATTGTTCAGAATCGTGCCCATACTGAGTGTATGCAGCATATAAAACCTGGTCATCGTCCTACAGTGTTCCTCCATCCTCAGAGATATCATTTGAGATCCCCCTCAGAAGATTTCATATCACCTTTGCACAGAAATGCATTTCTCCTTCCTCGCCATTGTCGCTGCTTTGACAGCATCTATGTCTGTTAGTGCATGTAGCAATTTGGGGGGATCCTGCAGCACAACTGGAGATTGCTGTTCAGGCTTCGTTTGTGCACCTGGCATGAGTGTGAGCAGGTCGCTGTGCAACCACATGACTCACCTGCGCACCTTAGAGTAATGGACCTTCGGTCTGCCAGCCGTAGTCGACTGAGCGGCACGTCGCAACAGTGAGTCATTTCGCTGTTTTATTTTCTACAACCTCATTTTTATTGCAAACACACTAGCGTCCAGCTGTTAACTACAACCAACTCGAATGTGCCAGCCATTTTGGCCATGGAAACTAAAGCCGTATACAGTGATACGAGAATACTATCTATGACTAAACGTAGTTACCTATATGGACTCGTTCAAATCTGGTCATGTCAACGAAAGTAGCATTGACCAGTCGTATGTGTTTGGGTCGTAGGGCTTAAGGCCTAGACTGCAAGAATCGCACTCTCCCAGTACATGTATCCCACATAGTTAAACCTTCGTTTGTTTAAGGCTGGTCATGAGTCCGTTAAACGGCTATCGCAGCCTGCCCTAATCGCAGGGCACGGACCATTTACTCCAGTCAAAATAGCTTAAAAGGAAGAGCACCTACGTAGAACTAGAAGTACGAGCGGTCGGGGCAGCGTTCAAGCCCCCTGACGAGATCTTTCGCAGGATCGAAACCACTGCCCTCCGCTCTACTAGCCCCTCCCTCCCGTTGTAGCAGCGCCCTATCTTAGGAGAAGGCGGACTGCAGCACGCGTGCATAGGGGTGGTCTGCCTAGTACACTACTAGTCGTAGACTAAAATCTATTGCCCACCTTGCGGCAGAGGCCTCGTTCCTCGGCCCCCTTCTCAGGGAGCCTAGATTGGCAATCTTTTCCCACCTCACATCTAAAAATCCAACTTGATGAAAATGAAACGAGCGAATCCCCGTATTGAAAAGTTAAATTTGAGGGAGGGCTGGTGCTTTGCAGTGTGTTTGTACAGAGAAGCATCCACCTATAAGTGAGTATAGCGCTCGGGGGATAAGTGAAGCACATGTGTGAAATGTACTGGATAGATCTGTAAGTTCACGTCATACTGAGCTCCTCCAGGCTAGACAGTCCTCGCCAAGTGGCGTGAAAATCGACCTATTACTCCACAGACAGCTTAGAAAGCGAGGCGACAATGATTGTTATTAATGAAATCAGAAGGACAATGAGTGATGACAAAAGGAGGATATAGAGATGAATGAAATTGTCTGGCATGTTCTAAGACAATCAGTGGCCGTCTTCTGTGGACGGAGACACACAACAGAGGAACAGCACAACACGAGCCCACCATTTGTGGTTCTCGACGCGTTTTGCCCTGTGGCTAGCTGGTTCCGGCCACCAAGTAACATACAGTGCCTGTAGATAAAACTTGAGACACCAACCATTGATGTCATATCTCCAAAAAGACGCACCTTTTTATCATCTAGTGCAGGAACATCGACAACAGGAGGACTGCGACGGGAGGAAGTACTGAGTCCTGGGCGTTGCTGAGGTTCGACTTGTTCATTAGTGTCGGGTGGGGAATGGTAGAATAAGTGGGGAAGGCGAGCGAGGAACGCACGTGGAGGTGATCCCCAGGATGGTGCAAAAACACTACGGCAGCGATGTAGAAAGCGATCACGATGGAAACGGCTGGTAGTGGATGACTAACAATGCAGAAGTCAGGACAAGGGAGGCAAATTAAGACGGAGGTAACGCACAGGACTTGTTGTGCACCAACTTTGAAAATGCGAGGATTGCTGTTGGAGGGGGTAGTTTACCTTGGTCATTACTGAAGTCCGATTACTTCATGAACATTGGGTGGAGAGCGGAAGAGTGAGAACAACTGACTAGTGCATCTGCCAGTGGATGTGACCCCAGGGGCGTTTAGAATCGCTGAGGTTCGGTTGCTTCATCGATGTGGAGTCGAGAGTGCGGAAAGAGTGAGGACAGTTGAATGGGGAGTTCCTGTGCATGAGATTGCGAACGATTTCAGAAGTTTGGTCGACGGACACGACCCCCAAGCGCAAGGCGACGTCGTGGGTACACACAGAATGACCTGATTCTAACTGTGTTGGAAACAAGCGAACCTCGTATTGACAAGGGAAATCTGCAGGAGGTTTAGTGGCATGCAGGGTACTCGGATGTGGTAGCACGTTCGAGCGAACGGGCAAGTAGGTAGTCTTGTTTTCTTTTGAGAAGCATCCATGCATAACCGAGTCCAGCGCAGGAAAAATATCCAACACGTGGCGCCATTTCTTAACGCACAAGTTAGGATGCGAGATGTCAACCGATGTCATTGGTGAGATAGCGAAAGATATACTACAAGACAAGAAAACAAAGTAACAAAAATGCGGTGAAAATTATTGCCCATGTGCTACTCACTATGAACTTGAACCATCAACGGGAGAGTGAGACGCACAAAAGAGGATCAGGATAAAACGATTCCACCATGTAAGGTTTTTGATGCGTTTCTCCTTGTCACTAGCTCGTTCTGGCGGCCGTGCAACGTGCAACACCTGTACAAAAATCTTCAGATACCAGCCATTGTCAACCCGCCGTAAAAACATACCTGGTTGTCTTGTTGCGCAGCAACTTCGACAACACGAGTGCGACTAGAGGAAGTACTGAGCCCTGAGCGTTGTTGGAGTTCGATTGGGTCTTCAACGTCGGGCTGTGAGGGGTGGAAAAGTGGGGGAAGGCGGACTTGGAGCGTACGTGGACGCGACTCCCGGAAGGGTGCAAAAGCACTGCGTCGGCGATGTACAAAGGGAAGGGGATGAAGACTGTTGCTAGTGGGGAACTGGGCATGTGAGTTAGTACGTGAATCGGTAAATTGAGATGGCGGTGACATACATGATCACAGTCTTGCAAGTCATCGAGCAATCCTGGAAGTTGAAGGGGAGCTGGATGTTGCGTAGCATTAGCCTAGAATAGTAATGTTACGATCAATGTTAAGGTCGAGAACGGCAAGACATACTAGTACATTTGAGAACGACTTCTACAAGCAGGACGTAAGCATATGATGCATTCTTGAAAAGCCTTGAGATGACGATACATACCTTCTTTTTGAGTCCAGATTGTTGTGCCTAAGAGCCAACGCAAATGAGATGGCGAGTAGGAGTTAAGTTGGTACTCACAGGGATGGACAGGAGGTTTTCTAGGCCAGAGGCTTTGAGGATGGCGTGAATGTTCCACACGTACGCGTTTTCATCAGCGCAAGCTGTGGATAGCATCTTTCCATCAGCAGAAAAGGCTGCAAACTCGACATCCTTTTCGTGCTTGAGGGGTAGACCGATAGAGAGGTTAGTGTCCAAATTCCAGAGACGTGCCGTTTTGTCCCAAGATGTACTCGCGAGGAGACGGTCATTGCGAAATAAAGTGATGGCCTCAACAACCTGGTTGTGGCCGTCCAGAACGGCGATCTGGTGCCATGTGGCAGTGTCGAATATCCTAAGCGAGCCATTCCCCGAACCGGATATAAGCTTATTTTCATCCGACGTCCAGGCCAAGCTCCAAACCGCATATTCGTGTTTGATTATTGAGAGCAGCTTGCCAGTTTTTGCATCCCGGATCTCGATTCCATCTTCGCTGTACCCTCCTGTTGCAATCTTTGTTGCTTTGGGTGAGTAACTCACCACGTATACCGACTCGTGTCCTGTTTGGATTGGATTCAAACCCTGGACTATCAATGGTTTGCCGCTCTCGACATTCCACACTCTTGCTGTCCCATCCGCGGATCCGACCACAACCTGTACACCATCTGGACTCCAGCATACCGAGTTGACGTCTCCACTGGGCTCTTTCCATTTCGTGATGACCTTCCTTGTCTCAACATCCCACAACCTTACTGTCCCATCAAGATAGCTGCTGGCAATGGTTCTGCCGTTTGGTGACAGTGCCATGCTCCATACCCCTATTTCATCCCCCTCATCTCGCCATTCTTCGCCTATCTGAGTACAGCTCTCTAGGTCCCATAGTCGAAGTGAGCCGTCTCTCGAACATGTGATGATACGCTGCCCGCCGGGCAGGTGCGCAACGCCTCGGACCAGCTTGGTATGCCCTCGCATCATCTTTTGTATCTTTATTGTTGACGCCCTTTTGATCCTAGCAGCCGTGGAAGACATGGTCGGGGCTAAGGATAATGGGGACTATATGTACGTGCGAGAACAGCTTGTTGGATTCTTCGAGCAGGTTCTCCTTGTCTTTCAGGCACCAAGATCGTTGGTGAATCAACAACCCTATATTCTCCTGAATGAGTTGTCAATCGACATGCATGAGACATTCCTCACGAGAGAGCTAGAGACTTCGGAACGTTGTACGCAGTTAGTTCTCAAAATTTTGCAAGAGGTCTCCGCGAATATACTTGACACCGTTCAGCACGTACTCCCTTTTCATCCAAAATGTAACGTACAACAAGCTTTTCACTTAGAACAACTAGACAGATTTATTCGACACAAGATCAGGAGGGAGGGCTGGTAGTCGAGACAGCGGACTTGCGGTGGACGTTTAATTTTGGGTTGGGAGGGTCGCACAAGTGTTCGTTGAAGTCTTCTACTAACGTGCGCATTCCGTGTTATCCTCGTTCACTTTACAAACGAATCTCCCTGTGCCACGACTTAGCCACGTGCGTCCCCTCGCCCCTGTTTTTCCCTTGCATCCTTGATGATCCGATTCATCTCCTGCATACGCGGTTTCTTCCAGCCGTCGGATGAATAATCAAATCATCCGGGAAAGCATAGATGCGGTTTTTGCTTGCCCCATGATCACCATCGTAGAACATCATTAAACTCTTGCTGCTCGGGCCCGACAAGTTGTATGAAACCACGATGCTCAATCATGTAGCTAAGCGCGCCTCGGGAGTCCAGGGGGTAGCAGCACACGGGCAGATCACTGAACTCCAGATGACTGCTGAGGATAGTCAAACTCTCTGACAGTTGGTCTTTGTCACTGAAGCCTGAAAGGCTAGTGAGCTCCTTTGACTCGGATCACAGTGTGAGGAGTAGGGTGCTGATCGGTGTGCTTGGGATATCACTTCGCATGCTTGATGTTCGCGTTCACAATATGAATTATAATCTTTTCCGGTGTTTCTCCTCGACTTACTTGAATACGATAAGACTCTACAGTTCGCAGCAGCGCCCGCTCTTACTCAGTGGGACTCCCCATTGAGGCAGAAGTATCACAGAATAAGGCATGCGTACTGGAATTTGGAGGCCGGCATCATGCTACGACAAGGTCCTTTGGCCAAATCCTCGCTGTTCGACATGATCATGGTTTACAACATACAAGCAATAGCTGATCAACACTATACGATACTTCAAGTTGTTGATAACTTTATAGAAGATGAATTTCCGTCACACAACTGCCTGTGTAGTTGTGCATAACTGAACGGAGCAAGGAGAAAGGGGTGCAGAGCAGAGGCTGCGATACTTCGGACTCTGTCGATGCATCATGAATAGTACGTCGGAGAACCATAGACTTTATTTGGACGCACATTCAAAAAAACTGGTTCGATGCTAAGGGCCGGCGCGTGTCCGCGGATATACAAACGTCCAAAGACACTGAAGAGGGTTATTTTTGTTGCAAGACGTTGATGCTGCGGCGTCCGACGAGAATTTTATCTCCTTGAACGACGTTCATGTTGTGGTGTCCGACCAATCGGTGCACTTTTGTGCCATGACGCCTTGTGTGTCTTGTCTCCATCCAGACTGGCAGAAAGGGTGGGCGTGTGGGCATCCGGGTTGCAAGCTGAAGGGAGATGGGTGTTGTGATACGATTAACATTGGGTATACGTAGCTTGCTTCCTGTATCGCGTATACATACTTGGCACCGATTATTAGACTTGTCGATACTGTCGATATCTCTAGAGACCATATATTTCGCCAACGGACAATAGTACAACACGCAGTGCACCCGGATATTTCCCTGTACGACTGTGGACAACTCAATTGGTTAGATTCGAAGTTCCAAACATTTTAGGAGAAGCATGCAACTCATTTTTCTTAACAACATTGCACGCAACGCGCTGCATCAGAATTTCAGAATTAATTTCGTCTTTGGCTGCGCATGTTCATTGAATTTTCTTCGTGCTGGATACTCATCGTTTTCCCCAGATGCTGCCGGCAGCTATTGACATCGAACATTGTATACTCGATAATTTGATTGATAAAACCTATCAACACGAACACATCAGACAGGGTTCGCATGCTTAACGATACAAATAAGAAATATCACGTCTAACAATGTGGCACGTGAACAAGCACGGTCTCCGATTGCCAGTCTAGTCTACGTGGAGATCAAATCTACATCTAGCACCTCTCTTCACTGTTGCCGAACAGTTAATCATTGTGCGTTTAAGAAGCAGATGTGACTCACTGCCACCAGATCATATCACATCGTCACATCGAGATTAGTCTACGACACTCGCAACTCAGAGAAGAGTTTCGCCTGTGTAACAGACAGATAATGAGCGTCATTGATAATCCACACCGTAGGTAGTCCTTGTGGATGCCCAAAAGTGCACGTGCGATCATGCATCCCCAATTAAGAACAGCGGACAACCGCGCAAAAAGTGAACGTGGCAGCAGATGGACGACTTACCCAAAGCAGAACGGACCAATGAGCACCCCACCGTCACCGTCTGGCGTACACTCTCAGCATCTTCAAGTGCGGGGTTAACCTCCTGCGTGCGATAGACCAAGTCAGATCACATCAATGCGAGCACAGATGTAGGTAAGACACGTACCATCAAGTCAAGCGCGACGAGTAACCCAGTCTCATGAATTGCCTCGCAGATGTAGTGTCCTTCACGGAAGGTGAGCCCACCGCGCACCTGCAGGATTTCGGTCAGTTCTGCTCATTGACTTGACATTTAATTTGACTCGAAATTAATTTGTTTTGGAATACAATATCTGCCCGTCATAGGCTTGGACATTCCTGTCACAGATCAAACCGCCTATGTTTCCAAGGGGCGTGCGCACTGCAAAGTCTCTGCACAAGCCAACATACATTTATGTGGCGTGTTTTCTAAGCGCCCCTTCAGGGCCAGGATAAATAGAGAATAATTTTTGTGCACATTCTTGTATCTTCAACAAGCAGAAGGTTTTTCAGCACGCACTAAGTCACCAAAAGCACTTAGATCGCACAGCTAACTTCATCCCACTCAAACATGCCAAGATACTGAAATACTCACCGGTGTCCCCGTGCTAGGCGCAACACTCGGGTCGAGCGCGTCGACATCGAAGCTCAGATGAATAGGACGGTCTCTTTGCGGGTTGACATGGTCGAGCGCCATTTCGACTACCTTACCAATCCCATAGCTAGATGAAGCACAGTCAGCGTGAGCGTCCTTCTCTCCACCGGATCCCAAACTTACCGGTCGACATCGTGCATGCTAAACGCCTTGATGTTGTGTTTCTTCAGAATTTCCTTTTCACCCTTGTCCACGTCCCGCAAACCAATGTAAACGAGACGCTCAGCTGGGAGGTGAGAAACCCAGTCGAACTTCGCAAGGACTGAGTCTGGGGACGGAGCAGGGGGGTTGAGCTTGAGGAGAAAGGAAAGAGGCATGCCGTGGATGTTTCCGGTGTCGGTAGAGTAGATCGTATTGATATCCGCGTGAGCATCTATCCAGATGACACAAGCTTGATCATATGCTCTGTAGATAGAATGTCACAACAGTAGAAGGAACTCGCCTAAACGGAGATGCTCACCTTAAGGTTCCTGAGATAGTGCCCATGGCTAAGGAATGGTCTCCGCCAAGGGTAACGGGGAGGCGCCCCATCTCTGCATGAGCCTGCACGGCAGATGCGACACTCTTGCAGACCTGTGCAACGAGTAGAGGGCTTCTCAACCTCGCGATGGATGCGTCTAATGCCGTATCAACAACAGCATCACTGGTGCCATTAACTTGGATGCTATTAGGTGGTGGAGAAACATCCTCAAATTGGTGGTGTCCGTCAAAAACGACGTGCCATCCGAGTTCTTCGACCTGGTTAATGAGCCCGGCCTGGACAAGGTGGATAGGACCTTTGTCTACGCCAGGTTTTGGCTGAGAAAAGGGTGTGAATCCGTGATTTAAAAGAGACTACTGAGAATAGAACTGACCTGACCACCGCTATAGCCGGTGTTGTAAGATTGTCGTCACACGAGTGCAGGTCGACGTTGGAATGCTCACCTAAACGGACATCCTAAGATCTAAAAATCGGATGAGTCGGTACAGAGCATAGCGAAGAGATTCCAAGGGAACACACGTACAGCAACGGTCTTTGGGCTAGACAAAATATTATTAGAAGACATTGACGACATCCCAAAGGCAAACGGTGAGTGGAAAGTCAAAGCGTCAAAAGTTAAAGCGAGTAAGGTGGGTGACAAGGGAATCTTTTTGTAGACTAACGATATCTGGGTTAAACAAGAAGAAAAATGTATATAGGGACTACGTGTATAAGTGATCACAAGGCTAGCCTCGATAACGAGATCCGAAACTGCATAACGATATTTTCCGGGTCGGCCGGACAGTTAAAGATAAGTAATTGATGATCAACGTTAAATGTTGGATATTTGAACGAACAATATTGTGGTTGCTGGATAAATGCTATGCTCTGTTGTACTTCCCAGATTTCACAATATTAATGCATTTGTTATGATGACGGTCAATGATGCATTCATATTTGCGAGTTCTCTGAGAATGGGGTGTCGTTAAGGGTCGGAGCTTGAATATTTGAATCATTGTTGATTCAGATTGCCTCGTGATGCCCAGTGAACTCGGGTTGTGACAGGATGAGCGCGTGATGCCTAGCTAGGCCTCACAATCGCAGGTACGTTTGGAGCACGCTGCATGGAAAAATTAATCGTGATCAGATTGGTGAACATAGAATTCTCATTCCCACTGGCGTTCGAGTACAGCAACCACTTATCTCACTTTGTCCCGGACTCCCGGTTTGACCGGCCAGGGCGCAGCATCGATGTTTCATTCGAGAATTTGACACCACTGGCAGTATACCGTATAGCCAGGAAGGACTCGAAATATGTGAAGCGACTCTCATTGTTGTAATCTGCAACAGTGTCAGCGCAACCAGCGCAATGCAAAGGTAGTAGGATCGGTCACAATGCGCTGGCTAGATAAACAGCAGTGGTGCCTCCCTGGCTAAATAGGCACGGCACTATCTCTGCGAACATGCTCGGAGTACGTTATAAAGCAAGATAGCTATTATCGGAGTTGGCACAGCGAGACGATAACAATGATGGTGGTGAGAGGAGAAGAGTTCATTGAAACTCCGAGTTCACAAGGAGATTCTTCAAGGCTGCCGCGGTTGGACTTTCTTCTCTTCACTCAGGCTTATTCACTGAATACAGTTGTATAATAGGGTTAGTGCTTATTCTGCAGTCGTGCTACATGTGCAATTTTTGCATAGTACTAGGTGCTGACGCAATTGGCACTGTGGCAGGAATATCAGCGTCATTTCAATGTTACCTTGATCAGATCTTCTGAAGTTGACAGGGGTTCTCACGCCCCTTGCCCTTGCTCATCATCATCATGCATCATCGACGACAGCGTTCTCCAGCCGAGTCTGGCTGTCCCACACATCCAACCTATCCCGGGCCAGCTTATCATTGCAGCCCATCTCCACCGTTTCGTGACTGCTCTGTCCTGCCATCATGACTTAGGCTTGTGATGTCTGATTCTTGCGACATTCACCGCGCAGGTGGGACCTTCAAAAGATAGTAGTCACAATATTTCCTTGCTGCACGACCGCCGGCCTATCGGCAACAGATTCATGAGGCCTGCGCTCGTGCACCGGTGTGTATGTTTCCATACAGAAGTAGTGCTTAACTCGAATCTCAACAATGCACGAACGTTTTACATCAGCGCATGAAGGCTGCGCGTGCATGAATTGGATCATAGGAACCTGAAGTTTAGTATGCGAGGCTTCGACCACACACCACCGTTCAGCGACTCAGCGAGGCATAAACAAGCATATGTCCTTTGAGACGGGCTAGTGTTACAGGTATTTTTTCAAGGAAGCGGGTTAACACTTCACTAAAGTCCTGCCACAGATATAGGATATGCACACATCACCAGGACCGAAGTCAGGCTTTGATGCCTATATCAAGACTGGGATTCAGGCCCAGCGGACGGCCAAGAAGGAAAGCCAGCCGGGAGGGTTACGACTATGCTGGCGATCTATAACAACGACGATTCCTAGGGCCATGTTTGCGGAGTTTGCATGAGGAACCGAACTTTGCGCGAATGACTTGCTGTAGGATTGAGCACCCCTGCTAGCCACCCCCAAAACAGGCAACACTTCTTATTTCGTGTCCGAGTCAATGCATTGTAAGTTTCCCACCTAACATTCTGTATACGATGAAGAATTGATGTTTCGTGCCGCACAAACTAGTCGTTTTTGCCCACCTTCCTGGATTGAAGTTATTGAGAGATCTCATAGTCGAGCGGTCGGATATAAGGTACATACTTGAATACGATGAGATGAAATTAAAATTACATGAAAAACCGTAACAAAAGTAAAGTAAATGCTCGTGTGCTGCGATAACCGTCGTCGGCACCAGGAGTCACGTAAGTTCCAAGAGTTCGCGTCTTGACTCCAGCCCACATATTTATGTACTTAGTACCGAGTACTTATGGATGACAGTTTTGAGGACCTTCTGGTGCCATGGCTGAGCTCATGTTGAGAATCATGCTATCCTTTGCTGTATAAGTAATAGGATACAATATATGCAATTGGAGGTAGCGCCCACCTAAGAAGGAAGCGCAAATACATGTTATCGATATGATGGTCAGAAATATAAAAGAACTAGGATGCTAAGATGAAAACACTCGTCTATGTGCTGGGATGATGTTGAGCGCCGTCGGTATGAGGACTGTGGTCGGTACTGGAAGGCACGCAGCAGAGAAACAACACCACACGAACCCACCATTTGGAGGTGTCGATGCGTTTCACCTTGTCACTAGTTCGTTCCGGTGGCAGAGCAACATATAGTGCCTGTACATAAAACTTGAGATACCACCCATTGAGAACATATCCCCAAAGACTTACCTTCTTGTCATCTAGTGCGGGAACTTCGACAACAGGAGGACTGGGGCGAGAGGAAGTACTAGGTCCTGTGCGTTGCTGGAGTTCGACATGTTCATCGGCATTTGATTTGGAGCGATGGAAGCGTTGGGTAATGCGAGCGAGGAGCATACGTGGACGTGATCCCCAGGACAGTGCAAAAGCATTGCGGAGGCGATGCAGAGAGGGGTCAGGATGGAGACGGCGTGTAGTGGAGGACTGAAAATATGAAAATCAGAGCAAGTAGTGCAGTTGAATGGTGGTAACACACAGGACCACTGTCTTGCACGCTATCGAAAAAGCCTGGTGGCACTTGACATGGGGCTGGATGGATGGGTGGACGTCGGGTGGCATTAGCCTTGAATTTCAATGTCAGGATCAATATCAAAGTCAGAAAAAGACAGAGCGTACACCTGATAGCTTGGGCGAGTAGGACATTAGCGTACTTCATTCTTGAAAAGTCACAAGATGATACATACCTTCTTTTTGAGTTCAGATTTTTGTGCCTAACAATGAGATAGCGAATAGGAGTCAAGTTGGCACTCACATCAGGTGTGGACAGGAGATCTTCTAGGCCAGCTGTTTTGAGAATGGCTTGAATGTCCCATACATAGTACGTATTTTCATCGCTCCAACCTGCAGTGGATAGCAGCTTTCCATCAGCGGAAAAGGCCGCACAAGTGACGTCATATGTGTGTTGAAGAGGTGGCCCGATTTGGAGGTTTGTATCAAGATTCCAGAGACGCACTGTTCCGTCCCAGGATGCACTCGCAAGGAGGCGGTCGTTGGGAAATAATGTGATGGACTCAACAAGATCTGTGTGACCCTCCAGAACAGCGATCTGCTGCCATGTGGCAGTGTCGAATATCGTAATCGGGCCATTCCCGCACCCGGCGACAAGCTTCTTTTCATCCAATGTCCAGGATAAGCTCCAAACTGTTTGATCGAGTTTGATCGTGGACAGCAGCTCGCCCGTCTTCGCGTCCCAGATTTGTATTTCTTGGTTATATCCACTTTCGTCATATCCTCCTGTAGCCATCATTGATGCCTCGGGTGAGTATCTTACCGCATACACATGTCTGTGTCCTGTCTTGATTGGATTCAGACCTTTGACTGGTTTGCTGCTCTCCACATCCCACACTCTTGCCATCCCGTCAAATGATCCGCTCACAACTCGCTCATCATTTGGACTCCAGCACACTGACTGCACAGAAGAAGCAGTGTGTCCTTTCCATTTGACGACAACCTTCTCCGTCTCGACATCCCACAACCTCACTGTCCCGTCATTGCTTCCGCTGGCAATAGTCTTGCCATTCGGAGACAATGCCATGGTATTTATTCCTGCATCATCCCCTTCATCTCGCCACTCGCTACCTATCTGTGCACCGCTCTTTAGGTCCCATAGTCGAAGTGAGCTGTCGTGGGAACATGTGATGATGCGCTGCCCACCGGGCAGGTGTGCAACGCCTGTAACTGTCTCAGTATGGCCTCGTATCGTCTTGCAGGGGGTTACTGCTGACGTCTTTTTCACATTAGCGGCAGTAGAAGACATGATGGGCGCTCGGGGATCTTAATCAAGGGAATCTTGGACTATATGCGCGAGAGCAGACCGTTGCTTTAGAATGGGTTGTCTTCTGGAGGTCTGAATAGTGGGTGATTTCACTGGCCTATCTGCTTTCACCTGAGTTTGGCATGTCAATAAAAGTACCTGGAGCGATTGTTCACGAGGGCTCCTACCCAGGGGAATTCTATCCCGACTCACAGGACAGCTTGACGACGATGTATCCAGGAGATATTCCCCAATACAGGCCGGTGAGTGGTCCTATCTTTTCCTCACTTCAGCTTTTCCTACTCAACCACAGTATCACTCACGGCAAAGTCCCACTTGGGACAACTCCACGCAAGAACGAGAGGGGGGGCTGGTAGCTGGGATAGCGAATGTTTACTTTGGGGTTGAGAGTGTCGTGCAAGTGTTGGTTTGAGTCACCCACTGAGGTGCGTATTCCATGAAGTATCCTCTTGTTCTTGTCTTGTTCTCTCCACAGCTTCACAGTGCTGTGCAGGCCAAGCGCCACGTGCATGTCCCTATCTCTATTCGGCCCTTCAAATGGTCCGATCCATCTCCACTTTCTACAAATTTATGTCGGACCCTATTTGAAGGATGGTATTGTACGATTCTCTGTATCCCACAGAAGATATTGATTGCTGGCGCAATAGTGAGCAGCCACATTTTATATAGTCACGCACCATATCATCTTGCTCGAAGTTCAAGCATACGCGAGTTGTGGATTTCGCAGAGGCCGTTGCTAGTAAGTTAGCGAACATACCTATTGTCCCATCAACTCTTATACAATGTCCATAGACGTACCTGAAGCGTTTCTCGATCTCGACAATGGCAGGACGATGTACTATGCAGGAATCACCCATTTCTGCGTTCATACAAACCTTGCACGGGATCGTTATGACCAGCCAGGGGGCTGGTCTGATTCTGTTGTTTTCTGACCTCAGCGTTTGTAGAACTCATCCACCAAATAACGGCACAGACACGCTCTACCGAAGAGGTACCTTTGGACAGCTCTGGTGTCGTTGAGTTTGTCTTTCAGGGTTGGGCAAGTATTTCGCTCTATCACGCAACGAGGACTATCATAGTCTGCGGGTAAGCGATAGATGCCGTTAGCATATCTTATTTCTGCTTGCCCCATGCTCGCCAACGCCAACTTACCCTTTCTTTTCTGCATCCAGAAAGGAGGAGTCGGCTATGCCAAAGGAATATATGTGGGTTTTCATACTAACCATCATCGTCGACCGGACTTCTGACAGACCAGGCCATCCAGCGATCGGCGCGATACTTTCCCGGATTTACGCATATCTTGTTTCCTTTCCGAGAGGGAGGTACACGAACCAGCGACCACATGGTCCACCCCACGGCTTATGCACTTCGCAGATTGAACTACTCTGCATCACTCTGCTCAGGTCCGCGTGAAAGATGATGTATCTGGACAGTACTTTATTTACCTACCGCATGTCATAGTGAGGTAGTAATGAACTGAAACCAAGAGAATGACCATGAAATTACAAAGAGGTTGTAATACAGACGAAGACAATTATATAAACTTAGGGAATAAATCAAGTATGGCACGCTAGACATTTGCTTCTGCAGACTTCGCTGAAACAGAACACGGATTGACACTGTCCTGCTCTGGCCTAGCTGCTTGTGCCATGTTGGTTCCTTCTGCTGAGATCGATGCAATCCCTGCGAATGCTAGAGTCGTAGGTGCTGCTGGAGCATTTCGCGTGGACCAATCATGTGTGACTGCTCTCCCCCGTGCCACATGTATGATGATGAACAACTGTGTAATGCCCTGTTTTTAAAAACAAAAGAAGCCAGTATCAGAGACACGAATAATTCAGGTTTCTGCCTGCTTACTTCAACATGGTTAATAGACAGGAAGCATACCGTGGAGAGAGAGTCTGAATGCACTGAGAATGCAACTATGTAGATGATGACGAAGACACTGTATGCCATGGCGGACTCGATGACCATGCGGATGATGGTATCATAGGTGCTAGAATCATATTCAGCCAACGCCGTCTTCATCTGGCTGCGCATGGAGAACAAACGTGTCGTCACGAGAATGGTATAAAGCACGGTGTTCCCCACTAGGAAGGTGAGGTGTGCAAGTGTGATGTTGATAGTGTAAAATGAAGTCCCGGTACTCGCCTGGACCAAGACGATGATGGCCACTGCTGCTAGATATCAGCGACTACGACTGTTTTGTAAATGATTTGACTGCACCAATCATGCCAATATAGGTGGCAAACATGGGGATCATCATGTATCTCGCCCAATCCCATATCACAAAACATCGGTAGAGCTGAGTATTTCAGTGGTCAGGCTTGCACATACGGCAAACTATTCGACTCACGAGCAGTGCTTGCATGAACCACTCTGCGACGTAAGCACTAGATGAGACCGTCAATGTTGCGTGTAGGTGGATAAGTAAAGGTGCTTGCCAGAGTATCGCCACAAAGTTGATGCGGTAGTGCATTGCGTTCTCGATCAGCGCAGCAGGACCACCAGGTGCATTGCGAAGGTCCATCCAGATCATCTCCGTAAATTTGGCACTGCAAGCAAAGCTTATTGTCGAAAGCGCGAACGTGAGGAGGGTGTAACAAAGAAGCATGCGACGATTGTTTGCAATTTTCTGCCCACGTCGAGGACGTTGCATGAGCGCAATCACCGCTTGTACAGTAAGGAGAAGGTGCGCGCCTGTTATGGTACAGAGGTCAACTCCAGAATCATCGTGTGTGGGCCGCAAACGCACCATAGGACACACCTCCCAGAATCATTCCGATAAGACGAGACCGTTCAAGCGGCAGTTCTGTCTGTGGTGTGAACGAGGACATGACCGAAAATTTGGGAAGATGAGGGGATGTCGGGAAGGTATGTCTTAATATCTGGCAGCAATGACCAGCAGGGTGGATTGGCCCTAGAGAAGAAGAAGCAGTTATATATGGAGTCTCAGAACAGGGAGAAAGAATGCATCGACCAGGGACACTGCAACACAAGCAAGTGGAGACCATTTTACGTGCAAAGATAAGGCAAGGGCGATGGAGGGTCGATGCATCAATCATCTACAGTGCAGGGTGCCGTGAAAAATTTGACGTGGCTCGGGCCGGGATTGAGCGAGAGAATGAACAAACCTGAAGCATAGCTTCAGGCGCTGAAACATGATTTTCACTTCTCATAACTTTGGTGAGTTATGGATTAGCTGCTGGTCGTGCTGGGCCCCAATGCGGTCTGCATGTATATGGCTCATTGAATTCTTCTGGTGCCTTTTGTCAGACACGGCCCATGCACATGGCAGTATTCAAGCAAAGGAGCAAACACTCACCCATCCTACTAAGTAGTACGTATTCGTGCCTTAACAGGAACGAATGATATGGTCTTCATCTAGCTGTTTTATCGTCCGTAATGCAGGGGTGAATGTGATAGTCTCGATTGTGTATAGCATGAACGTACTGTTCTCCATAGAGTATGTATAATAAACCTTTTTTTACCACAAAAAGATTACTTTGCTGCCTGAACTGAGAAGGTGCCGACGGCACACCGCTGAGCGCTGAGCGCCCGCTAGGGAGTGACGAAGCCTGTGGTGACGTAAAATACAACATGGACGTTCGGGAAGACCCTGTGCCGGGGTGATATTGCGTTGACAAGAAGTGCGAATTCGTGGACGTTGTGGCTGAAGACACTAAACCGTGATGAAGTATCACATAGTCATAGAACTGTACAGTCAGTGCCATTCGCGTGTTGTAAAGGTGGTCCGGTTATATATGGGGTTCGTGTCTAGATTCTAGAGACATGCCATATGTATAATCATGATGTACCTGCAAGGAGGTGGTCGTTCAGAAATAAAGTGATGGACTTGATGGCCCCATATTCGTGACCCTCATACGCCACCGGCAATGAGCTTCAGCCTTCTCCGAACACCAATCACAACATTTGAGTTTGATCGTGGGTAAAGCAGGTCGTGTCCCTGCCCTCCTGTCGCAATCATTCTTGCCTCGGGTGAGCTCACTGCATACACCCACTTGTATCCGGTCTCTGCTGGATCCAGACCTTCGACTCCGAGTTCACCGCTCTTCGCAACCCACACTCTTGCCATCCCATCATATAATCTGCTTACCACTTGCCTGCCATCAGGACTCCGGCATACCAAGTTCACCACTTCAATGTCCCCTTTGCGTTTGACGACAACCTTTTTCGTTTCGACATCCCACTGACCTCCTTCACTTGCGGTAACAGCAATCTTGTCATTCGCGGACAATGCCACGGTTCTTATTCCTGCCTTATTATAATTTATAATCTCACTACGTCTATGTACCAGGCAGGTGCGCAACACCGGTTAAATGGCTGGCACGACCTCGCATCGTCTTATATGGAGTCACTGTTGATGTCTTTTTCATCTCAGTAGCAGGAGAAGACACGGTGGGTGCTCGGGGGGGATCTCAATGAAGGGGATCATGGCCTATGTGCGCGAGAGCAGCTCGTTGGATATTTCGATCAGAATGGGTTTTTTTGCCAGGTATAGATCGTATGTGAATTCACTGGCCTGTTTGCTTTCACGTCAATACAAGTGCCTGGAGGGATTGCTCATGAGAGGTTCTACCCAGGCGAGTTCAATCCTGACTCACAGGGCAGCTTCGGGACGGATACATTACTCTCATTGAGTCCTGTCCACGAAGACGCGTCGCTGATGAATGGAAAATCGAGAAGACACGGAGGTTGATTTGATACGATATACTTATCAACACAGAGATGGAGATGAAGTCGGTAGGGTATACAATATCTCTGCACTTTGAAATTTGATATCTTCGATGACCACAATTTGACCGTGCCGGTTAGCCTAGAAGCCTGTTGTCTATCAGCGTTGCAACCATAGATCGAATGGTATGTTTCTTCCATGTGAATTCACTTGAAAGCACCAATGAGCTCATACGAGAGACTAAACGCCGTACATAGGTGACTATAGTACTTCTTGATAATCCTATGGGTTCAGCATAATGGATCAATGCCTTGCACGACTGTCATAATCAGACGGGAAATAGAGTATGACTCGGAATCAATTCGTAGCTTTGGCGGTATGTGACGATGAAAAATTTAGCCATGTAGGAATGATTATCATCGAAGTACATGGCACTTTAACATCAACACATGTACATAGTATTGCGTGAAGTTAGGCTACATGCAAGTTGACTGGAATTCATGCAGAAACATGCGCTGGTGTGTCAATACGCGCAGAAATACATGATATTTGGTACAATGATAATAAGGCAGGTGGAAACAAAGAACTAAAGTGATGAAAAAAATAGGTGTTTATGTGCTGCTAGTGACGTCGTCGGTACCTGGAGACACACAACAGAGAAAAAATACCACACGAACCCATGGTTTAGGGTTCTTGACGCGCCTGGCTATTTCACTAGCAGTTTCGGGCCGACGAGCAACAACTAACACCTGCACAGGAATCGTCGGATCCAGTAATTAGGATACATGCAAGAAAAACGCACCTCCCTGTCCCGCATCGCGGCAACATCGTTGACATGACAACTGAGATGAGACGTAGTTGGCACTAGGCAACACTGAAGTTCAATTGCTTCATCAGCATTGGGTGGAGAATGGAAGAGTGAAGACAAGGGACCAATGAGTGCACCTGGACGTGACCTCCGGGGCGTTTTGGATCGCTGAGGTTCGGTTGTTTCCTTGACGTAGATTCGAGGGCGGGAAAAAGGTTCGGATAAGTCACCAAGGAGCACTCGGGGACTTAATCGCGAAAGCATTGGAGGTTGCGAAGGTTCAGATATCTCATGAGTATTTGGCGGAGAATGAAGGAGTGAGGATAGGCGGTCGAAGAGCACACGCGAGCGTGACTCCAAAGGCACTGGAGGCTGCTGAGTTTCTGTCGCTTGATTGGGTTCGGAACGGTGAAGGAGGTAGGGAAAGCGACCAAGTAATGCAGAAAACCTCACACGGGCACCAAGTGCTGCGGGGGACTGAGAGTAAAGGGGTCAGGACAAGAACTAATTGGCAGAAATATTGGTGACCCACATGAGCATCGACTTGCGGACTGTCAAAAAATCCTGGTGAAAGTTCATCTTCCCCGAACTGGCTGAAACCTTGTGTAGCATCAGCCTGGAATGTCAACGTCACTATCATGATTGACGAGGTTGACGAACACGCCACATACCTCCAAAAACGAATTGCCTTCTATGTCCTGCGATGGCTCGGAGAGAGAAATGTGCTTTATCCTTGAAAAGCGAAATAATGGAGGCAGCTCCTGTTTGGGTTCAACTTTTTATGTAAAAAGTCACAAGATGATACATGCCTTCTTTTTGAGTTCGGATTTTTGTGCCTGTTAGGAATGAGGTAGCGAGTTGGAGTCAAGTTGGCACTCACATCAGGTATGGACAGGAGATCTTCTAGGCCAGCTGTTTTGAGGATGTCTTGGATGTCCCATATGTACGCATTTTTATCCTCCCAACCTGCAGTGGATAGCAGCTTTCCATCAGCGGAGAAGGCCGCACAAGTGGAGTTATGTTTGTGTTGAAGAGGTGGCCCGATTTGGAGGTTTGTATTAAGATTCCAGAGACGCGCTGTTCCGTCCCAGGATGTGCTCGCAAGGAGGCGGTCGTTGGGAAATAAAGTGAGGGAGTAGACAGAAGCTGTATGACCCTCCAGAACGATTATCTGTTGCCATGTGTCAGTGTCGAATATCGTGATTGAGTAATCGAGGGGCCCCAACCCGGCAATAAGCTTCTTTTCCAATGTCCAGGCCAAGGACCAAACTGATCGATCGAGTTTGATCATGGACAGCAGCTCGCCCGTCTTCGCGTCCCAGATTTGTATTTCTTCGTTATATCCTCCTGTGGCAATCATTGATGCCTCAGGTGAGTATCTTACCGCGTACACATATTTGTGTCCTGTCTTGATTGGATTCAGGCCTCTGACTGGTTCGCTGCTCTTCACATCCCACACTCTTGCCGTGCCGTCGTGTGATCCGCTCACAACTTGCCCACCATTTGGACTCCAGCACACTGACTGCACGAAAGAAGTGTGTCCTTTCCATTTGACGACAACCTTCGCCGTCTCGACATCCCACAACCTCACTGCCCCGTCATTGCTTCCGCTGGCAATAGTCTTCCCATTTGGAGACAACGACATGGCAATTATTGCTGCCTCATCCCCTTCATCTCGCCACTCGCTACCTATCTGTGCACCGCTCTTCAGGTTCCATAGTCGAAGTGAGCTGTCGTGGGAACATGTGATGATGCGCTGCCCACCGGGCAGGTGTACAACGCCTGTAACTTCCTTGGTATGGCCTTGTATTGTCTTGCAGGGGCTTACTGCTGACGTCTTTTTCATTTCAGCGGTAGCGGAAGACATGATGGACGCTCGGGGATCTCAATCAAGGGAATCGTGGACTATATGTGCAACAGCAGCTCGTTGGTTGAGAATAGGTTGTCTTCTGGAGGTCTGAATAGTGGGCGATTTCACTGGCCTATCTGCTTTCACCTGAGTTTGGCATGTCAATAGAAGTGCCTGGAGCGATTGTTCACGAGAGGTCCTACCCAGGGGAATTCTATCCTGACTCACAGAACAGCTTGACGACGACGTATCCAGGAGATATTCCCAATCGTAACGGCGCCTGTGCGCCAATCCCCGACTCCGAATGGACAGTATCACGTAGAAGACATATATTCTCACGAATATTAGAGTACAAATTTCGAGCAAGAATATCAAGAAAAGGTACAATTCGCGGACTGATTATACAAGTGTCGAGCGCAGAACACCCAGTCATGGAGTCTATTCTTCCATGTACTCAAGCTCGTCTCCAACTCCAGCAGAGAAAGACCCTTTTTTGGCCGGCGAGTCATCAGGAAAAACCTCCCGGCCAAAATTTCGATAATCTTTGATAAAGTCCAAGAATTATGTCTAATTAGCAGCTTTAGGAGAATTAGGAGAATTATGTAGTTTAGAAGGACTTTCTTACCCCCTCGTAAATTTTGCATAATTATCAAGAATTAGCTGATACTAGACACAATTGTGGTGAATTGCAGAAGCCGTTATTACAAATGTTGGTTCACAGATCACACATCCCAGGCAATGTTACAAGAACAAAAGACTAATAAACATCTGATATTTGATTACATAGAATATACACACAAAAGTAATTACTGTATAGCTACAATTGACCGCAAATACGTCGACTGTGTGGACAGACGAGTCCATGCTGCTGCGCCGCGAAGACGAAAAAGTACCTGCACTTGTCGCACCAGAACCTGTTCTGAAACTGTCTCCTCCATAACGGATAGGGAATAGCACGGGTGAACCCTGGGGTACGAGCGGCGCAACCCCCACCCGTACCCCGCGATATACCCACACCCACGTTGTGGGTGTGGGTTTTTTGGTGGGTATGAGGCCAAACCCACCCAGGGTATCACCCACTGAGGGTATACCCATGGGTGGGTACTGTCAATTGTCAAAAAACTACGAGATACACACAAATGTAGTAGCTACTTGATGATAATGCGATCCCACCCATCCTCCAGCTCCAGCTCCTCACCCTCCACATCAGCGAGCATGCTTACAGACATTACGTCCTCGGTCTTGACAAGGTTTAAGTGGCTCCAATAGCCAAGACATAAGAGCGCGCAAGTCAATTGCACATTCAAGCGGGAACGGATATGGGAGAGAATGAGCTGTCCACGGCTGAAAAGCCGCTCAACGTCGACCGAGGTAGCTTTAGTCAAAATTTAGATATCAATTTAACTGAAAAAAAGGTTGGCACGTACCAGGAATAGTCAGATAATCTAATGCCATGCGGGAGAGTCGAGGAAATGTTGCGTGGTGCTCATGCCACCACATGAGGGGATCATCAACATGTTCCACATCGGCATTCAGATAGCGGTCGAGTTCGTCACCAAGGTCGGTCGGTTTTGGAGGTGCGAGTGCAGGTATGTTGTCGAATATATTGTCCTATTGTTATAGTTAGTATACAAGTTAACTTACACAAAATAACTCACCATGGCGCTTTGTTGAGAAGATTCAATCAAGTCTGTATCGTCACCGTCAGAGTCGGCATCTGGTGTGACTAAGTACGAGTGCCTGAACTCATCTCTCACAAGTGTCTCGGCAGTTTGAATCCAGTCGTCCTCCCACCCCACATTCTTGAAATACGCGAGTTTATGATGGGGGTGAAGCACTGAATGATAGTGAGCAAGACTACTTGAACTGCAACAGAGCACTTACCCATAGCAATGCGGTACACTTCAGAATGGTCCGTGAGTTGATAGTAGCGATCCAAGGTTTTTTTAGCAAGTCCAACGGCAGCACAAATTGAGGGCTGATAGTCGGCGTTATTAGAATACAGTGTGAGTTTTTCGTCAATTAAATCCATTGCTGGAATGACGGTAGGGAGATTGGGTGTTGACCGCGAGAAAAACATAGTTGCGTCTTTGAGAATCTAGTTAGAATTCCATTTTGGTGCATTAGTAAACAATGAACAACAACTACACACCAACACCACGCACCTTCAGAACATTTCGCAGCTGGTCTACAATTAACCATTCATGATCCGACAACTCGAGATCTCTCAAACCCAAGTCCCTTTGCTGTGTCATCGCATCAACTGCTCTTCGGTGTTTCAAGACATATGCAAGCATGTCAAACGTGGAATTCCAGCGTGTAGCCACATCGCGTGGGATGTTGGTGACTGGCCTTCCCTGTTCTCGAAGGATGTTGTGCCATGCGGGCAGGAGTTTTGTCGTGGAGTGAATGACCTTGAATGCGAGCTTCCGAAGCTGTGTGATATGTTTATTAAGGTATGTTTTCGATTTATTCTAATGTACAGACCTTAACAAGTACCAGCTTAACTGGACGAATATTCTGTTGCAGGCTCTTGCGCGCGTCATGCGTCAAGAATTCAGTTTCGTCAACAAACCCATCAATGTCATCACCAGGCAGTACATCAGAATCCATTCGCTCGTTCTCACTGTGGCCGTCAACATTCGGCTCATCATCATCGCTCTTCTCGTGGTCGTCATCACGGCTCTTCGGTTCATCAAACTGTCGAAGGAGAGATTTTGCTACCAAATTGACCGTATGCAGGAAGCACCTCGTGTGGGCTGCTGTACCACCGAAGTCAGGGAGTATGACTGCCATCTCTTCGAGCATGGCAGTATTATTGGCCGCATTATCGCATGTGACGACGAGGATCTATCATTTGGTGAGTCCTGTGAGTATATGCAGGGATTGTGTGCTGACCTTTCTTGTTACTCCATAATCTTTCAGCACTTGTTCGAAGGCCGCTGCAAGCTCCTCCCCCGTGTGGGACTGATAGTGTCTTAGCACGATGTCCTTCTCTAACTCGGTGAGTCGAGTACTTACTTTCAGCACCTCAATAATGTCTAACGGTAAACTTAAAGGCACACCTTTGTGTTCAAGATGTGCCGAGAATGCTACAAGGGCACGGTGGTTTGGAGACGACCATCCGTCCGTCGTAAAATTGAGTTTGCCCTCGTATTCCTGGTAAGATTCATTAGTCTTCCTCTTGCATCCAACTGATCTACATACATTTATCATTTTAGCAATTCGTTGTCTTGTCTTCGCAAAGACCAATCTAACATCGTGCGAGACAGTCGATGGAGATGGTATGTAGTATTCCAGTCTCCCTGTCTTCATAAGTGACTGAAATCCCCTGTCTTTGACAATGTCAAATGGCCGTAGGCTTTCCGCAACCCGACGAACAAGTTCGGCTCTGAATGCAACTATATCAGCCACAAGAATTCTCCGTCTCATTGTGATCCTACCTTGTCTCAGTCCGGGTATGCTGACGATGCGAGTAAGTGACCTTCCCCTTGCCTTTACATTCGAATGCGGTTGTAATTGATCCATCTTTCAGATATCCTGCGACGATCTTGGTCCGAACTTCGTCTGCATTCCTGGCTTCATCAGCAGCTTGCAATACATCATCGCCCCAGCAGGACTTGACGTGTTTCCGCATATTTCCCGTGGATCGTGCATCTTTTTTGTCGAGGAAGCGTCGAATCGTAACCTTGCATCCCTTGCCCATACATTTGAAGGAATGTGCACGACGGCCATCAATGGACTCTATAGCAGGTGTAGGGTCAAAAAAAGCATAGATCGGTGAGATCCATTCCTTCATTAACTGTTCTTTAGCTAATATGAGCTTGTATTACTTGGACTAGTGAAATCGGCCTTACTGAGTTCATCCTCCGCACACTCTTCCTCATCCGCACTCACTTCATCCTTGTCCTCGTCAGTATTCATACCCGCTCCCTCGTCATCGCTGATGACAATAGCATCATGATGTAACACACTTTCTTCTTCCTCGTTACGAACTACTGCCTGGTTTGACTTGGCCTTCTTGGGATGTGTACTAGTAGCAGCACTTTCATTATTCTTTCGTTTGTTTGAGCCTTCCTGCTTCTCGTCTAGCGCAGCTTTAGCTTTGTCCGTGAGTTTTTTAATACGCTTGGCAGCGCCTGAGAAAAATGTGGGATCCATACTGTGATGATCGTAAGGGCGCTGTGTTTAGGTTTAGAGTTTAAGGTTCATGTCCAATATTAGCTTAGTTTTAGAGTTTAAGGTTCATGTCTAATGTGTGTTACTAAGTTTCAAAATAAGTCATGTTTGCTTACATACCCACCACCAGGGTGTGGGTAGGGGTATGGGTACCCAAAGTACAGACCCCCACCCACACCCCAGAGGTACCCACACCCACGACCCACGTGGGTTGAGGATACCCATGCTATTCCCTAATAACGGAAGGAGTGCCAGGCGTGTTAGATGCGCTTGGGGGCTCGGTGAGGGAGGAGCGCTGCGCACGAGTGTCATGTCGAGAGCGCTTCCGAATAATATCGGATTTCATACTAATGGGACGAGCAGAGCCGTGAAGCTTATAGTAGAGGCCGCATCTGTATGTATATAAGAGATTGGTACGAATATAGAAGGAACAACAAATGAGAACTTACACGTTGCAAACGGTCTTTCCCCCCTGTGGCGCTGCAGCCAAGGACAGCGTGGACAATGCAGAAGCCAAAGATGACGCACCACCCGTGTCATCCTTCTCCATGACTAGCACGCATGGAGTTTGGACGCGGACGCTGATGCTACCAAAGAGAAGAGAAACGAGATGTCCGCTCAGCAAAGTCCATACAACGTATATAGATGAAATAATACTCACCAATTTACAATAGAGACCGCAAGCGTGATGAGTTACGACACGAGTGACTACCCACTATAAGGGTACGGGTATGGGCATGGGTGTCCAGGAATCAGTGTGGCGGTTGCTTGAACGACAATCGACGCACTCACCCACTGCGAACGGCAAACAACGACTTGGATCAGCGTGGCTCTTGCTCGAACAAGGACCGACACACTCACAATCCAACGACGAGCACAGAAGGACGACTATGAACTACCTAGTTTGTAGTTACAAATGTTAAATAGAACTTTTTAAAAAACCTAAGACATACCTATCAGCTTGATGGTTGAGGCTGACGACGTTGAACGTTGAGGAATGAGGGATCGACGTCGGAAGTTCAAAAAGTTTTCAAACCAAAGTCATGCGAGCCAAACAAATGGTTCGATATCAACCAAACAGTCACGTGAGCGAAACAAATATGTGCAAATGATGAACTTCAACAAAATTTTACTCAGTTGTTCGCCGCTTGTCCCAGGTGCGCATGTTCTTTTTTCTCGTTTATAACTATCTTTAACCTTGCAGCATGCTACTACGACCACCACTCACGCGGCGAGTTGCGCCCTACACTACATCCTACCCTCCATCTCATGCTTCCTGTCTCGGCCCTCCTTCCACTCTTCTGGCGCTCTCCAGTGTCCTCCGCACATGTTCGAGCCACGTCAGCATTCGCTGACGTGCGCCGGGCGTGTGCGCTAAACACTGGTGGCTGCTGGGATCGGGTGGGGCGTCCCACAGTTCTGGATGGTTGTAGTGATTTTTGGTTGAATTTGTATTTAGATAGATACACTTTTTGTATATTCAAGTAATTCTTGACATTTTGTGATATTTGCATCCCACATTATCGTCTTCTAGCAATTTTATTCCTAATTCTTGTGATTAGATAGAATTATCCAAATTAGAACTTTTAGCAAAAATTATAACATTTTTTCCCTGGGAGGGTTTTCCTGATGCCGACTGACCCATTGCCTCTGATGCCTCATTGGTAGCCTTCCTTTTCTCCCTACCATCTTTGATCGAGTTGACGAAGGCAGCCTGCATGTACTTCTCACATGGCAGCAGCTGCATATGCTGTAGCATCATCTGATAAATGCGGGAGCCGTTTGCATCGCGAGGGTTGGAAGCATTGTTGCTACGGGGTTTAATGGTCCAGCTGCGAAATATTATAATGACGGAAACCGAAAAACGAATCAGGACTTACAGCTTCAGAATGACCTCCAACTCCACAATTGTGCCCTCCGTAAGCTTTGTCTTATATTCACTGACATGAATTCGGACACCGTGCTCGTCACGGACGTCAGGAGACTGAACCCTTGTGCCACGCAGATCGTAAGTGTTCAATAAAGCAGAGTAATGGCCCTTGGAATCCTCAAGGTCACAAATGCGATCCCCATATAAACTGCTGAAATATGTTGCCAGCAGAGGCAAGAGTGGCGAAGTACATTGTGCGTGTACAGTGGCACTCGAGAGTATCGCTCGCAGCCGGTCTTCGTCCGATCGGAGTAATGTCATCCTAGTATATGTAAAATGCGATAGCACCGCATGCAAGCGACTTTTTTTTGATCGCTCCCTGGGTAAAGAGAGCCGGCATACACAGTCAAGAAGAACTTTATCAAAAAGAGATGACAAATTCACCTCTACAACACCGTCACTGTAGTACATCCATCTAGGAAAGTCGTGTATTCTAGAGTTCAAGCAAGCGTCAACCGTCAGTGAGTCACATGAAGCAAGCTTGCGAAAGACTACACAATGGCGGTAACCAGCCTCTGCGAATTCACTCAGAGACATCGATAATGTAGCATCTCGCCAACTCACAGTAATACAAACACCATCATATGAGATGCATCCATCAAAGCCGGACGAGTCACAAGTCAGACAAGACAACGAGTGTGAGGCGAGAGAGGCTTTAAGCCACATGCAAAAATTTTCAGGTGTTTCATAATATACGAGATGGTATTCAGGATAATAGAGTGCATCATAATAATTTGGATAGTCTCGAACGGCATGGAGCTCGTCATCAGGAGGGCAGTGGCTTTCCTTCAAGACACGAGCCGAACGACAAGGCAACTTTTGAATGAAAACCCTGAAAGACGACCAAAATTAATCAACAAATCAGGGAGATGGAAAAATATACACTTACATGTGGTACGGTCCCGCAGACAAAGCAAAGGAATAACGAGAGATATTGAGATACTATACTGACAGCGACAGAATACTGAGAGCGACAACAAGTTTGGGCGATCAACAAAGGATCCAATCCTTTTTTCCCACTGACTAAGCGACATCAAATTCACATACCCACGGGTGCGTTTGCAGGGCTTCGAATGTTTCTGTCTGAGAGAACCCTTTCCAGTGTCTCCACTAACGTGGAGTCGGGGAATACCGGCTGGTGAGTGGTCCTATCACATCGGGGTTATTGATATTTAGGAGAGGTTTATATGTTGTGTAAAATGTGAAGAAAATATTTAAAATTTAAATTGACATAAAGATGGGTACATAACTTCAAATTTGGGCAGCGTTTTGTGCGAAATCAAAAATATGAAGCATCCGCGACCGTTTTCCCACCAATCACACATTAATGAAAATATGAAATATAAACAGATTTTCAGCGTCTGTGTAAATATGAAGCTTAATTATCACGTAAAATGTTGGACAAAACTTGAAGTTTAGTCCGTCACTACATGTTTGTCAATGTATCAAGTTTTGTCTAACAATTAGGCGCCCCTGAAAATTTGAAGTTTACGCCGGTGACAAAATGTAATGACTAAACTTCAAGTTTGGTCCACAGACAAAATGAATCGCCCGATTATCGCCCACCCATCACCCACCAATCGCCCACTCATAGCCCGCTGGGATTATGATTAAGGTGGGGGCGCATACACCTTGAAGAGTCAGTGGCGGCTGAAATAAAGATTGTCACAACAATGTTCCATGAAGATAATTTACGAGTCAGAGCGCATTGAGTGAAACACAATCATTCCAAATCAGCAGATATATACAAATCATTTTGACATGTATCCTATGAATGCGCTAATTCTCTGTAAATGCTAAGCAGGAACTCAGAAATGTGCAAGTGAAAGTGACAACAGAAAAATGTTCTTACCGTTTGCTTTGGTAGCAAGAAAACTGCAGCATGCCACGTGAACATTCTTTCTCATTTTGTTCATGCCCGTATTGAACTTGATAGAGGTTTTCCACTGTGAGTTGGTCATTGGACCATTAACGTCATTGGTAGATAAATGTCGGTTTTGGGAAACACCGTCTCAAATATTGTCAAGGTGTTTCTGGAACCAGTGTTCACATCGAGTGGACCAGAACCCCACGTTCAATCCAGACGTAGCCCAAGCCTGAGGTCTAGGCCACCAAGAGATCTTTCCTACATTTCTAGCATCTAATTATCTAAATGTAAGCGCTGCTGCCTGTGGGGGCAAGAAACTTACTGTCGTATATGTAATACGTCCCGCAAATAAAATCCACCTCCTCCTCCGACAACTCGTTGTCGAAGTTAGTCTGGCCATCAATGGACAACATGAGGCCGAATGGAACAGCTTCCCGTGAGATGCCATCAAGAACTGACGGGAGTGCATCAAAACCAATGCTATGTAAAGCTAACCGGCATATGAGCCCCCCGTGAAGAAGCACAGCTCTTGCACGAGGCTGATTCATAAACTCGTGACGATACTGCTCATACACGACATAATCAGCATATACAGCGCTGAAAGTAGGGGGCTTGTATCCAAGTGAGTATGTGCAGAGTTCCATAACTGGGTGTCGTGCATAAGGTGGAACTGCTATCGGCTGCAATGTCTTGAAAGCTATTCCTTTTTGAAGAAGATTGCGTGCAATCTCCATGATGTCATACCCCCAGTCACGGCGAAGGCACATCAGAGCCGTGGCAGCGTCGGGGACAACAAGTTTCCAGGGGACAAGACTTGGTGATAGACACGGCTGGATGACATAGAGCAGCTGCTGCTCGGACACATGGATATAAGAAACTCGAATATTTGCATTCAAGGCCGACAGGGAGGTATCAGGTCCTAAGTCCCAGAGATCAGACGGTATCTGAGACAACTGAGAGCTGGGTAAGGTGACAAGATAACCGACGAAACATGTGATAATGCGCTTCTGTGCGTCTGCAACAGATTCAACGTCGTCGCCTGAGTCGCCGATGAGTTTGCATAGGTTAATCCACGTAGTCCTCTGAATCCACTGTTCAAACGTGGTTGATCTGTCACGAGCTGTGTGGGTTGATGCTGTGAGCTGAAATCCGAGATGGAAACAAAGGATTGAGGCAAAACGTTCAATACCACTAGTGTAATTCGACGAGGGTGCAACCTCATGATGACCAAAGTAGTTCTCGATATCCTGCATGAAACTGGATAGTGGGGGTGGAGGGGGCGGGGGTGGAGGAGGACCAGAAGGAGTGGGAACAGGCAAGAAATGATCCTCTTCCCAGTTGCCATCGGGAGTGCTGGTAGGATCCAGCGCATCACATAAGTCCCACTCATTATGAAATGAGTCATAAATCCTAGTAGATCGACTATAGTTTCCCCAAGTCGTTGATATCTGGGCCTTTGTGAGGCGGATGCGCAGAAGAAAGCCGTCGAATTTGTCTTGGGGTTGCCATTCAAACACCGTGGCCATATTGGATTTTCCGGGAATACTATGGCTCATTGCTGAATGCTTGCGGCTCTGACGTGACTGCCGGCGAGTTGGAGTCTCCTTGGCTTCCTTCACCTTATTTTCCTTGCAGCGCCGCGCAAAGAACACATGGTATTCCTCTCCTGGCTTCTGCCCGCTGAGTCGTTCTGGGACTGGAAACAGAGGATCTAGGCGTTGCTGAGGACCTGCTGATATGAGCTGGTGTTCTCCACCGTCCAGATTCCACCTGAGGCCACTCTGACTCCAAGCCTGATCCCATTCAACGACGCTCTCACTTCCATTATCCGGTTGACCCCACGTCCCATGTGTCTGACCCCAGGCGCTGTCAGCATGCATCTGGCCCGACTGCTGCGCCTCGATCGCATTGGCAATGGCTTTTGGGGACGGGATGTAATGATGCAACTTGATGTCGACAGCAGTGTTGCCGTCATAGCAGACCCAGATTGGGATCGAGAATGCTTCGTACATAGGTAATTGTGCCTCCCAAGGACAGTAGATGGAAGATATAAAAACCCCGGTGCGTGGTACATTAGTCGACAAATCCCCTACAAATGAGTGAGATAGCTCGAGAACCCATTCAGCTGGGATGGGATACGTAGGGTCATCGGTTAAGAGAGATATCCAGGCACAATCGGAACCTCAATATCGGCGGCTCATGATGTGCCATGTACATATAGCGACGATTGCTAGAAGTATGTCAGCCACCGTGCAATGTAATGAAAATGGAATGGACGTACATAGAAATGAGTTACGCGACCTCAATGCAACTTTTTTCGCAAGCCTAGCGTCTACATGGGATCTTTGGTACCCATAACTAGTGGGAGCACGTGCAAATAGAGTGCCCCATGGAACAAGAAGTCCTGCACCCAAACATTCCTGGCACCAGAGCAATTTCTGCTCTAAATCGCGCCATTTCTCCCTGATGTCGCGATGGAGTATATACTTGCCCTGTCTATCAACCTCTATTCGCAGTGAAAACGCGGAGTGGTTCAGGCATGCAAAAATCGGTCCATCGAAGTCAGGATTTAGAGGAACAAGAGGAAGCCACGGGCGAGCTGCATACGCCCAGCATGTGGTGAGTGGTGTATCACTATCATCAGGCGAACTGTCATGGGGGTCACGCGGGTCCCAGGCAGGCTGGTGAGGTATCACTTCTGGAAGCGAATGTGCGGTGAGAGAGGTGTAGACCTTGTCATCACGACAAAAGACTTTGAGACTGGTAGTAGTCATCGGAAAGGGTGGTTGGTTGATCCGTAGAATAGCAGAGTAGACTGAAGCACTACCACAACAGTACAAACTGTTGTGCTAGGTTAGTCCAGAATTGCACTGACACATAGAATGAGAAACAACTTCTACCACAACAGTACAAACGGTTGTGTTAGGTTGAAAGGAGTAAGCAGCAGGCCGGATACATAAGACTTATGACTTTGGCGGGCGATGACATACACAATAGTCACAAATAGCTTATGTAATACTTTCGTTCCAGCATCCATATTCGAACCTTCATCATGATGGTTCCACACATTCTCGAGCTTGACAGTATGTACCGTCGAGCTCATCGTTCTCAATCACCATGATCTTCTTCGAGCACGATGGTATGTACTGTTGTGCTCTTGACCACTGGGATTTCAACCACCACCTCCTCACGACCTTCAAGCCAACATCGGATGCCGCACCTCATCTACGACGTCTCCCAATGGAGCACATCACATCTTTCTTTGGTTTCCTGCTCGGTGATCCTTTAGATCATGCGGGTGTGGCGATAATGCATAACTTTGGTATGCAGTCCAGTCCGCAAAAGCCAGTGTCTAACGTCTTCAATCCAGCCGTTCATGTCTCAACCATGTATGGAGCAGCGGCTCATCATCACGTATATCGATCGACTCGCCTTCCATTTTTTAGATCGCGTGGATCAAGCTATCCCGTTAACCCCTCCACCGTACATACAGTGGAGGGGGCAGCGATTTTTTCAGGCCTTTTACGCACGTCGGTCAACCTCTGATATATTGCCCTACCTACCTATACCACATATTACGCTACTATCACTTTTATCCATCTAAATGTCTCATTCGACATTTCCAACCTCTGAACTTCCCGCTCAGTAAGATCAGAAATCCATTCGCCATTGTATAGGCCCTTGGGTAATCCTGTCATCGGGCTCCGTGAAGTCTTTGGATTACCAGGCGCACGTATCCTTTTCATCAGCTTTGAACCCTGGGGCGAGAAAATATCATCATCCAACACTCTGATGGTCGATAATGTTCAGTTCTCTCTCTACCTCACGACACCATGGCATATTCTTGACCCGGAGTACCGTTTCCACATCATTCTCGATGTCGCTCTCTTCAGAACTCATCCCATCGTCTCCCAGCGTCTTGACTAGCCTCTGAAGCCACTGCCAAGTTGGGAGATCCTCGGCGGTTTCATCCTTTTTTAACTCAATGACGTGATGAAGAACTTTTGTTCTTCGCATATATTTCTGGCATTGTCATTAGCATCTGAACGACTTCGAGATTGTGGACATACATTTCGTCGACGGGTTGCTTGACAAACCAATTTGAGAGTTTTGTCTCTCTGTGCGACCAACCTCTTCTCCACCTCTTCTCCAGTTTCCAATGTTCCCTTCGCTGTGACCTTTGCCTGCCCTTCTCTCCATATTGTCCGCAGCCGCTTGTAGCGATGCTCAAGTATTTCTCTGTAGTAGCCATCCGACCTTCGGACTACCCATCCCTCTTTCTCATTCCTCTCCTTCAAATCTTCAAGGAGCAAATCGAGAATCCTCGCATTCCAAGGGGTTTTAGATCCATTTGCGAGATCAAAGGCGAGTTTCTGGTAGTCAGGGCCTGGACCATCTTCGTGCTCGTATGAGTTCACAATGTCACAAGCGGCTGTCTCGTGGGCTAAAAAATCTGCATCTTGAGACATGTTCAATTTTTCTCGGAGGAGACGCCGGACTTCATCCTGCTCCACGCTCAGTAGAATTCTTCGTGTCGAAGTTCTAGCTCACCAGAAGGAAGTCTCTTTCATGGCTCAACTCTGCAGCCCTTTCTATCCTAACTTCATCGTCCTGCATTTTTTTACTTTTCCTTCGAGGTCTCTGCTTCATGACTGCTGGAAGATCCTTGTTGATGAAGATGCGTTTGAGTGCCGCCTCTACGCCTCTGGAAACCGCATTCTCCATCGCAGACATAGGGAAAGCATCGCCTGATTGCAGCGGTTCTGGCTCGACCATGGGTGATCGTTCTTGACGCGTTTCTATAGGGTCATCGTCCTGCTATGGCGTGAGTGCAAAACCAGTTTTGACCACGTCTAGTACTTACATCTGCCACAGATACCAGACACGTCCTGCGCGTTGTTCCATGTGCCCTCTTAATCCTTTTGATTGCATCAAGGGATGGAGTGTTGGAGTGTGGTTTCTGAGGCGTTTTGGCCTGCTGCTGAGCGCTCATGGGGGTGGTGTCTGCGTCCATATCCATAGCTGTATCCCATTGCCTACCGCGTCTCGCAAACTGTTGCTCCATGTTAGCGAGCTCAGCCTGTTTTGCTGCCTTCAGGGTTTCTACTTCTAGTTGCAACCTTTGTTCTACCTCGGCCCCAATCGCTTTCTCGCGTTCTTCCAGCTGCTCGATACCATTAGGAATTGTTTAGGTGTTTTGTGTTCACCCTTACCTCTTTTTGTTTTCTTTCGGTTAATTCTACTGCCTCCTGGTACTGCTGCTGACGTTGTTGGCGAATTACCTATCAGCATTGTGAGCACATGTCTGACTGAACAGCACAACATAATCACTTCGATTTCATTTTTAGCATGGTTCAGTTGGTTTTCCCACTCTCTCAAAGCCGCTTCCAATTGCTGAGCCTTCTTGCTGATGTCGCGCGCATGACGCTTGTGTTCTTCTTCTGCAAGACGGCTTTGTTCCTGAATGTGTTCCTCAGCTTGCTGGCGCACCTGTGATGACCAGTAAATAAGCGGTAATGCATCCAGAGTCTCGTGTGTACCACTTCTGCAAGATGGTGTTGTTCCTGAATGTATTTCTCAGCTTGCTGGCACACCTGCCGATGATCAGCAAATCAGCAGGGATACATCTACCGAGTCTCTCATGCATACCACTTCTGCATGGCGTTCTTGTTCCTGGAGGCGTTCCTCAACTTGCTGGTGTGCCTACCGACGACCATCAGTGGTGATACATTCACCGAGTCTTTCGTGCGTACCATCCGTCCTTCCTCCATGATTTTGTTAATTCGTTCTTCTTGCTGATATACAGTCATACGAAGTTCTTGTGAATAGTCAACTTCGCGAAAGCGACATTTTTCAGACGCCTGGATAGGACCATGAGTCGATGAAGCTGATTCACACTATTCAAACGTACCAGTTCATTTCTGACCCTCTTTTCCAGTCGAACTGCACTGGTCGAAGGTCGTGCTTCACTGGTCGAAGGTCGTGCTTCACTGGTCGAAGGTTGTGCTTCACTGGCTGAAGGTTGACTGAGAGCATCCAAAAAGTTACCAGTACCGCTCTCACAACCGTTGTCGTTGTCATTGTCGTCAAACAATTCTGCGTCATGAGATGTTTGTACGTCTTCTGGCCCAATGCGTGGGTATTGTGTGTTAGTGTCATCGACACTCATAGGGTAATCCATTCGTTTGGTTGCACAATATCATAGTTCTGAGTCTTCTTAAATCACAGGTACATTATTGTCCCGTCAGAACTTTTGTGTCGCTCCTGCATCCATTTCTACTCAGGTTGTTGGTTACATGGTAACTTTATAGTCATTGTTGAACAGACCGTCCATTTGTATTATGTACATATTCAGATTTGACGCTTATGTCCTTATTTCAGATACGACTACCCCCTTATTGTTTTTTGTTTTTGTTTTCGCCCAATATGGCAGTATGTTGAGTGCTTCCTCTCATAAATAATTCCTTAAAGTTCAGTGTTGCTATTCGGCTGTATCCCATCATGCGCAACACTCCCAAAGCCGTCCTTCCTTTCTATGACCCGGAGCCTGGTGCTCCACCGCCCTTCCCTCCAATGCTCACGGACCAACTCGAGCTTTTTTGCAAAGATAATCATCGCCCGATTACACTGGTCACCGACGAAATTCTAGTCCCTAAAGTTAGTATCGTCACCCCCACTACAAGGTCGTCGTCCACACCCACCCCTGAGTCCAAAATTACCAAGCGATCACCCAAGCATTCTGAGCACACTTCCTCTCCATACCCGAAGAAGGTTGCTTTCACGCGTTCCCATTCTCGAACACCTATGCCCTCGGATTCGGACAGCTCTTCGGATTTTTCATCAGACAGCGGCTCCTCAACTTCAAGCATAATTTTATCGGAAGACTCGAAAATCCCCAAACCTACTGGTGAACCTGGACGCCCAGGGCGTGGAGGGTATACACTTTATGAGGCATTAGATTTGAATCCAAAGGCATATGCGAAGTTCAAGGTTCGCAAAGTGTGCCCTCAGCTTGCAAAGTAACTCACGAACAACTAGAAACATATGCATCGCCTTATTGATGACCACCTTGACATGGTGAAGTGTGCTTCTGCCCAAAGTCCTATACTTTTAAAAGCTGTGCGCGACAAGGTAAACAGTATTCAAATCTCGACGTTGTTGATGATCTCATCGTATCTTAGGCTCTAGACGAATTCCCAGACCTTGAAAATTATAGCAACTTATGGCCAGCCAGCGATATGATCATGACACACCTGAAATATATGTCCTGTCGCGCTCGACAGAAGGACGGAGAGATGGCTTTAGGCAAGGGCAAGGGCAGGAAGTGATAATCTAGGTGGGTTCGCAGTTTTGCTCCTACTAAGGCTATGACTGATACCTCCTCAGCAGCCTTTCAACTGTGTGCTTCGGCTCTCAAGACTTGCAGCTATTAGATCTAACTGCTGTAGAATGTAGATACAAACATGTATTTGATATGAATGCTGCACCATGACAATTCTAAGACATTTCAAACTCAAATAGGTCTCGTACGTGCGCGACCCTTTTGGTTGTCTAGCTTCAGTACACAGAGGCACTTAGATTTAAACCCCCATCCTGGTCTAGCAGTGGGTGAAGCTTATTCATTATGTGTTGCGCTCTCACAAGCTACGATGATAACATTCAGACCCTATACTGGCAGGTTTCGCTCCTCTGCTACTATATAACGGGCCGTACAAACAATACATTTGCAGTCTAGCCGAAAATATTACGCTCCACACCTTGCCACTAATCGACAGGTTATCACGAGTGCTCAAAGGTTTCACAAGAGTGAGATCACGTGGGAGCCTGGCTCTTGGACTGACAGCTTATGCTCTGTGCGAAGCTGACAATGGTTAATGTAGGCTCGATAAACCTGTTGACTTCAACAACTCACTGGTGGATTATGAAGTCAGCAAGTGCATTGTCTCTCCCTCAGCATGTTAACAACAGAGGGGTTTTTGACTCCGATCCTTGTAACTACTACGTCACCTCGGAACTGATGATCACCACTGCTGAGGAGTGAGTTGGCTCTAAGATGGAGATGTCGTTTGAAGAATATGCAGAATCGATAGGTGTGTCTCCCTTCGTGCACAGTGACAAAGCAGTTGTGAACATAAGGTTGCACAGTAGCCTCCTCGAAGAGGCTTTCAGGAATTGGAAAGGCCTGAGCACTGCGAGAGTGACCAGAGCATTGTGTCAACATCATGACCTGACGAGGTCTGTTCCACGATGTAGAGTACAACCTGCACCTGCAGGTGAAGCTCAGGGGTCTGATTTGAAGGTAAACAAGGGTGCGAGAAAAGTTGGGATAACTTATGGAAGATGTTGGAAGGATATATGTGCGAGTGTTCACCATGCTGATAGATTGATAACAATGTAGGAAGTGGCAATAAGAGTGGGCAATGAAAGTGGGCAATGAATATTATGGTAGTAGTATGGTTTTTAAGTTTAGAGCTTGGCGCCTAAGTTACCAAGGCAATAACCTACTTTATAACTCTTCGTAATAGGTGTCTAGTTCGGGGATGTAGTTGCCGGGAACAGTGGGGAGCCGAACCAGTAATCAAGCACGACAATAGTATCTGAAATGTACTTTTTGTTAACACTGCAGTAGTGAGGGTAATTGTGCGAACCTCATAAGGGTCTTAATGCTGCAGCACGGGTAATTGTACGAACCCCATAAGGTCTTAAAGCTGCAGTGTGGGTTAGCAAGGGTAATTGTACGAACTTCCGTAAGGATTTTAATACTGTAGCAGATTGGTAAAGGTAATTGTACGTGCTCCTTTTAATGCTGCACCGTCGCGAAGGGCAATTGTACAGTACTCTGAAATAATTGGAAGTTGTTATCTGAAAAACAAAAGTCTAGAAGCAGAAAGTCTGACAACAAATGAGAGGCACAGATAAATATGCTATGAGCGGGCGACTACAGTAGATCATCTTATCCGCAACAATGCCTTTCTTTGCTACATTTTTCAAGCAGTCGACACAATCACAGCGTTACAAGCCGCTAGCTCGTTTAACCACCTACAGTGGTTCCGTTCATGCGCTTGCAATTTCTAATGACGGTCGTATTCTTGCAGGTGGTGGTAAGTAGACAGGGACTCAGCCACAGGCAGTGCTAAAAACAAGTAGGCACCACAGGGATAAAGCTCTGGAATATCAATTCTCGCAAGGAACTCCTATGTTCGTCTCATCATGAATCCCGCGGAACAGTCAGTTGTGCAGTCTGGACCACAACGAGGCAAACCGCAGTAGAGACCCTCTGTTACGGAACAGGCCTGGGTTATATAACATTTTTGCGACGTGGTCTCATAGATGTGAGCGCCCAGGCATGTCAATTGACCTTTCACTGACAATAATAGAACAATTTTCAGGAGATTTGCGCAAGGAGACTTGGATCGGGTTTTGAGATTACTTGCCTATCATGCCATCCAACTTCTTCTGAAGGCAACGTACGGATTGCAGTTGGAACAAGAGACAAGATTGTTCAAGTTCTCATACTCAATACGAGCTCCCAGCTCCAGTCCGTCTTCGCGGTGCAGCTTGAAAATACAGTACCCAAGTCTGTAGCATTCGCGGATAACAAAGCCATTTATGTATTTGGGCTGTACGATGGCAAATTGTTAGTCCCACTACCGCTAAACATTCGCCTGCTAATCATCAAACAGCATGAAACTGGAGGATGAAGATGGTACTATAGTGGAGGAAGTTAGCTGTCAATCATTGATGTGAGCTGCTACTGCTATTGACATGCACGTTACTGACATTACCCAGTGGCCACTGCAGCGGTGTACCAAAAGCGTGGGGTTTTCATTGTGGACAACGCAACAGATGGCTTTACATTGTATCGCCTAGAAGGCAAGGGGGAGCCCGTTCGAACATTTGTGACTGCTTTGCCAAGCTTGTCAGTCCTGAAGCAAGTGGCATTTGGAGAAGAAGGCAAGGTAGTTGTAGGAGGAAGTGATACATGGACTGGCATATATATTCGATAGGAAGACGGAGCAGGTACTCGAAACCCTCCATCACGCAGATGCTGGCCTGGTACAAACGATAACCAGTAAGCATTGAGATTGGGCACGAAAAATGTCACTCAACTGGTTTTCAGACGTGCGATCTCGATGGCCGCTGCACAATTGCCTGCGCTTCGCCAGCGTTAGGGCGCGGGAACACCACAATCAAGATATGGGTGTGCGATTACTGCAGTGCAGAAGGCATCCAAGACTCCCTCGCAGAATTATTGGTCCATCTCGCGAGTATTGATGATCCTGATGCAAATACTGGCAGTGCTGTCGATGAGTATGTTCCTGGTAAACTATAAAGACTTGTTTTTCGTAAGTCGACCATTTGGCTGGCAGCAGTTTGACTAAATCGCACCTTAGGATAGAGCGATAGATAATCTGCACCAGTATATGACTTCAGCAATGGTGGTTAATGCAGCTGACGACTTTTCATGACACGTCAAAGCAGCCATGATGTTTGACAACGGCCAAACGGAAGGACACACAGGAGGACCCGAGAATGATATCAGGATGCTCCATGAACTAGCAAAGAAGCTCATGGAACTAGCTGAAAAAGCAGGTGGAGAGATCGATGAAGAGAGACGCAAGAGCCTGGATCAAAAGACTAACCATCCCAGAGTAGCAACGGTAGATGCAGATAGGAAGGACATTGCTATCGTCCTAGCATAGTATAGTTGCACCGTTGCACAAATAGATTGATGTGCGTAGAAGGCCTGAAAAATCGCTGCCCCCTCCACTGTATGTACGGTGGAGGGGTTAACGAGATAGCTTGATCCTTGAGAAGTGAACGGCTGGATTGAAGACGTTAGACACTGGCTTTTGCGGACTGGACTGCATACCAAAGTTATGCATTATCGCCACACCCGCATGATCTAAAGGATCACCGAGCAGGAAACCAAAGAAAGATGTGATGTGCTCCATTGGGAGACGTCGTAGACGAGGTGCGGCATCCGATGTTGGCTTGAAGGTCGTGAGGAGGTGGTGGTTGAAATCCCAGTGGTCAAGAGCACAACAGTACATACCATCGTGCTCGAAGAAGATCATGGTGATTGAGAACGATGAGCTCGACGGTACATACTGTCGAGCTCGAGAATGTGTGGAACCATCATGATGAAGGTTCGAATATGGATGCTGGAACTGAAAGTATTACATAAGCTATTTGTGACTATTGTGTATGTCATCGCCCGCCAAAGTCATAAGTCTTAGTATCTATCTATCTTTACTCGCATGGGCTCAACCGTTTGTACCGTCGAGCTCGCCTTCGATGACCTTTCTCGGCTTGACCGTTTGTACAATCAAGCCTGTTGTCCTCCATGTCATTTAACCATCTTCCCAATGGCATGACTGTATGTACGGTCGTGTCTGCCCCTCCTGATTTCTTTGTTAATATCTAACCTTTGCTACACCCCTGGCTCAACGACCCCAATGGCCTCCCGCATCCCCCAGTATGACTGTATGTACTGTCATATCTGTCCTTGCGGCTTCACTTCGTCTTTGGAACGATGGCACCTGGGTGGTTGTTGATAATAGATTTGGTATCCTTTCCCTGAGAACGGAGGTGCGCATCCTTTATATTCTGCCTGGCATCTGCATTGAGGGCCATCCGCCTACTTTGTGGAGGACTTGTTTTGCCTATCATTTCCTATACTCACACTCACTTCAATTTTTCTGCTCTTACAGATGATATACCTCATCCCTGGACAACATCTGCAACTTCTGGTCTTCAAGAGTCCCTTCTCTGCTCCCTCGGTCTTGCCCCAGCCTTTGGAATTGAAGGCCATCATTTTGAAGACGACGGCATCTATATTCATGCTCATTTCGGGTTCCCTACATTCATTTCCTGGTTTGGTAGTTATTATTGAAGGTAACATTGTTGTATCGAACATGCTGCTGTTATTGACATTCTGTTGTATTCCAGCAACCGTTGTTCTTTTTTTTTTGGTTTCATCACTACAAATACGTCGTTTTTTTTGCCTCCCTGCACTCGGACCCTCCACTTCATCGTGATCATCCAGAATCAATTCCACGACTGACAAGAGGCTGTCTTATTGTAGCCACCTCTGCCCTTTATGCCCGCATCCCATGCAGTGTATAAATGGTGCACCTGCCAGGAGTGCATCGAAAATGGTGGTCGTACAGAGAATGGCACCCCTAAGGGGGTGCTCATTGCAGAACGTCTCATGGCAGCCCATCTCCAACGTACCCAGCATGCACAGGCCGAACGTGTTGCGCTCGCTCGTGTGGCTGGCTCTGTCGGGCAGGATGATAGCATAAACTTGGTAGCCTCTCAACTCCGCACACTCATTCTGACTGACCACGATCCGCTTATCGCTGTCTCTGCAAGGACGGACATATCTCACGCTGCTACTCCTGTACATGGCCCTGAGCCGGAACAACCCAATCTTATTCCCCCACTATCTATTCCAACTCTAGCAGATGATCTTGAGCAACTCACGCTGTCCGACCCTTTGTTGCACGAGACACCCAAAGGTGCAGAAATCGGCAGACCAAGGAACAGAATTCGGCGAACCGTGATGGACTTGAAAGTTCTCGATAATATCAAGTTGCGTGTTGAGCGGTTTTTCCGCTTATTATCTGCTGGTAATTCCGATGATGTTCGTCGTGAGCTACTCGTGCTTCGCAAAGCTGTGGAGAATGTGAAATGGAAGGCGGAGCTTGTGGTTGCACGGAAGGAGGCAATTATGTTGGAGATAGATACTTTAGAAGCCCAGTTCAACAGATGCAAGCCTTCCACAAGGGACTTACCAGTCGAGTTCGATACTGGTAAGCATTGTCCATTTTAATCATGGTGCTGTGCTCATCAATCAATAGACGTTCACTATCAATCTCCTGTGAATTGCTACGATGAAATTGCACAGGTCGCATTATTCATTGGTGTGATGTGTAAAGTCGTCATGGGGGTCAGTAGACGAGGCTGTGACTTCATCATGGGACTCATTTCAGTCCTGCTATTCCTCACGTTCCGGAGATCGGATGGTAGCCTCAGCTCTTCCCATGAAAATGTGCTGAGGCAAATTCCGATAATTTTCGAAATCGCGCTCACAAAATTCCATCTCACCGGGAAAACTGTCGTATATGCGATCTGCCCCAGCTGTCATTGCACTTATGGCCCTCATTATGCAGAAGGCTCGACTATCCCTACATATCCTGAACGTTGCACACATAGACCCACACCAGAGGCCGAATGTGGTCAGCCAGTACTCAAACGTGGCCGCGATGGATTACTCCGTCTGAAGAAGACATTTGTGTACCACGATTTCAAAGACTATCTCGCTGGTCTCCTTTCCCGTGCAGATATTGAGGCTGCGATGGATCAGGCTTGCAATGATTTGCAGGACTCAATCAACTCTCTGCATCCACCCTTGATGAAAAATGCATCCGAAGCTCAATTTCTTTGTCAGTTTTGTGGCCCACAGCCAAGTTCCCTTTTTATTGATAGAGGAGAGGAGGGATGTTATGCCTTTGCCCTACACATTGACTTCTTCAATCTGGAGGGTATGAACTTGCATGGTGCTAGCACCTCATCTGGAATAATTTCTATGACGTGCTTGAATTTGCCATCGGATATTAGGTACAAGCCTGAAAATTTGTATCTCGCAGGCATCATCCCGGGTCCGAAACAACCGTCACTCGAGCATCTCAATCATTACATCCGACCACTCATCGATGACATGGTGGATTCATGGGAGCGCGATCTCAAACTTTCCAAAACGGCTTGCTATCCTACCGGCTGGCTCACTTGCAGTGCTGTCGCTCTCGCTGTGTGCGATCTTCCTGCCGCTCGTCACCTCGCTTCTTTGGCTGGAACAGGTAGCCACTTTTATTGCAGCGCATGCAACTGCTACCACAAGACCACCTATGGTAGAGTGGACTTCGAGCATTGGGAACTTCGGGATAAAGATAGACTACGGGAGTTTGCTGAGCAGTGGAGGGATGCTGCGATGACCTCCAAACGTGGGAGGCTATTCAAAGATCATGGTGTCCATTATTCAGAGCTGTGGCGTTTGCCATACTGGGATCCTTCACGCCAGCTTGTTATTGATCCAATGCATTGCATATTGGAAGGTTTGGTCCAGCACCATACCCATAACCTTCTCAGCTTGACTACAGTAACCATGCCCACCTCATCAACTTCAGCTCCTCCAGCCTTTTCATGCGACATGTTCAATGTGCCTCCAGGGACGATGTCAACCAAGGAAATGACTCAGGTCTCTGCTATACACACACTCCTTGTTTCGCAGCTGTCTTCTTCTGACGACAAATTAGATGACGACCTTGACAAGCTAAAGAATTCTCTGTCTCACAAGAATACAGTACCTCTCAAGTTCGTTTGCAGTGTCTTGGGATGCATTCCCCAAAAATCTGGTAGAATGTTCAAAATTGACTATACTAAGGCTCTTGTAGAATGGGTAAGTTCTTTGATGTGCCGTGGCCTTTTTGCGAGTTTCCTATGTTATTTTTTAGCGCCGCGGAAAACCTTTTGCTGCCCCCAAGAAGGAACACCGGTTTGTGTCTCCAGATGTGCTCATTCGTGTTCAAGACGTTATCCAGGAGATGACTGTTTCAACTTGGTTTGGTTCAGTCCCGAGTAATTTTGGAAGCACATCTGCCGGGACAATCAAGGCTGACGAGTGGCGCTCACTAATCACTGTCTACATTCCCATCGCCCTTATCAGTTTGTGGGGGGCTGACACCTCGCATCCTTCCGATGAAGTCGGAACTCTCCTTAGAACCATTCTCGATCACACGATGGAACTTGTTTGTGCAGTATATCTCGTGTGTGCCCGAACAGCAACCACAGATAGAGCACATGCTTATCGTTCCCACATCGCACGTTATGTCGCAAATTTGACAAAGATACACCCCACCTTCGCTCTGCGTCCGAATCACCACGCCACCTTCCACATATATGACTACTTACTTCTATTTGGACCTGCCCACTCTTGGTGGTGCTTTCATTTTGAACGTTTAATCGGAATACTCCAGCGTCTTCCAGTTAATCACAAGTCAGGTGAGTCGTTATGGAGCGTCAGTTAGAGTGGCATGGACTGATTTTTTGCAAGGCGAGTTGGAAGCTACGATGCTACACTCTTTTATTAGGACTGCGAAGCTTCGCTGTTGGCTCAGTCGAGCAGATTGTCCGCCGGCTATTCAGGAGTGCAAAGTTCTGTTTGACAGAATGTATGCTCCCAAGAGCGCTACAAGCCTCGACGAAGAACTTGCTGAAGATCCCTTGGACGACAGTGTACAGGTTCCCTCCTCCGCTCTACCTGTCGTCGTACCCGAAGACTTGTACGCCCTTATCAAACGACAGAAGGCGGTATTGCGTGCAAGACTAAAATTTAACGGTATTATCTACAGCAGAGCCTCAACACATGTTGGAAATAGTCAGGTTCTTTTTTATCCTCAGGGTGACCGGTTATCATCTCCTGTCCCTGGCAGTATTCAACATATCTATGCTATGCCCACAGGTGAACTGGTGTTTGCTTTACACAGACAGCTCCCATTCGATCATCACGACACTATTGATCCATTTGCTGTGTATCCTGATTTTCCTGCAAAATTGTATTCATCAAGCTTCAGTAGTCACTTAGAAAACGTCAAGGTATCTTGGGTTGTTAGTCACTTTGCTCGATGGGAGATTTTGAGTGATCGTGTTGTCATTCTATCTCTATGTCGTGTAAGTACAGTCATTCCTAAAATTTTGAGCATCAGCGTCTGACTGCTGTCGAACAGGATTAAACTTAGTACCCTGTTACCGTAGTCAAAATTTAACATGTTTTGTATATTTGCTGTCCCGCACCCAGCTGGCTCTACTCATAGATTAAATTTTCACGGAATCTAACATCAGTCTTGATATAGGGACTGGTTCCCCTGCCCCCGCCTATACTTGTGGCATAACAATTGTGAGCTTTCATCTTGAGTAATCTGGATGGGCAATGGGTGGGCAATGGGCGGGCAATTGGTGGGCAATGGGCGGGCGATAATTGGGCGATTCATTTTGTCTGTGGACCAAACTTGAAGTTTAGTCATTACATTTTGTCACCGGCGTAAACTTCAAATTTTCAGGGGCGCCTAATTGTTAGACAAAACTTGATACATTGACAAACATGTGGTGACAAACTAAACTTCAAGTTTTGTCCAACGTTTTACGTGATAATTAAGCTTCATATTCATGCAGACGCTGAAAATCTGTTTATATTTCATATTTTCATTAACGTGTGATTGGTGGGAAAACGGTTGCGGATGCTTCATATTTTCGATTTCGCACAAAACGCTGCCCAAATTTGAAGTTATGTACCCATCTTTATGTCAATTTAAATTTTAAATATTTTCTTCACATTTTACACAACATATAAACCTCTCCTAAATATCGATAACCCCGATGTGTTAGCAAAATACCCAATGACTCATTATGACTCACTCTGAATATATGACTCACTATGACTAGAAATAACGTTGAACTGACTCACTATGACTCACCCTGAATATATGACTCATTATGACTCTTTATGACTCTTTATGACTCTTGAATATACTAGTAGCACAGCCACATTTATTGTGTATATAATGACCCCAGTTTTGAAATAAAAAAGAAGCAACCAAGTGGGAGTTTTCAGCCCATCTAACATTAAGTTGTGAGTAAGGTGTGATAAGTGTCAGCATCAGTGTCAAGAACTGTTCAAGACTGAGAGGAACATTCTCAAGAGACAGTAATACTTCAAGCTCATCATACTAAACGACTAGCTGCGAGCTCACTGTGTGCAACAACCAGCAAGCAAGGTACAGCCACAGTTTTATTCAAATTTCTATTTTTCTTTTTCTTTTCTTTTCTCTTCTGTTTTACTTTCACCAGCCTTTGGTGTTCTTTTTCCAAAAAGCATATTCCAAAATATTCGTGTTGTCTCTACGTCCACCTAAGACTCAGAGTAGCTTAGTGGGGAGACTTAAGGGATTGATAGTGAAGCTTGACCTCACTCATCTGAGTAGTGATACTGAGCCAAGGTTTTCTGTGCCTGCTAGGCTTTAGCTGTTGAAGAGGGGACTTGGTAGTAAATCCAAGGACGTCTGTTCCTAAGTCTGTTTGAATACTCAAAGTGAGTTCCTTGACAGCAGGTTCAATATTGAGCTAAGAGTTCTACAATAAAGCATTTGACTAGTCTTGACCTTTGATTCTACCTGTTTTGTGCTGAGGGGGTTGATCATTGTAATTCCGCACCATTCTTTTTGGAGTACAGTTTGGTAAGAGGCCCTGTTGTTGAAAGGAAGCTTGAGGGAGAACTTTCTATTTCACTGGTTACTGCCATACTGTCGGGCTGACCATTATTTGTTTGTTTGTTTCTGTCAAGTCCATAGATTGGATTGACCATCATATTTACTGATCTTGCAGAAGTATCTTTAGCTGAACGTACTTTGGGTAGTATACAACTAGCCACCCACGAACGACCACGTTATCAGTCATTGGTATTTGTCTGAATCGCTGACCGTGGAGATATTTGGTTTTATAGGTGTTTATCTATAGATCATCTATCTAAGAAGACAGCGTGCTAGCATGCGAGGTTACTCTAGCGTGACTGCTGAAGATCTTCTTGCTATTATGTGTAAAATTGCTGCTGCTGATGTCAACTTGTCTGTGAAATTGTATGATCCTGTAGATACCTGAAGCCTTATACTGATATCACTGTACATAATTTCTCTTCCCTGTATCCTTGTAATCAAAGCATAACTCTGAAACAAGGTGGTTTGTGCCAGCAATGCCTGCGACGAACCATTGCTTTATGAAAGTGAGTCTCAGCCAACTTGGCTGGGCTTGGGTAAGCACATCCTAGATGAACAGATATAAATGTAATTTATAACCGAGTTTCAGGTTCATATCAGCAAAGTGCCTGTAAGTGTCTAGTCAACACTTTTTGATGCTAATTAATTACTTAGTTCAATCTTCGTTTGTTTGATGTGTTTATAATAAATGCAGGTGAGCGCCTATCATATGTCATCGCCTAAATGAACATATTTCCTGACAGTGTTGTCTTCTTTGCATGCGGGAAACTCCGGACTGAGTCCCATTCACTATATAAACTTGTCATGTTGTGACTTGTTTGCCTTTTCTTTTCTCTTGCGCAACACTAGGCACATATACCTTGCATATACCTGTAAGCGCGATCCGGTTTTTGTGTCACTTATACCCATACAATTGTATCAAAATATCATGACTCTCGACCCTACTATACCCAATGAGACCCCTACTGTAGATGCTGTAATACCAGTACAGCCTGTTGTGCAGGATTCACAACTAGCTCCCACTACACCCACCCAACGGAATAGTTCTGTGGATGATGGAACTATCATCCCTGCTGCAGAACTAGTGCTATCGCAGTCTGCCTTGCAGGACTTGCAGTCAGCTATCATTGACACTCCCATTAAATGGGATAGCTCCACTTTATTACCCTTCACAACACTTGCGCTGTGGGTACAACATTTCAGATGGTGAATACTGAACTATGTGTTGGGTCTTGCAGAACCTAGCTGCTATTCGACCCTAAAGGGTTTCTGGACCAGGCTCAAGGCTCAGAGAAGAGGAAATATGATAGAAACTTGCTGAATACTTAGACTCATAGTAAAACTGGTGAAAAGGTCCCTTCCTTATGTAAGCTAAGGTGCAAACATAGTACTAGGTAAAACAGTCTCTGCAAGGCTAGCCAGAAATCATTCCCTACAGCGCGATGTCGAGTTGACACTCTGAACGCCATGGGCAAGGAGATGCAAGACCATGTCGTTGGCCTGATGTCAGTGGAGAATTTCCTTGACGAGTTCCTACCAAACCCAGACAATCATGACCCTTCGGACTTCACTACGCACTTCACCTCAGCCTACAATACTGGAGTATTTGATATGCAATCCGTTACAAAAGAGGAGAATTCTTACGATCGATTCATGAGTGAACCCGCACCTGTGATGCTGAGATCATTGACAGTCTAAATTTAGATCAATGCTATACGACCCTTTGCTCCCCAATTATCATTCGTGAACACGTCCAGACATTCAGATACGCAGAACTGTTTGTTGTTCACATTCAACATCAAACCAGATGTATGTGTATATGCTGACGGAACATCTCGCAGCTGCAATATTTCCAAATTCAAATTGAACATCGAATTCAAATGGAATGATGCACACGACACATTCAGCAAACATTCTGGGATTGATAAGCCCATTGTCTCTCAGACCGACAAGGGCTTCGACACATTGGGTCAAATAACGAGCTATGCTGGCACTCAGCTTGGTGCTCAATATTGCACTCACGCATTCTCAGATGGGATAGGGAGGGAGTTATCATTACGGGTTCCTTCGATTACAATGACAAGCCATACTTAGCCGACTTTTTTTATTGTTATGCACGAGCATCGCCTGAAATGCATGGTGTCAATATATCTGTGACGCCTGCTAGTGCCAAGGATGCTGACCTTGCAAGGACGGTGTTAGGCCTTCCAACTACCACACGCATGTTCAAAGTTGCAGTCCCTGAGGATCCTGACATCGAGGACTCTAGCCAGCTGACATTGATTATCCCCCAGCCTGTTGCCAGAGGTTTTCCGCCTGTTGGCCATTGGACTCGCACATGCCCTGCATTTGACATCCTCAATAAGAAGATCATGATGTTCAAAGACTCTTGGCGCATGTCGATAAAGGATGTCCTACCTGAAGGCGAGACCTGTAAATTATTAATGTCACACAAAGTTCACAATATTGCAAGATGCATTGCATTTCACAATGTAATCCACCCTATCCCTCAGCAAAACACTCAGACTGTCAAGTCTGGAAGCGCTGAATGGGCATGTCCCAACAAGGCTGTCACTCCACACACTCTTCACCGCCTCGCCCTTGATATCGTGGGCGAGAAATTGAATGACTTTCAGAGTTCCAAACAACTTGTCCAATCTATCCGTGACGCATGACTCGGTGTGTGTCTTTGAACCTTGTGTATTACCTGATGAACATATTCACATTATGCATGCAGCCCACCAGGATGTGTATGAAAATGCAAAGATATTGCATCAAGACCTCAGTGTTGGGAATATCATCATCTACCGAGGGCAGGGCTTCCTCATCGATTGTGACCTAGCAAAGCTACTCACTATTCAGGGTCCTCAACAAACGACTCGCACTGTATGTTAGTTTCATACTCAAACTCATATCTTGTACTGATTTTGTTGTCACTAAGGGAACATGGCAGTTCATGTCTGCTCATCTCGTCAAGCATAGCCGCGCGATCCATACTGTTGAGGATGACCTCAAGTCGAGCCTCTACATCATTCTGTGGACAGCTCAGATGTTCAAGGAGAGCTACATGAGCATCATTGACCAGACACAATTCATAACGCAGGTCTTGGATGCTGATCCATTGGTGGGGTCTGGAGGATGCGCAAAATCGAGCTGGCTTGTCGCAAGAACATATTTTCCGCAGGATATATTTGTCGACTGCAAACCGCTTGACAGTGTTATCCTTGAACTTGCTCAGTTCTTCTCACATAGGTACTCCATACTCCCCCCTGAAGAGCAGGAGGAACTTGCGCAACTCTGGATCACATTCAAGCACCTTTTTACTGAAGAGCCTGTACAGATGGCAGGACATCAGAAAATGATAGATTTCATGCAAAACATAATGTCGAAGCTGCCTGCTTACAAGAAGGAGGTGGGTATGCGAGTCCTGCACTCACACGACTCTGTCATCAAGATTTACAACAAGTATCTTGAGGCACCTGGCTGGCCTGTTCAAGATGCAGCTGTGCTGCAAAAACTGCATCTGAGCGACAAGAAAACTGGACATTGCATGTACACAAAGTCGCTATGCCTCTTGCAGGACGTGACACCAGTGCAGTGAAGGTACAACAATTCAGAGAGTGAGTCTGAACAATGTTGGGTCTTGCAGAACCTAGCTGCTATTCGACCCTAAAGGGTTTCTGGACCAGGCTCAAGGCTCAGAGGAGAGGAAATATCATGAAAAACTGCTTAGTACTCTGACTCCTACTACCAGGTAACTGGTGAAAAGATAACTTGCTTATGTAAGCTACAAAAGTGCCAACATAAGGTAAGGTAAAAACAGTCTCTACAAGCCCAGCCAGAAATGAATCCCTACAGCGGGTACAAGTCACACCAACTGGAAAGAAATGTAGGCTAGATCCTGAGGATAACAATGAGATCCTCAGTTTGATAGCTGGCCTGGGTGATCTTGCGTCCTTAGCCTAACAATATTCTAGCATTACTTTACGAGCTATATTCATTTATGATACTTCGCGCATGTCATTATTTCATATACATCGTACAGACAAAGGGTGATTTGAGTACCTAATCGCAACTTGTATCTCTTCTTAGGCCGGATGTGTTGCAGAGGCTATTGGCTCACATCTCTGTTTTTAGCATGAACTCGATGGTGCGCAATGGCACAGACAGGCTCTGCTCTTCAGAACACAAGGTTTTGCAAAAGTTATCCCCAATATGTCCAAACAATCATATCTCCCACCCATTACATTGGCCACATGCACAAGCTTGTTTGCAGTCTTGATCTTTTAAAACTCTTTCGACGCAGCTGTTCGTTCTCAATACTTATTCCTTTATAGGCCTGAAATTTCTTCATTCAAGCCCATACATCACGTTCTGTCTATATCTCTCATTATGCAACCGCCCGGCGGTGCAAAGAGAGCATGCCCGCTATCGTGGGATTAGTCGATTACATAATTTCACGTACGAAGTGATTACGTAGACCAGACCTGCAGTGGGCACTGAAATTGCGGCGGAGCTTGATTATGTAGTCATTCACTACATTAGGCGTGCCTTTCACATCATTTGTCTCTTTTCCTGACTATGTACACACATTTGAGCAATGTTTGAGTTCGTTTTATAACTGGTATATTTCATTTGCTTTTATATCAATTGTGTTAGGATGGATAGTTGTACTTGTACTGTAGTAGTTGTAGTTACCAGATTTAATAAATAACAAGTGACATAGAGTTGGTACAGGGATGTACATCAGGCTATCCTGATAAAAACTCAAGCTAGTACACTCAGGTCCAACCAAGGCTTCGCCATCTGCAGTACTTGTAAGCACGTCCTTAGTTCAAACAAAGATTGTAATTTATGCCTGTTTGGCAACATTTCAGACTCGATTATTTGCAGACTTCGTCCAGCACAGATTACCCTTCGTAAGTCCCCAGTGACTGCCCATGAATTCTCAGTGCTAATTAACTACTTCCAGTTGTAATTGCCTGAGTTTCTCCCAGGTGAGCGCCCAGCTAGCGGGCGCTGTGCAGCTTCGACTGAAATGGATGTCTTCCCCCTACAAGGGTCTCCAGGGCGAACATTGTACTTCAGCAAGGATACCAATGCCTTTTTAATTCTATAAAGCTCACTCTTTTTTTCCAGTACATAGTCCCTGTTAACACTCACCACATTCCCATCTTCTCAAGAGGCAAGATCAACGGCAGCTTTAGACACGATCATCATTGTCTAAACTTTATTTAGATGCCTAGTCGAACTTTTCTGTGCAAATGCGCACAGTGCTGCAATGTTGGAGTGGATGGTGTGCCTAGAAATTCTGGTGGCAAAAACTTGCCCATCGCCATGAAATATGTGCATTCAGCACATGCTGTCAACATTGCAATGTCATCTGGACATGAACGTGAAGATTCTTTGCTCCATCTCACTCGCCAACCCTTGCTCCAGCCCAGCTCAGATCATGAGGCACCATTCCCTCAATATCTCCAAGACCAGCACCCAATGCATCAGTCCAACATGTCGATGCCGGTGGATGATCTCGCCGCTGAACTGTTCACTATAACCCTAACTGATCACAAATCTAATTCAGATGGTCACCACAAACTGTGGGTTTCGCGTTCAGAAGTCCAGTGAGACAAGGGAAAGGTCTACCTGAATGGCGAACTCACTGTCAATGATACACAGTGAGCAATACACATATCACATGATTCATGTAGTAACTGTTCATTTCACAGACACATCACCCGCGCCCTCCAGGCCATTAAGATGCAGTGCTCTTCAAGGGCTGAAGCCACTTTGAACGTGGTAGAGTCGCAGATAGAAAGCGCTCGCATCCAACTTTCCCTTGCAACGTCTCGTGATGTGTTACAGTCCATCCGCAATGAGCTATTTACGATAATCAAGACCCTCGCGAAAGTGAAGCACAAGGTCTCCTCCATCGTCTCTCGCAGGACTCGGCTAGAGACAACCTGTAATGAAATACAAACACTCCTTCTCAGTAAGGAGGATGGGCTTCCTGTCTCGTCTGAGCCAGTTGAATTTGACTCCTGTGAGTGTTGTTTATTCTTACGTTATGTCCTTCCCTCTAACACGAAGGCAAGCACATCATTATGATCTGCTCATTGACTACGCCGACGAAATTGCCTAGGTGTCCCTTTTTCTAGGAGCTGTTTCCATTGTCATTTTCAGCATTGGTCGCAGACATGGCGAGTTTCTGATGGGTGTCCTTTCCCTAATTTTGAGTCTTGCCATGGATGCACAAAACTCCTATTCTGAGTCTTGTCGACAAAACACACTTTCTCAGATCCCTCAAATGATGGAGGCAGCCCTTTCCGTCTTCAAACTTGATGGCCAGACCACTACCTATGTGGTCTGTCCTATGTGCAATTGCACCTTCAAACCAAAGGTCACTCTCAATTTAAGTGGGGCGTGTTACCCCTCCAATTGTTCCAACAGACCGAGACCCGAGGATGCTCCTTGTAACGAACCGTTACTGCAGCGCTCCCTTGGTGGACAACTAGAACCAATAAAAACTTTCGTTTATCACCACTTTCACGATTACCTAGCTGGACTATTGTCTCGTCCTGACCTAGAAGCGTTAATGGATAGACCTTGTGACGATTTGCTGTCATCAATTGGGAGCGTGCCGCCATGTATTATCAAAGATGTCTGGGACACCGACTTCTTTCGCAATTTCAAGGGTTCTACACATTCCTTATTTATTGACAGAGGTAATGAGGGATGATTTGCATTCACGCTCAACATTGATTTCTTCAATATTGAAGGCAATCTTCAGCGGAATGCATCGACTTCTACTGGAATAATCTCCTGCGCGTGCTTGAACCTCCCTCTCGATATCTGGTACAAATCAGAAAATATGTACTTGGCCGGAATCATTCCGTGACCTTCGGAACCCTCGGGAGATCAGCTCAATTATTTTCTTGATCCTGTCGTTGATGACTTGGTGCAAAGTTGGGAATCCAGGATACGTTTCTCCTGCACAGCTCTTCACGCCCATGGGCGGGTGACATGCAGTGCTATAGCATGTCTAGTGTGCAACCTTCCAGTGGCAAGAAAAGCCGCCCAGCTAGCTGGTCCAACCAGCCATTTTTATTGTACTGCATGCCATTGCTGGCACAGGTCGACTTGTGGTAGAATAGATGTTTGCTCTGCAGATTGGGTTCTTTGTGACAAGGACGAAATGTGCCGCCTTGCCGAGCTGTGGAAGAACGCTGGAACCTCTACTGAACGCAACAAGTTATTTGCATCACACGGGGTGCAATGGTCAACGCTTTGGAGACTACCGTACTGGGATCCCTCTTGTCAAGTCATCATTGACACCATGCATTGTCTACTTGAGGGTCTCGCACACGATCATTTCTGTGAATTTTTGGGCCTTACAGCTGATTTGGCGCAGCAAAAGTCTGATCCTCTTCCTGCTTTCCATCATCCCTTCTTCGATATCGATCTTAACAAGCCTGGAGTGTTCTCTGAGAAAGATATAAAGACTGTCAAGTCCATTCGCAACCTCCTTACCACAGCAGTTCCTGACCTCGAGGGCAATGACACTAGTCTCATCGAGGCTCACATGGCCAAGTTGGAGAAGAGGCTGTCTTTGAAGAAGGTCGCATGCCTTGAGTTTGTGTCGGTAGAATTGGGCATTAGGCCAGACATCAAGCATCCCGGAAAAAAGGTCTACAAGGCCCATTGGGTTAGATCACTTATTGCTTGGGTATGTAATTGTCTTACTATTTTTGTATGCCTTCTCAACCTACTGCTTTAATTGGCTTTGTAGCGTCAAACAAAACCTTTCACTACCGAATCGCTGAAATTGCGCATCAGTACCCCTGAAGTCATGGAACACATTGTTAATGTCATTCAAACCACGGATGTGCCGTCCTCATTGAGATCAGTCCCATACAACTTTGGAGAAGCAAAAGCTGGAACCCTAAAGGCAGACGAATGGCGCACTCTGACGACCGTATACTTGCCCATAGCATTGGTTAGCTTGTGGAACGAAGGATCTCAACATCGCACTTCAGAAGTTGCAGCCAATCATTGTGCCATCCTTGATCACACCATGTCCCTTGCCAGTGTCTCTGCGGTACATATTGCATGTCTGCCATTCATGACAGTTGCTCGAGCACAAGCATATCATGGATACATTGTGGCATGGATACGAGATTTGCAGGTTTTACATCCCCATGCACCCCATTGTACTAATGGCCACATGGTGTTGCACATCTGGGACTATTTGCAACTCTTCGGTCCTGTGAGGTCATGGTGGTGCTTCCCATACGAGCGCCTCATTGGGCAACTGTAGCATTTGCCAACCAACCACATTTTTGGTAACTTTTGACTTTGTTCATTGTGATGGACTTCTGACATTGCATTGGTTCTAATGAAGGTCAGCAAGAATCAACTCTTCTTTCTTCATATATCAAGGCTGTGAAATTGAAATGCTGGTTGAACCGGCCTTCTTGCCCGCCCGTATTCAGGGATGTCAAATCTTTATTTGACAGATTTGTTTCGCCCACAGTCAATGTTATACTTGAAGATTGCTCCATACCTCCTATATCAAAAGAAAACATTCCAGAAGACCTCCGGGATCTCATCAATGTCCAGCGAGCAGTCTTACATGCTCGCATAACATACAAGGGATCGATGTATGCCCGTGAATAGACTCACGTAGGAAACAGCCTGATCCTCTACTATTCTAACGGTGTTATGCACACGCAAACACCAGTAGTCATCAAGTATATATTCAGGACCGAGCATGGAGTGGGTTTCGCTGTGCGGCGCCACCTCCCACTGCAGTCCTCTTATTTGGACCTGTTTCGCCATTATCCCTACTTCCCGGCTCAATTATATTCCTCGGTGGTCGCTGACCACCTTGAGGTTGTCATGCCTGAGTGGATAGTGTCACATTTCGCACGGTGGAACTTTTCCCCACAGCACATAGTTGCTGTATCTCTGTTGTGTGCGTGTCCCTCTCTCTTCAACATCTTCAACATGTTTCAACAGTCTCACAATTCAATAGGATTGACTTCTTGATGGAAAAATGAGAAGTCAATGTACTAGAAACAAATAGTCTTCCGAGGTGCAGATTATATATATAGTAATATTATAAAATCTTTTGTGCTTAGTGGGTGAGGCAGGCAGGTTAATCCAGGCAAACCTTTCGGGTGGGAGATTGGTGGGCATTCGTATCAGGCAGGAGGTAGGTATAGATCTTCAAATCACTTATTTATTACTGCTTCATGGTGTAACACAGTTTGTCTGGTAGACTACCTGTATGGCCAAGCCAAGCAAGTGGTGGATGGCATTCCAGAAAAGAAGGTTCATGAAATTGATCTGTAAATGTAGGTAGGCAATAGATATCTATGTGGCTTCCACTCTCTTCCACCCTGCTGGCTCCTCCCTAAATGTGCTCCAAACCCAACAGGTGCTCTATCTTGTTCAACTCCTGCCATAGCCGAATCATCGCTTCGTGCCTATCCTCCACCATCAATGCTAGGAGGTACTTATCGCAGCGCGACATTTGGATGGGGGGGTGAGCAGGGCATGGCGCATGTGGATAAATTTGCGTGTATTCCATATTGTCTTGCACGATCTCTTGTGCGTAGTCCCATAACACCTAGATATATCATAATTTGCTAACGGAGATGAGTAGCAGTGGACTTACTATTGTGGATGGTGTTACTGCAAATGTTTCGGCATGCTCAAGGTCTCCAGCCTCCTCCTCTGCCCCGGCCTGCTCTTCTGCCCCGGCCTGCTCCTCCATGATGCCCTCAGACTGCTCCACCATGATGTCTCCAGCCTGCTCCTCCACCTCCCCATGTAAAGACTAATATTGTATAGTTAGTTTACTCACTCAAACCGTAGCATAACTTACATTATTGTCTTCATTAATGTCAACTTGCTGCAGAAAACGCATCAGTTCTTGTGTCTCATCAGGCTACTGACGACTTACATTTTCATGCACTTCAGCCATCATTGTTATAGCAAGGTTAACACGTTCAATGTTGATGAACGAATCTCTGAGTCTCTGAAGTCACTTCATGATGTGATGTCACATTCGCATATCAAAACTCCTCAGTCTTTCCGATAGGTAAAGGATCGCATCACTATGTCCTTTTAGCAGAGACCATTCAAGCAGTGATAGTTTCAATGCCCTTTTGCAGCTTCTTGTCGAACTCGAACCATTATTTACATAACATAGACCTACTTTTTGGTGCAGTGAATGCTCGGTGCCCGATGAATGCTCAGCGAGCACCCAGTGAATGCCCAGTGAATGCCCATTACAATTCCCCATAGGTTTAATTTTTCATTTTCCCGGCTCATTTAAATGTAGGGGCAAATTCAAAATTTCCCGGAGTGGCAAAATGCTCACCATTATGTAATATTTTGTGGGACATTTCACTGCGGCTTCAAAAGTTTGAGTTTATCTGTGATAAAATAGGTCATATTTTGGTCAACATTTTCGGAAAGGAAAAAACTTCAAGTATTTTGTACATTTTTACAACATCAAAATGATTCACAAAATGTAGAATTTCACCCAGGATTTAGCCACTCATCTAATTTTTTGCATTTTTACCGTGTTAAAATGTGCAGTAAGAATGCCAACTTTATCACTAACATTTCGAAACAAATCTTGCATAGTGAAAAACTCCCAAACCGCCAGTGTGTGAACAGGCTCAGATCCAACTATGGGCTGAAAGACATGGGTGGGCCAAAGAGAGACATTAGAAATTGATGTCAGGGCTCAGTGTAATGAGGTGGAATCTCTCAGCTGGGTCAAAGGTGGTGATACATAAATACAAGGGTTGGGCCCAGTTGGATGGGGTGGAATTTGACATCTGAGCCCAGGGTCCTGGTGTAGGAATGTGATGTTTGGGCCCGGGTTGATGGTCTCAAATTTCACAACTAGGCCTGAGATTCTCATGGTTGAAATTCACTACTGAAAATAATGAACCAAACTGGATGTAGATGAAATAGTTTGGATAACACCAATTAATCATCCTGGTGTAGCACTCAGGTTGGCGCTGGGCATGTATCCTGCCAATCTCACAGATACCTTACATTGCATTCCTTGACACTTCCTTGACCTTCCAAAAGTTCTGCATGTTCATCTGAGTCATCCAAAGGCCATCTGTTCATTTCTGAAGCCTGTTCTCACTCACGATCTACCATACCATGTCCTGTCCATGTCCATTTGACTTTGCTGGTGCATTTTCACTTCATTTGTCTATTATTGAATATGTCATTGGCCTGTTTGAAGCCTTATTTATTCGAATAGTACATATAGCAGCACACCTCACCTGTTATTACATGCATATCTGTGTAGTGCTGCCGCAGTCCAGTTCTGAACCTTGGTTTGAACCCAAACCTTTCTGAACTGGACTCTAGGTCTGGTCACAGGTCCAACATGGCCCCTGGACTGAACCTTGAGTCCAGTTTGGGGTTTGGAGCTACCCAGAACCGGTTCAGACATGTTCAAACCCCACCATGATTCTCATCTGTCACTGCCCTACACTACCTCAATTTATTGGCCCGTAGTTTTGACTCGACATTATTTAGGTATGTTGTGCATGTAGACTCGACTCTGGATGGGGGACTGATATGTTCTTTGTGTACTCTTACCATGGTATGTTGTATGAGTATGCACATCCGCATCCTGCTATGTGTTTCTACTAACAATACCCAACATGTACACCCATGTATAGTTTTCAGTTTATAGTCTTTGCAATCCTTGCCACACGCATGGACATCTATCTCTGGCGGTCACTACAGCAGTGTCTAATAGCACCATCGACCAGCACATTTCTATTTTTGTGACATGCCTTTGCGATTCAGAAGCAGTACCTCATATCCCTAACTCCATTGTCACACTCTTGCATCCATCTACACAGAATCTTCTCAGTCATTTATCCTGTTTCCTGTGGTGCTGTGACTCATGGCTTGTAAGATCTCTGCAAGATGCTCAGACCATCTTTCACACTGTAGCACTTGGAGTCTTGCCTATAATCACATGTCATCTGGACACAGAGGAACATAAATTTATACTTACCTTACGTCCATGACTAAATGCTTTTCAGGAATTTCTTTTCTATCCAGAGAGAGACCCTGAACCCACTGATATCAACCCAAACTCAGACTCCGACACTACATCTGTCTGCTTTTCCCTTGTTTCCATCCATCTGACATCTCAGCAACAGGATTGGATCAAGTCCCCTAGAGCACCATCTCGACGCTGCCATGTTCCCAATGCTCATTTACCCTTTGCAAGATCTCCTCATTTTCTTCCCTCCTCCTACTCTCATCTGTCATCTGCACTTGTCTGAGCCATGTCAGCAGTTGCTGATGTGTACTGAGCATTTGTGCATGGTGTTTGTGGTGTTGGGAATGGTGTGGTGGAGCTCCAGCCCATCGTCTGCAAGCTTGGTCAAACCTGGTTCAAACGCGAACTGGACCTCCTGAACATGTTCAGTGATGTTCAGTCCAGGGTTCGACCAAATGGCTAAACCAAACATATGGTTCAGTTTGGCGTTCAGAAAATTTGGCCCAAGAACTGGACTGAATCAGACTTTGGCAGCACTATATCTGTGTAAGCGACTTGCCTCAAGTCTTATTACATTTCAGATGCTTATCTCACTACTGGTTTCACCTATGCAATTCCAGACTTTCACGCTGTAGGATATAATCTGGCTTGCTAGCTACCTCATAGTTAGTAGAGTCACTTTCAGATAGTCATACTTTGCGCAATCAATCCTTTTTGTTCATTTGGAATGATTGTTTGGCCCAACTGCTGCCAATTCACATCTTGCTGTCTTTGAGTTCTTTTGATAGACTTTGCATAGTCATACTATGGTACTCTCGCAAGTCTTATATTTTGACATAATTTGACATACCCACCATATTCTTGCTCAGAAACTCTTGCTGTTTCACTAGAAGCTCTTTGGATGCTTTGTGCAATTTTGGACCTTCATTTCTCAACTTTGGACCACCTCCACTTGCATCAGACAAGTACTTCAGTATTTCAGACTCGTTTTTGGAACATTGAACACACCCTGGGTGACTTTTCCTTCTCTCATCCTCGATCTTAACAGACCTCCCTTGCACTTATATTTTTAAGAGGTAGTTCTACAGGCAGTCTCTTTGAGCTGTTTTACACTCGCACTCTGAGTTTTAGGGTGATCACTTTCTAAGTGCTCACATGAAATCTACTCTTTCCACTGGGTCTGGTAGAATATGAAGCATCTATTCACTAACCCAGTCTTTGCGCCTTGTATGGACTTACAGCCATACCAGGAATTCGAAGGCTCAGATAATCAACGAGCTTACAGAGAGTTTATGAGCGCTGATCTTGCATGGGAGATACAGGTAAGTGGTGTCCCCAATGATGGGGACTCAGGCTCACTGTAGTAATCATGACTTGTTAGGATAAGCTTCCTCAAGGTCATTCGTTCATTGGCGTGATTGGTGCTTCGGATAAGACACCTCTGACCATTGGGACCAGAAACAAGGAGATGCATCCTGTATTAATCTTGCTCACTAATATCCATGCGGGTGTTCGCATGAAGGCAACATCACATGCATTCGCATTGGTCGCTTACCTGCCAATACCAAAATTTCTCAGTGTTCTGAAGCCCGTCCAAGTAATTTTATCTGCACAAGTCTATCATTTTGCAATTTCAGTTGTCATGCGTAATTTAAAGCTTGCCACTCGCGATGGCTGCCCTATGTCAGACCCAAGAGGAGATTTGTGTATGATTCATACACCTTTGGTCGCCTGGATAGCTGACTACCCTGAGCAATTGCTCATCGCATGTACAGCCTCGAAGCATTCTCCAATTTCTCTCGCCATTGCTGCCCAATTTGGGGATCCTCTTCTGCATCCCCCCCAAACTCGTGTTGACACTCTCAACACTATCTAAAGGGTGTGTACTCTCTCTGACCCCTGCGATATTGCATCCTTCTATAAAATGTGTCAAACCCTTCATTTGAATGGTGTCGTTGAGCCATACTGGAAGGATTGGGGCGATGCATGCCCATCTTTCTTTTTGACACCAGATAGCCTCCATCAGTGGCACAAGTTTTACTTTGACCACCCCGTCAACTGGTCGATAAACATCATGGGAGGAGCAGAACTCAATCATCGATTATCGGCTCTTCAACCTCGTGTAGGAGTGCGTCATTGGGCAAATGGCATATCCATGCTGAAGCAGCTCACTGGTTGTGAACATCAAGACCTTGAGAAGCTCCTTCCCGGCATGATCGTTGGTGCTGTCTCAGATGAAGTTGCATGTGCGCTATGTGCTATCACTGAATTTATATTCCAAGCACAGAACCTCTTCCTCTATGACAAGACTCTACACTCTTTATCGGAAGCCCTACATGAATTTCACTACTACAAGGACTTCATTTTAACAGCGGGTGGCCGCCGTGGCAAGAACGGTCCCCTCAATCACTTCCAGATCCCCAAGCTAGAGCTAATGCAGCATGTTGTCCGGAGTACTCGAGCCATGGGTGCTCCATATCAGTGGAGCAGCAATATCACTGAGCATTGTCACATCACTCATGTAAAACAACCTTACTGCCTGTCCAATCACAAGGATTTCCATGGTCAGTGCTGCCACTTCCTCAACTGGCAGGAAAAACTTCATTTTTTTCAGCTTTACATGGTTCTGAAGTCGCGGCAGGTGAGCTTGATCTATGAAATGTCCAGGGAAGCAAACATGATGGTGCTTCACTATCTTGAAGCAACCTGGAACTCTACTGTTCTGCCTAGTGAACAGTATGTCATCACCGGCAAACCAACCACATCCCTTTTCACCAACAATCACACTCATTTCTCCTCTGACAACACTGTCGCCATCCTTCTTACTTGTCGTCCATATTTTCCTCGTGTATCTATTGAAGAAGCTTCCCAATGTTTCCACATTCCCGATCTCTGTCCAGCACTGGGCGATTTGATCTCTGGTAGATCTTGCCTTGAGCACAACGGAAGGCGAATATGTCACCCCAACTGTTCTCTCTCCTTTCATTACCTTCATGTTTGGCAAAAATTTCGCATGCAGCGGCGCTCTACCCAAGATATCTGTATTGTTAGTCCTGCTCACACTGTCCAGGCGCTACCACCTGTAGAACGTACGCTCAGCATTGGTGATCAACAACTTAGTATTATTATGTACCTGTAGAACGTATGCTAAGACAGTTTGAGTAAGTACGAAACCAAGCGCAAGAAAACAAGAGCGCGTACCTCAGCATTAGTGATCAACAACTGAGGTATGCAAACGATGAGAAGATATGATACTTATGGGGACGAGCAAGAATGGAGATTGAATACGTCAAGAGAAGCGTCAAGAGAAGCCATGCGATAAGAAGTGGCGAGGTTGCGCCTCATAGCCAAAATCAACGTTAATCAGTCTGAATGCAGAAGGCAAGTCCTTCTTCCAACATCTTCCTTCCAACACCACCAAGCTCTTCAATGCCATTTGGAAGGGGAGATACAGTCTTGATCGCTCATGAAAGTGGCGAACTACTTTCCCCAGCAGTGTCGGAACATATGTGTATACTTTTTCCCTGTAACTTCTTCGTGTCTCAGTGCCAGAATCCTAGGGTATCTCATTGTCCAAGTAAAAGCCATCATCCAGCCTGTTACTGAAACGCCACACCTGAACCAACCATTCCTTTATGTCGAATTTTTCAACTTCTCTCATTCATCATTCAGCACCATCAACGATATCCATTTCATTGCCCCGGCTCCTGTAACTGACATGTTTTCAGTTCAATGTCGTATTCGATCAAACCACGATCCATTGGGAGACATAGTGCCTCTGAGCAGCGTGCATCAGGTCATCGAGCTTATTCCCAAGTTCAGTCGAGAGGCACCACTGTCAATGAACTGTGACAATAGTTTGCAGCTGGCGCGCAAGTTTTATGTGAATAACTTTGCAGATAAAGAGACCTTTCATGCTATTCTCAGTTACCAGTAGTAGTTTCTTCTTCAGTCTGTACTATCACTAGTTTCCCTCAATCCCAAGTTTCCTGCCTGGCAAATTTATTCAAGTCAAACGGTGAGCAGTCATGATCACTAGTGAGTAGTACTGTCATCTTATCATGCTGCAAAGATCATGATAAACTTGTAATCATGATCGCTTACTGAAGATTACGGACATGTCGTGGCATGTACGAAAGTACCGGAGCCAATGCGGAGGTTTTAGTTCTTCTAGCTACTACAAAGAAGTGCTGTGCTACGCGCTGCTACAAGTCACTTCGCTCAGCAGTGGGTTTCCTGATGTAAGATATATTGACATATAATGCAGTGAATTTTCGATCTGATTTTGCCAACTCCATCTATAAAAAAGCATGTCCTTCCCAAATCTGTGATGAAGAATTTAAAAATGAAATGAAACTTGAGGAAGCTCCCAGAGGCTAATCCTCCAGGACTCATACTATGTGTACTTTTCTCTTCTTATCACTAACAGGATATGAAATTTTATAGAATACAAAAGGAGGAAATAGAAATGAGTAAGGAGGAAATGTAGCAATGAGAATATTGATTGCTACCACCAATATTTGATGATAGCTTTTGATAAGTGTTGCAGCTGACCAGGGTAGTGTCATTTTATCATCACTGTAAGCCCTGCAATTAGGGTGCCTTCACAGTCTACATAAGGAGTATCACTAAAGCAAAACATGTCAATAAAAACTTACAGCACTAGGAGGAAGATTGAGAAAGGAGACTTACTCATTCATTAGCCAATCATCCAATATGCATTGAAATCCAATTATGCTTTTCTTTGGTTCAATAGCTCTGTAATGGTGCAATGATCTGTGTATTAGTCAGAGCAATGAAGTAAATGAGTAGATTTCAGTATGTCTTGGTTTTGATGAGTGGGAATGATAAACATACCCCTCAGGTACCATTGGTTCACCCAAATATGTTAAGTCTAAAAGTAAGGGTCTCTGGGTTGCACAGCTTGAGTAAGGAGGCCTGCTGTGAGCCTGAATTGCAAGTTTGGTGTTGGGATACACTGGCAAACTAGGTTCCGAAAGACCATACTGAACACACCAACTTCCTTTCGACTCCATACAAAAGCGTAACACCCAAATACGTCCTTCAGGGAATTGGGTGTTTATATCAGTGAGGAACAAGTCAAAATGACAGACCACACACCCTGGGCAACAAATTCTACTGCCAATTTCTGTCTAATACGCAGGCGTTTCTGGAACATCCTGAAGACAAAACGAGCAAAGAAATAGTTTTCGCCCATGCCATGCCCTTCATGGACTTGAAGATCATCAGGCGGACAATTCGCTTCGCTGGATCCATGCCGCGACACCTTGATCTCATCTCGCGGACAACTCAACATGCGTCTCAAAGACCCATCCTCGGCTGATAGTACACAGTGGTGAGTTAAATAACACACTTTCAGGACATTGTGTACCATGCACTTACGATCAACATTGTCCCCCAATTTCAGCTGCATGAACAAATCGTGGTCATTGACTATCATGCACGCAAGACGCAAGTCGGAAGAGCAAGCAGGCGAGAATTTGGAAATGAATTTAGTAAACTCCCAAAGGGCTTCTCGCCGGTTGTTTATAATCGTCCAATACAGCGCCGTGTGATCTTCGATATTGGGTTCTTGGATGAGGCTGGAGAACTCTGCTGCTCGGAGAGCGGCAGCACAGGAAGTGATAATTGGCGCGACAGAGGAAAGGGTGAAATCAGGAGAGGAGACGATTTCACGGATGCGAGATAGAACTGAGGCACGCTTGGATTGTGGGAAGGAAAATACCGAACGTTTGCATCGGACGGAATCCACTGATACAGATGTAGAAATTGGATCATAAGGGGGAGGCTTGTCGGAGACGCTAGACGCCCTGTCATCGAAGGTTTTGGTGGCCATCACACGTAGAGGAGTAAAAAGGAAACAGAGTTGAATAGGGGCGTGCGACATCATCTATGGTAGGATGTTGTGCACGTGGACAGAATTCAAATTATATGGCCAGCTTCTTCGAAGTTCTACTGAATAAACCTCAGTCCTGTTCAAACCGATTCTTGGAAAACACAAAAAGCGCACTTTGGCTTTCATGGAGATTACCTCCTCACAGCATTGCATGTACTCAGCAGCGGGCGATATGCTCCTATATACAACACTATAGATACCACGCTCTACGATCCATATACCTCAGATGGGAATTCGACCAAGGCTACAGAATGGATTGCGAATAATATTGATACTGCAAGAAGAGATCAGCTTGAAATGCGCAATTGCCTTAGTCTCTACTCACGGAGTCGTAAAGACGCGTCTAGTTGGAGCCCAAGGAGGTATCAATGAGACGGTCGATATATTCACCCACAAGGGAATGGGTCAGAGCGAGTTGAAAGCGATCACGCAGCTGAGCCGCAGTCTGTTCGCCGAACGCAGCAAAGCACGACAGCTTGGAGTCTAACACAGGTCATTGACATGAACTGATTTCGCCGACTGCGGATCTCTCACCTTTTTGCATCAGTTCCACCAGAACTGCGGATGATTGATGTCAACGTGGCCCGCTGTTTGCCTGGTGATGCGGACTGACTAGCCAACCAGAACCAGGGAGCCAACTCAGAGGACCGGACGGCGAACTCAAACTAACAAGGGTCGCAGTTGAATCGGAAGAAGGTAATGTGGTTACTGCTTGATGAAGAGCACCACATAGGCATGCATACCTGAGATTCCATATCACGAACTGAGGTATGAATGAAGAGGAAGATGTTACCTCCGCAGGAAGCTTGTGGTTAAGAGCAGTTAATTCAGCTCTAAGGGCGCTTACTCGCGCAGGTTTTGGCACGACGAGTAGGTGGTTAGAGATATGTTCGAGCGTTACTAAGAACTGGATCCGTTACGCTTGTGTAAAGCCAAAGTGATAATGTCAGCGGAAATTGCTTACTTCTGAACGGTAATAGTGACTTTTGAGGAGATGCGCTTGTGAATCCAAATCATACCGTTGAAAGAGGGAATCGCCAAAGTTCAGTGTATTCTGCCGAAAAGGATGCTGGGTAGTTGGTATCGAAGGAGATGACTGGTATGGGCTGGCAACGCGTGTTGGTTGTGAGGGATCAAGCTGATCGAATGGATCCTCGTTGACTGATGCATGTTTTGCAAATAAACCAAAGCGGGACTTGTCTGCGCGGCAACAATCGTCCGACGACGTTTGAGAATCTTCTTGGAGGCCGCAGGACCATGGGAGGCACAACTATCATTAGGAGTGTTCATGAGAACTAGCCGTACGGTCATCTTCATTTTTTCCATCTGAACCACCGTCATCATCATCCCCAGAGTCATCACGGGTGGTCTTCCCTGATCCCGAAGCAACGTCGTTGTCATCGGTCTGAACGCTTTTCAGGTCCGATCCGTCCTACACTCTCGGTATTCGCAACTACGAGTCCTGGTGAGGAACTAACTAACAGTTGCAGATTGGGGTTCGAGCCTGTCTGGTTGGTCTACTCATGAAATTCCTGATCCAATCTTTAAGAGAATATATGAGGCTTGCACGTATGGGATTAAATAGATGAACTGACTTGAAGGCCGACGATAAGTCCAATCCCTTTTGTGCACTGCGAACCGCTTTTATCGCGCTATGTTGCCAGGAGGATAACTTACCATGTAGCAATGTGATGTTTTTCTCTCCACTTTCTCCGACAGAGGTAGTATCCAGTTCACTTAAACTCGAGCTCAAGGGTAATGGGTCGCGCTGGAAGTCAAAGCCCGTCATCGAGTAGGATCTTGACCGCCTTCTCTCTGCAATAGGTCCCTCCGAGAGCTCCAGGTTCCGTAGGGAATCCGACGAGTCATGAGAAGCGCGTGCTGAAACAAAGGTGAGATGGTGGTGCTCCCCCGATGATTTGGGAGAGGCGGGTGGGGAAAGATCATTGTCGTAGAACAACTCCGGCATCAAACGAAGGTTCGGCTGTTAGCGAGTGGGAATAGGAAAAACGGCAGTCTAAAACATTCAAAAGACCTGTTCGCGGTTGAGAAAGGACCACAACAAACTCGTGGAATCAACAATTCTCTGTAGACGTGACGCGTGTACTAATATAGTACACGTAAAGAATGAAGGGGCAATACACTGCCAAAGGAGTTATGCTAATGAAACTGAGAAATATGATGCGTCGATGAGAACAATTACCACAGGAGGTTTTCGATAATAAATAAAATGAAAATGATCCCACTAGTAATAGTAAAACCTAGTTGCCAACCAAGGATTCGAACAGCTGAACGGGGCTTCCAGACAGTGATGATAGGAGACACCAGGATCAAGGAAATGGATAGGTATCCGAGGACTATTGGCGTTCCTGTGGTACTGAACAATATTGGGTATAAAGGTGACCGTACACAAATATCTTCGTATTCTAGCAAGACACTGTTTGTGTTTGTTTACTGGGCCATGTCGATGCATTACAAATTGCAGTACCAATATATTCACAATCCACTATGTGGGTCAAAACCACATCGTTGACTAGGTGCAATACGGTCATCATGAATAAGCCTCTCAGAGGTAGACAGATCGTGGAGTGCAGTATTTATAAAATCATAGGAACACATCGCCCACTGCTAAGAACATGCGCTATGACAGCACCGATATTTCGGTCTACGAGAATATCTTATCGTACCGGTTCAGGCATGAATACCACTCGTAATCTAAAGAAATGAGCTTCAGTGGTAGTCCAACATTTGTACGGAGATACTTACCGAAATTCTGACCAGGGTCGCACCAACATTTTCCTTTTGCGTGTACATCTCCCTGTGGACAGTGCTGGAAGGGCTCATGTCGATACCCGATGTCGTTGAAGAAGTGAATTTGTTCCTTCTTTGCAAACAGTGCAGCTCCGATGCTATGAACTGGTGCATCTCCCCAACGCTATTCCAAATGAAACTATGTCCCAAAGCGTGCAAACACAAGACTCACCTCATAATAGAATCCACCCTGCTCATCAAGGTATTCGAAGAATTTGGAATATGCCTCGCCTCGCCAGAAATCAAGATCTGCGATCTCAAAGTTGCTCCAGACTAGCCACGTGATTGTATTAGCATGAGGAAACGTTGTGATACGCAGTAACCTACAGTGGCACAGATTGTAGGACTCTCCTCCATCATCAGAGAGAAATTCCATCGCATTTCCGGGAGCCACGAAATCAGGATTAGCATTAATAAAAGCTAGGGGAAGGTGAGATTGAAATCATAGTGAATACCGAATACGCTTACACTTTACAACGTTCCATAGTGTTGGGATAGTAGCTTGGTATTCGTATAGTGATATGGTGAAGCCTGTTGATGTTTGAGACTAGCATATAATTGAAAGCATCGTTTGATTTACCATACACCTTATTTTGGTCTTGCATCACGAGAAAGGGATCATAGTCCACGTCGCAGAAGAGCTTGATGTCTGGCCTGATTGGGGAAGGTAAAGTAAGTCAAGCTACACCGAATCTCCTTTGGTTGCGTCTACTCACTCGACTCTCCAATAGTATCGGTACTTCTGTAGGAGCTCATGTCGATAGAAGAACTAATAACTGGTTAGGCAACCTCGACAAAATGCATTATGATCACGTACGCCAGAGTTAAAACGACACATATTCCGGTAACTAGGAGCAGTCAGTCAGAAGCAGCGACGACAGTTTAGCATACGCACGGAACGCTGCCTAGAAAATAGTTGGACTACATGTACGCTTGAAACTATAAAATAACGTACCTCCATAAATCACATTATTCCTAACCATGTCGTCGCGGGATTTGCTGGCTCGATCTTCATCAACCCAAGATGGTTGATGCCAATGGTCGGACGGGATGACACCGAATTCGACTGTAGTATTGGTTAATGCCTGTATGTGGCTTTATGGCCCATCAGCAGCTTCAAGATTACAAGTGCAAAAAGACGCACTCCTTAAAGTTCTGCGTAAAGGGCTCGTCGTTGAGGAACACATAAGGATACTGGAATTTCCTGTTGAACCTATCCTCGATTTGCTTCATACTGCTCATGATTCCTGAAAGGTCGGAGTTCCGTACAAGCATAACGAATGAGGCGTTCGCTTTGCGGTCTTGTAGGTGCATGGGTGAATCAGGCTTGTAGTACTCGTCGGGCAGGGGTGTTTTGTAGGGAGGGTTTGACTTCGGACCAGTCCATTGCTCTGCTATGTTTGAGATGGATGTCGCCTTTCCGTACTCTTCATGCGTAAAGCTCAGAATGTAGTGAATTGAAATCTATTTGATTGTTCAGTCAGCCGGATTGTCAAGTTGACATGAACACGTACAATAACACCCAAGACAAGCAAGATGTAACGCATCGGGGTCATCATCTTTCCAGAGGTGCTCGTCCCTTTGGGACCTTTATTAACGCAAATATAGAGAAAGGTAACTGGATGGTAAATGCAAGAAAAAAATGAAGAGGATATAAGACTGCTGTTGGTCGCGGTGGAAGGATTGAGCCACGCCACCTAAAACAGCCAACTGAAAACGCCTGGCCTATAATGGACTGCGGCGTGGTCCGGTTTCATAGTTCTTCCTGCTCCACGTGGTCTGTTTCCTTCATCTCCTCTCTCGATGTTTGGTCCAGTCAGCACACATCGCTACATATCGTCCCTGTTGACCGTGCCTGATTAATATATGTAGTCATGGTCATGAAAATATGCATTATTACTGGGATCAAACGACTTAGATTAGTTTACCCTGTAGTAGTCTACAGTGGCCTATGGTAGAAATACACATATAAAGTCGTACGTCTACTAGTACATTCAATCAATCTAATCGTGCAACCGCATAAAGTGCCTGAGGCACGAATTTTGGGCAAAATCTGCAACATCGTTAGTCTCACCAGGAGAAATCATGGAGTATTATCGCACCGAAGTTATCGTTTGGATCACACGAACAGTGTCCTTCCCGCCACTGTTTACCCTGCGGACAATGAGCGAATTCAGCGTGTTTATAACCTGCGAGAGGATCAGTTATGAATATGAAATAACATGACCTTGGCTTGCCTATATCCTTAAAGAAATGTATTTGGTCCTTGCGCGTAAATAAGGCTGCGGCGATGCTATGAACAGGTGCGTCTCCCCATCTCTGTGTATGGCATTCAACGAGTACGAAAAGAAAGGAAGAACTTGCAACTTACCTCGTAGTAGAAGCCTCCTGTGTTCTCAAGGTACTCGAAAAATTTCGTGTAGGCTTCGCCTCTCCAGAAATCCATATCTGCGATCTCGAAGTTTGACCAAACTGAGTGGGGTTAATGACCATTTTAAAGCATGAGATCGAACGACTCTTACAGTGACACATGTTGTAAGAATCGCCCGCATTGTCAGATAGAAAATCCATTGAGTTGTCTGGTGACACATATTGAGGATATTCCGCGACGAAGTCTGCCAAATCGGTTCACTCTCAAGCTATCGTGCGTGATTACCGGTGCTTACTTTTCACCGTGGACCATAGCGAGGGTATAGTTGGTTCCCATTCTGTTAAGAGCGCGATTCACGCTATAATTAATGCAGCAGAGATGAGAATTTACCTGGCATGGATATCGTGAAGCCTGTCCTTGCATAAATTTAGTAGCCCAAGCAACTATAATGAGAATAACTTACCATAAATTTTGTCATGATCCTCCATGAATAGGAAGGGGTCATAATCCAGGTCACAGTAGTATCTAACATCGGGCCTACAGAATGGGTCAGAACCTAATTCATCTATATGGTGAACGACTGACTGACTCTACTCTCCAGTACCATTTATATGGCGTTAAGAGTTCATGGCGGAAAAAGAACTGTAGAGAGAGATCAGCCAACGAAACATCCTGCCTAAACCCGCGATGCTGGGCGCTCACCCCTGAATTAAACCGACACATATTGCGATAACTAACGACTGAGGATGAGATGGTACCCGAATGGGTTTCGAGGATACGTACGAAACACTGCCTGTAGTTTTAATGGTAAGATGACAAAAAATGGCTGACGAATGATGAACTTGCCGCCATAAATTACACCTTGTCGCACAAGTTTATTGCGTCCCTCCTGAGCTCGTCCTTCATCTATCCAGTCCGGCTGGACCCAGTGCTCGTGAGGGACCAACCCAAAAGAAACGTCTGCGTCGGTTAAGACACTGACACGCCTGACAAAGCATGAGAAACCAATTGCGCTCAGGCTAGATAGTGACACGGTATACCTTTTGAAGTCGGTGGAGAAGGGCTCGTCGTTCAAAAATACCCAGGGATAATTAAACTTGCGATTAAACTTGGCCTCTAGCTGTTCTACACTTGATATCACGCCATTGAGATCGGTATTACGAGCCAACATTACCAAGGTGGCGTTGGCTCTGTGGGGAGGGTGAGAGACTTGTGGAATTGCATTTCCAAGGGTGGGTGATGGCTTGCTCTTTGATGAAGAAGACGACTCCGATGGTGTCTCGTTTGTTTGTTTGACATCCAAAACCGCCACAGTTTCAGAGTCCTTGGATGTCGACCATTGAGTAAATAAAGTTCTGGAAGACGTGGAATGGTCTTCACGACCAATAGCCATGAAATAACACACAATCAGCTATATGTGAAGCTGAATATGAGGTGGCAAAACGCGATGTGTTTGACGTACCACAGCTGTGACTGCAATGACGATAGATCTACGATGTGCTGCAGTTAACGGGAGGGCCATGTTTCAGAAGAGAGCGCCCTGATGCCAGTCAGAGAGTTGACCTGGGGACGAAAAAAGCAAGCACTTATGTATTATATCAATACGAAGCGAGGGAAAGGAACGAGTACTGATACAATTTAGAAATGAAGTATCACGCAGTTACGCGGAACTGCGCAGCAGCGGTATCAAAACCTGACAACGGATGTGAAATTAAGGACATGCGGCCGGTGTTAGTGTTTCCACGGCATTGCCTTAACGATTAGTGCTAGTGAGGGCTTCTGATGTAGTTGGACGTTAGTGGATGATGTGGCACCTTGACAAAGTATGCAAACTCCTTACTCAAGGACTAACTTCTCGGCATATGTCACCCACGAGCTTCTATATAAAGTTGTATCTGGTGCACGCAGTCAGACTAACTCATGTCATGACATGCTGGACAGGCCGGTCAGCGCAAACATGCTGGCTGGCGCCGCACCCTGACGGTAAAATGATAATGCACGGCAACTAACACCGACAAGCCACAAGCTCAACTTGATGCCCGGAGATTAGCCGCGTGCTCATGACTCACATGGTACCGTCTAATAAATAGTCTACAGCACTCCTGGGCCGACCTCGTATGATAACAAAACGCAGGTGGCCACCACGGCGCGCGCGTTGAGAGGTCCACCGATTGTGATTTTAGACGCGCTATAACTGAGATAGCGTGAGTATATGTTGACGGTGCTGTAAAGAGCCTATGCACCTAGCAGTACTAGACCTCAGAGTGACAGCCTGCACCGCAATATCATGATGGATGGACCTCACCTAGCCTAGGTACTAAGAGTGGCATCACGACTGAACTAGCTGCACAGACACGGAACTGAACTGCTATCGCCTCAGTAAATTTTTCGACTTCAAGGTAGTAGTATTTAACGATCCTCGAAACAATGCACCATCCTTGCAATGCAGCTTGCTCATGTAGAGGGATTTGAAGAAACGTCAAAGAACTAATAGAATGATATGCAAGCCAGTTCAAGCTGGAGAACAACGCTAAGACCGAGTTTGTCAGTGTTTGTTCCGCTTAGTTTTTTTGAAGCTTTCGTCACTTCGGTTTGTAGACGTGTTGTGTTGTTCTATGGCGTCTCCCACATTTCCCCCTGCAAAAGATGCCTCTACGGACCCATCCCCGTCGTCCGTACCGCAGGCACCAAAGTCGTCATACAAGTCTGCCCTTTCTCCTCTGACCAGCGCTTTCAGCCGCTTTTCACAATGGCGGAAGTCATTTGATCTCCCGAACCCGGGCACAGTCGAGAATTTGCAGAAAGAAGTCAAGTGTACGCGTTTTCCCTCTGTCGTTTGGTCTTCCAGCCATTCCTGACATTTTATAGCGACTCATCTGACGAACTTTATGTTCGATGGTGCTAGGGCTGATCTCACGAAGAGTCTGTCAATGAACCCGGCATTTCAAGTCACACACTCTTTCATTCTCGGGTCGCAAGTCTCAACACCATCATATAACTTTGGTGCTGTCTTCGCCAACAACGATGTTAGCCAATTTGTCTTGCACGCCTTCGTTACTCTGTCTGATCCTTTCCATGCAGATGTTCCTCCAAGGCAGCGTTGACCATGAGGGTAATGTGAGCGCACGTATGAATCAAGGGTGGGCCGAAAACTCCATCACGAAGATTCAGACGCAGGTTTGTTTCCTATCGCACCGTCACACGCGTTCCGTCTCACATCCTCATCTATAGATTTCATCACAAGCTGGCCATAGCATGATCCAACTGGAGCACGATTACCAGGGTCAAGATTACTCCTTGAACGCGAAAGCTGTCAATCCGTGGCCTGCAGATCTCACCGGCATATACATCGGGAGTTACTTCCAGTCTGTGACAAAAAACCTTGCGTTGGGCGTGGAGACGCTTTACCAACGGCCAACTCCCGATATGTCCGACTTCACGACGTCATATCTAGCCAAGGTCACCAGCGATGACAAGAATTGGATTGCAACTGCACAAGTTCAGCCATCCGGTATTCTACAGGCTACATATTGGCAGAAGCTCCACGAGAAAGTGGAGGTCGCAGCAGATCTTCAGCTTATGGTCTCTCCTCAACGAAGAGATGCTATTGCAACTCTCGGTGCAAAATACGACCTCCGGATGTCGACCTTCAGAGCACAGTTGGACTCAACGGGCAAAGTTTCTGCTCTGCTTGAACAACGCTTTGCTCCCACCTTTGCGTTCCTTGTGGCGGGTGAGATCGATCACTTCAAGGCAAGTATCCCGTTTCATTGCGATGTTGTCCAAACTGACGTTGTACAAATTCAGAACGCTGCCAAGGTTGGTGTCGGTGTGATGATTGAGAGCTCTACTTTGACCCCGGAGGAGATGGGTATGCCCCCTCAACATTGAATTAATTATACTTAGACACGTACTTTCGGACTCTATTATTGGCATGCATCTCTTCTCAGGATCTCTGCAGTACCAGTGTGGTTGTCAGCTAGCCCAGCAGCACCCCCACCTTTACAGAACATCTGGTTTGACGAGAGTACACTACGTAGCACTTATAGAGTGCGCCAATCTGAATGCGCACAAAAATATGGTGTGCTACTTATAGTGATACTAAGGTAGCGACCGCCTTCCCTGTGGGAAACCAACACCACAGCTGAGCGGACTTGGTGGACACTGGAACTCACCATGGCAAAGTTGATTGAAGTCTGCAACGTCGCCTGCAAGAAGGACAAAAAGCAAGTCATTTTCTCTCAATTGAACTTCGATGTCAATGAGAGAGATATCATCGTCTTACAAGGCAAGAGTGGTGCGGGGTGCATTGACTTCTCTCCCTGTGGTATTTTGTCTGGAGGCTCAACCTATGCATATTCAGGAAAACCACACTTTTAAAGTGCATCGCCCATTTGAACGTTTATGACGGGGAGATCTTATACAGAGGAGGGTACGCTCCTCACACCTTCAAGTCGATTTCTCTCATGTCTGACACGCGATGTTCACTACCTCCAGGACAGCTAAGGCACATGGTATGCATGACATCTGTCACTCGCACAGGAAGCTCATGAAGATGTCCCGTAATTACAGGTGTGCCTGTGTTTAGAACACGGGTATTCTACGTGCCCCAGAGACCCGCTTTGCTGCCAGGCACGCCGCGCGATTTTATGGCAACGGTCACATCCTTCCAGTCCCGTAAATTGACCTCGGAATCTGATCTCGCCAATGCTATGGATATCTCCAAGAGGTGGGGCGTTGATCATGAGCTATGGGACAGGAATTGGACTAGCTTGAGTGGTGGCGAGGCGCAAAGGATAGCGTTGGCCGCTGCAGTGGGGCTGAACACCGCTGAAGTCCTTCTACTTGACGGTAAGACTCGATTCATGTTGCATATCGTTTGTATCATGACTGAGATGTGCGCTGCCTTGTATTTCTCCAGAACCAACTTCAGCTCTCGATCATCACTCGACTAAGCTTGTAGAGGAGTTCATCCTGAACGCTCTCAGATCCCCGCAAAACGGATTGAAAGCGATAGTCTGGATCACCCATTCCGAGGAACAAGCAAGAAGAGTAGGGACCAGATTCCTTCGGATCTCAACCTCTGGTTGTGAGGAAGAGCCACTTATGCCTGAACCGTAGATATTGTGATGTTTTCAACCGGACTTGAACTGGATATCCGATGCTTCACATAATAACAAACAATACGCCATCACTCTTCGATAGTCCCATAGCTCAGTGGTCAGAGCGTTGTACTTATGAGGTTACATTCCATGCAAGGGTCCCGAGTTCAATCCTCGGTGGGACTAATTTTTTTCATTTCGCTTGTTTGGTTTCCATATATGGGAATTCGCGCTTTCTTCTCAATCATCCCGCTGACAGCCTGCCGGCTTTATCCAGATTCCACACTCCTCCACGCCCCGGCCCGCCCACCGTTTTTCTTTCCTTTCTCTAGCATCGTTGACGTCGCCGACAATAATGGCTTCGTCTATGCTGCTTCGCTCAATGCTGCCTAGAACCTTTGCCTCCGCGACTGGACGTAATGTCTTGCGATCTGCATCAGTGCAAGGTAAGGACATTTTGAACCTTGTCTCCTCTTCACTTATGTTACATTTCAAAGTGAGAGCAAGTTCGACTGCTCAATATGTTCCAGGTGGACGTATGTTTAACGAACCCTTCTCTGTGATACCTGACGAGCTTACATACACTCGACAGCTATCATAAAGGGTACAGTCAACGACCCTGTCGAGTTCCCTCACCCATCAAAGATACATGGCTCGTATCACTGGGCATTTGAGCGACTTCTTGCGGCCTCCCTCGTTCCCATGACCGCAGCAGCTTTTGTGACCTCCGGGTCATCTTACCCAGTTCTCGACGGATTGCTTGGTCTCAGCTTAGTGATGCACTCTCACATCGGGGTGCGTCAGCGATAGAGTTGGTATTCCGCGAGGTTTTGACGTCACCTTCTCTATGCTAGTTCGACTCAATGGTTGTGGACTACGTGCACAAACGCAAATTCCCTATCATTGGCCCTATCCTGACCTGGACACTGAGAACCGCGACGGTTGGCGTGCTTGTCGGCGTTTATCAGTTCAATACAAATGATATTGGTGTGATAAATATCTCTTGTCATCGTTCCTCGTCTGACTCAGATTCCTATAGGTTTGACAGAGCTGATTGCGAAGGTCTGGACAGCGTGAGATTATATGCAGGTTATATCGAGAGACAAGAAATCGAGAAATAAGTATAATCGTACTATCCATCCTCTCTAACAGAGATACAAATTCTACTAGCACTTGCCCGACTGCCCTTCGAAGTTCCCATTATCCGAACTTCCGCCCCAATCTCGAAACGACCAGTGCAGAGGAAGCACAGTGGCACTTCCACAGCCTTGGTTTCGTCGGGTTTCACCTTCCCTATTGCGATGCTTGATAAAACACCTTCCGAAAGGACCTGTTCAGCTGGATCAAAGATCAAGTCTAGTGTCATCGCAAGAGGCAATACTGTGTGCAAATTTAGCGAGCTGAGTGAGAAAGATTCGTGAGAAATAGCGAACATGATGAATTGGCAACCTCGACGCGAAGATAGAGCATCTCATTTGGACTGGCGATGTATTTGCCTCGGCTATAATCGAGTTCTTGGGGTGAACCGTCTGGGTTGTCCACTATTAGCGTCAAGTCAATTTGCACCACGTCTGTCCGCAAGGCCTTCAACATTGGGAGCGTCAACCGTTGTTGTCGCAACGAGAGATCTCCATGTCTATCGCCATTCGTCTAAACCAATGAATATCAGCGACAAATATGATGAGTGAAGAATGGATGACCTCTTTCCATCGAGCGGACACGATCTTGAGGAGTTCTTCACGATACCAGAATAACTCTCGTTGAGCTTGTTCCTCTTCTATTGACAACTTGGACTTTCCGACGACGAACTGACGGTCTGATAATGTCGGTATGGGTTGCGAAATCTGATCATCTGATAGCCTGAACTTCTTAACTGGAAGCATGATACTTGATATTCAAGGCATGAGGTGACGTGTATGAATGTTCCGTGAACGACTCACCGCGACATTGACCCTGGAGGAACAGTTGATGAAACAGCTGCAATTTCCGTTCCTGTGGAACTCCAGCATCAGGAAGGAATTTTGGGGAGTATCTAGAAGTCCTGTGCTTACCAGCTTGTTCACGTTCGAATGTAACTTCGAATGGGAGCCCATATGTGTTGCGGACGTCAATTGCAAACAAGCACCATTCTTTCGGATCATCAACTTCTGGAAGGAGGTGTATCACAGAATTGCTAGCCCGGGGACTGATGTCATCATAGTCCACATCAATCATTGGCATGAGTCTCATATCATGACACTCCAGCATATGGTAAACAGTCACTGTCACCGGATACGATAACTGTCGAGTGTAGAACACCTCGGGTACGGGTACCTGTTCCTCGTGGCCTCGATTGACCTGGGAATATGATATGTGAACGGTGCCATATGCACTAAATTTCGACGATTTTAGTGCTGATAAAGGTGGAGAAATCAGCAACAACATACCAACCAACTTTCCCTACGCAGGTCACAGAAAGAACCACCTTTTGGTTTGGCAAAATGTTGGTGATCTCCTTCTCATTGCGCCATGAAAATGCCTTTCGGTGCAGAAGATCGTATTCTGTCTCATATGTTTCGAAGACAGAAAGTTCTCCTTCGGACAGAGCTTCTTGTGCGGGACCTATGGTGGAGTCTTCAAAAGATAACCGAATGAAATCAATCGGCAATGCGGAAATATTTTCCAAAGTCAAGCGAATGGTTGATCTGTAGCGCATCAATCAATAAAGATATTTAGAAGAACAAGCATACGTACTCTTCGCCGTTGTACAGCATGACTGCTCCGTGTGTTAACGACGTCCATCTGATTCGGAGGAGGGGTTGCTCAGGAACAACGACACATTGTAGGAATTGAGGTGGATTTTTGAGGGACGGGAGTAAGGTACTGAGTCGCCTCCCATCCTTCTCCCACGGCAGAGAGTCGAGGCCCCAATACTTGGTGCGACCGCTTTCGCATCTCACAGCACTTTGACGGCGTGCGAAAAGATTCTGATCCGCATCAGTCGGGACAGGTAATAGAAACTCTCTTGGAGCTCCCCAAGGGGCTTGAACAATGCATCCTCGGAAAACCAAAGTTCCTCGCGTTTTCGCAGTGCCGATGATGGTAATTGAATAGAGGGTATTAGGAGGAATGACGAGTGCTGAAACAGGACTGGATTCAAATTCCACACCAGTTGTGCTAAGGATCGATCTGAAGGTTAACTCGTCGATCAACTGACACAAAAAATGCTATACCTGAGCGAAATACTTTGGATTTCCAGATCGAACACATAAGGATTTCGCAAGGTGATTGTGAGCTCAATAGGTTCATCTTGGACAATCAAGTTTTTGCTCTATGAACATCCCCAAAACTGAAAATATGTTTCACTGTCAGTAAAAATGGACTGACCTGTGGACCTGATGATTTCCTGGGGTTATATAGGAATGGGTCAATGATCCCGCTAAGCAGAGAATTCGTGGCAGATGATTTTGCAGTCAATATAGAGAATGGATTTTCAATTGGCAGGCGGTGCAAAGCCAACCTGTAAGGGCGGGAGTTAACGTGGTTATGCCGTTTGTAGCAATTACATACGGCGATAATGCAAGACTCATGATAGGGTTCCCGGCCCAGTACTCGACTGCAGGTGCTTCACCGCGCCGACGCATAGCAGCAAGAGCACGTCCAGCAGTTTGGTACAGATGATATTGATCGCTACTGGCCAGCACGGAATGCATTGTTCTCAACGCAGAAAGTGATATTCGCGCTACAGCGAGCGGATCTAGGGCTGTCTTAGAGATTGTCGTTTCGTGGAAAATACCACTCACCGGGAAGGGCCTCTGCCACAGCAATGGCCTCGCGAATAACTCCAACTTGAAGTTCTGGCCACCCGAAAGATTCCCTTGCTGCATCTGCCAAGCCCTCTAAGTCCTCCACAGCAAAGCCGTTACTGTCTCTACCCCCTGCTTCGCTGCTGTTACCGTCTGTTGCCGTTGCCACGCCGACCGCTTCCAGATCAACACCAAGGACCTTGCAGGCACGAACGAGGAGTTTCAGGATGCTCTGATTGCCTTCCAGGATCTCATTTTGTCGCACACCAACAGCCCCCTTCCCAACTGCGCTCACTTCGTCACCATTCTCGGAGCGATTGCCTGTGTTTGCGCTTCCAACGTCAGATTTCCGTGAAAGATCATTTTCTTCCCGGCCACAAACAATGAGATCCATGATGCAACTAATGACTTCGCGCAGAATGAAGGCTTCCTTCCGCTTGTATCCAAGGGATGAATAAATGGTCGCCATAGATTGCAAAATGTTGAGCCGCTCATGAGGACCAAGATGCAGTAACCATGGTCCGTGAGCCTGCGACACGGTGTTTGCTATCTGTGAACGAGACACGCCCGACACGATACTTATGCGCTCCAGATTTGTCCAGGAGTTATCAGATGTTGTCTTCTGCGTATATGAGGTCGACGCTGGCTGTAGCATTGAAGCAAAAGCTAATGCACCCCATCCCTTGGTAGACCAGGTGCAGAAAAGGAGTGATGTTTGGCGCATAACAGCTGTGCAGTATGTCAGGGCCAAAAGTGAATGATCCTGGCTAGGCTCAGAAGGCGCAGGAGCCTTCTGATAGAGAGCTATAGATTGAGACAGTTGATCGTATATGTCGGCCCAAGGTTCCTTGATGCCATTGTTGCTAACAGAGGATTGCTGCATACGATTTCAACATCGCTCACCGAAGGCGATAGCTGACTTAGACTTACCAGGCCTTGGCCAGCCGACCATGCATCTAGAACAAAAACCGTTGCCATCCCTTCTAACACGGAGCCATGCCATACAGGATCCTGCCCGGTCTTGAACAGCACAATAGCTTCTGCATACCTTGGGCGAATTCAACCGTGGTGAACTGACAAGATAATTAAAGGATACGGACCACAACGATGCATCCTCTGTCCTACCAGCCAGCAGGAAGAAATCACCAAGAACCTTATAAAGTCTACCATGTGACGAAACGGCACCGATAGCACTGATGCGTTTCCTAACCGCTGGAGGACCAAGTGTAGTTTGCCGTTGAATAAGGGATGCCGTATGACTGATACCAGGTCCAGCAGTCGAGCTGCGCTTGATCTGAATACCTGACGTTGCCAGGCCTGATGATTCGAGTTCAGGCTGGCTCGAGTACGAAGGATATCCAAGATTTCCGGAACTGAGAGAAAGCGGCATCTCAGAGGGAGAAGGGAGTGTCGGGAAAAGAGCAGAATTCAGATACTCATTTCCTATGGGACTCTCGAGAACATGATACTATAGATCGGTTAGTAGTGTCTTCGATACTCTGTATCAAATGTTGACCCATACCACACGACCAAGTTCAGCTAGAATGTGAGAGCACAAATCGGCAAGCAGAGTACCGATATAAAGTTTCTTGTTCCCCATCACGCTCGGAATCGAAACAATCCCAGGTAGCGTATCTCCGAGACCAGTACTCCCAGCACTTTCTTCATCCTCAAAGGCCAGGCAGACTTTGGCAAGAGGAAAGGTCGAGCCTTCCGGAAAGATGTCAAGCACAGTATTCTCGAATTGCTCAAGAGCAGAAGCAAGGGAATATGAGGATGAACACGCGGCGACACCGATTATGCCTAGCGTGAAGTGAGACGGTCGGAACAGAGACAGCGACATATGGCGAGGAGGAGGGGGATGGGATGGGTAGCTCAGATATAGATAACCACTGGAAAGTGGATTTGGCATGAAACGAGCTGAGGTTCCATGAATAACTGTTGTAAGTAAAAAAAGGGCTTGCGTACCTCGCTCATCCTTCATGCCAGCAGGTATGTCGCCCAAGCGAATTGAATCGAACGTCCTTATTTCTGCCGCATACTTCTCAAAGGCAGCACGGGGTATTGGGCCCACTGGGAAGACAAGGATTGGGATATGTGCAAGCGCTGCGAATGCATGAGAGTTCATGGGATGCCTTGAGCTGTTCGTTACAAGCTTAAATCATCAAGTACGAAAGTCAGATTCTCTTGGTGCTCAGCTGCTCGCAAACGTTGACAATGAGCTGGCATGATTTTTGACTCAGAAACAAACTACGCACTCGTGTTATGTATGTAGTGGTGTTTTCCCGGTCCGCTAACCCACCAACTTTGACTTTTGACCGACTCCGGACTTGTACGCAGTGCTCTATTCTTGTTAATTACGCTCGACCTCAGATTCAACTTCCAAGTAGGTTTAACGGACTTTGCGATGGTGAGTAGTAAATATATGTGATGTTTTAAGGTTGGCTGATGGGAGCAACTATCTTAAGGGAGTAAGTGACAAGTCTCTTGGAGGGGTGATGTTGCTAGTTGCTGGTTTCGTGTTCACGTACTACACGACATGGGCCATCTTACTCGTCAGTTCGCCAGGCTTACGTTGAACGGGCCATATAGCTGACATTTTCCAGCCCTTCTTCGATGCATCCAGCCCCATACACAACTATTTTCCTGCACGCGAATGGGCAATACGGCTGCCAGCATTCGTGCTCGTGCTTGGACTTTCGGGTATCGGTTTCTTCGTTGGCTCCACCATCATAAAGGAGAATAGAAAGAAAGCACAAAAAGCGAAACTCAGGGCAGCCTGACAGCGAGAGATACGCATATCCACCGCCTCACCCTTTTCTCAGATTTATTAATTTCCTGGAATTTATTGCAAAACCTGGGGCTATGTAGGAATCCGCGTGTCCCTTTTACGTTCAACGGGTCGCTGCACGCTTTCAAAGACTCGCAACTTCTCTGCATTCTCAACATCCTGTTTTGCTTGAGCAATGACCGCGCTAGGCAGCAATTCAGGTAAAAGCTCTCCATCCAGAACCCGGGACAGCTGCATATGAATAAATAAGCATGATTCAAAGATAGGACAGAAGAGCATGCCTTGCTAAGTGCGGAGTTTCGTCTTCCAGAGTCACGCAAGCGATTCAGCATTACCACATACGGCACGGTGTCCAACCCTACAGGTGAGCGTGATTGCAGCACAAAGAGAAATAAGTTTGCTACGGAAGCCCATATTGTCGTGGCCAGTGGCTGATGTGACACTGTGTCAGCACAGGATTCTTGAACAGAGGTCAAGTATCGAATGCTTACTAGGAGATCTTCCGGGACACTGTCAGCTTTGAAGAGATTTACCAGCGCTTCGAATGGGGGCCACAACTCGTTCCAAATGACTTTGACGCTGGGTGACTCTCTCGTCGGGTTGGCAAGCGGCATTTGTGCAAGCAGCAGCCACAACTTAAGAGATATGAAAGCGTGTTCCACATCTGCCACAGCAGATTCGGAAGGCGTCGTCCCTTCGAGTACATATGTGCCTAAGCACTTGTAGTATGCCGGCGTGAATGCATTCAACTGCGGTAATAAGACTCGGATGTGAGTGTCAGCAGAGTCGCTAAGCACACCGAGCAGTAGAATATTCCAAGCACGGACAACTGTGCCAGCTTGTGTGGATTTCTGGTGAGGCTGTTGAGTTTAGGTCCGTGATATTCATCGAACACGTACCTCAAAACCTTCGGCAATCATCTCTGAAAGCGACACGCGCCCGACATCTACAGCATAGAGGACCAACCGCGAAACAGAAATCGAGGCGGATAACTCCGCACTTGAGTCAGAAATTATCCATGCATGATTGTGCAGAAAGTAAAGCCCACTGCACGCTACTTGTCTGAGTCCAACAATTTGGACATCAATGCAGAGAATCGTCTAAGGCAATATTTAGATCAAAAGCACATCTTTTGGAAAAAAATAATTACCTCGACGATCGCATTCATAGTGGAAGGCGTGACTCGTGCTCTGGCTCGAAAAACATCCTCCAGTATTTCCAACAAGATGTGCGTTACGTGGTTGGTGTTAGAAGATACCAAGTCCTGCTTTGAACTCAGAGGTGTATCACTGAGCGAACTGACAGCGTGTGATGCCCGAATTAGACACTGTTTCTCCACATTGGACCTCGATAATGCGACCCTCAGTACCGTTTCTGTACACTCCAGAAGATCCTAAAGGAAACGACAGGACCAATCATTGATTCGTTTGGGCCGAGAATGCTGTATATCTTTTTACCTTGGTGTATGCTTTGTTATACTGCAAAAGAGTTGTGGAAATATACAACAGGAGATTGGGGTCAAATCCGGCGTTGCTTCCCAGAGCCGATGCTCGGCGTGCCGTCACCATAAGCCAATTCATGAGGTCTGCCAATCCAATTGGCACGATAGGTAGAAATGGAGGAAATATCTCTTACCTTTGATCAACCATTTGCTGAGCCCTTCAAAATGGACCAACTCTGTGTATTCCTTCACGTTCAAAGCAATATTATGATTGATCTTCCAATCCGCGTCTGGAGGCTGTGTCACGACACTCTGCAAGAGTACTTCTCGCAGGCTTTCTTGTGACGAGGGTGCCCTGCGGGATTCAGCTTCTGCGATGGATTTTATTATCATAAAAAAATCCGAGCCCAGCGGGCGCTTAAATGCGCGTCGATCAGTTTGAGACACTCAGCCCACCATGCGGATAACATACTTTGCATAGACTACAGAACACTCCACTTTGTGCCAATCTGAGCTAGATGTTGTCAGCGGGCAGGGAACGAGCAGTAAAAGGCACCATACGTGACAAGCGTGTTTTCGATAAATGATTTCGCTCGAGTGACTAACATATCTTCGGTGTTATGTTTCAACAGCGCAATCAGTGCAACAGCACGTTCAATTGATTCACTACAGGCAACTTTATATCAGTTATCAACGAGGTTGAAAGGTATACCATGCTCACGTCACTAGCGCGCCAGATATGGCAGACCCCCTCTTGATGTATGTCTCTATTACAGATAATGCCACTTGACGCAAGTCGTAGCTCAGGTCAACCAACAACAGGTCCAAGGTCTTCTTCAATGCCTTGCGGAGTAGAACATCGAGATGTCTGAGCGCGGGGCTGTCGAAGTCATGCTTATAAATCATTGCCATTAGTGCTTCCAGCAAGCTCTTCAAGGTAAGAGCTGGGAGCTCGAGCGGTTGGTCTATGGCGCAGAAAGCACCCAGTACGGCATCCATCCAAATGGACCCAATAAGCACACGACAAGGCCTGTCGTCTTCGGTAAACGGACTGTTCATAAGGGAGGGCGGCAGGTTAAATGGGTGGGGGGCATCCAAGACGCGTGCAAATTCGTTCACACACGGCAAAGACTGTTGTGGGATACCACTGAAGCCATCCAAGTGGACTGAGAACGCCCGCCCGTTGAATGCAGAGACCATCTGCGCCCCACTGAAGCCAATCATTTTGGTTAGATATAACTTAAACTTCAGACATGACATGAGGTCGATCTCGACTCCGTTTTCCATCATGCGCAACCCAAGCAACGCAATCGATGTCTGTTCGAAGAATCAAACAGAAAAAATGATGACACAGCAGCCCCTCGCACCTGAATGGAGTGAATTTCTGGGTCTAAATCTTGCGGGTGAGCATCGTTTTGAGTCTTCGGCCCGTACATTTCCTGCCGGTATGTATGGTCAGCAGAATATTTGATTCATTGACGGAAGTTGTGACAAACAAGGTGAGCGACGGCAGGGGCATCTTCATCGTTGCTGTTGTGTTGCAGGTGGTCGTATTCACACAGCGTCTCAATAACTGTGCTCCAGGAGAGCACTGCGACAAATTCACACTTAATCTCAGCAGAATCAGGGTGTAAAAAATGTTACCTCTCCACGTCGGGAAATGTGATTGGAGCTGAAGAAGAAAGGAAACCAGCCGGAGACGCTTTGACATAGGTAGGTCGGCAAAGGCATCATTCCAACATGATGCGATGGCATCTAAATGGGCCGAAAGCAATGTCTGCAACCAGGTGTCAACTGCTGTCCTGACTTCTTCCTATTGGCAATGGTTGCATCAGTCGTGTGCTCACAAAATAAATTACTGTCGACATACCTTCTCATCGATCCAGAGCGGTTCAAATGCGTGGTAGAAGAGGTTGACGACGCTGTGTTTCCAGGGCCGATCTTTAACCACGAAGTCGGGACTAGTAATGTCTAGTACCATGCGAAAGAATCTGTCTAGGGCCAGGAGTCTAGTCGCCAGTACGTTATTCGCATCTTAAAGGCGACAAAAATGTAGATACCTGATGTCCCATGCTACTGTTGGTCCGCTCATCGAAGACATAAACTCGTAGAACGACTGTGGATCAACAATCGATATTCTAAGGAATAAGGTGGTCCTAATGCTTGCGATCTCATCATGCTGGATCCCGTAAAAGTGCCAGATACTGTGATAAGAAAGAATTGTCTAGTAGATGACAAACTTAGGAGATGATTATGCATACCATGGGTATAGAGTGCTTCCATTGCGCAACACGAAGTTATCGACCTCATGTGCCTCGAGAAGCGAAGCGTGCATAATAAAAGAGTGTAGGAATTTTGCAATGAGACAAACGACTTGTTCCATGCCGGTTGCAACGAGAGTACTGACAACGAGCATCAGTTCACCCTCGATGATAATGGGATCGGTAGCCTGAGCCACGCGTGTGTTCTGCTTTCTCCTGGTGTTCGGTCAGCTTGGGGCCATGAACCGAACGCGGTCGGTCTAACTTGCCTTGAAGGAAGAATTTTGATATCTTCTTCTGTTATCATTTCGTTTGAAGTGAGCATGGCGCGATCACATCCGTAAAGCAACAGGCAAGTAGCGAGACATTGTCTGATGAATGTCGATGCACTTCAATCATGTCGTCGGTAATGAGGCAGTATAAGTAGTAGTATCCGGAAACCCACCATGAAGCATTGTCACTTGAGGATCGGAGGGCACTCTTGATAGCAGGCTGTAGGCTGACGATCATAGTTGAGATCGATTTCTGTAAATCTTGTCGGCCCATAGACTTCGTCCACACAGACATTAAGGTGGCTTCAGCGAAGACTGAGGCCTGCTTCAAAGTCACAAGGCCTTTCCGTGACAGTTCGCTGTACTCGGCAAATATTGGTACGTTAATGTCGACACCCGAACGAGCAAATAACCTCAGCCAGCGGAGGCTGTCCAAAAGTCCGTTTCCCTTAGCCGCCCGTCGAACTATGCCCCATGGATCAGATAGCTTCACTACGTGCCCGTCGGCTTGCGCAAAAACCTGGTCGACAAACGTGGTGTGGCGAGATGCGTTCTCAGCTGAATCTCGATTGAGGAGACGTTGCAGAATTGGAAGAGACTTTGGATTAATGAGCATCGGTCGCCGAATTAATAAGTATCGCATCCCGTACCGCTGTATCGAGCACCTCGGGTTCGAGTGTCTGAAGCCACATGAGAAATAAATCATCAAGCACTGTGAAGCTGACTGAAGCTCTGCACAGTCTTGTGATAAAGCGCAGTGACCTTTCCGCGGTCGACGATGACTGTCAGGCTTCCAAATTAGTTTGCAAACTATACGCTCATGGGAGCGGCACAAACTTCGTGTGCATTGAGACATGAGCTTTCATGACGAGAAGCAATATCCTGGATAATATCAGACAATAACCGGGCATACGCAACAAAATCTTGATCATGCAGTGCTAGAAGCCATCGGGCAGCATATCTTGAAAGCAGACAACGCCTGGCTGCAACATAATCTCCACCATTATTGATGGAACTACTTGGTGCACGACGTACGTCATGAGTGGTTGGCCACACGGGAACATCAAAACCGCTCCTAACACCTGGGAGATTAATCCCTTGTGGGATGAAGTCACGAAGAATTTTTGCCAAATTGTCATCCTGAAAAACAAAGTTAATCATGTACCAGCCGTCAAATAATCAGTTCACCTCGGCAAAGATCCAGGAT